CCTCCCTCCGTGGTCATTTCATTTTTATTTTACATATGCATTGCAAGCCGAGATACCGTCTACCGTCTCGTCTCGCCGGTGGACGTCATGTGTCGATATGAACAAAAGTGTGGCTTGGTGGACAATACACCATCGCCATCATTCATGTCTCAACTTCCTCCCTCGTCCTCTTTAATTAAGTATCAACAGTGCTTTAAAGACCAACCAAGCTGACATGCATGACGTCAAGGCTCATACAAACCCCCCTCAAAAATTCATTGAAACTTGAATTATTTATCTTATCCATCTACTAACTTACTCATCTACTTTAAAGTAGGATCACTGAATGCAGAACTAAACTCAAATAAATTCGTGCAAAACAAATAAATCAGAAAGTAAAGTAAAGCAAAGCAAAGCAAACCGTTCTTTCACCTCTCGAGAGAGTTGGGTTGGTTTGGCAGTGTATTGATTAGATTGCGTTTGATGGATTTGGATATAAGGAGAAGATGACGTTTTTTGATTCGTCGTTTTTCGAGACGGGGACGACCGACCGTTTGTTTAAAAGAAGAGCATAATATTTGATGAGATAATAAGATTCGATGTACTATTTACGAAGCTAATGTAAGTGCTTCAATCAACCCGGATCACATCATCGTCGTCGTATCGTTAATTGTAACGAAACGAAACGAGTGTCATGCTGTCTGAGAGAATGAAGTGGATGGATAGATGGATATTTAGATGGAGAGGAGGAGGAGGAAAAGACTGATTTGAAAAGCTAAACCAATACGCATTAGTTTTTATAATGTGAAAGTATCGATATCGATAAAATCTGCGGAATTTAGAATTTGTAGTGGATGTCGATGTCGATGGCGACTGGTTACAAGTTGGATGGATCATGAGGTAGTAGGAGGAGGGTATGCATACCTTCTCATGATATTATTAGGTCAGAATAGAGCAGAACCACTGCTGTTCTGTTACTTGTTAGCCAAGAAGCAATACCAAGGGTGTGGTCACTTTGAGCCGTAGACCTTCTTTTCTTTCTTCACACTGTACAAATTTATGTACTTGCAGTTTGATCGTACATTATATTCCTAATATCTTTCAAAAGACAAAAAGGTACTTTTTCTTCTCTTCTTCTTCTCCTTCCAACTGCGCAATTTGCATCGGATTGCATTGATTTATTATTAAAAAGACTTTTTAAAAGTTGCACTTGCATTATTAATGAGTGCAGACAGGCAACATTGACGTACGTAGACGGTGAGAGGGGATAAATAAAGGTCCAATTTATTATTAACTGACATAAAATAAATGAAAGCTGGCTGGCTGTGCATGCATGCAATTGATATGCTTTTAGCTAAACTAAATGTGTTGTGACTGTAAAAAAATGAACGACATAAGTACAATAATTATATACGTATTGTAAAGTAGTAATAATAGCTGGAAGGATTTTGTATGGTTATTTGTCAGATAATAAAGGACTTGATTGTGGAAAAAAATAGAGAAATTAGATCAGATTTGTGTTTAAAAGCACCTGTCAACATCATACACGAGTTGTTCGTTAAGTGGAGAACTTAATAAGTTCAGACTGGAAAGTTAGTTGTATATTGATTGATAAGACACCCGTTAAATTGAACATGTTAAAATTTCAATTAAAAATCTTGACAATCACTCAAAAATTTAATGCCCTTTCCAAAATGTGGACATGTCATCTTTTGTGATTGACCGCAGCGTGGTCACGTATTTAACGAGGTAGTAAGTATTCACAAAAGTTTGAAAAATCCGGATTTGGGATTTTCAATTTTAGCAAAAAAAGTGGTGGTGAATCATTTAATTAGCATTCCTCCTTGGTTCTCAAGCTCGGCCCTAAAATACACGTACCTATTTAGTTACCTGTCCCACTCCTGCCTGCCACAAATACACGAAATCCACACAAATTTTACTTTGACATAAAAAGTTACTCTTGAAAGCAGGGTTTAATTTAAATGAGGACCTGCCAAAACCAAACCAGGCAACAGCGTCGTCCTCTTCTTCTCCTCATCATAATAATATACGACTCTGTTTATACTCTCGAGACACAAAATTACGTTTACGTGCTCATTGGGGGGATAAAGGATGAGATGGATTTTTATTAAACGAGTTTGAATATACGGCGATTGGATTGATTGAAATCTGGTGTAGTGTAAAATCAACAATGCTGCGCGTCGTGTCACTGAAGAATGCCAGCAAAGTTAATAAGAAAACTAGTTTGGACTTTATTTGCAGTTTTTCAAATCTGCTTATACAGATTATGCAGATTTTTGTTTTTGGACGAATATAACAAGGCAAACAGTCCACATGCATTCATGTACACTTCACTTTGCCGGCCGGCATTTCGCCACCGTATGCATGACGCGATATCAGGTCGCTCTTTCAAGTTGGTTGCACACCTCCAAAATTGGGAGATGTGCGATGTAACAAATGTAACTTTACACCATGATACGATTCGATTCAATGGATGCAGGTAAAAGATGCATCTCGGCGTCCATTACATGAAATGAATTTGAAATCGGTCTTGTAATAATGACGATAATCATGGTGGTGGACGTGGAGTAGGCTAACTATACATTTGAGCCGATGTAGCCAAATAAAACCAGATTTTCAGCTAGCTACCTTCTTACTTACCTGTTGTGGTCTTATATATCTGGCATGTCTCATTAGTTAACCACAGCATGAATGGCATGAGTTCTTTACAACTTTTAACACACTTTGAGCACGTAAAAAGCTTGCTCATTTGCGTCTTTTTTTAGAAATCAACCCTGCAGAAGGTTTTCTTTAAAGAGATTGAAATTGCTGGGAGGCGGATATAAATTCTTTCAATCTTGACACTTCTTCTGCACCGATGTAGTATCCTGCAAAGTTCAATTTTTTTATCGTAAAAACAGCAAATACATTTTTATGTATGCAGGTTGGGGTTGCAACTTGCAAGGTTTTTGGGTGCACGAAAATCAAGAGAGGATCAACCTTAAACCTAAACCTTTTTTGGCTTGTGGAACATTTGTTAAATTAAATTTATAAATAAATTAGCATGAAATTGTAAACTTGCCTTGTGGCTATAACTGCAAGGTTTTGTTACTAATTTGTTCAAATGAACGCCAGGTATTTCAAAAAATATGACAGAAATACCTGTCGCATAAAATATGAATAATAATTACAAACTACATATGTCCGTACACACACGAGGACCATAAAATTATAATTTTCTATACAAGAAATCAAACCACTTTTCACTACGACCCCTTTTAATATCCTTGATTGGCAAGTAGTAATATTTAAAAATTTACAAATGTAATCAATGCAATCGATGACGCGGTTCGTCACTACATTTTGCGTGCATTGAGCACGCAAATATTTAAGTAAACTAGTGTTGCATGCAATTACACTGCGACCGGTAAAACAAGGACACCTAACATTTTTTCCAATTTCTCAAAGGCCGTTCAAAGTATTTAGCTCTTTCTTTCACCATTAAGTACTACAGTTCCTAGTAGTCTTGTCGCAAAATTTCATTAAAATTGGTGCAGAGGTGTTGAAATTATTTAAGAATATGTCAAAATCAGGTGGCCAGTAAAACAAGGACACCCCACAATAAATTATTTGATTTTGACGGACTTAATTAGAATTTGATTCAACTTGTTGAGAAATTAAATTGTCAGTATATTTGGGATATTTTGGTCAATATATGACGTAAATTAACTCTTTTGTTCTGTCGATTTCACATAGTGAGGGGCAAAGGCAAAAGTGGGGGGCAAAAGGGTTATGTAAGTCTTTTCTCGTCGTTAACAACGGTGTGATCCCTCTTAGAAGTCCACGTCATTCGTTCTTTCGGCCATTGAAATTGAGCATCTTTTTGCTTCTGGGGACGCACCGGTTTCGTCTTGATTTTCCTCTTGCTGAGGTTGGGGTAAGCAGACATGACTTGATTAGTATCAGATGTTGAAATAGGAAGCTGGAACTCCGCTTAAATCTGGATAATCGTTACACAGGGGTTGCTAGAGCGACGGAGAATGTTGAATTTTTACATTTGTATCGTTTTAGGCGTGCGTCCTCGCTTCCTTGTTCTACCGAAAGTGTCCCCCTTGACCTTAAAACTTGTTACGGTGGGTCGGCGGACACTTAGGTGATTGTTCGTTTTGGAAATACTCCGCCGTAAAGCACATTGAGCTTCTACTCTGCCCCTGTGCAACAAGTACGGGAATTTGCCCCTCACTATGTGAAATCGACAGAACAAAAGAGTTAATTTACGTCATATATTGACCAAAATATCCCAAATATACTGACAATTTAATTTCTCAACAAGTTGAATCAAATTCTAATTAAGTCCGTCAAAATCAAATAATTTATTGTGGGGTGTCCTTGTTTTACTGGCCACCTGATTTTGACATATTCTTAAATAATTTCAACACCTCTGCACCAATTTTAACGAAATTTTGCGACAAGACTACTAGGAACTGTAGAACTTAATGGTGAAAGAAAGAGCTAAATACTTTGAACGGCCTTTGAGAAATTGGAAAAAATGTTAGGTGTCCTTGTTTTACCGGTCGCAGTGTACTGGTTGATAGTTAGTTTGTTGGCAGTAAATAATAAAAAAGAAGAAAATCGAGCATTCACCAGTTCCTAGAAAAAGAGTTTAAGAGAAAAAGAATTCTTTTTTATTGGCTGGTAGTAGTAGTTCGCACCATTACAAAAGACAATAATGCTGCTAAATAAAACCGCACTACCCAAAAAGCAGAGGCTTTAAATAAAAGTGCAGATTTAGCATGAATGTCGCTTCACTTCCCCCACACGTTTTTTTTCCTGTCGGAATTTACACCTTAAAACCACCTGAGACTATTATCTATCGAAACCTCAAGCTATGCGAGAAATAATGCCTGCATTATAATATGTTTGGGATGTGTTTTATGTATTATTCGCAGTGAATGAACTTTGCTATTGCACTTTATACTTGAATTTTGTCCTTAATGTTAATGTGTTTTTTTCTTTTTCAGCAACTTCGTGAAGTCATTCCGCACGTGGCAATGGCGAGGAAATTGTCAAAAATTGAAACCCTAACTCTGGCCAAACATTACATTATGGCATTAACAAATGTGATATGCGACATGCGGGGGGATGAGAAGCCCTACAAGTAAGTTTACTTTTTTTAATTCTTTAAAAGTTGAGATAATAAAAGTAGCAAAGTGGTATATTTTATGTCTCTCGTCAAGTTGTACATACGTCCCGTTTATTGTCATTGGAAAGTCCGTTTCATTTCTCAGATCCACTCCACCAATTAATTTCAGTTTGACTCTTATATAACTCAAAACTAAATTAAAACCAGTTTCAGGCCAAAAAATATTTCTCATAAAAATGCAAATCCTGTCAAAACCATGCTGAGTGAACCGAGAGGCAGCAGGCAAAGATCAAAGTCTCATCTTCTCGGGTCAGGACAAGAACATTGAGAAATTAAAAATCTCGAATGAGTAAAAAAGAAGTAGATATGTATCTGGGGCAATCAATATTATACAAAGTTTTGCAGCTAAAGGAGCAGCAAAAGTTACAAAGTTTGTTGATAATAAACATTTTTAAATGTCAAACCAACTTCCTTTCCCGATAAGTCGTCGTCGTGGGTAAGATTGGTTATCAATTTGCCCAAGGTGAACGGGGCAGTGGGATTTTTGCCAAGTTTGCATTTTTATGTGTTCATTCATTGCATTTTTAATCATCTTCAACATTAAGTAAACTCTACAACGTGCTTTCCATAATTAGAGGAAGATGCGAATTAGAAAAGGTTGTTGGATCAAGTTGAAAAGCATAAATGCCTCTCACTCTCTGCACATGTAAGACTCAAACTAAAAATATTGCAGATTTGACACATTTGCACGGCGAACCGATAACGTCTCTTTTCATCCTCGGCTTATCGTGCATGTTGCTTCAAATACAAAGTTTAATCAAATGTATGAAATGTTGCAAGGCATTTTTTAAATTGACACATACATCATCATCAATCGCCATCATACATAATCAACAACAATAAAAAAATCCGTCATGCTTTCAACTAGTGTGTGTCCTGGCATCTCATTATTACTCATTTCAAAATTATACTTACCAATTTAATAATCCATTTTTTTCTCTGTAAATTCCAGGTTTTTGGAGGAACTCGCCTCCGCTGGGGGGGAAGGTGTGGATGAGGACGAGGAGACTGATCTGGAGGACAATTCCAATAACGCCAATAACTTTAACATGTCCTCACCCGCTTCAGCAGCCACATAATGTTCAAACGTGTAGTTAATAATATAAGTAATTAATAACAACAAACTTTACTATGATCGATGAAGTGTGTGTAATCAATCGATTATCAAAACTGCAGTGCAGGCAGACTTATCTTGCTCATGATAACTAATTATTAAAACTTGGACAAAAAAGAAAAGTGATTCTCCTAATTGATACCAACCAACTAACGGCCAACGGTGAAAAAATAGAGAGAATTAGAGTTCAACCGTTACCCATTTTCCCAATGGACGACATATGTCATCATCATCATCATCAATAATTACGCAAAAATTGTGTTTTTCCAATTTTTAAGAAAAAATTTTACCGCAAGAGAGAAACTCAAAAATGGAGAAAATATATAATGGACCACTGGAATAAACCCCAAATATAAAATTCCCCCCGACCCCACAGAGTAAATATTTGTATTGAATTTTATTATTATTGTTTCATTCTTTGAAGTTGATTGATTGATGGGTGTGGATCTCCTCCGTTGCAATAAGCTGAATGTTTTATTACACTACATATTTAAGCTACATACATAAGAGTTAAAAGCGTTGTGTGCTATTTTAGCAATCTAATCTCACATTTTAAAAGAATGGATCATCATTTGCTACATACATATATTCATATAAAATAATAATATAATATACATATATTTTATGCCGAGCTATATTTTATTCCTTCCGTATTTATTCACTCGTCTGCTGGTGTACGTACTTGCGTACTTTTGTGCATATTTAATAATGATAAGAACGAGAGGATTGGAAAAAAAGAAGAGTACATATACATTTATATTGTAATGTTGGTTGATGGATGATGGATGGATGGGTGGGTGCCGAAACGAGAGCATATCTATTATTTTGTTAAGCATGCATGCATTACTTTTGTAAATAATTGTCAAACAATGTGTAGTTAAAGTTTGCTGGCCGGAATTTATAAGTACTTAAAATTTTAAGCAAACATTACAACAACAATGCAAAGAGAGATTTTATATACCGTTTGTTGCCCGTCTTTCAGAGAAATCAAATATTTCCTTTAGTTTTGGGGGAAACCCTGAAATTATGCAAAGTATTTACATACACAAGGATTGTTTAAAATACGTACTTACTTATAATGGGAAAAGTTATGACTTTCTTTCATTTCATGACAATAAAAGTTATTGAGTTAAATAGGATTTTGAAATTATTGACATTTAAAAGTATGCTAAATCAAATTCAATAATTTATCTAAGTGTTGAGGGGAAAGACATTTGTCGGCTAAAAAAACGTAAAAAATTTCATTATTTCAATGCAATGGAAACACATAGTCAGTTGGAAGGGTCGTAATTTAACAGGTACAGATCCAAGTCATGGGGTGCGCATTAAGAGGGATTGTCGCGAAGAAATGCAGCTTATCATAACGCATTACGATTACGAAGGTGCTGGAAAAGTGAATCGGACGCTTTAGTTTACTCGTACGTAGAAGAAATTAAGGAAAATTAAACGAATCTACACATGTAGATTGTGTAGTTGCGCATATATCATCAGACAGATTAATCATTTATTACGATTAAAGACTGCATGAAAAAAAAGAAACGCTCAGATTCGAAATGTAAATACAATCATTATCAATCACGATCATGATACATGCGCCCGGCTAAAAATAGTTTGATCCGAAAGCGACAACAACATTTTGTAATTGGTGTTATTGGGGATGACAATGTGGTAAATTGTTTGATTAAAAGTGAGTACGAAATAGTAAACACCAAATGAAAGTGGGAGAGAGATGGACATAAATACATACATAGTTTTTTAAGTGTATGCATTACTACAGAGAGTTATTATATGAGATCGGATACAGACAGAGCAATAACGTGGAACATGATAATAACAATATGATAAGTATAATTGTAATGTAAAATGCCCTATTTTTGTTAACGATAGACTAATGTTCGAAATATTTATTTGTAATTGGAGTGAAAAGCTCGGTTGATTAATGATTCGTATAATATATAAGCAAAATCAGGTGGTCGGTATACAGTTATTGTAATTATGATAAGATGTAAAACAACTACAATGCGACTGTATACCGCTGTTTGATAAATAAATATATAGCAAGTTATAATGTCTACACATATCATTACACGATGTAAGGTTTAAAATTCATTGATTCTATTGTGACGAGTAAAGTGTGTGGATTGGATGAGACGACCACTTTACGAGATAATTGCTTCAAAAGGATAATGAACGCACACCATTAATAGATAAGTGATGGTCACTTTTAGCAAGATAAAACCTTGACATTAATATTTCTTAGTTTTGTAAACGTATCAGATATTAATGAATATTATGTTGTGATTTAGAAAATTACAAAAACCGATAATAAAAGAGTAATAAAATATGTATGGATTCTTTTTTTGCGGAATAAGATTAAATTGAGTTGCATATTTACATATATTTTATTATTTCTCAATAAATGTTCATTGTTCATTGGAGTTGAAAATCAGACTTGTTACGTATGCAAATTTCGGTAGAAAAATGTGGTAGAAAATTGCAAACTGTGTGCAATCAGTCGGCAAGTTGGCAGAGTCCAGCCGTCCCCCTGTTTATCCAGTGTTGCTGAGGAAGATCGGACAGAAGTTTGAGATAGAGGACAAAGTTGGTCGAGTGACCAGTTGTAGATAAGGTTCCGCGGCGAGCACTGGTTTTGTAGACGGGACATTCGTAGGATGGTTTGAGGATGAATTTGGCCTGAAGAAATGGGAATGTTTTAAGAATGAGTGAGCATCATTTGTTTGAATTGCGTGCAAGTAAAAGTACCTTGTCGCCAGGTCTAAACCAGATCACAGGGATAGAATCGTACAAGATTTTGGGGAAAGATTCGGCCAACTGCTTATTTTGACGGTCCCAACGAGCTCCTTCGAGAAAGAGACCCTAAATCGTGGAAATACGTATAACTTCATGATCAAGTTTTTGAAAGTTGTTTTTTTTCACAAAACTACGCGTGGCAAAAAGCTAGTATAAAATTCTGCGTAAATGTATGTATGTGTGTCTCTACAAGCATGTATTAATTACACTAGTTATGCATACTCTGCATTGCTCTACAGGTTAATTTGACATGAAGCTAAAAGTTCTGTAAAAACCTTACATCCACCATTACATCATCATCCTTTTATATAGTATGCAAGGAATAAATTCATAATTCATTCATTTTTTCCTTGCCATTTCATATCATGAAATAAATAATCTCGTAAATTAATATCGTCACATACCCGACAATACGCCCCATCGTCTGGGGGCACATCTGCACTTTTTTCGAAAGCCGTGATTTCAAACTCAAATCCCAAATGATCAATTGGAATTTTATATCTTCTCGCATAATTTTGTGTGACTCCGGTCAAAAAAGATTGCGTAAAGTAGAATCCTGACAGCCAAAACACACTCGGCGCACCCGTGTTAATCCATCTCTGCAAGAAGGCGAGTCTTTGTAACAAGTCGGCCACATAGCTTCCCAAAGGCTTCAGGGATGGGTAGGATTTCGATGCCCACGCCTTCGGAACCTTCCCTATCAGCATACTTTTGAAAACTTCGTCCAACTCGAGTGACATCACGACTAAACCCTTGATGGCTTTTTGCACATTTCGAAGCGTCTCTCGGACAACTTTGGTGAGCCTGTTGAATCGGATGAGTTCCTGTCTTAACACGGTGTTCATCGAGTTCATGTAATCGACGGGGAATTTCTCCATCACACTTTCCAAATCGTAATCAGCGGGTAGCTTGTTGAGGATATCTTGAGCGATATCGATTACTTTTGAGCCGGACGTGTCTGCACCTCCACTTCCGGACTTTAATTCAGTTTGGGTCAAGAGTGCACTATCCAATAACTGTAAGCAATATATATTAGTTTATTCAGAATCTGATAAAGTAGTAAACTAATGTGTGGTAATTTTCGCACCTGAAAAGTCTCCTGATTTCCTTTCGTGATATTTGCATTTTCATGCAGCCCAAATACCTCAGGATTCGGATTCAATGGCAATGTTTTCACGTATTGCATGCATGCATTATAATTGGCTTCGCCAGGAACGTAGTAAATCCCACTTGATGATAGGACATAACTATACACACAAAGTCAAGATTAGTTTATGCATGTTTACACAATACTGGAAAATAGATAAGTTTCTATTAACGTACTTGTCTTTGTCCACAATATCCTTGTTGTAGAAAATGGATAACAAACTATTCAAAAGTCTTCTGTCCTTGTCATCCGTTACCCTCCCACCATAATTACATTCTCCCGTGAGATAGGTCAGCGCATCGAAAGGAATGACTAAATAATCACTTAAGAACATTTGCAATGTTATAATGAATGTTATAATGTTTTTTTGTACGAACGTATGAGTAAAATGAATCAAATCAATAATCCTCAAATGTCCAGTCCAGAGTAAAAGACAAATTGAGTAGATTTAGGATCAGGATGCCCCACTTATGTACATGTGCATGGTGGGAGTCAAACTGTGTTTACTTTTCGTCAGTGTGATAATCAGTAAAAAAAAAAGTTTTAGGTTAAATTGATAAGACTAAACATGGAGGGGGGCTACGATAAAATTAATCAACGTTGCAATATATGCAAAGCAAGAATTTCATTTGCAACTAATTATAAACGCCACTACCAACAAGTTCATAGTCCAGATAATTCTTTTAAATGTGATTTCGAAGGCTGTACCTACGCGTTGCAAACTCTCAAGTCATTGAATAAACACAGAACCGAGTGTCACAATGAGCCTGGGTACAATGCAGTCCTTCCAGACGATCAGAGGATGATTTGGGGGGAGGAGATCAAATGTGTTCATGATAAAAGTGTGGTTGGAGTGTTTCTTGGTGTCTGCAATTCCTACCATGCGCCTACAGCCGCAAGAAAACGAGACAATAAAAACTCTTTTTGTATAGTTTCGTAAGTTGATTTTTTTCTGTTTCGTCTTGATTTTACGATATTTCAAATCATGTAATGCTGAGCTAATGTTTATTGTTTACTTTTATAGAAAACATTTTCTAGCAGAAGACCTTTGTTTTTGTGACCACTCGACAGCGCGTAAGCTTTTTATAGTAACGCTCAAGAAGAAAATAAATGAAGAAGAACAATTCACAGCAAGAGTCACTGAAACCAGTGTTGGATTCAAAATGTATGCTCGCCAGCATTTCGTAAATAGTATATATTCAGTAAGTGTATATGCAGGGTTGTTTTCTTTGTTATCTGTAGCCCATCTTCTAATTACCATGATATACTTATTATTACAGAACTACGCATCCACGTACGAACTAACGGAGAAGGAAAAAGGTTCTGTTCGCGACAAACTCAAGAAATCAGCATTTGCCCAGCATTACTCGGAAACACTTCGACAGGCACTAACATATCATAACTGGAAAAACACAGGTATTTAGATTATTCTTATGTTTTAGAACTCCATTTATCTGCAATGTCAGATTTTCATTGTTTTTAGAACAGGGAAAGAAGGCAGTTGCAGCCAAAGAGAATAAGGATGGGAAATCGGGAACAAAAAGGAATTTGGCTGAGACAATTGTTTCTGGAGAAAGTTTGTCTCCTTCAAAAAAGAAAAAAGATTCGGAGAACCATCCCATTCCCCAACAGTTTCACACCTTTGTCCGAGAATACGGGAGACCGGCATTGCGAAACATGCTCGACAAATTGAGCCAGGTTAATTATCCAAGTATGATTTAAATTTTCGCCCTTTAATATTTGCCTTTATAACAGGAATCGAAAGAGTCAAAATTGTCAAAAGAGTCAAAATCAACGGAGTTCTAGTTTATTTGTAGTTAATGAAATTGTCAAGCTGTATATGACTACTCGTTCTTTTTACTCATACGTTCTGGGAAGTAGTAAATATGAAAGAATAAAACCAATTCCTTACTGTAAAAATTGTTGCAACTGCATCAATGAGATTCTGAGATCGCTCTCGGAAAACTCGTACAAATTGTTCCATCCCAAAGGACCGAACTTTCTCCGTTCTTGGACAACTGCATGGAAAAAGCAGAGACCAAATAGCATTCGCTGCCAGGCTCGTGAATTTAATTTTACAGATGTGAAAAAGTTTGGGTCCGAGATAGGATTTCCAGCATAACTTCGTAGCAGATTAGCTCTGAGGCCTTGTGGAGCTTCGTTAGTCATCTTGACGCTATTTTGTAAAACGGTTATGGGGAAGTTTGGACTTGGGTAAGACGTGAGCCAGAGTCGAAATGTGGGGTGTGTCCCATCCGCGGTGATGATGTCTTGACAGATCATTTCAAGCACGGGCATCCAACTTGTGGCCTGAAAACATTAATATTATAAAATATTTAAACATAATTTATATGTGATTCAAATTCTGGTAATGATTTTTTCTAGTGAGTATTATGCATGACAAAATGGTGTTTTACCAAGTGACAATTTTGTAAGACAACCCAAGATCCTTCCGCCGCAGATTCGTCAATCATTCTCCGAGCAACTGGACCTTGTCCTTGACCGAGGGATATGGACTGCATCTTGTTCCCAGTAAATCCCTTGTCTCCCGCAAACTTGAACAAACCAAGGGTAGGATCGGCTCCTAATAACAAGTAAATAATCAGGAAATACATTTTAGTTCAAGTTGTATATGCAAAACAAAATCTAATAAATAACAAACCCGGTGACAAGATGAAGACCAATGGAGTTGCAGAATTCGAGTCATTGTACGAAGACTCCAAGTCAAAGGGTGGAGGTTCGATAAATTCACGTCCTAAATTCTTCGTAATGAATAATTGTACTGCGGGGACCAACTTGTCCGGACGGAAGCAGCGAAGAATGACCAGTCTCTCCAGGTCGCTCATTTTGTCCCATGGACTCGGCAACGTGACGTCTTGAGGTTCTGACGAATCGTACAGTTCTTTCCAAAGTTGGATATGCTTGTTCACGAAACTCATCAATTTTGCAAATGGTTTCATTGTGCTGACTCGAACAATTTCTGACCATGCTTTGTCCGATAACCACTCTGGTGCTGGGTTGGCATACGGATTTTCCAACGCAATTCCACCAGTGAGGAGAAATTTCCACGTCTCCATATCAAACTCTCCTTTGGATTTCATCAGGGCGACACAGAGCACAAAAGAGAAGACCAACTTATCCTTTTCAAAGAGAGATCGGCACACATTGCGATAAATGGAGGAGGTAAAGTGTTCATTCAGGAAGTGGATTCTTGACGCTAAATCCTTGGATTGACGACTGTTTGTAATACTTGATGAGTACAGGTTAATAAACCACGCCAAGGAGTATTGGTACATGGGATCAATGTTGGCCAACTCAGATATGCAGAAGAACAAAGTGCTGGAGTGGAGAGCAACTGGTCTGTATCTGTTTCGAGTCTCATCAATTTTCTTTTCCGTTACGGCCGCAATTTCTTGTTTGGCAAGAATTTCTTGGGACAGTTCTTTCGACGAGGAGAGGATTTGAATGGCTGTCTCGTCCTCTAAAATATTTCCTTTCGAGCTGGACAGCACTTGTAGGATTTTGTCCTCAATCTCCTTGAGCAGATTCTTATTAGTGACGCCCTCCACGACGAGATGATTTTTCTGCTCCTCCAAAACTGGCTCTTCTTTGGCAGCCACAATTCCTAAGAGCTGGTCTTGCAAGCCGAGTGGCGTAATCATGAAGTTTAGCAGGGTGACCTGTGCAGGGGTTTATATCAACTTTAGCAACTTACATATGTACACAAACATAGAAATATCGACTTTGATACAATAAAATAATGAGTAATTAACCTTAACCGCCGTTTCGGGAAGGTAATGAGGATTTCGTAACCGAGTAATAATATAAAACCGGAAGTTCTTGTTGTACTCGACGATACTTTCTCCAATCTTAATGCACACAATGCCACCCTGTCTGAAGGTCTGCTTGAGGAGAACAGGTTCAAGAGCGGGGTCAATTTCTTCGCCAACGTTGTCGAGGAGAACGGGAATTCCCATCTGAATGGAATGTTCGACCACGCGAATGTAACCATGATCTGTTAGTTTAATGACTCCCAAACGGTTCGACTTCTCCAAGTTTCGTATCCATTTACTCGCCTGCGCTTGAGGATCAATCATCAATGGCCAACTGAGAAAGAAAATTACCATGAAACATATCTGCAGTCATGATCACGTTCATCTTGCTTACCGGCGAGCATTTGTAACAATTATTCCATTATCGATGGAGAAATTATCGATAGGAAGGCCAGCAAGATGCCAGAGCCGAATCTTTACTGGATCTCCCAATGTCGAGATCAAGGAGAACACTTGAGAACAGGGGATTTTCTGGGAGGCGCACTTTCTCTGCCATTTATCAACGCAGCCCTGACAAAGTTATGGACACATGTATTTATATTTTTATACTCGTTTTAATACCCATGGACATAATTTTTACGAACCTGTCGAAAATCCACCGTAAATGGACCAAGGTACGCCACCACAGCCGCACCAATCAACACGTCACCAATAATATTGTGTAATTTATCAGCCAACATGGCAGCCCCATCACTCCATCGAGTCTTTTCGCCACCCAGTCCATCTAAAATTTGATTTGTTTTTAGTACTTTGACAATTTCCCAAATTGAGAATATATCATGTACCAATAAGTTTCTCTGCCCTCTCCAACTTTTGAGAACAGAGCTCTATATTGTCCTCCAAATCCTTCTTCTTCTTGTTCATGGCTGCATATTCGTCATTCAGTGCTTGTAACTTATCCGTAACCTGTTGGAGTTGTGCCCTCTTCTCGTTAAGCTTATCCATCTGACTTTGCAACTCGTTCTCAGCCTCGGCCAACTTTAGCTTCTTGGGTTCCACGATTTTAATGACGCGATCATAAACTTCCATGGCTTTCACCCATTTGCACAAACCCTCACACGCGGTTGACACATTTTTGATGATGGCAGGATCAAACTCTGGATTCTTGATGAATTTTTCTCTGACTTTCTTAATAACTGGACCAGGAATGTTGTCCTTGTCATATTCTTTTAGTCCGTCTAGAAACTTCATGTCTCCCAACATCTTAAGAGACGCTAGGGAAAACGAAATAGTTAGTAATCAATTGACGTGTGTTGTATGGATATGCCCCTTAAGTTCAGACAACATCCAAAAAACTAGTGCCGGGTTCTCTTTGTCAACAAGTGTCTCATTTCATTCAACTGTTTGTACGATTATTTGTCAACAAGTGTTTCGTACAACTGTTTGTACGATTATTAAACAACATAAAACTGAAAATGAACACCCCCACCTGCAGTAAAATTACCCAGGTTGGGTCACCATCCCCTTCTCCACCAACTAATAAGAGGATGAAACGGCAAAGTGAAAGTGGGGTAAAGAAAGGATGTACGATTCTTATAACTGGTATGTTTTAATATTATTATTGAATGGGGCTTAATAAGTTTTCATTTTTTTGTATCGCTTAATAATCATCATTGTATGAACAGGTCTAGCGAAGTCGGGGAAGACCACCATTTCCACTTCCCTCACTCAACTGCTCAAATCAAATGGAATACCTGTCAAAAAAGTGGACGGGAAGGAATTAAGGGCCGGACTATGCAAAAATTTGGATTTTGATTGCAAGAAGGATCGGTCGGAGTTTGTTCACTTAGCTAGTGAATATGCCAAAGGGTTCACCAATGAGGGATATGTTTCAATCATATCGATTGTTGCTCCATTACATGAGGTAAAATGCAGGCTGTTTTTAATAAATGATATAATATTTTATGTATTTACACAATTCCATGCACATTCATAGGACAAAAAGCAAGGGTTTCCCATGAGGAAGGTGGACTGACGTTTGTAGATGTCTTTGTGGATAGGTCAAGAGCGGAGTGTGATGCAGAATCTGGCCTGAGTAGAAATGGTAAAACTTTAGATCATGCATGATATTGGATTTTGATTCATTTCGACTTTATTTTGTGTGTATAGTGATAAATCCCATTGATGCGGAATACGAACCTCCCAAAAATCCGGATGTTTATCTCAAACGGATTGGCAACAACGTAGATGCAATGACGAGAGAACTTGCTTCGAGATTAGTTGGTTATGTGAGTGAATAGCTATAAAATGCACACCTTAATGTAATTTACATGCAATGATTTCTGTCCATGTTTTAGAAATGCATTCCCCTACTCTTTCTTCAACCTCAATCCCCGGTCTCGCCATTCAGCCGATCATCCCCATCACCCAAATCATCCACTCCTGTATCATCTGCAGCGTCCCTTTCACCCTCAACAACAGACACATCTGACTTGGATTTGGTTGATGATGCGGATTTTGATCAAGATGGGAACATCATAAAAAAATTCAAACGACCCAGGAAGAGTAATATCCGAAACATATTTGATTATGTGAGGAATCTTCTTCTTCAAAGAGGTTTTGTTGGAAAGGATGGCGAACTGGACAACCATCCTCTTTTTTTTGCGCTAATGGGGGAATGGAGGATTCATTATGAAAATCACAAAACAGGAGGAATGGAGAAGTTTTTCCCTGTCAAAATTCGTAGGCCAACAACTCGGGACAGATCAGCGACACCCAGAAAAAAACCAACCAAAGGTGCTAAGACCAGGGAAAAAGATGATGTCAAGAGCCCACAAATTACCGAGTGGGATGACTTCATCCCTTTGTATTGGAACGGATTAACGTTGTGTTATGGCGTTCTACACAAAGGCTTCCCTCACCTCAAAAAATGCAAGCAATGTTGGTCTCAGTCAACATCGGAGGGGTATTTGTGTAATCTCCATTCAACAACCCGATTACAACATTTCACCGTTTTTCGTGATACTAATGAGAAGTCCATCCATTATCATGCTGCGCTAAGTTATCCGAGTGTGCTAAAAAAAGAATGGACGAAACAGATGTTTCAAAAGATAGCTCCCAACGTAACACAAGTAGAGAGATACCTCTTAACTCATCCTAACGCAAATTTCTCCCCTATCTATGAAAACTCTTGTCTACTCTCCTCTCCGGAACGACTTCCTACCACGCATTCCATCACAGTGAGTAACATATTTAATTACTTTTAAAATTAATAACAATCGGATTTTTATTTCCAGTTGTCCGTTGCGCTCATAACTCTGTTCAGAAATCTGGAGATGAAGGAGTTGGAGGCCCCCATTAAACCGCATATTTTTCTTCAAAAGGAGATTTATATGGTAGAGGCTAACTTGGCAGTGGTGGAGAGGACTTTGGAAGCGAATGGAGTGACTTTCTCCATGAGAGACCATGATGATATCAGCTCCCCACTAATTGACAAGGATCGGTATTGTCAGAAGTTGCCAAACCTATATTGCGGGGTTGAATCGAACAACCAAATCAGTATTGGTCTCAAAACGTCGAAGGCTGGGGGGCAGGATCATTCCGAATTCACTCAGTTAGTTTAAATACATATATGCAAGTCTATTCAACCAACTAAAACACTGATTTCTGAATTGCAGTACTGACCAATTCAAATCAGGGCCCATCTACCAAACCCCCCTCTCTGATGAACAACTACAGCTTGCCGCCACAATTAACACACATACATCTTTTACACAGTGGACGGATCAGCAAAAGGATCTATTCAATTTAGTAAGAGACGATTGCACAAGAAAAGAGGGGTTGGGGCAGGCAGCACTAATTGTTGCAGAAATGAAAGGTCAATCGTACAAGGGCATCCTCATTCGAAGGGACAATAGTAAATACGAAAATGTACAGACTATTTATGAAGGGGACAGAGCTTTTGTACAGGCAGTTTACAAATTTTTAACGACAAGGTCCCTTACTATTTCAGTCGAGCATACCGATGATATGCGTTTGAACGATGAGATATAAATAAAGGCACATCATTCATTTGCTTTTCTATGCCACTTGAATGTAAGGTTACTTTCTGTGCTCTTATATTCTGTCCAACGTATCCCATATCAACCTAACCTAACCTTACCTGCCCAATAGTCCTCAAACGGTCGTCCGTTGGCATCCATCTTTTTCTCTGGTTTGATACCTCTCATGACACAGATTGCTTCCAGCACCATTTTCACCGCAGCTGGAGGATTCTTCATCGATTTGACGACAGTTATATCGGCTAGAATGGAGAGAAATCTATCATTTTTCTGTCCACTTACTACACGCAATATGACAAATTGAGATAAATAAAGTACCAGGTTTTAAAGTATCCAAAGCCTGCAGGGCTGCTTCAAGGGCAGGAATTGCTTCAGCGAGGTCATTTTCACAATCATCCTTGATGGCCTGGGCAGCAGCAGCTGCCTCGTTTGCCAGTGCTTCATCAGCAGCTACAACTTCCTTTGTTGCTTCTACGTCCACCGTGTCCCGTTCAATTTTTATCATCAACTTCTCAGTAGCGGCTGAGGTTTCGATAAGTTTTGGTTGCAATGCTGTGAGCTCATCTTGCATAACGGCAACTTGAGAGGCAGCGAATTGCAATTTGTCTAAGCCGTTGAGGTAGCGGTGACGTTGCTCCTCGATTTCTTCTCGCTTTTTGCTCAGGAGTGATTTGAAGGTCAAAATCAATTCGAGATAAGAGGTCGGAGTGACGTAATTCTTTCGGCCAAGTTGCTCATAAAGCCTTGAATTCGAGGATCAGACACGTTATACTTTTGCATAGTCAACTTGCATTGCAAATATTTGCGACTCACTCGGTTGATAGTTTCCGAACGGATTCATGAAAAAATTGGCACATTAAAACACACGCTTCTCGTATTGGTTCGTCCGTGTCCAAAGTTGACAAGAATTTTTGAGCAACCTTTTCCAATGCGTCCTCTGGCCACTCTGTGAACCTGAAAATCATACGTCCTCATCATTATATATACAGCTAGCGTCATTTTGCTAAAATGTGCTGACAATAAAAACTTGCCAATCAATGGTGCAGCAATTAATTAGTGACGGAAACATCCTAAGCCTCACGCGGAACGCATCTCCGACGGGAGACATGGCAAGAACAACGTGCAAATTGGACCGAACTCTTTCAATAAAGAAATTGTACAGAGAAAGAGGAGAAGTTTCAATTTTTTTCCCATATTCTTTCGCCGCACTCTGCATTTTTTCTAAAATCTCTCCCTTCTCATCCGCCTGGAACAAGTTGGGAACATCTCCCGTGTTCAGAATCATGTTGATGTCTTCAACAAAACTTTCGTCCTTGATTTGATTGTCGGCAAAGAGAAACACGGTCTGTTTCCCATCATTGCCTGCATGTTTGAGAACCTTTTTGAGATCCTCTCTCCACTCGTGAGTCCCATACGTTCGGCTGATCTCGATCTGAATCAAGTCATAGCCAGCCATGAAAGCTGCCATTTTGGTCAAACTCTGTCTACCACTCCCCCCAATGCCAATCAGCAGTGCATGTCCGTTGTCTTGCTTGAGGACACGGGCAATTCGGGAAATGTGTTCAATTGCAAATTGGAAGAGGACGAGAGACATGTGGGTTTTCGAAATTGAATTGTACTCTTTCAAATAGCCTTCCATAATTTCGCTCAACTGGTGCAAATCTACGACTTCGTCATAAATCTTGTTGTCCGCCTTGGGATCCATGTAATCTCCAAATATCAAGCTGCGAATGTTGACATCTTCTACCTTTTTTCCGTCAGGTACTAAATGGCCCAACATTTTCTGCATGTCTTGCTTAAAGTTTTCCTCCACAGTGGAGGAGGTCAGTGTGAAAAATGTGAGACGATCCTTCTCGTCGACTAGACGGTCGTAAAAGACACGATACACCTCGTGGACCCAGAGTCTCATCAATTTGGTTGGTTCTGTCAGATGCGAAGCAGGGATGAGAAGAAGCCCTCGTACGACTCGAGAGAAATCACGGAGGTTGAAAACGTAGTGTGACTTGGCAGGCGTAGGGAGGAAGAGGGACATTGCCGACTTGTAGACTTGCATGGTTGCATTTATCATGGGTCTCGCCCAACGGACGACTTCAGGGTCGTAATCCTTGCCAAAATGCCAGTCGACGATAGAGGTGAAAATTTTCTTGAGGGTGTTGTCATCAAAGGAGTCGATGGCAAGGATGCTCATGTGTCGGACTAAGCGTGCTGTGATGTCGTTTCTTCCACCGCCAGGAGGTCCCATTGCACCGGCGAATAACTACAAATAACATTAGTTACTTGACTGTTTTGTCATATTTGTTAAAATCTTTACTTGCACAGAAATCAATACCATGTCAATAAGTGAAATTGTCGTCGTGTCCTTCTTATCGTACCAATTTCCATGATCAATCCACTGTCGGATAAGCTCGATTGGGGGTTGAGCTCCATAAATCTCTTTCTGGGGCATGCTTAAATCGTCCACAAATACGATGCATTTCTTTCCGATACTGGGGCCAAAAACTCCCTTCTTTCTTCGATCCAACTTGCTCATTATGATGTCTTGAGTTTGATTTGCGGATGTTCGAGCAGAAAAGTTGATCACATTTGGAACGTATTTCTCTTTTGGGAGTCCCATCAAGTAATTTAGAGTGATGGCACTTTTCCCTGTTCCTGTGGGCCCTACGAACATGACGGGAATTTCATTGTTCAGATACACCTTTAAGAAAAACATTTGACGAGCGGTTTCATCCGTTGGGATTATTAATTCATTGACCTGTAGAGTTAATGATACAATTTGTATGTAAAACAAACCACGGAAAGTTAAATATTTAGTTGAAAAAAATAACATTTGTGCCTACATACTTTTGCGGTCAAAGGAATTTTCACCGATTCACGATCAACCGTGTCCATCCAAAACATCCACTGATTATTCCTCTTGTCGCAAATGTAGTCGAAAACTGACCCCCTTTCAGGAAACATTTGGTTCTTTGTCAGCTTAAAAGATTTGGGTTTAGGAAAATCCTTGTTATTTCCAATCAACAGGGCACGATAAAAGACGTCAAATTTCTCCCTGCTCTCTTGAATTAGAGTGCCTCCCAAACTCCACACGACGGTCCAGATAAAGCTGTACTGAAGCCAGATTGTGCTTTGTGGACTCTTGTCATCATTTCCGTCTCCTTTCAAATATGATCGATAGAGCCGGACAAAACTCTACTCAGAAAAAGAAAGACTTGTCATAGTTTTCAACAGGTTTTAATGAACTTCTAAATATGCTCCAAACCTGAAATTGATGCAGCTCAGACGTTGGAATAAAGGACTTGCATTCATGTCGAATAAACTCGAAACAAGCAGGAATTAACCACTCGAATAATTCCTCCAGGAGTTCTTTCTGTTCTTCGTTAATTCCGACAGGAAGCCGATTTAGGTAGGAGTCCTTGAACATAATTACAAACACAGTAATTAGTCAGGCAATACTTATTAAGTAAGTTTCATATTATTACTCTTACCTTCAACGGTCTCCACCCAAGCTGTTTCGGTTCCAAGTAAATCATTCCGCAACGAGACACGGTAGCAGGCGACGCCTGCTCTAAATCGGCCGGTTCGAACATCATATTCATCACGGGAGTCATTTGAATAATTTCGCCAGACATTAAACACAATTTTTTGTTGTCATCCAAAACGGTGTTCATATTTTCAATCCAAACTAAAAAAATTATTAAAAATATATCATGTTTATTAATTTTGTAAAGTATGTACATTACATGACTGCTGAAATTTACAAACCGGCATCAACAGGTCCGTCAAATACGAGCCACTTCCTATCGTCATTAGTTGATGAAGCCATTTCTCTGAATGTGTTTGCAACAACTCCATCCGACCATTCGTGTGATACAGGGTCAAAGCATCCATATAATTGTCCCATTGTGATCGCCTTTGGGTTAACGATCTTGTACGTGACTCGTTTCTCGATAAATCCGGGAGTTTTATTGTTCTTTATGTCAGTCAGTGCTGCGGCGAGGCACTGGATAAGTACACAAAAGAGACAATAGTAAATGTGACACGTCAAAAAATATTTGATGAATTACTTGACCATTCAACTCGACTCAAATCGGCTCACCTGATATGAACAAGTCTTGCCTCCCAGTGCTTCTCCAACAACCATGAGACCGTGCCGGACCAAAATCATCTCATAAACTTGAAGAGTTTTTTCAATAAAAAAGTCCGTGGGTTGAAGATTTCTCTGATCACAAATGACTTTCAATGCTTCAATGAGAGGGTCCAAATCAGGTCTTAGGAGTTTCACGCCAGGAAACAAATCGGAAATGATTCCTTCAAAGAGTGGAATGTCTTGGGCCAAAAACTTTGGCAAATTGACGTCATTGATAGCTTTAAGGATCAGACGGGATTCGATTTCTAGTGAAAAATAGTACTCGCATTTAAATTTAGACACGGTCATTTTCATTTCACGAGTATGTTAAATATTAAACCTTTAGGATATTTTAGCTTAAGGTTTCCGGCTGCAGTGAGCACAGATTTCACCGCACGCATCCCATAATCGTAATGGTGTTGCGAAGATAATTGCTCAGAACACAATTTATAAGTGTCGACAATTTTGCCAGACAAACTAAATAGCAGGCATACGTTATTTTCAAAACATGTTCAAAATGTAATTTAATTTACATATTATATACGCTACGACAGCTTCACCTCCTTGCATCCACAAATCCCATCGAGTACAACGATATTTCACCAATCATTGCGTAATCAGGAACCATCATGGCCACCGTTCGGAATAAAACTTTGAGATTATCGGGCAATTCACTTCTTCCAGCGTAACCGGGCTACTTAGTGAAATAGACGTATCAAGGTAAGCAGTTAATTAACCCTTCTTACATGCAATATGTACATACGTTCATTGTAATGATCACGGCACATGTCGGATTCAATCGTAATTCAGTATCTTCGAAAATGAACGTCTTTACTCTCGCCGCAATGGCGTGCTGAATTGTCATAATTTGTTGTGCGACCACTGACAATACTTCCAACTCGATTCGATTAAATTCGTCAAAACAAGCCCACGCTGCGTAGTAAACAAAGGTTTAGTTTTTAAAGAGAATAAATTATAGCTATAATTTTCTGAGTAAATAAATACCTCCTGCTTGGGCCAACCCCTTAAAGAACTTTCCCATCGCTTTGTAATCCAGTCCATCTGAACAATTGAATACGACGCATTGTTTTGCAACCGCTTTTGCTAAATCAAATTACAATAAAACTGGATTAGGCACTGGTAAAAAAAATATCCGTCTAAACGATGTATTATGCTAATTATATATTAGTAAAACAGCCCAATAACCTACCCAAATCTTTACTTGTTTCCGTCTTTCCTGTCCCGGCCGGTCCTTCCGGGGCTCCGCCCAAGTGCAGCTTCAATGCACTCATTAGTGTGCGGTAACAGCGATCGGTCAAGGGCGTGATGACAAGACGAGAACTATTTCCCAAATATTCGTAACCGTAACGAATGTCTGTAGTGATCATTCTTACTCGGACAAGTCCTCCTGAACATAGAACGATACAGAAAGAGGAGTTAGTCCGTATGCGCAAAAATACACAATAAATACAAATTTATACCTTCCAAGTAATATCGAAGCTGGCTAATCCAGTTGAAATCCTGAATGCTCGTAATTTCCAAATTGCACAAACTCTCTACAACGTCACGAGCATGGACAGCAATAACGATCAAGGCACCAAGAGTGGTCCGGTTCCCAGAGTCCAGTTTACCACGAACAAGTCCAACAACTTCGTCAATTTGTCTATTGCTGAGAGTAAGATAATCCTTCAGAGTTCCATTTTGTATCGAGTCTGACACGTCGGCCGTCCAGAAAATGGAATCTCCACAGATGACGACTTGACCTGGCCATTGTAACACCCAATCCTTCCGAGTTCCATGAGCGTATGCAATGACACTTCGAGCAATGACATCTTTGAGAGAATTTATCATTTGATGTTCAACCTGAAAGTAGGGAGCAGGGACCCTTAGACTTAGATTAATTAATAACTTGTCATGACTAAAAATGTGATTTGCATACAAGGACCAGCCACTTTTCCACCATTCCTCTCGCCTCGAGTGGTTTCACAACTCCGACGAAATTAACCATTTCCTTTTCTGCAGAGATCATGGCAGTGATGATGAGCTCTGCCGTAAACTCTAAGCGATGGATGCCTTCAAAGCACTTCTTTAAGTGAGGCTGCACACGAAGTGGATCTTTAGTTTCACTAAGAATTTCGAGTAGTTCGTCATTACTGAGGAAGAAGAATCTTGGGAAGAAGAGGCGTTTCTTTTCCAAGTAGTCGTTGAGACCTTTTTGAATTTCCTCGAGTAAATTGTTGGCCTCGTTTAATTCTTTCAACATGTTTGGAAATTCCGTAGCATAGAGAACATTCGGATTTTCGGTCGTGTTCCGCATAATTTCTCGCCAAGTTTTGTCCACAGCGGCAAATTTTTTAGCCTCACTTGGCATTTGTTTAATGATATCGGGAGAGGAAAAGATTGGTTCGAGATACATCCAAGTGGATTGCACCTTGACCCAAGCGTCCAAAATGTCCTGCATGGCGATAAGTTTCTCTTCCCATTGTTTCATTTCGTGTTCTAGTGGTTTGATGAAGGGGGAGCCTCGCATTGTTTGTGCTTTCAGGATGTGATCGTCCATCATAGTTTGAATGTCGTCAAGCGAGGATAAGATATTGACTCCGGTTTGTCTGTAGGCGATAACATCAAACTGAATATCTTGCCATTCCGCTTGCATCTTTTGCAGATTCTTCTCCAATTGGAATTCCTTTGTGGCAGCGGCGGAAATCTCGTCCAATTGATTGACCATTTTTGCAATTCCTGTCTCTATCATGTCAGACAGCGTAGTTTCCTCCGTTGGTTGAAGAACAACACCACAAATTTCACTCATCTATGTAATTGATCAAATCGTTATTCAATTAGCAGAAATTATTTTAATCAAGCGACTTTTATATACCAATTCCCAATGGCGCTCACGAATTCCAGGATTACAGATCTGGTAAAATTGTTAAAGGAACAATTCCTGATTTTGATGATTTTCATGATGTATACTCATCTACAGCGTTACTTAAACCGTTATTTTACTTACCGTGAGTAAGAGTGGCATGTAGAGTTTAAACCGTTCGATCTTATTTCTGACATTTTCAGCAACTTTTCTTGGACCTGATAAATGTACCAAGAGAAAGTTGAGCATTATGATGCTCGATACTTGCTTATTTTCTGGCTCTGAAGGAGTGCAACTTACCGGGTTGGTCTTGGAAGGATTTTTGCAGCTTGTACATGGTTTTCCACATACCCTCGACGTCATCATTAATCTCATTAGCGTCCAATCCCATAAACGGGCCCTCAAACCATTTCTTATATTTGACGTGAAAATCATAAGCGGTCGTCCACAATTTGAAGTATGGATCAATTAACTGCAAACAGCTTTGAAGGCCGTCAAACGTGGTCTGTTCTTGGTCCAACAATCGCTCCTCTTCGTTGAGTTTCTGCAAAATGCGTTCATGCATTATTCCAATGATCAACGAGACATAAAATGCAAATTGATTAGTATAATAGATTAATATTTAAATACATACATCTGATGTATTTATACAGGTTTGCAGCTCGTCGTTAAGAACGCGAAGATTTTCCGAATTAACTCGCATCTCTTCCAAACTGAGATATGGAGAGTCTTTGGTTTTGTAAACTTCTAAATGTTCCAAAATTTTGACAAGGCGTGCTTCAAATTTTTTGCGGTCTTTGATCAATTTTTCTTCCGCTTGTTCCCTCATCATTTGAAGTCGGGCAGAATTCTTGTTAAAAATCTTATCCATGGCTTCCGGCCAGTAAAACACTTTGCTGTGGGTTTGAAGTTGCTCCTCTAATATATAGAATGGAGATTTAGTATGTAAAAAATTTAAGTTGCAACAACGTGTATCATGTAGAATTGTACCATTGTATACATAATAATCTAGCAGGAACAAGACCCTTTGCATCGCCTCCGTAATGTTTTGCTTCATTTTAAAGAATGTCTCGGACATGCAAGTATTCAAATAGTTGGTAAGATTTACAAGATCCGCAGTAGAGTCGATCCGTTCATTGGACCGGATGGACATTTCCTCAAATGTATTTAACGTCCTGAATAATAAGTCGGAATTTTAATGAGCCACACTTCATAAAAATCATAATTGCTTGCTTACGTTTGCAAGAGACGCTCATTTTTCTCCACTTCGCCCAGAACGACTCGATCAATCAAAGAGTTTAGCTTGTCGATTAAATGTTGGTTGAAACCACTGCAATCCAATGCGAGAAAATTCAAAGGGACTAATTTTCGAAAGGAGTAAACTTTGGTCTTAATTCGAGTTAATTCTTCAATTTTTTGTGCCATGTACTGTTAATAAAGGACAAACATGTAAAATCTCCATTAAAATAATTGTTTAATTATAAGTAAAGCTAATTCATTAATTACTTTATAGTTTGGTTCTCGGTCAAGGAAAGTTTGCAATTGAGCATCTGCCGTTCCATCAATGAGCCAAAAGTAACTATCGTAGAAATGAATGTACTGCTTCGGGCCGGTCAAGTTGAGGCGAATTATGTTTGAAATCCGACTAAATATATTTTTTACGCCAGTCTCGTGAAGTACGACTGGCAAGAGATTGATGTCTTGAGGGTACAGCTCTACGAGTGCATTACATTTTTAATAACTTTTGAATACATGATCACTCAGTGGTTATTAATAACTAAAATATTTTGTCCAAACCTGGGAACAACATTTTTTCTATTCTCGGAATAAGTTTTCCACCCGCAATAATTTGTGCGAGGAGTTGTGTGACCGTATTGATGCAATCCATCCGATCTCGCAGACTTGGTTCTTTCCACGTTACTTCATCCACTTGTGGTTTAAAGGCTACGAATGGAGAGCTGTTGGTGGCCAGCACGGTCACGCTGAGGATTGGCCTCGTATTGAAAAGTCTTTCACTGTACTCTCCTTCAAAAGAGTTTCCTTGCTGCGATAATAAAGTGAAGCAAATGACCAGTGATGCATAACAATCCACTACTTCAGCTAAATTTAGTTAGTGGACACTTACAGCATACGTTTCGAAAATATCATTAACATTTTCCAACGTGGACATGACCTGTAAGTAACAAGAAAATGTCAGCAGTCGAAAATTTTAAAAGTTTCAAATATTCACACACCATGTCCCGCATTTGTCTGGACATCAAGGCTGCCACGCTCCCAAACAATTTGATCAATCCAGCCAGCGACGAAGACTTTCTCTGTGGAACGAGATGCACCCACGTCTCTTTCATCTCAACAAATAAGTTTGCTACGTCACGAGCCCATCTGAAATTAAAAAATGTTTCAACGTTTAATTCCATAAACAGTCATGAGCTTGGAATTCGGAAAAATTAAATGCTGTTTACTCTCGTGTGAGAAGACTGCGACCATTTGCAATCAATATTTTCAAGTGTGTTGCAAGTTGCATTGGTGGAAGTGGGAGGGGTTCCAAGAATTGCTCAATGTTAAGAAAGGGTTGATCCCGATATCTAAATGAGACAGCAATATTCATCATTTTAAATATATTCACAAACTTGTACAATAGTTGGCAGAGTTTAATGTACTCACTTGTCATCCCACAGCTTTCGAAGACGCACCAATATGGGGTGACAAAGGAACAATGTGTTCCTCATTACTTCTCGACATGTGACGTAATTATTGTGCCAGGGAATCGGGCCACGGACAATTCTTGGCTGGTAAGACTGTTCGACTTGGAAAACCTTGATGCGAACTCGTTCAGCAGGGTCCATTAAAATGTAGTCCACGATAGCTTTCTTTAAAGCCCATTTGAACCATGACCTCGCCCTTTCTTCGAGTCTTTCAACTAGTACTTTCAACCTGCAGACAGAGCATACGTACATGTAACTTACCATACATTAAACTACATATTAAAATTCAAATATGAACTTTTACTTACACACGCTTCTCAGTGCAAGATTTTGGCAAGAGTTTTCGAATTTTCGAAGACGTGTTGGGTGGCCAGTCGGCGACATCATCATCCGAAATGCTCTGAAATTATAGATTTATTTACTAGAAAAATAGATCTGAAAATGGTACCATTTTATGATTCGGACCTGAATATAATACTTGTATCGTGCTAAATCAACCTCCGTAGGATCCGGGGTATGCGCCAAATCTTCCACAATTTTCATTAAAAATAGTTGTTGTTCTGGCCAAAGAGGTTCAATATATGCAGTTCTAGTTTGTAAAATTAAGCATGTTCAACCAAGAGAAATATGGATAGTACATTTGTCCAAGAATATGGTTACCGCTTCGATATTAGATCAAACAATCTGTCCATTGGGACATTCATTAAACCCTCCTCCTGACTTTCTTTAGCCTCGATATGTCTCGGACGACACATTCTACCGGAAGGAGTCTGCTTGTGAATCTCTTCCTTCACGGGGGTCTGAGGTTTCTCGTCGACACAGCCATAAAGTTTCTTGTTCTTGACACCATTTCCTCCCCCAACATCCGAGGCAGCTATACTTTTTCGCTTGTTATTAACTGGAAGTAGCTCTTTTACTGGTTTGGGGTCATTCTTCTTGTAAGCGCCGGACAATAGATCCACAAGCGGCATGATGGAATGACTATTTGGTTGTGTTGTGAGATATTTCCGCTCCAAAGTGGGTGGAGGGGCTTTAAGCTCTTTCAAATCGATTACAATCTTTGTTTTCTTATTTTTCCTCGGTGGGGCTGCCAGCTCTTTGAGTTTGAAACGTGCCTCAGGAGGTGAGTAGTGGTTGCCGATATTTTCGCTGGGACTGAGGTCGGTGTATTCCTCCTTGAAGGGGGCGGACCGCATCCAAGAATTAGTTTGTAGAATGGGTGGGTACTCTAGCCCCTCAAAACCGCTGGAAAACTTCTCCTCGACACTTTTCGGTAGCCGAGGGATGGGTGGGTGTGGTTTGAGTTTGGACCGTTTCCTCGTGACCAAGAGTTCCTCATCCCGACGTGGCATCGTTTCCCTCTGATCGTCCCCCATCCTGTAAGGGAGCTTGATGATAAAGTATTAAAATTACGAAGGGTTTTATGCGTTAATTAGTGGGGGTTGGGGCAAGATACATATCACGAATTGCACTATATACTAAAGAACGATGTCGATGAGTAGTTGATATGCCGTAGTACACAAGATATTGCAATATAATTGAGGGTGTGAATCGAATAACGACTTGTCAACAAACTCCAACATTTTATTCTGAACATTGGTAATAATATCACCTTGGATATGATACAAAAACCTACTTCAAGCAACTTTGTGGAACCTTTTAAGATGGCATTAATGCCATCTTGGTAGTCAATGGCAACACATTTGGATGGAAAAGACCCCCACCGGCCAACCACTTGACCGATCATGCCCATCTCCGAACTCATCCTTACTTTTTACCCGAAGATGAAGTATGCAAAATTTCAAGTCGATAGCTTTTGTTTAAAGAGAGTTATCGTGCCTACAGACGGACGGACAGACGGACGGACAGACAGACATCTTGACAGATCTATAAGGCCATCTTAAAAGGCCTAAAACGGTACCCAGGTCTTAAATTTTTAGCCTGAGTCAGGGCTTATGGAACCGTCATGTCCGTCCGTCCATCCGTCTGTCCGGCACGATAGAGCCAAAGCGGCTGAACCCATTGACTTGAAATTTTTACCAGTGCATATTGGACAAACGAGTTCGAAGATGGGCGAAATCGGTCAAGTGGTTGACCGGTGGGGGTCATCGGAGTGGGTGGGGTGTTTGCACCAAAATGTCAAAATTGTCGCAGAAAGCTGAAATTTGGTACAGAGGTTGATAATGGTTTCTAATGAAAGAATATAAAGTAAAATTTCAAAAATTTTCATCTGGAGGGACCCTTGGGCGTTACCCATACCGATTTTTAAAACATCCAATCGAACTGAAAATTGGTGTGGGGTTTGCTAATGGAAGAGTATAAATTGAAATTAAACACATTTTCATCTGGACAGACCCTATGAGGTGACCCAAACTAATTTTTCAAAATCAAATCGAGCTGAAATTTAGTAGAGAAGTTTATAATGGCTCCTAATGGGACAATATGAAATTCATATTATGAATTCAAATAGGAACAATTTTCATCTGGAGGGGCCGTATTGGTGACGAGAGACCCATACAGATTTTTTAAATTGAAATTTGCTACACAGGCTCCTAATTGTTACTATTCGAATAGTATGAATTTAAATTTTAAAATTGTTTTACATGCATTTATGATAAAATTTCATGCTAACCACAACTTGGGCTATATCAAGTCTGCACTGTAGGTTTTAAAAATTTCTTTAAAAACATATACTTGGCTTCAAATTCTACAAATATTTACTATCCCTTACCCTTGACTACTTCCCACGACCAGTAGAGGTCGCCCCTATAAAAATTTCGAAATTCAACCATCCCATATGCTAATCATAAGTATTTTCGACTCCATACTAAATTTACGATGATTATATCAACTTTTAGAAATCGGTATTTGGTACCCCCTAGTGCCCTCTGGTTAATTTTAGTTCATATTTGACTCTATATTACAGTTATCAGCAATAAGGATCTCTGGTCCAAATTCCAGCTTTCCATGTTAATTTCTGAAAATCGGCGAGGGTCACCCGACAGAGTCCTTCAAGAATTTGAAGATGAATTTTTTTAAATTCCAATGTATCCTCTTCCATTACAACCCATTAGCAACCTCAACGCCAAATTTAAATTTTACGATTTTTAAAGTCGGTGTGGGTCACCCCCTCGGGTCCCTTCAGATCATAATTTTTCTATTTTGAATTCATATTCTTCCATTAGGAACCATCTGTACCAAATTTCAGCTTTCTACTGCAATTTTGATATTTTGGTGCATAGTACCCCACCCACCCAGATGACCCCCACCGGTCAACCGATTTCGCCTATCTTCGAACATAACTCCTCCTTTTACCCATACTAATTGTGTGCAAAATTTCAAGACGATCGGATTAGCTTAAAGAGAGTTATCACAAACCAGACATACGGATGTGACCCTCTGACTCGGGCTAAAATCTAAGAGTGAACACTTTATAAAAATCATTTTTATAAATAATTGACCTCTGAATATTTTTTAAAATATCCATGGTAATACCAGAAGAAAAAAAATGAGTTTGTTGACAAGTCGTTATTCGATTCACACGCTCAATTGAAAGCTCCAGAGTTTCGACTTACCTATTTCCATAGTTTGGTCGATATTTTCTTTCCGTTTCTTAGAGAACCGGCGACCACGGAGAGCGTGTGGTAGTGAGCAACATCGCGTATCGCTACAAAGAGAATTTCACAATTTCTAGAAAATTTTATTTTAAAAAGTATGCATTATTTACAATTTAGAATATGGCACTATCTTTAAGGAGGGGAGCTTGCGAGGTTGATAATAACAGATCTTGATGCCCTTTGGATATGTGGTAGGGTCCCATGAGTGTACTAAAACCCTGAAGTGGTTTGACTCCATGGCCACATTTGCGCCCGCCACACCCACTCAAAAATGCTCAAAAAACGCTTTCACTCCAGTTTTCACTCACTCAAATCCACGCCAAAAATCCAATTTTACTCGGATTTTGAAATTTCTTTCACCATTACGCTCCCAGATAGTTGCTTTCTTCAATCCAATGTCAAACTCAATTTTGCTGATGATTATTTCGCAGACATAATTTGCGTTGTTGATTACTACAACAATGCTCATTCAGAATTTTAAATTTTAAAAATACTAAAAATTTCGAAAAAATTGAGTTTGATACTGGATGGAAGAAAGCAACTATCTGGGAGTATAATGGCGAAAGAAATTTCAAAATCCGAGTAAAATTGGATTTTTGGCGTGGATTTGAGTGAGTGAAAACTGGAGTGAAAGCGTTTTTTGAGCATTTTTGAGTGGGTGTGGCGGGCGCAAATGTGGCCATGGAGTCAAACCACTTCAGGGTTTTAGTACACTCATGAGACCCTACCACATATCCAAAGGGCATCAAGATCTGTTATTATCAACCTCGCAAGCTCCCCTCCTAAGAGCAAATCGATCATGGGGTGAACTTTAGCTCATTATAATAAATTATGCAAAATTTTTATGACATCATATTAAATAGCATGTATCACTCTATCTGTGATGTCATTTGTTAATTGAGCAATGAAAAAAATGTTTTTTATAACTTTTTAAACTACTTAACTTTTACGCACAGAACTATACTATTCTATCTTTTACGTTAATGTTTTTCATATTCTATTTGTAAAATGTTATTCTCTCTGAGCGTTAAAAAGCATTGCAATTCTCATGTTGAATTGATAATGAATTTTTGATTGACGATTCTTTTATATAATAATTTCTCATTGTTTATACTTAACCTTAGCCATGATTTGTGGGTCGAAATAATAATAGAATGAAACTTATCCAGTTACTGAATTTAACATAATTTTGCATAGTTGGCCTAACCCTTCCTACATACATATTCCTGTTTTACATATTTTCAGGAATAATGATCTTATTAAAGTTATCGTTCTACATTTATAATTGTCTAATAGTATCTTATTTCGTGTTCTTTACTATCTGCACCACTAATGCATTGCCACAACCACCATTTATGATGATGGGTCCTCCAGCAGGGTTCCCAATGGGGGGTCCTCCACCTCCAGGGTTACAAATGGCTCGTCCCATGCCTCCTCCCTTAGTGCGAAAGCCTCCAGTTATACAGCAACTCGTCTTCGAGTATGGAGATATTGCTCCGGACAATTTCGTTCAAAAGGGTAAATTTCAAAATCGTCTCACTCAATTTATGAGTTTGTTCAGGAATTCTAATAAATATAATAAATAGGAATTCTAATAAATCAAAGATTTCCTGGTCCTCCAATTCGTGTCCAGTGGCTGGACACGTTGATTATCGACGTCACAAATAATCTCGACCATGGAATTGCTCTACATTTTCACGGGTTACGAAATTACGGAGAATCTTTTTCGGATGGGGTTCCTTACATAACGCAGGAGCCCATTCCTCCAGGAGGCGTGTTTCGATACACGATCAACATTGGGTATCAAACGGGCACGTTTCTGTATCATTTGCAGTCTTCAGTGGCCGATCAGATTTGGGGATTTGGACCCATCATTATTGAAGATGGACCAGAATTGCTGGCAAATCAGCCAGCCTATTATCACTTTTGGGATCATGTCCTCATATTGAGTCAGTGTTGGCACACCGCTATGTCCAAGTTGTTTAAGGTACTTAAACCGTCGAAAGTAAAGTAGGAGTGAAAGACCACTATGTACTATTATTGTTTGGTCAATAGCTTGAAGGACCCCTGAACTCCGAACAGGCCAAGTATTTCAAAGGATTTTCTTCAGAACCAGCCAGTATTTTGATAAATGGTCGATCCTACGGAAAATGGGGGAAACGAAACGGTTTGACAGAAGGGTATGAGGTAATTACAGTCCAACCTGAAAAGACGTACAGATTACGAGTAATCGGTGGTGGGATCGATTCCATCCTCACTTTCGCTATAGAAAGTCACAAAATGACAATTATGGAGGTTAGAACAAATGATTGCTCAGGATTTTCAAATTTCTGAACTTGCAAATTTATGTTCAAGGTGGACGGGACCATAATTGAACCATTGGAAGTTGACCGACTCGAAGTCAACTCTGGTCAGGTATTTTTGTTAGAAACTTCAAGTAATAAACAATCATCTGAACACATAAATCTTTACTAAATATTATTGTTTTTCATGACCAGAGATACAGCATTTTGGTGACGGTAATTTAAAACTAACAATGGTTACAAGTGGTTTCCAAAATTAATAAATACTGAATTTGCAGATGGATCAAGAGGTCGGAACGTATTTAATCACCAGCGAAATGATCCCTGGACCTGGGCCAAACAACGGGAAGGCTATTCTTCAATATGAAGGGGCCGAAGTGGACGTGGCCAAAAGGACCAAAGTTTATAAGGGAAATAGCACTTTTGAGAAATTAAAGAGATGGGAGGGCAGTAAACTTTCCCCAAATCCGGTCATTCGTCAACCTGACATTTATCCTCTGCCGAAATCTGTGGATAGAGAAATCGTCATCACGATGACCAGGAAAAAGAAGACGAAGGAGGCCAGTGATGATGACGATGATGAATCTGAGGTAATGATATGTAAAGCAGTGATGCATGAGGTAGATTGAGACCATATTGAGACTACGATTTTATAAGGAATGAGGCAAGTTGAGATTTTTCATATTCATATGTAGGATGACGACAAAAGCGATAAAAAGACGAAGAGAGATGCGTCGCCAAAATCGGATGACAGTCACGACACTTCATATTCTTATCAAGGTTAGATCATAATGAGACTTACAAAGATTGTATTAATAAATACTAATTACCAAGTTCGTCAAAAGAGTAAGATTTCTTTAACTTTTATAATCGTTAAATATTCTTTTATCAAGTGAATGGAAAGTCTTTCAAGACGGGGAAAGTCCCCCTTTTGACTCAAGTCCGGAACAGTGGGATGAACATTACAAAAGAGCCAATCATCTATGAAACGCTGACTAATCAGTCGATCCAGTTCGTGTTCCAAAATACGGCATCCGACGAAGGGATCTGCACTCAGCATGCGTTCCATTTTCACGGCCACTCATTTTATGTCGTGGGTCATGGTAAAGGGAAGTATGACGAGGACAAGGATGGCGACAAAATTGATACCAAGGTGGACTCTGGTTCACCTTTTGTTTTTCGTGACGTGGTCACTGCATATCCAGAACCTGAGGGAGATGAGGATGTCACCAAGTTGAAACCAGGTCAAGAATGTGGATGGACAGCGGTTCGAATTTGGACAGATAATCCAGGGGTATAACTACTTATAAATACTGCATATTTAGGTATAAATGTTGTATACATGATCCTAAACTATAATTTTTTTCAGGTCTGGTTATTTCATTGTCACTTGGCTTCTCATATCGCTGCGGGTGAAGGATTTGTCGTTTATTCTCATACAAAAGATGATCCTAGACTGAAACCACCTCAATCAGGATGATAATTTGACAAGCTATTTTCTGTGTAATAATTGAATGATATCTAACGTCCGGTAAAAATTGCTTATCTATATTTTGAATCTGTAACAATAAGTAGCAATAAAAATACGAATGTAATTAATCGTAGAGTGTAATTAATTATGAGAACTACTTGAAATTATTAGCAAGTCAGTTCCAGATTATTAAACTTATCGGGATCATAAAAAGCAGCTTTTAATTGACGGCCACCAAAGAATCTTCCATTTAGATCCATGAATGCTACGAATACAACAATATCAACATCATTGTTATGGATGGATGCACAGAATTCAAGTTGTAATAAAAAATATACCTTTAACTGCAGAGGTTACTTTAACAAATTCTACAAAAATTCTTATAGAATCTTCACTGTCGACATCAGGCATTTGGAACACAATAACTGCAACAACTTCTCCATATTTTTGACACTCTTCTTTCACCTCAGGTTCTAGGTCATCATCTACTTCTCCAGGGCCAACCATATTCTGTAACAAACATTTTCATGTTATATTTTACTTTTCTAGTCAATCAGACATTCGATAAACTATTTGTGTAAGAACCTGGAGAAGAACAACTTTTGAAGGATTTTTTAGCTGATCTTCGGCATACTGTTCTTGTTCTGATTTCAACTGTAAACTTGTATCAACAGGCTTATCTTCTGGTAGTTGTGGTGGTTCCATTTCGAACTCGTCATCATCTATGTACGACGATACAAAATTAGGTGTTGAAGCCTCCTTTGCGACATCTTTTTCATGGATAATTCTTCCAATTCGATGACTGGTTTTTTCAACCTGTAAAATAGATGGACATAGAGCGTATCAAACTATTACGATATTTAAAGACAAACTACTTACTTGCAGCGCAGTTGACATTCCTTGTCCCATCCTTCCCAAACCGGTCCCCTCTTTGTAACCATATTTCGCCATAATCTTAGCTGCTGCTGTAGCCCCTGATACAGGACTTGAGCCAACACCACCACTACCCAGCCCAAAACCACCCCTACTATTCCCCCCACTGCACCCAGCCATCAGTCTTCCAAAGGACGAGGGCGACTTGCCCATATCCGCAGTTGAGAAGGGTTGATCATCTTCATTATACGGAGCAACAGCATGTAGCGACGCTGGCGGTGCAATAGTGACTCCTCCAACTTTCTCCTTATTGCCTTGATCTTCCATCTCATAATTGTCATTACCACCTTCTTGAATCTCCAGCCTTCTCTTTGCCTCTTCCTCTTCAGCCTCTTTATCTCTCCTTTCTCTGAGCTCCCTGAGTGCTTTTTCGTACTCGTTTGGAAAATATGGGTCATATTCATTATCAAATTGCCATTCTGGATCGACAGCAATGAAGGAAAGTGATTTCGTAGAAACATTTCCTCTCGACTTTTTCGAGACGGATTGGTATGGGAGAATAAATGATGGACCACTTGATCCATTCCCAGAAACTGCACTGTTCGATTTTCCCTTGAATGCTATCACTGGAGCGAGCTGTTGTTGACGACGGACTTCTCGTTTTGGCTGTACAGGGAATTCAAACGGTATTTTAAAATCAAACTTTTACCATTTTTCTTATACATTTTAATTTACCTGCGGCAAAGACTTTTTCTTGAGATGAACATGGTTCTGCATAAACTTGATACCAGAAGCCCACCCTGCCACGTTGCTCGTATCGGTTTTCTTGCCCGTGGCCGTGTCGATATCGTCGTACAGCGACATTATGAACAATTAAAAAACTTGATAAGTGACTAATTTTCTTGCAATATAAAAAAATTATTTGCGAATTTTCAGGGTGAAAAGTCGAACTTATTGAATTTCGTTTCCTGTTTGCGGGGCAAAAGGGACACGAACCCCATGCAAAAGTAGGGATAGTGAGGAATTATCAAAAATATGTTCTAGGTGAGGATCGAACTCACAACCCCGGCATCACTCATACGAATACTGCATTATAAGTACCGTGCGCTGCCGATTGCGCCACTAGAACGTTCAACGTTACTCTTCCTTCGCATCGCAATATGTAGAAAACCATATAAATTAGCTGGACAAGGGACTTGTTTTGTGTGAAATGGTAGCATGATTTTACCATTTGTGGTAAATAGTAATGTGAATATTTGTAAATATGAAGCAGGTGAAGAATTATGTATTGTATAATTAATATTCATCCGCGTGTTCTCACGGTATTTTTGAACAGGGGTATTTTTGAGCTTGACTCGCCAATAATCTAGCATTTCACATACAATTAAATTTATAAAACAGTACTGTTTATAAGCTCTATTTTGATATGCAGGCATTCATATCTTAAAATTAGTTCCATTTCATTTCCTTGATTGTACTTTAATTTCTACAGTTGGCTTTTATTGCGTCCCCTCTTCTCCTCAGACGCATGGAGACAGATTTAGCATTATAAAACTTTAATTATGCAAGAGGCAAATAAAATCAGAATCCAATATCATTTCTTGATCTGAGGACATCTCCAACCGAAAGATGAACCAAATTCGAACAAAAAAATTTTGCATGCATGCATTATTCACTTCGAATAATGCCCTTGTGTACTAAATTAAGTTGAACACGTGATGGTTGCGCCGCCTGTTCTCATATTTTTATGTTTACACACATCACACATACTGTACGCACACTGACAGAATGTGGGTGAAAATTTAATTTTTAGAATTTCAAAAAAGTAGAGCAATTATATTCTAAAGTATTGTTGCTATTAAACGTTCCCCATTGTTAACTCGCAATTACTTTAGTGAATTATAACCGTAAAGGTCTCAGGAGTGAAGCTGAAGGACAAAAGATGTTGAACCGTGATTTCTTCCACGTCATCTTTAGTCATCTCGGATGATTTAATTGCGGATTAATCGGGTATATTACTTTAATTAATTTATATGCTAATTTTAATATGGTATTGGGTATCATAAGAGTAATAGTTGTTTGTCTTTTTGCAGGGTGTCCAAAATCCCTGTACGCGTGTGCTGTGATTTGTGACATGACCCAAAAATTACATTCTGTCAACCATCATAAATCATGAGTTGGTTCCAGTCTACAAATATTGCATCCTTGGCAAAAACTGCTTTTAAGGAGGCACAAAAGACAATCGATAAGGCATTGGAGATAAGTGAAGTTGCGGAACCTGATGGATCTTCCTTATCATCTTCAACGTCAGAGAAAGTTGCCGCTGTGACAGGTATGACATATGACCGTAACTATGTTAGTTTGATAAATTGGTAATTATCTATGTGAATATTTAAAACAGAAGCTGCAAGTGACTTTTTCGCATCATGGGGAGTGGGTGCTGCAAAGAAAGCATCATTGAAATCTGCGACGGTTGAAGATTTAGACTCGTCATTATCAATCACAGATCAACCTGGTAAAATTAGTGCAACACCGGCGCAACATAAAAGATCCCAGTCTCTCGAAGTGTCAAAGTTGAGCAGTAATAAGGGCAGTGGTAGTAGTAACCAAAGCGAATCGTTGGTCACGGATATTCCGGTGACTTTGATACCACACCCACAAGTAGAAGAAATTATCGTACCACCACCGGAATCAGAATCTTCTTCCTCCTCCTTTAACCATCTTCATCATCAACGTTCCTTAAGTGATACAATATTTAATTTAACCAGTGATTTTCATGAGTCTGTCCAAATCCTTGATGAACCAGAAGAGAATAAAGACATCCCCACGCCCACACCTACTACAGCTACCACCACTGACCCCAATAGTACCACTAGTATTTTAGAAAGTGAAAGCAGGACGACACTTGTTTCGCAACAACCTGATAATAATAGTAGTGTTGGTAATCCGACAACGTCGGAAAATGAAGAACAAGAAGAGACTTTAACCACAGTTGATTTAAATTCTCCATCCACGACTACCACCAATACCACCACAGCAATACACGACTTGTCTTCATCCTGGGGTTATCAAAATTCAGCAACGATCAACTCTTCTTTAAGCAATAATGTTCTATTCAAAAATGATACAACCACCACCACTACTACTGGATTTGACAGCAGCAGTTGGAGTTGGACCGACGGGGCTGAAGAAAATGAATCAAATACAATGTCCCGGTTTGAAGATGTCGAACTTCCGGATAATGAAAACATTGAGAATAACACTTCTTTGTTATTATTAAATATCGATCCTCCGCAAGAACAACCTGCCCTGGATTCTGAGACGGCTCAGAGTCCAAATCAGGAAAATTCATCACTAATAGATCTTCAAAATGATGAGACCGATGAAAGCCAATTGGAGTCTTCCTCCGGGACAGTCTTGTTCGACACTTCTGCTGCGACAACGACGACAACCACGACCGAGAGCAATGATAATATTAATGACCCTGATATTGATGGTGATGATAAAACCTCAAAGCCGTGTAGTCCCCCAGCCAGTTCAATTTCTGCTATAGACTCTCCCCGGTCATCGTCGCCACCTATGCACAACGATGACCAAGAAGTCGATAGTCGAAGAGGAAGTCCAGAAGGAAACAATTTTGAAATGTTGTCTCATCATCATCATCAACATACTTCTTCTAAATTAGAGTGTCATCCTGGTCCGGATTTTCTTCCTGAAAGCAGTAGGAGTAGTAGCATAGTGGTTGTATCTTCAGCAAGGGCGTCTTCCGGTGGATCTGGGTCAACAGCGAGTACGGGATCTGGTGATATGCATCGAGACATTGTTGATGGGCCGACAGGATATGAACGGGTCGATTTTCCTTCATCGACTCAATCTTCTGACCCAACGTCGCCGGAATTTATTAAGTCGAAACACAGAAAAGGTCCATCTTCTGCCTCTTCTTCCGACATTGAGGTCATACTGCTTTCATCCGAATATTCTCGTGTTTCACAGATTGATGATCGTAAGCGCTCACGAATTTATAATCAAACCAGCTTATTAATTAATAATTATCCACTTTGTCTTGTATTATTAGAGGTGAAGTTGGTCCCAATTGTATCGTCAATTCATCAACAAACGTCGATTGACTTTCAAGACCAAGGAACGCAGACTGAAGAAGAAATCAACCAAAACCAAGCTACTCTTGCTGCCAACGAAATCCCAAATCGCATGAACACTGAAAGCATCTCAGAAAAGGATCAAATGATTAGCGAATTGCGAGAAGAAGGAGAAAAGCTATCAAAGAAGCAATTTGAACTAACGCAAGTCATAAAGAAACTTCGTGCCAAAGAGAAAGAAATTGAAAACACTGTTAAAACCCTAAAAGGCGAAATTGCTGGAAAAAATGTGGAGAATGATCGGCTAACGTAAGTAAATACTCTTTATATTTTCTCATAATTTGTCATAATTATGAGAAAATCCCACTACGAAAACAATATTAGGTAGCGGGAGGTGATAATTATTATATTGATATTTTTAGGAAGAGTTTCATCAATAAAGAATCCGCTGAGAAAATGTTGAGTGATCAAGTTCAAAAATTAACTGCAGAAAAGAGAACGCTTGACTTGAAAATTGAACAAATACATTCCGAATTGGAAGATGCGAAAGAAAATTGTTCCACAATGAAAGCGTCGGTTGAGGATGCTTCTGTGTAATTACAAGATATACGAAACAAATTCTATGATTATTAATCATGATAGTAATGCGAATTTTGAATTTGAAATTACAGTGAAATTCTGGAATTAAAGAATGCTATTTCCTCCGCCCAACGAGACTCGACTGAACTGGACAATTTGACACGAGAAAAGTCTGACCTAATGTCTAGAAACGATTCCCTTCAAAAGGAACAGGATAATTTGCGGTCCACCATTAATTCCAACCAAGGCAAAGCATCCAAAAGGGAAACTGAACTTCAGAATCAAATTGCTATCCAAACTAGAAAAGTTCACGAGTTAGAAAATCAACTGGCTGACGTCTCAACTGAAGTAGCAGACACCACGATGCCACTGTCACTTGAAATAGAAAAACTTCAAATGGAACTAAAGCACTCTCAGGCCAGTTCTGAGAAAAGAGAAAGCTTTCTTTCTTCCCAAGTCATGAATTTAGAGTCAAAATGGAAAAGTTCTGCCGAGAAGGAGAGAGCACTAAAGGATCAAGTTGCAACACAGGAAGGGACAATTTCATTACTAGAGAAAAAGATTCAAGAATTTGAAGTTGAAAATCGTAACCTAAAAAGAGACGCTTCATTCCGGGAAGAAAATGAACATAAGGGAACCCAAGAGAAACTGGCTAAAATTTCCAAACTGGAAGCACAGATGGAAAAATTTACGACAGAAATAGAAAGACTGAACCAAGAAAATGAACAGCTAGGATTAGAACTAAAATCTGAAAAAGCATCTTTGGAACAAGAACGCAAAAGGAATCAAAACTTGCTCGAACAGTCAGCGTCTTCTACTAGTGGCGGCGGTGTTAGAAATATAAATCAACATAAAATTAGTACAGTTTCTAATCCAGCCACAAATAATGGCAACCTTGTGATAAAATCTGGCGAAAATTCTCCTAGTTGTAATTCCGTTACGAGTGAGGCTTCCTATTTGGATGAAGTATTTGATCCTCATGGTCAAATACTTGGACATCGAGGAGGTACGATCACGCCTCGCTCATATTATGACTCGTATTCATCTACAGGACTGCTGGAACACTTGCAAAGTCAATTGAGACTTCGGGAAACTGAGGTCATACAATTTCAAGATGAAATTCAAAAGAATGAGAAAATTAGAAAAAGCTTGAATGACGAAATTGCCAAACTTACCATGAGAAACCATGAATTCCAAATGGAAGCTGAGAGGCTTTTAGAGCTTGAACCAAAATTAAGGGAACTTGATACAAATTACAACGCATTGCTTCAGGTGAGCCTACTATAATTATTACAAAATAGGTTTTGTTATAATAATATTATTAAGACGGAAAGTAATTATTACTTATTTTTTTAGTTGTATGGTGAAAAAGTCGAGGAAGCCGACGAACTGAGGTTGGACCTTCAAGATGTCAAAGACATGTATAAGACTCAAGTAAGTAATTTGACCCATTTATGAACATTATATGAGCCACTTCTGAATTTAAATTGTTTTGTAATTTTTTCTAGATTGAGCAACTATTGAAGAGATAGAGTCAAGATCGGGGTCAAATCTATTCAGCTTTTTTCTATCCTAATTTGTTTGTACATATATTATGCATATTACCAACTAATTATTAAGTAAGGTGCTACTCTCTGCTACTCTTTGGATAAGTTAATACAGCAAAAGTCAATATTATACTAGTGCAGTAACTATTATTATTACTATATTATTATGATGATTACAATATATCGTACGCATAATGTTTGGATATTTTAATGAGTGGAAAGGAGAGGTGCCTATTACATTTATTATTATCATGATACCTACACGGTGTAGGCTACACCTATTTTATTGAGTTAGTTAGAACCAGACTTTTAATAATGAGAACGTTATAAACAGGAAGAGTCAAAGAAAAACAAGTGGAAATCTTCTGTCCATTTTATGTTTCAAATAGTTTTATTTATACTTGTTGGAACGATGATTGCAATATTAAACTAAAAATTATACGCATACATTCGTCATTGTTTAGCTGCATTCGTTAAAAACGTATCAATCTGATCTTCATCCTTCAACCCGACAAACTTATCTAAGACTTTGCCATCTTTGATTAAAAGCACAGAAGGAACTGCCCCCACATTGTATTCCATTGCGACATCTGGTAACTCGTCAATATCCACTTTCGCCATGTCCACCTTGTCGTTGTAGTTGACCATTTGTTTTTCCATTCTTGGCATAAGCATTTTACATGGTCCGCACCACCTGAAATAGTAAAATCAACAAAAGCAATTGAGTCATTAAAACTGCTAATTAAAAATCGCCTTACACTTACGTTGCATGAAATTCGACAACAACCGGTCTCTTGCTACCCACAACTTTATCCTGAAAATCTTTCTCATCCTGTACAGTAAAGATGTCCCGAGCTGACCACGTTGTCTGAATGTTCCTCTTCAAAACGTGCCTGCTTATCTTTGTCGAAACTGTGGGCGACTGGGAGAAATATCGCATTCCCAAGTTGCAAAGTAATCTGGAAGTCATTCTTTCTCCAGAATTTCCCAATTTCTGCAAAAAATGTTAAACTTACTTTATTGTTAAAATAATTAAAAACAATTATAATTTAGACCGACTTACCACCAGAAATTTATTTCAAACAATTAAAAAAATAGAAATAATACGACGTCGTAAAAAAAATTTTGAACTTTGACTTGATCGAAGTGTGAAATGATGAAACCTTCTTGGTGAGAACTCCCGCATGAAAATTGAGAAAGCGGGACGAGGTTTCAGCCGACTGCTGCTGGATTGTCAACATTCAACGTTCAACATTTCAAAGATGAATTGCTCAGAATTTTTTAAATTTCAATTGCAATTATTTTTTAAATGTATTGTTGCACGGCTGAAATAATTACGAGCTAGTCGTTGTGAGGAACATTGTGGGAAAGTTGCAATTTTTAGATCTGAGGTATCGTCTGCCTCTTTTTCAAGGGGGATAAAAATTTTATCATAAAATGGTCAAGACAAGAAGTAGAACGGGTAGCGTTACACTTGTTGAGGAAGACATCGGTCATGAAAACGGTCATGAACCCATTAACGAAGAAGATGTGGTGTTGGTAGAGGAATCCAACTCAAATACTCCAAGTTCTTCATCGGCGGCATCAACATCATTCAATGATAAGAGCTTTAAGGTGGATAAGAGGAAAACTTCGGTCGAGAACAGTAAAAAGAGAAAATCGAGTCCCAAGAAGAAAGGGGGGAATGGAAATGGAACGATTCTGGCATATTTCAAAGGTGAGATTGTTTAATGCTATAAAAAAAGAACTAGATCAATAACTATGAATTACATACATGATGAAGAAAATAACAATTTGACCCTGCCGGTAACCGGAAGTGTCAGAATTTTGTATATAGAAACGTTTGAGACGACGGTTGAGCTGGATCTTTATTGAGTCTGGTTCCCTTTGTTTCCGTCACTTGATGCATATTTTTGGCACGCCAGTTTATAGCAACACATGATTTTCACACTTTGATCGCTGATAAGAATTATTCATACAGAAAGAGGTGTTAAAAATTTGACATGTAATGATCCCAAGTTCCTTATTTTTGCTCAGGCTCAAATACCATTTCAAAGTCCCCAAAATCTGACGAAGATTCAGCTTCATCCGACTCTGAAGAGAAAGAACCAAAGAAAAAGCTAAAGATTGATCCAAAGACGAGAGAATTTCTAGATTCTGGCGTACCAGACGTTGTTATTCGACGGCAACAGCTAATCAATCAAAAAAAGTCCACAAGCCCAGTGGTGACGGTATCGGATGTCGACGATGAGGGCGAAGATTGTATGACTCCTCCCAAGCCGAAGCAGAAGCCAAAACGAGGCCGTCCGCCTAAAAAAGTCTCATCAGCTGCCGTTACAATTTCATCTACGAAAAAGAAGACAGCTAAGAAAGGTTTGATAAAGTCAATTTATGCTCAAGACCCCTGTTCGTTTTCTTATTCTGACCCTTTTCTAATAGAGGAACAAAAGGAGGATGTGATAGAAGTTGAGGAGCAACTAGATGACGAAGACTCTATTTGCATCCCAGATCCAACTCCAACCCCTGAAGATAATGATGACGATGATTTCAAGCCGAGGAGATCATTGAGATCTCGAACAACTGTGTCTTACCGTCAAGGTTTTATTTATAATTTTAATTATACCCTGTCCTGTGAGCACTTTATTAAATTTTGCACTGCTGTTATTTGTAGTGAGAACGCCTTCGAACTCCTCTTGTTCACCTTCTCCAGCACCGTCTTCTCGGAAGAAGAAAGACAATAAGAAAACAATGGATCAAAGAACAAAGGAATTTTTAAAGTCTGGAATACCCGACGTTGTTGCAGCTCGGTCAAAGAAGGTCAAAGAAAATGGAGTTGCGACCGATTCAGGAAATAAACGTAAATCAAAGTCACGGAAAAAAGCAGGGAGCATCAAATCGTACTTCATAGGTAGGTGTATATATATACTTCGTGGGACTTGACTAGTTTGAACTAATTAATTTACAATAATTATTTTATGCATAGACGACTCTAGTTCTTCCTCTTCCTCCGATAGCGATGCTCCTAAGGTTGAACCTAGGAAAGTGTTGGATCCCATGACGCGGGCCTTTTTAGACTCTGGTGTTCCGGAAGTTGTGGTCAAAGCTCAGAAATTTGTCGAGCTAAAGAAAGTTGAGGATGATTATCTCAGTTTGGTTGGATTTTTTCCAAAACTGCACCATGTACCAGAGACGACTAGTGATAATTGCACAGAATCATCGAATCCAGAGCTACTGCCTGGGGTTGCTCTCACCCACCAAGGGAATGATGACGATTTACTGGAGGATAATAATTTGTTAGTAACGTCAATTGCAAATTATTTTCTTGATAATAACTGCGTATTGATTCCACGACCAACTCAACACCGACATAAAATCTGTTGTGGGTCACCTAATTTATTATTGACTGATGAACTACTTGGAGTTGCAAATGCCAACCCAATCCCGTGGGTAGAAGAGTGCAAAGGTTCTTTCGGTTTGAAAGACTTGTGCTGCAACAAGGAAGCTCTTAGTAAATTAACCGTTTGGCTCAAGCAGTGGAAGTCAGATATCAAGGACGATGGTGGAACTAGCAGAAAGATTGAAGTCAAGAAGAAACGGGGACGGGACTCTGATGACGATTTTGTTACGAGTAGTGAAGAGGATGAAGATTTGAAAAAGAAGAGTGTCCTTCTATGTGGGCCACCAGGATGTGGAAAGACCAGTGCAGTTTATGCTGCTGCCAAACATTATGGTTTTCATGTAATCTAAAATTACAAATTATCTGTCAACACATTATTAATATTTTTATGTTGTGAATTATATGGTTTCGTATGAATACACATATATAGGTCGTTGAAGTCAATTTTTCAAGCCGACGTCCCGGAAAAGACGTCATCCAGCGTGTAGAGGAAGCTGTTCTCTCTCATCGACTCGAATCCACCCAAAACTGTCTCCTGTTATTCGAAGATATTGATTTAGTTGACCCTAAAGAAGATGAAGGCTTTCACTCCGCCGTTGCCCAATTAATAACCACTGCAGTGCGTCCAATTGCAATGACAACGTCGTGTTTAGGCCAGCTCTCACTGGATCCCAAACTCGAAAAGAAAGACCCTCTATTTATCAACTTTACTCTCCCAACTCCATCGCAAATCGTACGTAAAGTTTTGTGTCCAATGATCCTTAGTCGGGCATCCATATTCGCTTTAATGGATGATGACGAAAGGGAAAGTCAAAAGGATTCCGAGATTTCTGCTAAACTTGCTGCACTGCTCGATACAATTTGTCGCCACGGGGGGAACGATGTTCGCCAAGTTATCAACCAAACTCAGTTTCTTTTTACATTCAGTGATATCTATAATTCAGTAACGTCCACCGATATTCATCAACATTCCTCCAAGTCTGAGCTTCTGTTAGATCTTGATTTTATCCGCCCTTCAATGAATGAATCGAATATTTATTACTCTACCAATTGTAATGTTAATAAGATGACTGAAGACTGTGAAGACGATGATGATATGAGACTCTCAGTGAAAGCACGAAATAAGCTGGCTCTAAAGAAACTCGACTCTGTTGCAGAAATGTTAACCTTTGCCTGTGATTTGGATGCATCATCCAAAAACTTGATGACTTCACTACCCGAGGATGAATTGACACGTTTAAAGCGCAACTATTTAGATCCGAACCTCTGTACCGCATATTTCGCCTGCTGTGAGTCTGGAGTCAATCCCAACCTCGCACAATCCATCATTATGGACAGCAACGTGGAGATAGAAAATAATGAAAAGGGGTACAAACTCTTTGACGAAATTGGCGAATATTGCGACAACATTTATAGCGATGGTGGCTGGGAGAGTGCCGCTTATGTGAGAACAATTATAAAGAAGAACATGATGGATTCCGTTGGCCGCTTGGCGAAACGGAACGGTCGTGTCACGTCTTACTTTAATCGACTTGATCGCTCCTTCACGGACAGAATTTGTCAAAGCTTCGGATTCGATAAAGAACTTGACGTGGTCAAAAATGTTATGAAAAATGTATGCTAAATATTCTAACAATTAATGTCATAAAATTTTAGGAATTTAGAACAATGAATTAATACTTGCACATAAACTTGGCAAAATGAAAATTATGCAAATATTTGTTAGTAAATTTGTATTGTTGATTTGGGTTTGCATTAAAAACATTTAATTAATAATAATAAATTCGGGACACCAGAAGAGATATGACATAAATATTTTATATCCTTTCTTAGTATCTCATCAAATTCCAACTTTCACTCATCTCAGTCGAGTAGTTGACATGCATGCATAAATCCCATCCCAATCCCGTCGTCTCTATCATTTCTTTGAAATATGATGACGAGCCTGCCTGGCTGGCGAGATTCATCATGAAAATATATCCAACTTTTTCTGCATGGGTGAATATTCTGACATGGTCTCTTCTTCTCTCCTCTGTAGCAAGTTGGTTGATGGCACAGTCCAGAGAAGAGTGGAGACTTTCCTCTTGTTCCACTTTCTACCTGCTGAATTTGGTTTTCAGCAGAACTGAATTCGCAATTCTCTAAGCTTCCGAGAAGCGAGAGCTGGAGAGAACTCAAGTGAAAGCAGATTGAATTGAAAGCATCGAAGGAAAAGTAGCAAGCGGACCAGGGACCAGCAGCGTTCAGAAGAGTTGGTTCATTTCATTCCATTCGTGGTATGCTGTCGTCCCATCTACTGCTTTCTCCTCTTTTGTACGATACGATAGTCGACTCTTTTGGGATGGTTGTTCTTCAGTTGGCAACTTTTCAGTCCATGCCCGGTCGGTAGTCGTAGTCAGTCTGCTTCTGGATAGTCAAGCTACTTTCTCTCTCTCTCACTTGTTTATAAAAGTGGCAGGCTGATTCGGAAATGCGGGTAGTAGTCAGCCATCCAAGTGGGATATTCTTTCTCTCTCCACCTCACATCTGATAACCGGACTCTCTCTTCTCTCGTTCATTCATATCTTTCTCTCTCCTCAGTCTCTCTGTCTTCTTTATTTCCCCGTTTTTGGTGAAAGTAGAAAATAATTATTTTTTCGAGAGAGCAAAACAACAAACCCTGGACCACCTCGAGGGCAGGTGGGTGGGTGGATGGTCGATCTAATTAAGAATCAACCACTTTAAATATATCAGCATCCTCCTCTTGAAATATTTACATAGGGAAACTTTTGTGACGACGTACATACAATCCGATTTTTCCATCCAAGTTTTAATCACTGATTTGATCTCTTGGCCAAATTTTATACAAAAGTTTGTCTTTCCTTGAATGACTGCGAAGAAGAAGAAGTAGATAAAATTTGACATCGACACAAACGCGGAGAAAGCAGCAGAAGTACCAAGCAAAGCAAACCACGACCAAACCAACCAGGTAAATAAATATCGATCTTTGCCGATTTATACGATAGCATCTCGTTCTCCTTAATACGTGTGCCACTATTATGTACATACCACACGGTGTGTATAACAAACAAGGAGGATATCGGAAGAATGCATGCATGTAGATTCCTTTAAACTTTGTAAGTTTTAGTGGAGTCTGTAAGCCAGGCCAGACCAAGGGAATCGTATTAAATGCACGATTGGGGATTTGGCCCGTATAATAAAAGAGTAATCCATGTCGTAAAATAACGTGGGCGCCTATACATAATCTAATCGCGACACGATTTACATTTCTAATTAACCAAGAATATATACATGTATTTTCCGCTTTAATTAGAGCAGTGTCAGTATGAGTCATATCCTGCTTGAGAGAAAGTCATACCATGTCATTCCATACCCACTACTTAAATTAAATACTGTATTTGTTTGTACACAATCAGACAAATGACCGTATCCTGTCAACAGTCGATGGCTGTCATGTCATTCCATTTCATGGCTGGGAGAAGTCAATAAAGTATTCCATCAAAGAAAGAGAAGAGGCAATGTAAAAGCATCCAATTTGGTGTATACAACGTTGTCAAGCCTCTGCTTTCACCATGTGAGGCATACAAAAGTAATCCACAATTACGCCACCCATTCCATTACGCTAAATGGTTCAAAGGTTGAAATAGAGAGAAAGTAATTCTCATCTCGTCTTCTTTTTCGTACCTTATAAATGCCACTTGAATCGCACTTTGTGCAGATTTCCACTCCAACTAATGGACAAAACGGCCTAAAGCTATTGTCAGTCAGGTACTACTATGTACTTGGCTTGATCTGTAAAAAGCAGGCTGAAAGTACAGCTCTCTCTCTGAAAGTACGAGAAAATTTGGTTCGAAATGAAAACAACACTCTGTTTCGGAGAGTCGTTGGAATAAAAAGTAAATACGTCCATGCTGAATAAATACATTTATAAAACTCTAGATACTTGTCGTAATAATAGTAAAATTGAAGGGCTCTCGTCTCGCTTTTTCTCGCTTTTTCTCTCTGGCAGGAAGATTGAAGTTTATTGAATTTCTGGAAACAAACCTTGTTTTTTCTACCTCCGACTTTAAATAATATGTATTCCTGCTAAAATTCCTGTTACTGCTGCGACGCACAAAAGGAGAAAGTCCTTTGTCTTCATAAATAAATCAAGCCCCGTACGTGTCAGTCTTCCTGTTACACTAAAACGGAATCCATTACTCTGCTCTCTGAATAATATTAACGCGACTGTATAAGACATTTTCCATGCCAGGCCGTACTAATACTGCAATGAAGTAGAAAGTGTCACGCTTTGGGATCAACAAAGCAATGAAATGAACCATTAGTTACACTACCACCAACACCACTCGTATTCTTCTCTCCTTTATTACAGGGTATGTATCACTCCCAATAATTGAGACATGCTCACCAATTAAGTATCATCTCCTCTTACTACCCTTGTTGCTTTCTCTGAGGAATCGTAAATGCATTGTGGTGTGGCTACATAGAACGAGCTATGCATAGCTTTTGTAAGGCTGGGATGACGCGGATGGAATAGCAAACATGAAATGAATCAACAATTCTGAATGAAACGTGAAACACGATTGATTTTGGGTGATTGGGTTACACACAAAATACAAGATTTCCGCTGGAACGTATAATAATGAATAATTTAGAACTACTCGGACTCAAAGGAGAAAGCGAACAATCCTTTCTTGATCAGTTGGACGTTGTAATTGAAAATAAGTGGATCTCATTTAACATTTCTGCAACCCAGCCGTGGTGAAAGTTGGTTTGATAGAGAGGAAGGGCGAATTTTAGCCGGTTGTTCATGCGAAACTTAAGCTTTCTCTGATATATAATTCCCTTTTCGTGATATTATTGCACCCACACGTCACATCAAGTCAGATAGGATCAAGTAAGGGAGGATCAAGTCAGATAGCATGAGGATGAGGATAAGTCGCACAGAATTACAAATTGGTTTCTCTCCTGAACTTGTGACTTTTCCGAGTCAGAGTGGAATTTCATTTCATTCCACGCCCCGATTTATTTCCAAGAGTGAAAGTTGAGCTGATTTTGATTGCCCATGTTCCCCTACAACCAAACCAAACCACCAACGAGACTAGTCAAACTAACTTTTACTTGGGAGCTACGCTGTCGTATACTCCTTTTACTTACTTTATTACACGACTATTTTATATATATTTACGTGGTAAGCCGGGATTCGTGCGGTGGATTGGGCTACTTTTCTTGTTTTTTATTATTATTCTGGGGGACGCGGGCATAAAAAGTATGAGATGAAGGTAAATAAACAACTTTCTCCACGTCGTCAATCTTTCCAAGGGTGTTCATGTTCGTGTGCATGCATGTAGGGCTTGATTTTGGATGTATGGGTGGTCGTATTACTTAGTTGTTTCAACTTTGTTGTCAACTATAACCGACTCGACTTTCTGAAGTGTCTTTCTCTCTCCAAGTAAGTGCCGCTATTGTTGTTGTTGTTGTCGTCGTGGTGGATTGGTTTTGCTTTTACCGTCGTGTCATGCAAACGACAACGATGACAGACAATCCATAATACCAACAGGCAGGAGTTTTGAGCCTGAGTGAAAGCCATGCATATCTCTCCTTCAGCCCAATATTATCAAGCCTGACTGATAAATACGTATCGATTATTTATTATGTATTCCTAAACTCTATATTCTTCACACGCTGGTCTGGTTCGCTATTCTTATATTGTTACGAGATAATGCATCGCTGTGTATCTGTCAGCCTATCACATTCCTAAATATTTCATGCTTCTTATTCACTTGAACGTCACCCTAAATCCTGGAGATGTTTAGATACTTATCTGAATTCTGAGCCTGGATGGGTGTCCTGTCAAGTATCATTATGACGATGACGGTGATAATGGAAAATAATTCTGAGCTGAATAAATCCCATCGCATTATACGATGTCACCTTCATATTACTTTGAATGTATGGCACTCGAAGAATAATAATTATATGGGTTTGTTAGAAATGAAAAGAAAACTGGTGCACAAAAGAAAAGTTTATGGTTCAGCATTCAATCCACTACTAACAATCAATTCAATCCCCAGGAGTAATTGTTCTCTCAGATCCCATTGAAAATAATTGGATGCCTGCTTCTTTCTAAAGACAGTTTTAATGATTACAGAGAATCTCCGGCGAAAAGAGTACAACTTTCTCTTCCTTCCTTTCATGAAATCGGACTTACAAATCTTATCAAAGAAATCATAGCATAACGAGAATTACATTAGAAGAAGGACGAGCAGCGGAGAGGAAACTTGTTCTCGAATTGGATCATGAAATTCTTCTCCCCACCGGCAACATGAGCGTTCCCGGTGGCGGTGAAAGTACTGCTACGACGGATTTGTCCTCGTCCCCCTCAAATCCGCCAGAAGGTCGTGGCAGCATCCCAGGAATAATGCTGCCACCATCGTCGTCCTCCACGCAGCAGTACGTCCTCCGCAGTGGGCGGTACGTGGGGCGTGGCGGGGAGGTGAAAGTGAAGAGAAAGTGCGTCGAGGTGGCCTGCCAGCCAAGCGTTGTCTTCCTCTTGGCGACGGTTTGCATGGTAAGGAAATTAATTGGTGGTACGACAAATATGTGACCGACATTTATGTAAACGACAAATGTGCAAGAAATAAGATTTCATCTATATATATTTCGGATTAGTCAATCATATTTTCAAAACGGTATATTTAAACAGTGAAAATCTCAGAAAAAATAAAAATCCCAACAAAAACATCAAGCATGCAAACTACTTGTCCGACAGCTTTAATTAATTTTACCCTCCCAACTCATATAAACCTAATTTACATTAAATTTTCATTTTCCCACACACCATACATACAATTACTAATAGTTAACTTAATTATTAGACCGCGTTGGCCAGCGTGCTCCTTTACTACGCGCTGAACGGTCACTACTGGGAAATGCTGAACTACGACGTTGACAAGGTGAACGAAATCGTGGCCAATAACAGCACCTATCTCAGCGTGAAATGGCTCTTTAACGACCGAGTACCCGTCATCACGTACGAGAGTGGATACACTACCCCCGACCCACCAAAGTATCTCCTCCCTCTGCATTCTGGCGTCTGGATATCTTGCATTGATCTTGAGGGTGAGTGAGTATTTTACTTTTCTAGATAAAGTGGACGATTAGAAGAGAAAATAGTTTTTTTTCTTCGGGGGTGGACGTAAGATTCGCCACGATACATATTTTATGATAAGAATGATGACGTCTAAAGAAAAATTGAGAAAGGCATAAAAAACTTATCCTTTACTTTCCAAACAAATAAGTGAACTGACCAAGAGCCGAGTTAGTGGAGGAGAAAGTTTGCAGTCCAGTCCAACCGAGGCTCATTTGTTTTCCAACTTTTTTTTTGTTCCTTATGGAGAAATTACTTAGCTGGTTGTTGTTTTCCTTCCTTCTATTTCTGTACACAGTTGTTGAATTGAGTCGTTGTTTTGTGAGTGAGTATGACGTATTAAATGTCTAAAGGAGAAAAAATGAAGACCGGCAGTTGGGTAAGATCTGTAATAATAAATGTCGCAAATGGATGATGTCCAAAATACACTGGGGAAAATATATCAACTTTTTCTCTCTCTCTCTCTTCGACTTTCTCCTGTTGCTTTTTTGTGAAAGAAAATGTTCAATGTTGCGACAGTTGAAGGATTTCTATTTATTTTCTCCTTCGCATTGCTCAACCCACTTTATTTCGTGTTCATTTATTCCTCGTCCTGTTCCTTTCTGGTGAAAAGACTTTTGTCACGACGAAATGAGACGGAGAAAGGAGAGAATAAAAGACGTCGTGTCTTTCTGTCGAGGAGCTAATTGAGTTAGTGAAAGGCGAGAGAAAGTCGTGGCAGATGTGACAATACTGAAATTGGGGCAGAATGAGAATAATAATGCAAACGAGAACATATAGGCTTCTGTCTGGACTAGTCGTTCTTCTAGCCTTTGCAATAATCATTCCCTTCTTCTGAAGTCTGCTCAGTAGTCTGACTCAATTTTGTCCGGATGGTTGGTGCAAGTCGGAGTGTAATGTAATGTAATTTTCTGTCCTATTTACAGAGAAGGACTTCAAGGACTTGCAACAGTTGGGTTATCAGAAGGCGAACAAGTGTGTAGATCACTTAGATCCGTACAAGGATATTCCAAAGTCGACCGAAGCACGGGCTTCCTGGCAACACAGTGAGTCTCCTCCTTTCAACTTTAACATAATGGTTTCATGTTCTTCACTTAAATTAGTTTATGAGAGAAAAGTAGCAGCAGCCCAAGTTTTCAGAGAGAGAGAGAAGAGAACTTAACTTTCTCCGAAAATTATTTAGACTTGAAAATCTTATTTATTTAACAATTTAGTTCAAGGTTTTGTACAAAGATTTGCACGTCAAATAAATTCAGTGTGGAAATTACATTCGAATTCAAATTTTGACCAGAAAAGATGTGATATATACAGTATGTAAATGGTATATTATTCAAGTATGTGGATAGAAAGAGACCCCTTTCATGTGGCGTTATTCATCCATTACTTCATTAATATGGCGTGTGGCGTGGGAAGGTATTTTAGTATGAAATGGAAACCAGACCACACACAGAACGAGTTTTGCGGTTCTCTGGAAAAGCGAGATATCCGAAAGGATAATAATATATTCTGGTTGATCTCTCACTCTTTCTCTCTCTTCGCCTTTAAACAGTTTAATTAAACTAACAGCATACATACTTTGCGGTTGAATATTTTATGAGCCGAATTTACAGTGTTATTATCCCAAAGTGAAAGTGGTCCATGATCTCTTTCTTTCTCTCTCTCTTGTACGAAGACATTTCAATTATCCCAACTTATATTTTATACGGCTTAAATTAAACCACGCTCGAAGCAGTAAGATCACATCACAGGCAGACTTAAAATGATCTCCTATTTCGCAGAGTATAAATGAATAATTATTTTATTAATCAATTTTCTTCTAGGGATGCAGAATTTAGCGATTGCCTGCGCAATGGTGTGTCTCATCCTGCTCGGATCGGCCATCGTGGTCGGATTATTTGGCGTGTGTCGCCCCCAGATTAGGTAAAATTAAGTTTATCATGTTTAAAGTCATGTTTACAGTGGGGGTAAAATATCAATCGGTTATATTTTATCGTTTATAGCGCTGTTCTCGTAACGGGGGTTATCTACGTGTTATCGGCCACTTTCGCCCTATTCACTCTCACGATTGTCCATTTCAAGCACAAAAATAGGAATGATTGCGAACCTCTTGACGTATGGACAAGGCTGATTCCGGATTTGGCGAGCAGTAATGAGTTCCGATCTGCGAGACGTAAGTAAGATATACTTTATTCAAACAACAGCACAAATTATTATCAAATGTGGTAAAGAGAAAACAACCTTGAACAAATGGTAAAAACAGGTTTTAAAACGGTAAGAAACAATTTTTAAGGGGGGTTACGAAAGTTTAGCAATAACAGTTTTTAAGAACATTATCCTACTTAACAAACTTCCAAATGATATTCCCATCATTAATTGGAATCACCGTTGGGATTTCTACTTCTAAAACTTCACCATATAAGTATCCGAATACATCATCAAACATAGATTTTGAAAACGAATCATCGAAATGAGGAAACTTTTGGCATAAAAATATAATTTCATGGCCATTGACTTTCAAACCGAGCATGTGGGCGAGTATTGACGCCATGTGACCAAGTGTTTCGATCCGCTGCGCTGGTTCCTTCATTTCATCATGAATAATTTTCTCCTCCTTCGTCAACCGGGTGTAACTTCTATTTTCCTCGATGACGCCAGCCTGGGGATGAGCAAATTGGTAGATCCTTTTGATATGGCTTTTGTCGAAATCAGACAGCCCTGTCTTCTTGGCTCTCGAGTGTCCTCCTGATCCGTCACCTGTTCTTTTCACCATACTCCACTTTACGCCAGAGTACATTTCACCCGTGTTAGTGTCCCTTGCGAGGTAGGAGCTCGGTAGATTTGGATAGGAGATTGTTGGAAGAAGAGACTTCGGCAGGACGGTGGTGGACTTCTTTTCTCCAGTAACCTTGAAACGGAAATCGTTGATTTCAAACACTCGTCGCAACTTCTCAAAAAAATCCTTTTGACATCCATCATTGTTGCGGAATGTAATCTCTTGGTTGATTAACTTGACTCTGTTATTATCACCACAAACTGAGTTGTATAACATTATCATCATACTCAGTGCGACCTAAATCAATAGAACTTCATTAGATTATGACAATATGATTATTTAACAACATTTATGTATACCATATTGTGATGATTTCCCTCTCCTGCTAGTATGTTCTCTGTGGAGTAAATCAATTTGGCGAATGACCGAAGAACAGCGTTGTTGTTGGTCTTCAAGTAGTTGACCAGGGATTGAGACTTAGCTTTGGCAGTTTTAGATTTTGAATATATATTCAACTCCTTGTCCGTGTGTCCATTAATCTTTTGCGGTGGGGTGATTACGCAGAAGGCTGTGACACCAGATTTAATGTCCCTAACAAAATACACATGTGTTGGAGAATGTGTTGTACAGTAATTCCATGCTGGAGACGCCTCGTCAATCCAACAAGAATCCAATTGGCATTTATAATTCTTCCTCCCAGACGGTTGATTATCGTGTGGAGTAGGGTCATGGTATCCAAACCTTGACCGTTTCTTGTCCCATAATGCACGGAGAGTGACGCCTTGGAACACTGCTGAAATCGGATTCCTCTCAACAGACTCCATCGCTACTTTGAACTGAGGGTCGTGAAGCAAATCCTCATCCTTTCCTTTAAATAAAATCCGTTCTTTAACTGCCTCCATTATTGCTCTCAACCGGGACGTTGGGACAGCAGCAGCAGTAGTAGTCGACGACGGCCCAGCTTGAAGAACTGCAAACAGATTTAATTTAATATTTTAATTTAATTAATGGGAAGAGAAGATGGGAATACTTGCTGGACAACGTACGTTTATCTAACTTTGCATCTCTTTCATCAACTTTCTTGACAAAAATTGTCAAGAGTTGTCCTTCGTGGTCGGAGAAAGTCCACCCTCATTAATCATCTTTTTCAATTTTTGGGTCGACATTTCCTCGTACTCTTCCTCGTCAGAGTCAGACTGCAGTGGAGATGACGAAACATTTTGATCTGGGTGGTTCCGCTGTGCAATAATAAATCATTATTAGATTAAAATAGAGAAAAATGGGGAAGTGCAGTGCAAAACTTAAATGAAAAACCTTACCTTCATTATGGGTGTGGTCTTGGACAGTTTTTGGAAAGTATAGAATGGAAAAGGAAAATGTGACGGAGTAAAAAAAACTGTTTATTGGGTACAAGTTTCTGCCCTTTTCACCTGAAAAACGATGACGGTGAAAACGTAAAACATACAGTGCAAAGTTCATTAAACCCGAGTTTAAAAGTTTAACTTTTTCTTAGGTATCACGCACGGGGGAAGTCTCTACTTGGGATGGGCAGGTTAGTAATTTGGAAGATAATTAGGCTTAATTATTTTATTAGCATAATTAAGGAAAAGAGTTAATTTCTCTAAACGAGCTTATATGAATGCAGGTGCAATTGTCTGCGTGTTGGCGTCAATCATGTGGATTCTGCTGTCAAAAATGATGAGATACAACCCCATCACTTTTTCCACCTGACCTCAGCAGCAAGACTTAGGCTTTCACATGGTCTACATGCCAAACAAGCAACAAGAATAAGAAGAAAAAATAAATGCCAATGGAAATGCTCAACACGTAACAACATTCACACACCCACCCACCACACCCACACGCATCATCATCGCATGATAAGGACGACAATCATCTAACTTGAGTCCCAAACAAAAATTTAAAATTCTTTAAAATTGATATGAATTTTTTTCCTGCCCAAAACTGACTTTCTCCAGCTGACTTTCTCCCATTTAGTAGTCTGGAACTCTTCTTCAAGGCTGAAGATTATGAAATTCGTAAAAGTAAACTAAAATGATTATATGATTTGGTCTCAATATTGATTATTGAGAACCGTCTACTTACCAACCAACCACCAAAAAATGTGCCATCATTCATATTACGGTATGCATTTTTAGGCACGCTTTTCGTGAGATCCACGTTGTTTGTCATAATTTCAGCAGGACTGCTTATCATGTAAAAAACGGGATAGATCTTTCACACCACAATCAGAAACAAATTGACAATCACGTCATAAATTGGAGAAGCAAAAAATCATTTCTATAAATCATTGCTATAATTCTATGAAATGGTAGAATTATATAAAGAAACAATCTCATAATCCAAAATCCACTTCATTTAACTAACAACATTGTAGATGTCTTTACTTTTAATTAATTAACTAATTATTATATAGCACATCACGAATTAACGAATTCGAGTAGTTCGACACTTTCCGCACCCCTGTTCCTCATCTTATCCTTAAAAAAAATCAAAATATACTCAAGTATCCCTCTCGACCCCTTTTCACAGCATCAAGCAATCCATCACTGCTCTATTTCCACAAGGTTTATTGCATTTTTGTGGTTTGTTTGTACATCTAACGAACATGTACTAATATGAAAGCCTAAGTTTTGCACAAATCTCTAACATATATTATAATTCATACTAACTATTATACTACTGGTCATACTCTTAATAATCCATAAATATGTAGGTATGTATACACAATCGCAACTTCATGCCAAATCATACAGTATTTAGAAAGCAGTGTACACAGGTTCATAAAAACGACGACGGGTTTTAATACTTACGGCCAACTGTATACATTTTTAAGAGGCATAATGTTGATTATTTTGAGAATTACTTCTAGTAGATCACCTCATAAACTGAGATGATACTGAAAGAATGTGATGATTAAACAGTATTATATTTATTAGTATGCATCCAATTTGAAATAGAAATAGTACATTACAGCATTTTTTATGTAGGAGAGCTACTTCTTTAAATTTTATTTAGGTCAGTGTTTTATTACTATTAATCGCTCAACATATTATTATGTAATATCTGCTATTTGCCGAGAGCTTATAATGGTTGATTTATAAAAGTAGAACCATTCTAACAAGGACAAATCGTCAGATGGTATTGCGTATTATAAACATACATACATAGGATTTAAATATAACCGTCGCATATCAAATCAAAAGGAATCGAGACTTTCAAAAAAATCTTCATTCTATTAAACGTACATACAACGTTAATGCTGGTTTGCTTTAATGCATAAGCAACACGAGAGCAAAACTGTGCTATTTACTTAACAGATTGTTTTCCCATTATTTTTATAGAAGCGAATGAACAATCATGATATCACATCGCGTTTCATCGTTATTTGGGGAGATAAAATTAAAACTTGGATGTTCAATGGTCAAATTTGTGTTGTGCATTATTCTTATTATTCAAGTACAAACAGAGGAGGACTAGATTTCATGGAACTATTATATACTATATTATATGATATGGGGGTTTTAAAATATCCCTAGAGTTGGATATGAAAAAAATTTGGTTTATTTATTTAACAATGACTTTAGAAAGTTATACATACTAAATATTCCTAGCTGTGTCAAGAAAGAACAATGTTGTCAAATTAAAACTGAAAATAAATAAATGATAAATAATATTATTACTGATAAAGTAAATAAAATACATATTTACATCTTCATTTTTATTGCTTCTTTGAAACGATAAAGAATCTCATCTATCTGTGACTCATCTTGTCTCACTGGCACGTCGGAATGCATTATTTTTGTTACGTAATAAAAACCTCTCTCTCTGTTTTGCATAGGATTTATTCCATAAATTTATCACTTTTAGTCCGATCCTGAACTTATGTAATCATTCTGTCTGTCTGCCTGTCTGTCTTTATCATCGTCATTTAATTATTAAATAGCATCACATTTGAATTAAATATGAAATTCTCCATTATTATTAGCGTTGCAATCCATCACACACAATTCTTTTTTTTACACAATACCCATTGTTTGATTGCATAAGGGGAGCGTGCAGGCATTTCGGTCCTGAGAGGATTTGAACTTGGGAAAAAACTGAAATTTCGAATTTTCTACCTTCATTAGAAAGGAGCCCTTGGACCCGAAAAGTGGATGGGTGTGCCTCTGACGAGTTCAAACTTTGGCGGTGCCCACTGTTGTGAAGGGAGCAGTGGTGGTGGTGGTGGTTTTTTAGTGAGTGAAGTGTTATTAGGCACATACGTCGTTGTGTGAAATAGGAAAAATCTGTGTGTTTGCTGCCATAACAGAGCGCTCTTCTTCTCGTAGTTGTTGAGTGTGTGATGTGAGTGAGTACTTGAATAGTGTGTGGTGGATAAGGTCTTATCAATATTTTTAGCTGCGACACCATGCCCACAGAGACCAAGTCCCTGCTGGCCACTGCGACTGAAAAACCCCCACATTACAGGTTAGTCAAGGGTTACTTTCACTTTCCCAAAACAAAATAAACAATAACAAAAACGAGAGGATCAACTTTACGGTGGTTGACAAAATCAAAACAAAACAGAGATCAACTGGTTTTACTTTTCAGTTTGGTTAAGAGTCTATTTTTAAATTTGGGCTGTTTTGTATAGGTTAGGAAAAAGCAGTTCGTGGATGACCATAAGGTCGTCTTTTTATTTTGGTTGTGGTGACATGAAGGAAGTTAACTAAACTACGCAGTTTTTGTTTTTCTGGAAGAATGTTTTGATGTTTATGAGATATGAGATATTGAAAGTTTGTTGTTGATTTTTTGGGGTTAAAAATTTCAAATTGAAGAGAATCTTATAGACTTTAGGGTGAGAATAAGTTTAGATGGATAGCTTAGAATTTAGTTTAGATGTGACAGTTAATAATAAGTAGCTAGAAATTTAAACTACAAAAGTTTCGACTCGTAATGCTTGATCATTGATCATCACCATACCCCGGACAAATATTTTTTTATCCTACCCTACTCGTGTTGAGCTCAACATGAGTAGGGTAGGATAAAAAAATATTTGTCCGGGTATGATCATCACTAATCATCAGTGATGGATAAACATGTCATCAAGTATTAATTATTATTATTTGTGCATAAATAACCATTACTAATAAAACGTGTTTTTCTTTGTTTTTTAAAGATATTTAAAAGAATTCAGAGTGGATCAGTGTCAGCTATTTCCATTACATAAGTGTACACAACATAGACCATTTACCTGTTTTAACTGGCATTTTCCTAATCAGCGAAGAAGAAGACCGTTAAGAAGAAGGGATGGAATTTTTAATTACTCGCCCGATAGTTATTGTTCAAAATATGACGAAACGTCTGGAACTTGTCCGGATGGTGATGAGTGAGTTTGATATTCATTTCATTGATTCTCAAAAAAATTGGATGATGTATGCAATTTAAATCCTTCTAGCTGTCCTTTGTTACATCGTACCGCTGGGGACACAGAACGAAGATATCATCTAAGATACTTTAAAACGTGTATGTGTGTTTATGGTAAGTAAATTCAGAACATTATTCTGAGTCTGAGTTGAGTGCTTTTCATGTGTGATATGATATTTAGAAACGGACGCTCGTGGGTTCTGTGCTAAAAACGGTGCACATTGTGCTTTCGCGCATGGTAAATTTAATTTAATTAATTGATTAACTTGAAAAATCAATTTTGTAGTCTGGAATTGAAAATTTTAATTTTGATGCTAATATCGAACTCTATCTGTTATAGGTGAAGGGGACAAAAGACCACCAGTTTATGACATTCGTGAATTACAGGTACTTGGAGAAAGAATGAGGGATTTAATTCTGTTGGTTCATTTGTAATTTAAGCTTGTTAGTTGGATCCACTTTTACAGAATCAAGAGCAAAACCTGGAACCTGAAATTGTAAACGGCCCTAATCAATTAGATAAAGAAAGAAATATGATGGTGGACGATCCCAAGTGGCAAGACGCTAGCTATGTTCTTCTTCACTATAAAACAGAACAGTGTAAAAGACCGCCACGTTTATGTAGACAGGGCTATGCGTACGTGCTCATTATTATATTCATTTGGTTCCCAACATGTATAATCTATAGCAAAAAATGGTTCCTTTATTTTGGTTCGTTATTTTCAGATGTCCTCAATATCATAATTTAAGGGATCGGCGCAGATCACCAAAAAAGTTCAAGTATAGGTCTACTCCTTGCCCTAATGTAAAGCATGGTGACGAATGGGGAGAACCTGCACTATGTGATGAAAGTGATGAATGCCCGTATTGTCACACAAGAACGGAACAACAGTTCCATCCTGAAATTTATAAATCATCGAAGTGTAACGATGTATTTACTAATCAATATTGTCCAAGAGGGCCGTTTTGTGCATTCGCTCATGCAGACCAGGAGATGTCAATTAATAGGAATTTACCAACGGATACCAATTTTGCTGATATTTTATCAAATGTTTTGCCTACAGCATCAAATCCTATAGGAATTGGGGGATCGGGCGGCGTAATAGGATCTAAATCAGGAGGAGAAACTAATAATAATCATAATAGCAATGGAAATGGGACATCATCCTCTATTTTATCAAGTAGTTTAAACTCTAACAACAATAATGCGAATGGATTAGACGGATTAGGAGGATATTTCAATTCAACTGGAGGAGGGATGACAGACTTTTCTGACGTGTTAAGAAATACTTGTGGATCACCACTCGATCAAGCAATGATTGGTGGAGGAAGTAGTTTTTATGGAAATCCAAGTTCGTCAACGCATTCATCTTCAAATACGATTGCATCTGGAAATAATGGTGGTGGAAATAATCCGGTGTCATTTGGAACACAAAGTTTTGCTAGTGCTGTGGGAGGTGGGACTGATCGAAGCAATAGTGTAAACTCTACGACAAGTCATGGAAGTAAATTTTTTGATGATCAATCTAAACTTGTGGATTCGCTAATGAATGGCCCTAAAGGAACAAATGGAGGGGGTTTAAATCTATATGAAAATTTTGACATTTTGAGTTTCAACTCGGGCACAGGCGGTGGTGACGATCAACGTGATGCTTATAGTTTATTTCCTTCGTCAATGGGAATGAGTAAGTGCAGATTTTTGATATATGTGATATGTACATATATTGATGGACGACGAATGACGATTATGCGATGTGCAGTATTATTTGATTTATTTTGTTTAATAATTTAGAAACGCCAACATCTGCAATGAGAAATGATTTAAGCAGAGGAGATTCGCCTAGTATTGATAAAGATTTAGAAACGGATCATTTTTCTTCGGGTTAGTAGCACAATTATTATCAGTAATAATTTATCTACTACTCCAAGCTTTAAAAATTTCGCGTATCTTGTAGGAGGATCAAAACCAGTTAGCATTCCGGCGTCCAGCTCATCTTTATTTGGAAGAGAAAGATTTCCAAGGTAGTCCCAAGTTTCATGCACTACCTTTAAAATAACGGAACTTTGAATGATCATGAAATTTTCATTATCAAGAAATTAGCCAACTCTAATAATGACTAATGTTTTTAATAATATTTTTAAAGTGGTTCCTCATCTATGGCTGGTAGTCTAAATAGCTCTTTCTCTATTGGGGGATCGTTATTTTCAAAATTACCAGATGCATCTATAGACAAGGTATAGCAGCTTAAAATGCTGTTATAAATGCTACGATTAATTTAATTCAACTCACATAACTGATAAAATTTTGTCGTTTGGTATTTTCAGAAACCAGATATATTTTCAAGTATATTCGATTATCCGCAGCAGCGTCAAGAAAACAGTACAACATTATCAATGTCACCCAGTAGTAGTAATGGATTTTCTAGTGGCAATGGACCAGGACCAATTGGGCCATCAAATAATGGATTTAATGGGCCGGCGTTTTTAAATTTTATGGTAATCAAAGTTTGTAAATTACTCATTATTTCCAATAAATCATCTAAACGTGACATGACTTTCTTTATAGATTCGACCCGATCTCACCTATCAAAACACGACATTAATGAACGTCTATTTGAATCAATGTAAAACATGGGCGGAAACATTAAGTAAAGCGTTACAATCTGCGACAAATAAAGACCATCCTAATTATTCATGTTTAAGTTGTAAAGTACCAGGTAAGTAGTTAATGTCGTAAATAATTGTGATGCGTTAAGCCAAATAACCCTTCAAATGGTTTTGCAGATCGACAAAGAACAGTTTTGGCTTTACCTTGCGAACATCAAGTTTTATGTGTCAACTGTGGCCCGGTAATACGAGCATGTCCTCTTTGTGGAAATCCAATTTTAAGTAGAAAACCTTCAAATTTAATGCCTCATAATAACAACATGGACCTCTGATTAAGAAAGGAAGAAGATTCTATTTTTCTCTGTAATATCGTCAGTCTGTATCGTAGCAGAGTTAAAACTTTATATTTCAAGACAAACCACAGACAATTACAAATTCAAAATTTTCATGTTCCTTGTTGCATTGTTTGACAAACTTTTTGAGTTGAAAAATATTTTGACCTACTTTCTTGACTGTTATTCGGAAAAGTTCAAATTGATGTTTATTTTTATTATTATTTTGATTTGCTGATATATTGATTGCTGAAATTATTGTGGCACTATTTAAATACGAGTATTAAATTGTTTCATGCTGACTACGACGACTATTAAAATATGAAACATGTATGCAACCGAAGAGAGTTATAAATGAAAACCTGCAAATGAGGTTATTAATTTTGACATATAAATGATACACTACTATTTGATTACATACATATATACATACAACATATATTATATACGGAGTAAAGTAAATACATACATGTACTAGTTTTATTAGTTAACTGGACAGAATAATAACTATTCATATACATAATATATATACATATATACTAAACAAATATATTGCAAAAATTGCAAACTCTACATTATATCTTTGGATGTACTGAATGTGAAACATTTACCTGGAGGAAAAATTTATTTACCTATCTAGCTATAATTACAATGCATATATTTACACAAAAGATATAAGATTACTTTACTACGAAGAAGGCTTATATTTTCAATGGACTGAACCGAATAATAAGCGAAAGTTATTTGAATGTTGAGAAACTGGTAAAATGATTGTTGTTATTTGTAAGAAGAAATAAGAAACTCTTTTTTTGCTTTTTACTTCGACAACTGCCAAAATAATTAATTTGGCTAATCATTGGTTTTATTTGTATCATTGCATTTATGTCATTTTGCATATTTACAAAAATTGTATCTATTCTCTCACATAATTGTTACATGACGAAGAATTTAAGTTGTGTTATTTATTAAAGGACTGACACCTCAATCGTCATGAACATTGATGACGCGTATATAGTAAATTAATTAAGGCGAATGTTACCACCGGTTAAAACAGGTAGTAGTTGCAATTATTCGAATCAAAAAATATTAATTAAATCTGTGACCTGATTGAAAATATTTAGTGTTTGATCTTTTTTTAATTTCATAACAGAATGTGGTTGAAATTATTTAATTCATTTCAGAATTTAGCGTAATGCTATACAAATTAGAGCTACTGTTAATTAATTAATATGCAAATTATTAGGGTTTTTTAGTGGAATTCTACAAACTAAAATATAAATGATAAAATATTTATGAATGCTATACTCAATTGTAATCTCCGAAATCCGAAATCCAGAGACTGCAATTTTTCTCTCGAGTTTAAAACAACATATATATTTATCGAAGCTCTGACAATGACAACGATCTTTCAAATATATTTACTCAAATTGTGAAAACAGAAGAGAAATTAAATTAAAAACAAAATTACGAGAATTTAAAGTAAACTTGCATCACTATCATCATCATTCATTTGTATTTGCATAATATCCGGTTTTATCAGGTTTTGAATAAATAAAAAGAAAGGTCTTCCCGCATATGTTTACACCACCATCTTTCATTCCATGTCATGTCATCAACTCCCCGTCACAACAACGTTTTAAAACGTTTTTTCTCCGACTTTTGACACAAATTATCCTAAATTCTTGAACGAAATGAACAAAGTACTCGCATCTCTTTTAAGGGGTCGAAAACCTCATCGCATGGAAAAATTTCCCCCTTTCTCGACCCCTCATCCGCTCAGCCAATCAGACAAGGTTTTATTTTAGCCAATAGGATCAGACTTTCAATTTGTTTCAGACATTTTGAAACGTTTTAGCAAACGTTTAAAAAATACTTAAACGATTTTTATACTGGTCAAATTTCTAATTATGGTCATCAAAATTAGTGTGATTGACCCGGATCATACTTTGACCCCTCCCTTAACGTTAGTGGGGCGAATAGGAACTGATGAGGACGCTTCTTGTTTGTAAGCCCCGCCCCGTGTCGTCACCAGTGTGAGAGAAAAGCCCGTTTGGTCTGGTCACACTGCTCTCTCAATTCCACCACCACTACATCACGCTCAGAAACTTCCGTTGGAAATTTTCCTATTTTATCGAAAAAATTTAGGTAAGACCACACCCATTTTGATAAAATTGTCCCCACGACACCCCCACCCCTCATGGGTAGCATGTACAGCATAAATTTGCAGGAATGAGCTATAATTTTGAAGAAGAAAGTGTGTAAATTTTAGTTGGTTTTTTCGTCATATTTTCTTGTTCTCGTTCAGCTTACTTACTTTGTGGGGAGAATTAGTTGGGTTTTTGCCCGCTGCGTGTTTGTCGCTGTGATAGCAGCTCAATAAACAAGGTGGATCTTGTTTGAGAAGAGGTATGATTAGGATAGTTCAGTGAATGGAAAAATCCCTCCTTTATGTCAGTAGGTAGATCTTGAGCTGAGTCAGTTGTCAGTTGACGTTCGAGAGAGGTGAAGGTAACGATTAGAAGTTGAAAGTTTTTTCTCGTGTCAATAATTTTGATTATTGTGTAAGTGTATTATAATTAATTAATTAATGGTCGATTTTAATTAAATTGTATGATGAGGTGGTGAATCATATATACCTGTTTAAATAGTGAATAGGTGTGATTTACAATTAATTAGAAAATGGGCGGGTTTCAGTTTCATGAACGATTGTTAATTGTTTTACAAGTTAGTTAGTTGATAATTAATTGATTCATTGTGATTTTTTAGATTTCTGAGTGTCGTCGATCAATTTGACTTGAAAAATGGCTCGTACCAAGCAGACTGCGCGTAAATCTACTGGAGGAAAGGCTCCTCGTAAGCAACTTGCGACCAAGGCTGCAAGGAAGAGCGCACCATCAACTGGTGGAGTTAAGAAGCCTCATCGTTACAGGTAATAAACTGCTGGAATTATTTTAATTGTGAATATTGTAATTATTCTGAACGTCGTATATGGATCATAACGGGTATTAATGATCGGTTGTTATTTGTATGATAATTTAGGCCCGGTACTGTGGCTCTCCGAGAAATTCGTCGTTATCAAAAGTCGACCGAGTTGCTTATTCGAAAACTGCCATTTCAGCGTCTCGTGAGAGAAATCGCTCAGGATTTCAAAACTGATCTCAGATTTCAGTCGGCCGGTAAGAACTTTAGTTCCCAAATATATAAATTATTTATTTCTCTGAATAAGTGAGTGTATCACTGAGTTACAAATTATTATGATTATTATTATGAATTATTATTGTGACTCCATCGTCCCCATCATCATCATCATTGCCCTTATTTTATTCTTCGATATTTTTCATCGATGGCATATGTTTTAGTACTCTATTGTAAAAGTTTTTTTTAGATCCGCCGTGATATTGAGAAATAACAAACTGAATAAAAAATTATTATTATTTAGCCTTAGCTCCCAAATAGATATCGATACAAAAATACTTTTTCATAAGCTCGTTGATGATTCCCAGTGACTTCTTATCAAAGTATTTAGAGCTGGTCTGCTTATTAATGCAATAGGGATGAGAGGACTCAGCATCATAGTCGTCCGGGTTGATGCAATTCTGCATCTTAAGAGCAGAGGCGAAGAATGCTGCAATGTGATGATGAGCCTCCCATTTGTACTTTTCTTCATCTTTCACCGTTCCAAAGGGTATTATTTTGAACATCGGGTCATCCCCCATTAGCTGCTTGTAAAAAATGACGGGGTCACGCGTGGTGTTGTTGTGGACGGTTGGACTGGTGGTTTGTCCAGGATAGAGAATGTAGGGATTGGAGACAAAGTACAACACGGCAACTTTCTCCTCCGTCTTTTTATCATCATCATCCTCCTCTTCATCGTCACATTTCTTCTTCTCACTCTTCAACATTGACCCGATTGTGTCTCCAGGCTGAGCCACCTTAAGATATGGGACTGGAGAAAGCATGTTGTTGGCATCTTCCTTTTTCAGAGTATCATGAACTCGTAGCTCCAATCCCCAATAATCCATCTCCTCTTTGAATTCTTGATAAGCTCCATTGGGGAAGTTTATCATCTCATTGATGCAGATTATCTTGGTACGGGTGTTTGGCCAGAGGAGCATTTTCAACAAGGTGACAGTCTGTAATAAACCATTTCGTTCATAAGTAGTAAAATTTCCAATCTTAAATGTTCACTTATTATTCATTACCTGACGAGAACTGTAAATTTTCATAGCATCATCCTCCTCCTCGAAATATCTCCGTCGTCGAGGTTTTCCCACAATTTCAACTGCTTCTGGTTTGGGCTGTCCCTTCAACAACCGTTCTTGACAGTAAATCTGCCACCCGTTCTCAGTATAAATGTACGAACCAGAACCCGAAATCACTTTCTTTAAGGCGTCCGTTGCGTTCTTGTCCTTCACTTCTTCGTCATCATCCTCATCAAAAGTAAATGAGGCAATCACGTGGAAGATAACGTTGTGTCGTTTATTTTCCCCATCCGTAAATTCAGCCACGACGAACCCAGTTTTCTCTCCCTTGTGATTTCTACATTTTGGAAACTCCTTCATCCTTACCCCTTGTGTACTGAAACAACCTGCATAAATAATTGTCAAATAGGTATATGACACATGCAAAGCTGTACAAAGAGGTTTTAATTTTCACTTACCAAGTTCAAAGCACACGAAACTAGTATCATTTGAACTTACAGTTAACAGTATGTGGTACGGTCGGCGGAGTCTTCCACCCCTCTCATCTGGCCCTCGATACGCGACATTATAATTAGTGCCTGGCACTTTCATCCCGTCCCATCCAAGAGGTTCAAGATGTTTCAGCACCCTCTTCCGCATATCCATTGTCCATTCACTGTTCTTCATTTTGATTGTTTCGGGGGTGGCTCCAGAGAGTGGGGTGAGCTTATCAGACTGACCGGATAGCACCTCTTCGACTTCAATTTCATCAACTTTCTCTTCCTCCTCCTCCTTCGTCACGAGATCCTCATTCAACTTGAAGAAAAAGTCTCGCAACTTATTGTCCCCTTGATCTGCATATAATACATTATTATCAATATGTTACATAATAATTCACAATATGATTATTACAACCTTTCGACTGGGTAGACTGTTTCTTTTCAGTCCTCAAAACTTTTGTCATCTTCCACCAAGGAGGGATTGGCTTATCCTCTCGAACCTGAATCTCCTTCCGAGTTTGCACATATTTAGAGTTGGGTCGGGTGGGTGGATCCCGTGGCGCAGGAACTATCTTCCACTCTGGTCTAACTTGACCTTCCTCATCTTCTCCGCCGCTGTTATCATCACTATCCACCATCAAATATCGGAACTTTCTCTCCGTCCCTTCAGTCTCACTTTTTTCTCCCTTCTTCTTCTTAGCACTACCCTTACTGCTGCTGGGAGTCTCCTTCCTCTTACTACTGGAAGTGGGAGTGGCTGACATTTTAAAAATATATTGACGAGGTGTAATAATGTTTATTGGTGAGATTTCTATTAACTGATTTCAAATCTCCTTTCATGTCTCACCCTTGTCTCAGCCATTGGAGCCCTTCAGGTTCGTAATATTTCATCATAAAATTAGTTATGAACGCCTAGTTCTGCGTACTCTATTGTTAATAATTCGTTTCCTTTATGTCTTTTATAGGAAGCCAGTGAGGCTTACTTGGTTGGATTGTTTGAGGACACCAACTTGTGCGCCATCCACGCCAAGCGGGTCACCATCATGCCCAAAGACATCCAGTTAGCCCGTCGTATTCGTGGAGAACGTGCTTAAAAATCTCACCAAAACAAACAACTAACTAACGTCTACTTTTATCATTCTTACGTTTAGTGTAGCTCCCAACGTTCTTCTTTTTTATAATTTACAACAAAGCAGACAACAAACAAAGTACAGTGGTTCATTTTTGTCGTAGGTCAATAAGTAAGTATATAATAATAAGCAAGTAAGTCTATAGTTCTTGCGTGTGTAAAAGTTTACTACATTTCATTAAAGCTCGAACAAATTCAGAGCATAGAAACTGATTTTAGCTAAATAATAAGAAATAACAACTCATGCATCACTCACTACCATCACAGCTTTAGACTACTTTTACCATGCATTTGGCTGACAGCGTATATAAAATACAAATACAGAGAGCAAAAGTTGTTAACTAATGAATAAATTTGGTGGATGGAACAAAATTCAAAAAATATTTAATATTCAGTACGGTTAATTGATGGAATTTGTAACTTACGTTCAAAAACTAAATAGGCGATTGAATTTCGATTGGATGTATTTTATGAGTGCATTTATTGAGATTTATGATTGACGAAAACTTGGCATTTTTGTAAATATTAAATGGCATATAAAGCAGCAGTAGTAGTATTATTAAATATGTCATATGGACAGATAATGACTCACAGTGTGTAGGCTCCAAAAATAATAATATTTCAAGTGTATTAATGTCAAGTAATTTTATCGTATTTTTTTCATTTTGAATTTTCTTGTTCTATTTGAATGTTCTTTAAAGGAGCATTGAAGTATAGCATTTTGATGTTGCGTTTCTCATTCATAGATAAATGTTTCTATATCCAATCCAAAAAAAAGTTGTATGACATTAAATAATACCTCCGACTTTTCGGTTGTGTTGCGTTATGTTGTATTAATTAATTATGTCAATGAACAATGGTCGATGTGTATTTATATACCTTATCTAAATAAAATAGATATTGTCTACTCGTATTTCTAAATTGTTGTTGGTGAAGTGCGGTAACTAATTTTGCATATTCATAACTCAATTCATATTTCAGTTTCTTATTTGAAGAACGATTTATTGCATTTCATTCATGATCATGACTAGTCGGAATTATTTACAAAAGGTTAACAGCAAATAAAAAAGCTACTTGATAAGAATGCTTAAACTACGTGGTAATGCCGGCATCTTTCCTCATTTGGATTTGTTTCTCCTTCACAATTTTCAATCGATCGTTCAGATCTTGGGTGGGTAGGTTATGTTCACGATTATACTTTATCAATGTTTCCAGTTGTTGTCTCTCTAAACTGGGAACTCTTTCCCAGAGGGGTCGCTTCATTTCTTCGTCAATGTCGTTCTCTTCTCTAAGGACGAGAAAGTACAAGAGAAAAATTGCCACGCTACCCGTTACGACGTACGGTTGGTAGGAAGGGGTGTCAAATTGAACGCCTCCGCCATGTGTGTCCAACGCTCTCCATAATGCAGCTTTGGAAGTTGTGAATTTAATTGGTTTATCCAAGTCTTCGAACCCGTCTTCTGTTTTGGGGGTGGTGGTACTATCACTGCTGGTAGCAGTTGAAGATTTCAACCTGAAGCAAATTAAGAGGATATTTAGATATTGTCGGACAATATAGAAAATTAAATTATAATGTATTTAGTCTGTTTGTCGTGAGTACCTTATTTGACGGTTTAAATTAATTGCAGTAAAAGCGTGATTATGAGGAGAAATTTGAGCCGAAATAAATGGTTGGAGTTGCTGCAAGGATGTTCTGGAAACGGTTCGTGTCGTTAATCGTGCATTGAGGGACATGGATAAGGCGATTCTTCCGGCTGACGACATAATTCGATATTGTAGATTTAGTGATGATAGGTCAGGGCCAGACTCCCCCAAGATGGGTTTAAGTGTGATGTCAATAAGCACAAAGGGCTGAATATCATGTGGCGTCAGACACAATAAACTACGAGAGTTTTAACTCTTGTAAATAGTGGAAGCTAGAAATTGGTTTCACAATTGTGATTCACAATTTGTGAACGAAGAGTAAAGTTTGTTCACATCATAGATGGGCATATTGCCCTACACCCCTACTGCCCTTGTAGGGCAGTAGGGCTGAGATTGTCAGGAGGGGTGTAGGGCAAGTAGGGGGTAGGGCAAGGCATTCAGTGTAGGGCTGTAGGGCAAGTACGGGGTAGGGCTAGGCCTTGGAAGTAGGGGTGTGGGGAAAGTAGGGTAGGGCAAGACTCTTGGCATGCAATATATAAATTTTCTTAGTATTTATAACCTTTTAAGTAGAATTTTTTATGTATTGCAAAATTGTATGTCTTGCTATTTTATCTTAACATAAGCGCGAACCACACCCGTGGACCTTGTGGTTTCAAAATTTCGAATATTTTATCGGAATTGCCCGCTCCGGCTGTTGAATAAGATGTATTTGCTTCCCGGATTTCAGTCAGCTTATGTAGTTTAGGCCTTGAGAAATCACCCTTGAAGGTATGGTTTTAAAATTTCGGAGGTTAAGGCAGCACTAGCCTTATCGGGTTAATCTCACCATATTTCAGTTTACAATATTATTGTGCATAAATAATTAGTACTTGATTATTTTAGAATTACATTTTTTACTATTTTTTATGAATTAAGGATTTACTGCGGTGAGGTCTTTTTAAACTTATGCATTGACTACCATTTCTTTTTAGAATAATTAGATGACGATATTTCTTTAATTTCCAGAGAGTAGGGATGTAGGGCAAGTAGGGCAGTAGGGCTGAGATTGTCAGGAGGGGAGGAGGGCAAGTAGGGCGGTAGGGCAAGAAGTGCCAGTAGGGGAGGAGGGCAAGTAGGGGGGTAGGGGGATACCTCTCAAGTAGGGTAGGGGCCGGTAGGGAAGTAGGGCAGACCAAGTGCCCATCTATGGTTCACATGTTAGTCTCCGAGAACCGGGCAATTTACTTGCCCAAGTTGCCCCAAAAACGGCTCTGCACTTTCACTGCTTTCTCCATAATGAAAATTTACTTATCACGTTCATGAACTTATCCGTACCTTCTGCATATGCATCATACATTGCACATTAATAATCATGCACGCTGGACTGGATGCATTAAATAAATCCCTGGCTTGTGTTTTATTCTGCCATAAAAAAGTTTCATTGTATTACATACATAATCAAAACGAGGGATGAACAGTGATGACGAAATTGGTGTACAATTTAAAGATTGAAAAATTTGGACCTACACTAAAATTAGTAGAATGCATACTTAATCAAAAATCTTAAGATCCTTGGTATTGATTTCTCCCATGGATCGAATCCCATCCTTATCGACGATGCGAACCTTGAATCTTGGCAGATTTATAACAAGTCGCTTTCCAATTTCTCCGACACATTTCTTCATCAGTTCCATTCCTTCGGCTTGAGAAAGATCTTAAATAGAGAAATATTTTAATTACTTAAAACTCACGAATATATTCATTCATTACTAAAATTATGTGTTTCATTATTACTTACCTGGCTTGTAGTAAGCATCCATTGTTGATAACGTGAAATAACCACCATAACCGTGAGCACAATACGGAAGTTCAACGCAAGTTGCGAGATAATCCATAAAGAATAAATCCGCCTTCTTTTCCACGTCGTCATATCCTGCCATTAGTAGGTTGCAGTTGTATGGCGTCTACACAGAATAATAAACAATTATCAAATATTGAACTATCAACTTAACCATTTGTATTTAACATCTTTAAATATCGTATTTCAAAACTTACCCGACTTCTCAAGTACTCTGCCAAATTCCTTCGGGTGAAATGGGCCGCAGCCTTTGGTGACAATTCATATTCGTTCCGCATCTTGTAGAGCTGAATATTCTTTTGAATATATTCCGAAAATTGAGTCGTATCCCCAGATTCTCCACTCACTGCTATCAACAGCTTATCGGACAAGATACAGAATTTTTCCTCGTCTAGAATATGGTAGGTTAAAAAGATCATTAATTTGTGATTAGTGGCGAATAATGTCGAAAACTTACTGTGGCTGTTGACCACGATTGACCGTGCGTCGATTGCGTCTGCCGCGACAAGGACATAATCATTGAACCGGATTCCGAGAAGGCACTCCATTTTTTTAAAATAATTTACTTTATTTCGAGAAACTTGGGATGCAACAATGCAAAATTGAAGAATATGACTTTCAACTTTGCTTCGAACCGGAATGACAACTCAAAAATTTGAACTGAGCAGATATTCACGAGAGCCTAGATATTGCGGCAACTCCCCGCGAAAATCAAATATTCAACGAAATTGAGGGTTTTGTTTGCACGTGCGAATTATTTTCTCAAAGTTAAAATCACAAAATTTGTTTAAACATTTAAAATAACTACAGCTTTTGTATTTCTACAGAATGAAGATCAAGCGTCATAAAAAGTTTCAAAAGAATGTCAAGTACTTCATGAAACATTTTGATTGGAAAGCACCATTTCATATTTTGGCCGACGGAACAGTTGCGAAGGCTGCTTTGGACGTAATAATTTACTAATAATATAATACAAGTGTCCTCAATATCCTCATTACTAATTAATGTTCAATAATAATTAATGAAAAATGTCAATTTGTTTAGAACAAGGTAAACCTTCGTGACCAACTCCCAAAGTATTTCGACAATGCGGTCAAGTTGTACACTACTCCATGCTGTCTCGTGGAAGCTGAAAGTCTAGGTCCAGAACTTTACGGTGCAGTACAAGTTTTGAAGACATTTCTAGTCTATAAATGTCCTCATTCTGAAGAGAGCATTTCTGCTGCACACTGTGTGAAATCCATGGTTGGTCAGAAACTCGCACCACAAAAATCAAAGTCAAGCAATAGCGAAGTTCCTGAGTCTCCGGACGTTCCTGCACCCAGTAGGTCTAATGACCCCATTAGATTCATACCTGCCACACAAGATCATTATTTAAGAAAACAGTTGCGGCAACTTCCTGGAACTCCGTTGCTCTATTTGAATGGACCAGCCCCCCATTTTGAACGACCGTCATTAGTTACCCAGGAAGTGGCAAAGGACAAAAGCGTAAAGAAGTTGGAAGTTATAACATATCAAAAAGAAATCCTTGACAGGATGAAAGATGAGGTAACTTATTAATTTATACAATTCTTTATTAATCTAATCATTAATTAATTAATCAATCTTTGCAATGAATGCAATTAGGCCTTTGGTGACTCTCCCCTACCTGAACGTAAAGGGACCAAGAAGCGGAAACGCGCTGGTCCAAATCCGTTGTCTGTGAAAAAATCTAAGAAGAAAAAAACAGTCCTCACTTTGATTCCAGGAGCTAGTACCAGCCAAAATATCGGTAACAATAATTCCCCAGGAGGAGACAGAGGAGTAAAAAAGAAACGCAGACGAGTCCGAATTCCAAAACATGTGAAGCAGGAGCTGGCTACATTTAAACGTCAACAGCAGCAGCAGCAGGCAACACCGAAGGCCGTAGAGTAATGTAATTACCTGATTTTTTATACTTTAGCAAAAAAGCATTATAATTCATAAATGATTTTGATATCGCTGGTTGACTTCTGCAAACTCCATAAAATCAATTGCAGGTGATGATCATATGAATGTATAGCAAAATCGTCTTTATTGACTGTTATAAGATTAGCAGTAGTGTCGCCGTTCACAGTAAATTTTTAGTTCTTTGGATTATTTAGGTAGAAATTAACTTTGGTTGTATTAAATTTGGACAAGATTGTTTCCGCTTTCGCTGGTTAAAATGTGCTTAAATATAAAAATATTGAATTTAGATTACGGGATTTTTGTACAAAACATGATAGAAAATGGATAAAATCAAAAAACCTACAGTGCAGACTCCATATAGCCCGAGTCAGGGGCATAGTCCCTGACTCAATAAGTCAGAGCCCGCTTCTAATTTTTTTTCCGAATTGACCGACATAATATCACCAACTTCCGCGTTGTGGATGGTTAAAAGTTTATTAGATAGTTTCTACCATTTGGTACCAAATTTTTGAATTAGTTACAAATCATGTGCCTTGACCACCATGACCAGTGGGCTTCTTTAACATCCTGAAGTTCTAAGCTGTATGCATGTGCTACCCAGCAGTGGTTTTCACTTTTTCAGCCTCCATATCAAATTTCAGCTCAATATAACGATTTTTAAAAATCAGTATGGGTCACCCCATAGGGTCACTCTGGTTGCACTTTGCTCACTTTTAACTTCATATTCTTTAATTAGAAGCCATTAAGTATAATTGTGCCGGATTTCAACTTTTTAAAGCAATTTCTAAAAATCGGTATGGATCACCCCATAGGGTCGCTCCAGATAAAAATTTTACCAATATCATCTCATATTCTTTCATTAAAACCCATAAGCAACCTCTCCACCAAATTTCAGTTGGATATGATGGTTTTGAAAAATCGGTATGGGTCACCCGATAGGGTCACTCAAGATGAAAATTTTTCCAACTGGAAGTCATTTTTATCTATTAGGAGCCATTAGCAACCTCTGTACCAAATTTCAGCTCTCTACAACAATTTTGAAATTTTGGTACATAGTACCCCACCCACTCCGATGACCCCCACCGGTCAACCACTGGACCGATCACGCCCATCTTCGAACTCGTTTCCTAACTTTGTCCAATATGTGTATGGTAAAAATTTCAGGTCAATCGGTTCAGCCGTTTTGGCTCTATCGTGCCGGACAGACAGACAGACAGACAGACGGACGGACATGACGGTTCCATAAGCCCTGACTCGGGCTAAAAATTTGAATTAACTTCTTTAGCTCATTGGCAAGATCTACTTCTTCATCTTCTGCACGACGACAGCATTCATTAATTTTGCTTCTTCTATTGAAATTTCTTCATTTTCATACACCTTGCTAGGAAAAGTGGTCATTATTACAAAGCTTTTCGAAGCTTGGTCGGGTCGGATTGCACAAATGAATTCTCGAATAGATGACACAGGCTGGGATAGATTTAGAGTCACGGTGGATCTATAATTATACAAATATTAGGACATTTTCAACTCGTGGTCGTGAGGCTTGAGTCGTCATATGTAAATTTTCTTAAAACTTCTAAACTAAATATTGCTTACTTTGATCCATCAGCCATTCGCACATTAATTTTCGTCACAGGCTTCGATTCATCCACGCCCATTGCGCGTTGTGCAGATTCCACCGAAACTGAAGAGCCTGATGTGGAAGAATTCGCCTCCACCGACAAATTGTTATCTTCTGCTCCAAGCCGGCGTCCCTCCCCCGTGAAACTTGGCTGTCCAGCCGGTCCCCCCAACTTCTTAATTCGCTGCTCCAACGCGTCTGGATCTGCGCCACGAACACGGTCCAGCTCCTTCTTCTGGCGGAGAAAGATAAACGTTGGCATTGCCGAGACGTTGTTTGCCATCGCGATCTCTTGCGTATCGTCAACGTCCACTTTTAGAAAAATGGAGTTTCGATACTTGTTGCTCAATTCTTCATAAATGGGGGCTATTTTTTGGCATGGGCCGCACCTAATTCATTATTACAATAAGAAATATTAACTACTAAAAGAAATTAATTAGTAATTACATATTGAAAAACTAATTTATAAGTTTAACGTTATTTCAAAAATTGTCAAGTACCATTTCGCCGTGAAATCGACAATTACCAACTTGTCGGCCGCCTTGGTCAGCACGGTCTCGTACTCGGATTCGCTTCGGACATGAATCACAGGCATTGTTTTGATCGGAACTTTTACTTACGTAAAAATTTTACAGACAGTAAATTTTAAGTGGTATCAAAATGGAATTTGTTTGTTTATTCGAAAGAACTTGGGAGTGTTTGTGAGTGAGAAACCTGAGAATGATGATTGTACAAAATATTGAACTAGGCAGATTTTCTGTCTTGCTGCCAATGGGTAGACGACAGATCGGAACGGGCAGAGAGAGAACACTTCATCTTCTCTCAAATAACAAATATTTACACGTGTCACTTTTTTCTTGAAAAAGTTAGTTTAATAATTCATAGTTGAGATAATGACGTAAATTTCTTAGGCATAAATACATAATGGGGGGCTAGATTTAACTTGAATTGTAAAGGAGTTTGCAATACCTACATAACATTGGTACGTAATTACTTTGTAAGAAAGTTTATGTACCAAACAAAAATAAAGCCAGGGTGGACAATATGATTTAATTAATTTTCTTATTTTCAGACCTCCCAATAAACTAGTGGATATGATCAGTAATAATATCAAAACAACTCATCACTACAGCGAATGGACGTCGTAACAGTATTTACCGTTGGGGGGCTACAATCCACTCGAAACCGAGGAGATGAGTGGTGATCCACCCCCACGATTTAACGATACGTCGTCCTCCCATCATCAACTTAACATCGCTACCTCAGCAGGAACATCGCCTTCTTCGTCTACCTCATCGTCATTCCGTACTTCAGCCTCGGAACCCTCGGATGATATTAGTGTGTCGTCATTACACAGTAGGACGACGAAAATTACAACGTCAACTGATATTGTCAAGAAGAAGACTAAAAGTCAACTCCAGGGTGAACAAAGATTTATCCGAGAGCAAGAAAGCGTTTCTTCTTGGACGACGGAAGAAGACGAAGAAGAGGAGGAGAACGAAGACGAGGACAAAAACCAAGAGGACGGTTCATCAGGGTCTGAGAATTCACTATCAGAAGACAAAACTACTAGCAGTTCACTATTAAGGCGTCATCATCATCGTAGAAGACGACGTACTAATAGTAGTTCCACGACTACTGCGACTCCGTCTCCAGTACTTCTCAGCTCACGACGACCTCCTCTCCTTTCTGTGCCGAAATTGAGTTTGGAAGAACGAAAAAAGCACTACCAATCTCTACCGTTGAGGACGCAAATAAGACTTTTGATTGAAAGGGCACTTGCTCGTCAGTTGCAAGAAAATTTTTCCCCTAACCCCAAAAGAGGGTGGATCCGTAGACACATTGACACATTCTTTCTACGACTGCTCGTCTTCATCATGAGGTATCATAGAGAGCTATGTATTTTATTTCTGGTATTTGCCAGTGGGCTGGCTTCCCTTCGGACGAGGTGCGTACCGTAAATTATTTGACTTAACTTTTATACGTTATAAATACATGTTGTATCATTGTGCGGTGAGTACTATGTATTATTATTATTGCTTCTTACAGCCCCATGAAGACGAGATCTACCCCAGAACCCAAACCCTTCTTTGACAACCCCAAATCCCTCCAGTATATAGACGACTTTTACCGAGGAGAGTACATGGACCTGGTTAAAAATAAGATATCGTTAGGACCTGCGTTCGTTTTTTATTATGCACCCTGGGACTCTGAAAGTGTCGCATCGCGAAATGTTTTTATAAACGTGGCTCGTTATTACCGCTACACATTGCCGAATAGGATTCGATTTTATGCAGTCAATTGTTGGTGGCCACAAGGAGAGTGTAGAAAAAATTACAAAAATCTTTCGCATTTTCCAATCTTTGTTGCTCATGTGGAGAGAAACATGGTGAGATTAACTAAGCTTTACTACGCATTATTGCACTAAAGTTCATTGTATTCATTGCTGTATTTCCGTTTTACTTTTCAGGGAATCATTTATAGTGGACCAATTAGAGCCGAACTGATAATAAAATTTTTGAATTCCATTCTGAAACCGTTGACTAGAATCGATTCTGAAGACGAATTGTGGAGATTTCGGGCCCAACATGATGTAAGAAAATGTTGAGATTGTTTGTTTTCCACACTTGTATTGATATCTACCGATGATGAATTAGATAGTAGATTCTGATTTTTATGTGACGAATGTCTAGTACTGAGGAGGGGAGCTTGCGAGGTTGATAATAACAGATCTTGGTGCCCTTTGGATATGTGGTAGGGACCCATGAGTGTACTAAAACCCTGAAGTAGTTTGACTCCATGGCCACATTTGCGCCCGCCACACCCACTCAAAAATGCTCAAAAAACGCTTTCACTCGAGTTTTCACTCACTCAAATCCACGTCAAAAATCCAATTTTACTCGGATTTTGAAATTTCTTTCACCATTATACTCCCAGATAGTTGCTTTCTTCAATCCAATATCAAACTCAATTTTATTGATGATTATTTCGCAAACATAATTTGTTTTGTTGATGACCACAACAATGCTCATTCAGAATTTTAAATTTTAAAAATACTAAAAATTTCGAAAAAATTGAGTTTGATATTGGATTGAAGAAAGCAACTATCTGGGAGTATAATGGTGAAAGAAATTTCAAAATCCGAGTAAAATTGGATTTTTGGCGTGGATTTGAGTGAGTGAAAACTGGGGTAAAAGCGTTTTTTGGACATTTTTGAGTGGGTGTGGCGGGCGCAAATGTGGCCATGGAGTCAAACTACTTCAGGGTTTTAGTACACTCATGGGTCCCTACCACATATCCAAAGGGCACCAATATCTGTTATTATCAACCTCGCAAGCTCCCCTCCTGAGAATGATTTGTATCTCAATTTTGATAGTTGGTTGTCTTAAACTGTGTACAAAGTTTTAATTTAGTTTAAATATTTGGTTGCAGGCAATTCTGTTGAGTTATTTCAATTTCACGGAAGGTGAATCAGTCCGCTCCTATGAGGTAAGTTATTGGTCTTCACTTTTTCACTCAAACTAAGCATATAATAATTATTTATTATACAATGCAGACTTATCGACAAATGGCATTGAGAAGTTTTGAGTCAGATCCATTTGGTCAGGTTGGGTATGGGATCTTTCTGAAGCAAGACCTAGCGTTGAAATACTTTTTAACGTCGTCGAACGTCATATCCCTAGTGCTTTTTAACGAGGTAAAAGATTCATTAAGAAAGATTTATTAAGATTCCCTTAATAAATCTTTTACGTGTCTAACAACATAATATATTTCATACTCTTACAGATTCATACCGCAAAATGGACTGGAGAAAAAGATGCTACTGGTAATAATTAAATTGTTTTAACCACTTGATTAATTATAACTACTAATGGAGCGACTTTTCTAGGAACTCGAGGTCCCGTTAGTCAAGTAGCAAACTGGGTAATGGAAAGAACAAAGAAAACTCCTATAACTTGGGCTTATCATATACGGTAATTTATTTCATTTTTATTTGCACTAATTTCATTTACTAAATAATTACCAATTCCAGGACTGGTTTTGCCAACAGAGCGGTTGCTCTGGGGCCGATGGATCTTGTAAGGATATTTATTTAAATAGTGCTGCTTCTACATCAACTATATGATTATTTAATATAAACGTTATGTAGGTTGATGAGTTATCCAGAGGTCCCGTTATTCTTCTCATAACTCGTCGATACTTTCCATCCTCATATTCCCCATTCTTTGCTCAAGTGAAAGAAGTCGCATTGGATTACTTTAACTGCAACAAGAGTGGAAATGTGACACGATTACGAAAAATTACTCATCAAATCAACTCTGGTTTGCAAAATAAACACCTCTTTCTCTACTACTCACTTTAAATGCTAACTTCAAGTATTTTCAATTTTCTTAGAATGGATGACATTGTGGAACTCGGTATCCAAAATTTGTGCAGCCCAGGTTGGTCCACCAAGTGACACATGCATATTGTTGAGAGATCAGTTGAAACACTGGAATACAAAGAGGAGTTCCCTACGCCGAGAATCTTTAGCAAGTTACAATGACGCTTCAGAGCGGATGAATTTCACTGGATTTTCTTGTGACTCGGATCGGCAGTTTAAATTTGTTGCTATTGACCCGGTAAAAACTATTTGCATATGCACATCTCAGAAAAATTATATAAGTAAAGTTGTTGAAAACTTGCAGATCGACATGCCTTATTTTGTTGAATTGGGATTTGGAGGACTTGGGTTTCACAATGATAGTGACCCAGTTCTATTTATAATCGATGCTCAAGTAAGTTACATTTAATCCCATTAACACTGGTGTAATAAATATCTAAATCAAATTGTTTGACAGAACGACATGATTTTGCCTTTTTCTACATTCAATATTACTGACATTGCTGAAGTGATTTACAATTATACGAACGACGTGGAAACGAATGAAGACGTTAGCAATTTTGTTTCTAACTATTGGAGTTCATCTACTACAGATTCAAGTATAACCCGTCAAAGAACAACAGCTACTCCACATAACAGTTATAGTTTTGCTAAAGAACTAGTCGAACATGGGCAAAATCTGGAGAACTTGGAGGAATTTCCAGTTTTAGGATCTACCAGACAAAATCTTGTAATGAACTTAAATTCTCAAGACTTACGAAAACTCATTGATGGAGTTAATCCTTTTCATTTACCGACACCTCTATTTTTGATGTACACGGCAAAATTTTGTGGAGCTTGTGGAATAAGTTTAACCAGTTTCGTCGACTTGTCGCGATTTATGGCAGATTACTATTATCTTGGAGTGAATATTACATTCGCAAAAATCGACATGCTACAAAATTCCTTGCCTGGACCCCTCTCACCAGAAAAGTTGCCAACCTTTGTCTTCTTTCCGGGAAATGAGTAAGTACTTTCTAAATCAATTACTGATCAATGAGTGACACAAATGATGAAACCAGTTTGCTAGATAGTATCTGAAAATTATTTTTAATTTTCTGATTATGACTTGCACCCTGATATTGTGCAGTTTTGAGAAAACAATTATAACTAAATCTAAAAAATGTCAAAATTTATACAATATCCTATCTTTATTTTATTTTCCATTTATTTATTCAGCCGAGCAGACTTCCGAGTGTTTCCTGCAGATGAGAAAATTACAACAAAAACTCTCCTTCAATTCCTTCTCTCTGAATTAGACCCGGAATCTAGGATCAGTTTAAGTTTGCAGAGTCCAGGTTGTTCCAATGAAGGTTCTTCGTGTACTCGAGAATATACTGCTAATTCTGATAATCCACACCTTGTTAAACGCCACCAAGCCGGATGTATCTCTCAAGATAATCCAAACACAAATCTCACATCGTCAAGACAAAACTGTATCTCTTCAAACAAAATATCTGTTGCGGACAAGCTTCAGCTCATCTTTAATGAGATTCAAAACGGGTACTATTCTCAACCCCAACCAGATGACGAAACCCATTTAGGATTAGGAGTTAGCATTGACACACTAAAGACGCAAGATTTGGATCATTTGAGAGCTATGAAAATTACTTTGGATGTGTTTAGCTAGATTTACTTCTAAATAATGACAGATAAGCATGGCATTTTCCAATGACTTTTCAAAACATTAATTTAGATTTATATAGTCATTTGTTCATTACTCAGTTAATTTATTTGACAATGGTGCTGTGCTTAATTGCTGCTAACAATTATCTAGTTTTGTAATATTCTGTCTGTGATGATGTAGAGATATACTTACGTTACATTTTTGACAAGGATGTCGCATGGTAAATAGTTGTCGATGTATGTAAATATGGATAACTGTATTTTTCCTGTACACTATGTATTCTGCAAGCCATAGTAAATTATATAAACCAGCAAATAAAAGATTGACGAGTGTATGTATTGCGCACTAAATTTTGATATAAAACTTTCATTAATTTTATTATACAACCTTGAATATTGGTTTTTGGGCACGAGCCAAGCGAAAGAGTTCATCGAAATTTCCAGGTTCTTTGTTGTGCATTGTGTTGTGATGATAAACATTACCGATTTTTATTAGCCGGTTAGCATATGTGAGTCGTATGTATGTGTTTATAATGCTATTTTTAAGTCGTAGTGTTTCCATCGTCTTCTATGTAAAAATGTATTTATATGAAGTTGAAGAGTATGTAACTGTGAAATGACGTTAGCGTTATAATTAAGACAAATTAAAATTCGAGTAGATTAATTGGAACTAATCTACAACTTTGGAATTTTCATTAAGAAACTGTCCCACAGAGTTTGCAAATCTGAACCTTAATGTCATTTTGTGTGTTTATGCAAATTAATTGCATGCACAGAACAACAGAGAGGTACAAACTGGCACATGCCCATATTTTTTCGTCTGGAATCTCTCTCACGTAAAAAATCAACCCACTTTATTCGAGAAGAAGAATCTCGTCGGGTTATCCGGTCAATTAACGGCGAAATAAATAGCAACAACATCTGTGCGTAATATTGTCGTCATTAAATCACTATCTGAATGAACATTTTGGTGCAAAAAATTAAAATCATTTGGATATATTTTGCAAAAATTGTCCATTTCATGCAATTTTGCAATGTATCATAAATCATTTGTAAGAAAATCTGAAAAAATTGGACATAAACTTGGCTGGAGGTTCCAGTCATATGGTCGTGAATTTCTAACTAATCCAATTTTAGATCAAACAACACAACGTGTAATTCTAATTCTATCTGGTCCATTACAACGGTGACTGACGCCACTGTTTTTTTATGCACATCACCCACCAACAACTTATTTACATACATCTTTGTTGAGTCGTAATTGAATGTCAAATGCATGCAATCTAGTTTCTTATTTCGCATATACATAGACATTATCCATCTCTGCTTATCTGTCTTCATACACAATAGGAAATGTATATTCTATATGGATAAGGATTATTCCTCTGGATTCATATAGCGTTGTATTCGTATCATCTATGCCACTACTTGTTGACATCTTTCCAAATTTCTCTAAGAAAACCAAACCGTCTTCCGAGGAGGGGCTTCATTTTTGCTGGAGCGTTTATGGAAATATCTACCTTCAATAGTGAAGTTGAAGAAATCTGAATAAGAGTCTGTGCTGTGTTTGTTTTATTGTGGAAGAGTAAGTGAATAATAATAATCATAATCGTTCTGGAGAATGTTGGGTCATTTAATTCTTGTAATTTCAGGAAACCAATCCGTAATTTATAATGGAGGTACAGAAGGAAGGTCAGAATTTGATGGTGACCTATTTCATCATTCTGGTCCTGCTGGGGGCTATGTACATGTTGTACGAAGGAGTCTTCTGATCTGGATTGGGGGATTATGATGGAGCTGGTTTTTGGTCAATAAAAGACATGTGAAAATAAAACATATCCAATCCAGAGACCTATGAAATCTGGAATTTTGTGTTAATATTACCCTTAAATTTTTCATAATTATAAAAATACTAGAATTTGATCTGCGCAAGAGTCACTACTAGTATGTACCGATATTCAAATTTGTCAAGTTTTGGGGAGAAAGTAATGTAATAAAGTTGTATATATTTTACCAGATAAAACCGCATACACTTTATTATTGGAAGTTTTCTTCTGGTGCATTCATTTCGTTTAATTTTATGTATTAATATATAATTAATCAGTCAGGTCGCATATATATATTTAAGATTTGCTCAGTATTTGCTATATCACTTGTTGGCACCTGCGACAGCTAGAGAATCAGCTCGTTCGTTGCCATAATGTCCTTTGTGTCCTTGCACGTACGACTTGAGAACAATTAAATATAATTATATAATTTATCGTTAAAGAGAAATAGAAATAAATATAGTATTTTAATTACCCATTTTATTTCAATTCCGCTCATAGCTTGGTCTAGTTTCACTAAATCTTCTCGGTTTTTTACGTCGTTCCCGTTAGCCAACTTGTAATCATTTCGCCTCCATTTGTTCAACCACATTGTCACACAATTTATTGTAAATTGTGAGTCCGTCTTGAGTTTCAACTTGGTTATACCTTTAACAATTTATCATATTTTAAAGACCAAATAAATATTTAATCATTAAAAGTAATTATGTAAATATGTACCTGCATTTTTTGCTTGTACAATTGCTCGTTCAGCAGCTTGAATTTCAGCTGTATTGTTTGTCTGTCGTCCAATAACTGGTTCTGATATGTTCCTAAGAAAGGTTACCGTAAAATATTTAGCTATTCTGATTATTTAAGTATTATTAATGACTATTATTACAATTCATGATCATCTCCAAACCAAACACCAATTCCTGCCTTGGCAGCTTTCTTTCCATTTGCCGAACATGCCCCATCCGTAAATACTGTGACATAACCTTCTTCATCAACTTGAAATGTCGACATGTCCACCCCAACATTGGCGTCGGTCTTTTGCCTCTTTACACCCGTCACTCTGTCCTCTGTCACTCTCAAACCCCTCTTTCCGACCGTTGCAGAAGTTCTTATGCCGCGTGTCGAGTCACTGCTTTCGGCAGAAGGAGTTGGGCGACTTAGAGGATTAATTAATATCGCAGTCCGAGTCTGTGCAAGTCTGGAAGGAGGTCCGCTTGGGAATTGATATATGGAAGGTCGAGCTAGTGATACCGTGTAGGACTCTTTTGGAACGTGGTTTGTTAAAGAAGGACCAAAACTTTTTGAAAATCCTTGTTTGTTATTGCTACTTCCAGTGATGATAGAAGAAGACACCGTTAAAGACGATGATGCAGAGACAATATTATTTGCAGGTTTGGCCACGGTCAATCCTGAAAATCCTCCATTTTCACCAATAAATGTTTCAGCTTCGCTTTGTGATTCAAACTTTTTAAACCTCGCGTTGGCAAACCCATTCACTTGTTTTTGACAATCATCCCTGCATAAATTAATAAATCATAAATATATACTGGACATTGTAGTAAAATTTATCGTAGATTTTACACTAACCATGTCGTAAAAACTCCAACCTGTCTCCCACGAGCCACTGCATAAAACCCCCCTTTGCTTTTCTTCCCCATGATTAGAACTAAACTGGACCAGTAGTTACAAGGAAAATAGTAATCCGGATTAACAATTGCTTTCACTAGAATAGGAAATCGTCCATAAGCGTGCTTTCCGGTAGTTGAGCATTCAAATTTCTTAATGGTGGATGAAATTGATAAAGGGCAGAAATTTATGACAAAGTAAGGGATCAAATTAGGTACCTTAATTAAGAATTTTGAATATGTTAAGTTAGCTGTCATTCAATAAGACACACTGACACAGCGAACGTGCAGTGAGAAGAGAAAGTGAAGTAAATAGAAATGTGAAATGAGCATGAACAGAAAAGTGCAATTTAGTGAAAAGTGCGCTGGCCAAGTGGGGAAAGTGCCATCAGTACCATCAGAAAGTACCTCATACTTAAATGTGTATATATATACTGCATGCAAATGATCATTTTGCGATAATCCTGCGAAATTATCGCAAATTTTTTTTACAATTATACAAAGTAATTTCTAAATATAAATTTAAAGAAAATTGTACATTCGCTTTTACTTATTACTAAAGACTTGTATTAAAATTAAAGGTAATAATAATATGCATGATTGTATTTACATATATTTAGAAATTTCATATCCATACGACAAAATTCGGAATCTTTTATACATATGTTTGCTTTATTCGGTTTTATGATAATGTATTTTGTATTTATTTGCAATTTCTGGTAGGCTTCTTTCTTCGCCACATTACTCAACGTCGAACTATTCGCTCTTATAGTCAAAACATTTAGAGCGAGAAGAGAAGGTCCATTTTTTTCTAAGTGGCAAATAGCTTTTATCTCAACGTTTTTACTTTTAACGCTTCTTTTTCGCAAAAATGTGGCCAGCATTATGAAATAATAAATAATCACGAGTCATTAAAAGTTCAGTCTTGGCCATTAATAATATTGCATGCCGTTGCCGTTGCCGTTGCCGTTGCAGAATTTCGCAGCCACCCACCCACCCACTGAATTTCAACTGAACTGATGTCTTGTTCTGATAAAATGAACCAGATAAAAGAAATGCTTGAGATGAAGAAATGTGTGTGTGGTTCGTATAATATTTTAATGCTGATCTTGGCCAAGTGCCATAAAAAAGTCGAGTAAAGTATTCTTTTATTGATGATGATCATCATCATCGCCACACTTTGATCTGGAAAATCAGGAATTTTCTTTTAATGTAAAAAATAACTGTAAAAAATGGAAACTCAGTTAAAAAAGACGTAATCAATTCCTTCGGTCAGTGATAAACTGTCCAACAGTCTTCGGAAGGGGCCACTTTCATCCCAAATTAGTTCCTGTTTTTTTTTCAAAGAACTTAGGTAAATTTTAAATGTCTTACTTTCACAATACAATACAATTATATCTCTACCGTTTTGACGCATATGACGAATGGTGGTTGCGCCTCTTGAATTGAGACAATTGGTAATTTCTCTTTGAGCGGATACGGATTGTAAAATCGTTGTTTTAACTTTGCATCGTCAACATCACAAAATGCGACAACTTTCTTCCGAGTAATTTCCTTAAGTCCGCGATATAATCGGCGTCCAGATTTCCCAGCGTTCCAAATGGTAAACTTGTCCCACTTGTTGAGTACGAGAGATTCCATGCGGTCAAGGCGGATTCTCCGAATGGTTTCACTTTAATCATTTAAAATGACGTAAAAACAAAACAAGATAATATCCGTTAATCTATAAATCATACTCACTCTGAGACAGAAAATGTCGTAGCATTTGCATGGTATCGATAAATCATGAGGATTTCGGGACACCTCTCTACCCGACCACCAGCATCCAAATGTTTATAAAAGAAAATGAGATCTTCTGGGGTTCCTTTCCCAGTTTCATCAAATCCACCAGGAATCTTATCAACTACAACGGACCGATGACAAAACCACGTCGGCATGACTATCGTGGGACCAAATGTTAGATAGATTTGTGTCTCCAACTGATCTCGCGTTAAATTGTTTGCCCAGAAGGCAAAATTATGCGTCGAATCTTCCGGTATCCGTTTAAATCGACTGCCAACTAACTGCATGAAAACAAATAAATGATTGTTTTGTGAAAGCGTATATATAATATTGTTGTTGGATGTTATTAATTTATTATGCATAGGATTCGGTTTCGTACCGCATCATGATTTTTGGACGCCAACTCAAGTTGAGTAATGACTCGTGTGGGCTCCATGATGTCATCCTATAATTACAAATTATGTGAACATGCACATAATTCAACAACACTTGTCGAAACACTTAATATTTTTTTAACTGACAAACTTACGCCATCACAGAAGCAGAGATATTCTCCTGAGGATTGTTCTATTGCACGATTTCTACCGAACCCGACTAATTAATTAGATAGACATATTTGCAAAAACGGTTACTGTATATGTAAATGATACTTATGTGAAGATTTGAATAATTACCTCCATGCGGACTGGCCGATTCATTTTTAGATATCACAAGAGAAAATTTGTCACCATTTGTGGTATCATTTTTCAATTTCTGAAAGGACTCCTCCACAATTTTGAGCGTGTTATCCGTGCTCCCATCTTCATAGATGGAAAGTTCCAATTTTACTTGCTGATACGAATCGGAGGTGAGAGTTTGAGCAAAAATTGAGTCTAAACATTCCTGTATGAAATCTTGACAGTTGTAAAGTGGGATTATTATAGAAACTACTGTAGCGTCACTTTTTTCGATATGCTTCTTCTCCTCCATAATCAAACAAATAGAAAAATATAGTGAAATTGTGAATTTAAAAATTTCGGCTTATCGATTCCATTTTTTAATCAAATCATAAGATTTCAGAAGTACATTTAATTTATAAGAAACCACACATGGCACATGAATAAAAAGTATTTTTATCCCATGCATTTCCCTCCCGACTCTAAAAAAAATTAACAAACGTGACACAACCTCAACCAAAGTGAAACCATTCTGCAAAATTTTCTTTAAAAATTGTTTTCTTCAACTGGATCTGCATTTATCCTTCTAATTTCTATAAAAATCACACTTGACCCATTAGTGACACAAACTCTTATAAAAACATGACATAAATTCGAAAACAAGAAATCATTCACAAAGTGCATTAAGCAAGTCGTCCAAAAAATTTAGAGCCAGGCCGTCTCCACTGAAAATCTTGCTTTAAAACTTGAAAACAAATAAATATTCATTTCCGCTGAGTTGGTGAAAAACCAGATTATTATTACTTTCCCGAGGTTTGTTCAATCTCCAAGCATCTTTCATTCATTTAATTTTTTTTTGCACTTATTTCATACGTTAAAAATACACACATTGAAAAATTATACAACCGGAGAATCGCAGATTTGCAGATGATAAATATGACCCATTTTCCAGATCACGGTTGCATTTCAACTTAACTACTTTATCTCATTGGCTAAAAAGTTTGTAGTTTTTTTCCTTTAAGAATAAATAAAATGGCATCTTTACGTAATAAACTTTAAGTTAAAAGGAAACGTCTTGTTTACAGTAACAAACAATCGCTTCATTTATTTACATATTCTGACAACTAAGGATGTGCATTACATAATACGAAACTTTACTGGGCCGCAGAATGGGACCAACTATACGACATTCGCACATAAAATTTATATAAACTGATGTTACTGTCATCCAAGTCCCTGTAGGTCTGTACATATGTCGGCGAAAACAAAGCGAAACCAGGTTCACAAAATTGACAAAAAAACGAGACTTGATGTTGCCCAGTTTCTTGAGATCATTGCATGTTTGCCATTTCAAATCTGCTTGAGAAAAACAAGATTATGTAAGATTATGCAATATATATGTATGCTTAAGATATGGAAGATATCACTTTGTTTTTTACTGTCAAATGCAAAAAATAAACATTGAACAGGCCCGAGCATCGGATAAGATTTCACTGTGTAGTCAAACAAGACGACGTTTTATAGTATTCTTCTCAAGCTAGATAGAAGCCATATTCATTTGCATGTATGAAGCATAGGATTTGATAAAAAGCCATCAAAGAAAAAAAGTTTGCACATACGAAAGCATCCTATTTTGCATGCCATACACTTAAAGAAAGTGTAATACATGTAGAAGAACAGATACGCGCACTGTGAATATCATCGGAATCAGATCACACATTTTTATTTTGCATCCTCCGGATGGTGGATTATTCATTCATATCGGTTTCGGAATCTCGGTTATAAGCTTTGCATCCTTCCCCTTCCTTCGACCAGTTCATTTGACACTGTCACTCCGACAACGTTACTCGTGGCGTGGCGTGGCTTGGAAGTTGAATACATCGTCAATATCTTTGACGCCTCAACTTTCCGTGAATTTGTCTTTGTGGGAATAAGTGGAGAATAATTGACGTCAATTAAACAATTCTCAAGTCATTAAGGACTTTGTGATATGCATAAATCAATTCCAGTCCCGACTCAGGCTCGAGGAAGGAGGGGTTCCCTCTTTAAAGAACGATTGCTACTTGTTTCACCAGAAATTGGTAATAAATTCTCATTTTAGAGATGGATAATTTCATGGATAATTATGTCACCTTCGATCTACTGCGGTTACCTTTCAGCATTTATCGGGGATTCAATCCTGGCCAAGTTTGCTGAAGACGGTCAAGCAGTATGGGAAAAGAATTATAGTCATTTGAATTCTGGAAATATGGGGACGGTTGGGGACTCGACGCAGATGTTGATTGAAAAGTTAGAACGGGACATGCTACCTTTGGAAGATACGCAAATCGTAGTTCTCATGATTGGAGCTACAGATTTGCGACATAAACTCAAAGTTTCCGTCGTTTTTGACCAAATCAGGAAAATTATTCAGATGTTGCAGGTATTTCGTGGGTCAACTTTTAGTCTTCAGAAAAAATTGTGCTAAAATTGACACTATTTTGCAGGCTGGATGTCGCTCCGGAGTCAAAATCATGATTCTTGGAGTTTTGCCGAGAGGAGATTCGAACGTGGATTGTAACGATGCCATTGCTGAAACTAATGAAATGCTGACCAATTTGGAGGTAATTAATATTTTAACTGAGGAAAACGTTCCTGAGCACGTTGTAATTAACTTTTAACATGACAAATTTTTTGCCCCCTTTGAAGAATGGTTTCACGATGCGATTTGTCACTCTGCAATCTCAGTTTTACGATAAGGAGAAAAATAAAATTAGGGAAGAACTTTTTCATACGGATCGTATAAATTTGAATGAAAAAGGGTAATAAAACTGTAAAATATTTAATTTAGTTAGTGTTTACTAAATATTTATAAATATTTTTTAACAGGTATGAAGTCCTGGCAAATGCAATTCATCCAGTTTTGCAGGAATTTTTGCAATCCAAGTAGGAATTATGACAAATATAAGAGTTTTTGTAACTTTTTGCCAAAACATATCCCCGTAAACGCAATCCGTTATCTTATAGATTTTAGATTTTTTTATGCCGATAGTTCATTTAAACAAAGGCATATTTAGATGTATAGATAATTATCCATATTTTTGAGACTTTTCTTGAGAAATTAGTACTAGATTTTGAAAACCATAAACATTTTTTTCGTTTACTTGTATCATTGACGATTGAATATTTTGAGAAAAAATAAAACAATTGATACACCCGATGGAGTTTGTGTAACAGAAAAATTGGAACACGCGCATTTTCTACCGATCTCGACAAATTTGGATCAGATTGATTATTGTAATCACCGTGTTTGACTTTTGCATCGTCTCCCGAGTGAATTGCGGTCATCATTGAACGACAAAAAAACTAGGCGTTCTGTTTGTCTCGACTTGACAGATCGGCTTCTTCTTCCCTTCCTGATTTTGTCTTCTCTCCTTGCTTACAATAAGTTGACAGCTTTACAACGTCTCAAGTGATGAGGTGAGACAGCTGCAAAATTCCAAACATTTTCAGCATTTCCGAAATGACAAGACTTTCCAAGTTGCGAAAAACACAACCTGCTGCGAATTATCCTGAGTGATAAAGATACATGGAAATGGTGGGAGTAATAAATGTCACCCAACTTGCAAATTGTTTTAAAACTCATTATCCCACTTTTAGTAATTGGATGGGATGGGGGGGGGGAAGGATCAACAATCATTCTCAATTTGTGGAATGCATGTTTTTCTTCGATTTCCTCAGACCGAAATAAAACTTGAGAGATGAATTAATCCTTTAAACAGTTTTCTTTAATGTGGAAAATGCCTTATTTTCATTACTGTGTGGTTTCTGTAGTGGAAAAACGCTTGGATTTGTGCCAATATTTAGTATGTTTATTTAGAAGAGAGTGTCTTTCAACGGGGATAAGTATTAATCCACACCGGAATAAACAAAAGATCATGATCAGTGAAATGCCATGATCAATTTCCGTAAAAAAATACAAAAAGTGTCACTTTCTCATTGACAGTGACGATTTCGTTATTTATAAAGCTTTTAATGTAAAATAGGCTAAGTTTCTAGCAGCATTCGCTTTCAGTTACATTTTACAGAGAGCTTATGTGATTGGTGATCTGTTAAACGATATTTCAAACTTGACACTTGTTCTTATTGAAATTGAAAATAAATGTACGAGACAAATAAAATAACGCATGCATTTCAAAGACAATTTCGCAATACGTATAATTGTGATTCGTATAAACAACTACAAATAGCTTGACTTTCAATTTGTCGATAAGGTAAAATTTGAGATAGTTCCAGCCAAGTTACGTAAAACAGTAAATACATAAAAACCAGCATGCAACATGAGCGAGTGAGCGACGTGTTCTAAATTCTCACCCCTTTTTCACTCAATCAAGTTACATTACGATTTTCGCCGTCGCATAAAACTGCGAATATCTCCCGAACCACTCAACATTTAGAAAATATGAATGCACTAACAGAGAGGTACACATTTCAAAAATTCATTTCGTAATTTATCCCAATCGGAAAAGTTATGGTCGAGGTTAAGCGATGCAGAAAAGCGAGACACATTTGGTGGCGGCAGGTGCCAGAGAAGGGCTTGGGTGAGCGCAGAGTGATCTTCACTTACCTGGCGTAGAGAATAGCACGATCCAGAAGGTGCTTTCTCCAGGCTGAGACCCTCCATTGCACTTCGGTGAGGTTGACGCTTGCGATTATCCCTAACGTGGATAACTCGGGCGCAAAATTTTTTCCACGGGGCACAGCGTTCGCGCTTGCCCCTACTGAAAACAATCCAAAGATATCCAACTCCTAAAAACCAAAGCTGTGAAGCTTTTACAAAAAAAACTTGGAAAATATCGATGCAAATTTCGCATCTTATTTTCATTCATTCGTATACCAGAAATTACATGAAAAATGACACGGAAATGTATCATCCGTAACAAGATACATTTTGATGCATCGTGAATATTAAACTTACAAAAATTTCGACACAACCTAAATTTTATTCAATACTATGTAGATCATACAACATAACTCGGTTACATACTTAAAACACTAACACTGATGCCAGCTTTCTCTCCTTTTCTGTTTCCTTTCTCCTTGGGGAGCGTCCATAAATCACGTGATCGATTAGAGGGGGGAGGGGGTCTGAAATTTGTCACCAATTATCACGAGGGGGGGGGGGTAGATGGTCAGATGTCACGTGACATGAGTAAAGTTTTGTATATGCCAATAAATGTCATGAGAGTTATATATAAATTCTCTTGGCATACCGCACACACGTTATATAGATTTGATTTTCATTTTGCATATTTAGAAACTTGCTTCGACTTAAAATTCTTATATCTGACTGGCGTATTAAATAGTTATTTACACATGTGTGTAGCTCTAATTTGATTAATGATTAAAAAACACTGGAATAATATTTTTATTCCGGACAACATGATTTGAGCATCATCTGTCACGTGACTGGTAGGGGGGGGGGTAGCGAAATTATCACCAACGGTCACCAAGGGGGGGGAGGGGGTCAAAATTGTCGAAAAATCGATCACGTGATTTATGGACGCCCCCTTGCTAAATGATTAAGAGTTGCATATCATAAATAATCAATCCATAAGTTTCATCCATTCTCTCACACACATCTATTTTTCCGTATGACCATTTCAATGCTTTTATATGTCTTCAAATGTTAAATTATGAGCTGCGTCGTGGGGTCGATTGATGATAAACATTGATAATAAACAGATTTATTTCAGTTATAAATTTAAATAAATTGCAGAAATAACTTTAAGGGTTCAGTAGTCACCCCTTGATGAATATTTAATTACTACAAGAGAGACTTATACTATAACATTGGAAATAATCATATATCTTCAACTTGGAGTCTTAATTTCCAGCCTCGTCACCTTCCTCTTCATCCTCGGCATACATTTCCATGAGTTGTTCAGGCGTTGGTTGGATTGGAGCAGAGGGGGCATTTCCATTGGACCCTCCGGGTCGGTGTTCAAATATGAGACGATCTCCAAAATGCTGTTGTAGGGCACCCAACCCCAACTGTAGCTCTTGTTCTTCTTGACGTCTGTGAATGATGCGTCCACCACCCATTCCCAGAAGAAGAGGAGGGGAGGCATCACCCCCCACGAGATCTTCTTCTTCGATGTCATCTGTATTAATTTAAGAATATTAAGATTGCTGTCAATGATTTACAATATCCAACTTTAAAATTTAATTACTTATTCAACATTTCTTACCATCTTCAGACTCGCTCATATCGCTGGATGCATCGGGATGAAGTAAAGTACAGTCTTGAACAGCTTTATACATTTCGTCAAGTCTTGAACTGGTTTCTGGGACGAATCTGACTTCAGTAGTGTCATCCTCGTCGCCGTCGTCATACGTGGGAGATGGTGGGCCTTCCCCTGAGTATTAAAAATGCGTAACTAAATGAATATATGAATGCTATAATTATTACATAAATAAACCAACTATAATCATACCGGCATCGTTAGCATCCAAAGTTCCGTTAATCATAACATAAAGGCAATTTCTCGGATGAACATTTGGATCCCTAGAGATTGCATGGAGTGTCATTTTTTTGTACTGAATTGTAAAACCTTCGCCCCCAGTCTCCTTCAGCCACATGATGAGTCTGCAATGAAAGCAAGCTTAAGTATTAAACGCTTCTATTATTTCTAGTATTATTAAGTTATATTTTTTTAGATTTCTACTTACTCCTCTGTAATGTAAAGAGTGCCCTTGCCAAGAATCTCGTCTCCCAGTAAGGCTTCAACATTAGCGTCTTGAAATCGTATCCCTGTCAAGGGAACGGCCAAGTGGCGAATAATTACCATGTTGAGCCTCTAACTTGATGATGTCGACAAGTTGAAACTTCCGAAAGATTTTTCACGCACAATTTCCAAGACCTGTTATATATATTTCGTCAAATTTATTACTTACAAAGGGACACCGGTAAGTCAGACAAACATTCGTTACTTACCTCACTCCAGAATTAAAAGTTAATTATTTAATGACGAACAGCAAACAATAATTGATTAAAATCGAATTACTTTACGCAAAAGTCTACACGCTCCGGTGTACACGTTCAGCTCACAAATACAACGCCACCATTCGCGCTGTGTGACTTGCTCAATGTTGTCTCAAACTTATCGATCACTCAGTTTTTGTGCACAACAAAGACCTTTAAACGATCGATAAGTGTTATTATGACATCTGATCTAATAGTGCAAGTAATAATAAGCGAGTAAAAAGATGAGTGCTTATCTTTAACTTATCATTGTTTTTTATATATGCAGTTTAAATGACCAAAGTGGGAAAGATTTCGTGAATGCATTAAAAGATTATTATTGCAAACGGCGTCATCAGGTACCAAATAATTTAGTGAATTATAAATAATTTTGATAATTAAAATAATTAACAACATTTTTTCACGTTGTATTGTAGGGTTTAATAATGTCAGCTGGAGAAATTATTCCCATCGCGCTTGGTATCATTACCGACCCACCAACGCTTGTCCTGACCTATGACGAAGTTGTGGCACCATCATCCAAAGCGCAGAGAAGACAGCGAAGAATGGTTAGGATATGCTTAAAATATGTCAAAAATGTGAAAAAATATATCAAATTCCTATATATTTTTTTAGCCAATCAGATATACTCCTCCACCATTCACGGATCGATCGAAAGTCGATTACGCTCACTTTCTCCTGAAACAAAAGCATGGACCGTACTTACCGGAGGTCACGCAGGTCTTGGTGCCAAAGCTGTTGCGCGTCGTGCAAGAACTTATGAAGGGAATGGAAATTAGTAAGTGCTGGAAAATGTTATGAATTTCGGGTGATAAATGACGGGATGAAAGTCTGCATAGGTATTTTTATTATTCTGTTGTTACGTAGAGGAAGCCCTGGCGAAGGTGGATTCCGAATATTCCGTCGACCCGGACAAAGATTTGAATAAAGTCAGTTCCGCAGAGCTTGCCCAAAACAAGTTAATTATGGATGAAGTAAGATAACACTAATAAAAATATTCTAATAATCTAAGACTAATGAATAATTTTACATGTAGGACTTTCTTCGGAAACGTATAAAACCTTCAGATAAAGATTACGTGTATGATAAAGTTGAGGATTTCGAAACTGGTGGTGTGAAACAGAGGAGTGAATGGGATGATGATGATGATAATAATAACGATAACGATAAGGAAGATGACAAGGCGAAAATTAGTGAAGATAGTGTCAAAGTCAGTAAAGAAGATGTCAATCTCAGTATTGCACCAGTTGAGACGAAGCCTGATCCAAAACCAAGTTTACATGAGGAAAGTCTTGTAGAAACGGTACCAGCATATCCTTCCTTGCCGGAGAAAGTCGAACCCAGTGAAGATCAAGTCTCTTTCGAAGAACAACTTTTAGTTTCAATTTGCGACGGAGAAATTGAAGACGACAAATTACTTTCTATCTGCGATTTTGACATAAGTCTTCCTTTTGGAGATGGAGAAAATATTATATTTGGTATGCCCCCTGAAATTACTCGTGATGAAAACGAGACACGAGAAGAAAGTCAAAGAAATCGAGTATACATGCCAAGTGAAAGTGATAATGATGATGATGACAAGGATACCAGTAAAGTGGTACTTAAAATGGCCCCTCATACCGTAATTGACATCGGAAATTCAGCTTTTCTCGGTGATGTGTCCACTTTTCTCCGAGAAGAAATTGATGATGATATTCCTAGCATAATTCCTTATCCACCACCACCCACAGATTTGCCCTTTTTAAGACGAGAAGAAGAAAACAATCAGAAGAAAACTCTGGAGAAAGTAAAAATTGTCCAAGATTTTAAGGATATCGAGACTCCAGAGAAAGTCAGAATTGCTGCCGAATTTAATAAGAAGGAAACTCCAGAGAAAGTCAGAATTGTGGAAGAATTTTTGAAAATACCGTCTGAAAAACAAGTCAAGGTTATACCCGGTGAAAGTACGAAAGAGAAAGTTGTGGACGAAACAAAGTTAACTGATGATAAGGTAATCCCAAAACCAGTACCAGATTCAGATCACTTGGGGAAAATAGAGAAACCGAAGCTTCTTGAGGACGACGACGATGAATTTTGGGGATTGTAAATAAATTCATAAAATGAAATTTAAACTTGCTGTTTGTTCATGAAGACTTTAAATTTGTGGTGCTATTTTTTGGTGCTATTACCAAATTAATAAAAATTAATGTTTCTACTAAATGTTCATCTTTGAATCTCTTTATTCGTATCGTAAGTTCCACAAGTTTCTCAAAGTTTTTGGAATTTATATTTTATATACATGTTTTTATCTTAATGGAGGAACTGCTTCGGAGAAATTCGTTTGTTCGCTTAAATATACTTTTAATTAAATCTTGTCAAGGGTTCATCTTTTTGATTTGCAAAAAAGGGGCTCAAATAAGGTTATTTGCATCATCAATCAACCCAAATTTTGAATATATAAATTGCGTGGAATGTAATAGTAGTATTTTTTAAGGGGTAAATCACAGCATCGTTATTTTGTAGTCACAATAATAAAAATAACAATAATAGTTTTTAACCCTTGATTCTGAATCAATCAATAATTTTGGTAGTTTCGATGTCCATCCATTCATCAGATGTCAACTTGTTTCACATTTCCAATTTTTTGAAATATTTCTTGTCGAATTTATGTATTCCATGAACATGCATAACATTTCTTCATCTTCTTCTTTTACTCTTGAACTAATTTCTTGACTAAAACTAACGTAATAATTAATAATAATACGTCTATAGCACCAATGTGGTAAAAAAATGTCCACCACGCTTATTTACTCTACAATGAGCGATTATCTAATTTTACTACCCATTTTCACCCCTAATGTTTAAAATAGTGCTTACTATTACATACATATAACGTGAATTCTTTAACAATGACAGAGGAATTGGTAAGAAATAAGTACGCATATCCTATCTTTTTCTGAATTGGTAGAGGCATCATCTTGGATATTATAGCGAGAACACACTTTACATTCGTAATAAATAAGTCTAAATATCTATATTTGGTATACTCAAGTATATTACCACGCGGTATAAACGCAATGAAGAACTCACTCGTAAAAATCGTTATGATAAACATTTTTTAACAAGTTTCGTCGTCACAATGTCCAATTAATTATTAAAAATTGTTACCGTACGTGATGTCTTTATAGGCCTTTTTTGTTTGAGTGTATACCTAGATACATGTAAATACCTAGTTTTCCAACACAAAAATTGGAATGATAATCGAATGATGAGTTTAATATCGGAAATGCATCACCCTTCTCTAAAATCTAGTAATTTATATTGTCTAAAGAGTGAATGGTCATCATCATCATCATCTTGTTTGCGATAGATCTTACTTATTTATGGATATATCTTGACTTAAAACTCTATAAATTAGTTGGTTGGTTTTGGGTTAGTTTTTATGTAAATATTTAGTACAGGTACATGTTAGAAAAATCTAATTGTTAATTAGTTAGTTAGTATCTGATTAAAATCACATTTTCTATATGTATTTTTTAACGTCTTGGCGAAAACGCTATACAGTCTAAATTCATTAGTAGTTATGTAATGTTAGATAAGTGTCTCTCTCGCTAATAATTGTGTGAGATGATATTTGATGAGGTCATACATATGTAGTTTTTGCGTGATTCGATTATATAGATTTTGATTGATCACTTTTTAAAAATTGGATAAATTTTGAACCGCACCCATCGTACATGTAATTCTCACTTTTGTGTGTAAATACCTATAGCACCCTCATTTGCATATTACATAATAAATATATTTACGTATTTTATAAGGAATTTGTATAAAATCTATTCTTCTTAATGGAATGCATTGAGGCATATTTTATATTGGCTGTGATGCACCACTACCCAAAATTTCTTACATTTTAATTCATAATTTTTATATGAAGGGTTTAATTGGGAATATGTCGCAAATTGAGTCATTTCAAGTGTCTGTGAGTCTTAAGTTAGCGGAAATATACGTTAATAATCGTAATTATCACTTCTTTTTTTGATAATTGAAATACGATACATACGCATTTTGGAATGGGTTCTTCTCTTTAAAATAATATTAATAGAACACACTTTAGAGTTTAGGGGTTTTTGGAGACTACATTTTAGACTAGAATTGCTATCTTTTTAATGTCATAAAGCAGGGAAATTTTGAGATTTCTTTTGTTGGAAATATATTTTTATGTATATAATCTCTGAATTTTTGGTTGAATGAAGGAGTAAGTATTTCCCGAGAGTCGTCATCTCTCCAACAAATATTCCCAGTTTTATGAATATGTATGTACCCCACACTGCTGTACGTACACCCTACTCTAAAATAGTGAGGTAACAATTACACAGTAAAGTTGAAGCCAAGTCTACATTACTCAAAGGATCCCTACACCTACAGATATATCTTTTATACATATTTTTAGAGAGTTAACTTTGTGACATATTTACGAGCACGGTCATGCATGTCACAACTTAGAACATAATAAGTGTCACATTGGTATATTCGTCATCCACGTTAATGTAGAATGACTTGGGGCCATTCCGTCCTCTAGACCATGGAAATGGGGTGTTTGCCTCTGGGTGGATTGGGAGAATATGCAACGGAAGAAGAAGAGTCCGAAGGGTATGCGGAATGCTGCTGTTGGAACTGGACCCTTTGCATTTGTGGGTGATGTCCGACAATCGGGAGTGGTGAAGGGTGATGGTGTTGCAATTGTTGGTGCTGCTGCTGGTACTGTTGACCAGGCGGGGGTGGAGGTCCCCTGAGTAAAGTTTGACTCGGTGGTTGTTGTTGTTGTGGTCCTCCCATAACCATTTCAGTCTCTCCCGGATAAGGTCCCGGTCTTGGTCGGATGTTTTGCGGAGAAACCCCCAAATTTTGACTTTGGGGATCTTGGCGTAGATCGTGGGGAAAGAATCCGATCCGAACCTGGGCAGGAATTGGACCCCTCATTATTGGTGGTGGGGGTTGTTGTAACTGTTGTTGCTGTTGTTGGGGGTGGGGGTGATGCTGAGACTGCTGGGGAAAGTTGACCATTTGCCCCTGTTGACCACCACCACCACCACCACCGGTAGGAGTTGGACCCAAAATAGGAAGATGAGGTGGGTGTGGTTGTTGTGGTTGGAACTGTTGGTGTGGTTGCTGTTGTTGTTGGTGGCGATGATGTTGTTGCTGTGGGGGGTGCTGTGCACTTGCTGGATTTAATAAATTGGCATCACTGATACCAGGATTGGCGAGAGGTGGTGGTTGTTGTTGTTGTTGTTGATTTTGATTTTGAAATTGGGACATTTGAGAAGGATGATGGTGAGGATTCCTTTTCGGAGAAAAGTTTACCTGTGGGGCTTGAAGATTTTGAATTTGAGGCGTCTGAGATTGAAGTGAGCTCTGTTGGGAGCCTGATCTCCCAGTCCCATGACGTTTCGGAGACCCTGTCATTGTCCCTTCGGCCGAAGAAGGAGGATGTGAATGGGGAGCTGAATGTGATTGTTGCTGTGATGGGTGTGGTGAAGGTGGTTGTACTTGGTTCATCTTTTTTGGAGATTGTTGCTGCGATTGTGTGGGTTGTTGTTGGTGGTGTTGTTGTTGTTGTGTCGGTTGGGGTAGAAATTGTTGAGGAATTTGAGTTTGTGACCTGCTTTGAACTGAACCTGGTTGACCTTTATTATTGTCATGAATTCCTTGTGGTTGTTGTGATGGGTTTGACGAAGTAAATTGAGGCTGAACGTAGAAGGCGATATTGCGAGTGACCGCTTGACCTCCGTGCCCGAATACGTGGCCCGTATCCTCATCGTTCAGTTGACGAATGTAGAGGAATAGAAAGACCAGGTAGACGAGAGTCAGGAGAACACAGCAGACCAAAATTGCAAGCCGATAAATCTCGGTTATAAGGGGCCCATCTTTATCCCTAGAGCTACTGAAATAAAGAGAAAGCATATGCAATTACTAAATAATTAAATTTCGTAATTGACATTTAGTTTACAGGGCTGGATACCTACCTGCCAGTAATATTGTTATTCGACATAAACGTAACCTCAATGTTATTCCCTCCTGGCGGCGTTCCTCCAGGATCTGGCGGATCTGACGAGGGTGACTTGGAGGAAGGTTTAATAATCAAGTCTTTCTCGTCCAACGTCGTTCCGTGCGGAACTGCGAGATACACTTCCGGTCCGGTCGGACTGTTGGAGGAGTGCAAGTTTGAGACACTGACCAGCGAGTCTGGGAGGAAGGGAAACTGTTGATATTGGAAGTTTGGTGTCAACTTGAGTACCAAAATGGCCACGAAGACGAGTAATTGAAGAAGAGAGAATGCAACGGAGGACCATTTCAATATTACAAAACATTCCTGCAAATTTCACATGAAACGGTTTAATTTACGACCAAACAGTGATGATAACTAAAAAATTTGACGATAATCTGTAACAAACCTTCTCCACGGAGTGGAATATCAGAATGCCAAGTGCCAACAGAAGGGTCACATACACCATAAACGGTGCTAAGAAGGACGTAACTTTCTCACTGAACAACTGCAATGTCATTCACGAATAAATACCTTATTTTTACATCAATCTCCACAAAATTACTGCATTATGGGCTTACGTTATTAAAATTGTAGAATGTGAAGACCACCGTGGCAATGACATACCGACTGAACAGAATAAATCCCACCGTCTAAAGCAAGATATTAATTTGAAATAGTAGCACAATTTCAACAATGCATAAAACATATGCATAAAATACTTACCACGTGGACACTAGCCCCAAAAAAGGCGACACCCCGTAACGAAGTGCACATTGCTTTCACTCACACATTTTACTCCTCCATTTAAACCTGGTTGCCTAACAAATTCAGATTCAGTAGTAGGAAGAAGACTTGAAATACATTTCTGATTCCATCCTCATTTCCGTAAATCAATTTCTACATGTAATTCCTCCTACGTGGTGGAAATCTCAGTTTAATAGTCATTCTACTGAAATAGACCCATCTTTTTTTACCCACTAACTAAACCTACGCACGACTTTCACTTTCTCTATGCCTAACTAAATAATGAACAGGTTACCCATTTTCGCTCAGCTATTTTCTTGTCTATCCAAAATCTGAGCCTAATACGATAAGGAATGATCCAAGTCCTATTTATTTATTACACTAATTGGTTGACAGATTATCCTCAGACTAGGCAACTTGTAGTATCAAATTAAAAATGGATATGTGCAGCAGCAAGGTAATTACAACAATATGAAAGATAATATCTGTGCAAAAATAATGAGCCAACTTATTTTTCTCCATTCTTTCGCGAAATATAATACAAAAAACTTTCTCTCTTCGGAATGTTTTGAAACGATATGGATAGTTTTCTCCTCCACGATTTACACCACCACCACCACCACCACCATCACTTTGGAGGAGGAAAAGTTGACGTCTTTTTTCAAGACGGGATGTTTTTTTACGTATATTATTATTCTCTTGGTTGGTTGGTGGTGTGTGTGTAAAGAGTAAATTGAAGTGTGAAGTTGATGATATGATGACGGCTGTTTATTCAACCGAAAGAAACCGATTCGGGTATTTCAATGTGTAAAAGTAGTAGTAGTTTCAGAGTCCAGTGGAATTTTCTCTGCTCCTTTTCCTTCCTTACTTTCTCCACCAGCACCAGCACGGACCGATTCTCCCGTGTCTACTACCACCAGAGAGAGAGAGGAATGGGAATGGATTGATGAAAAATAATGAATAGAAGACACACTACCAATCCAACCAAATCCTAGTGCTAACTCACTCCTGAAATAGGTTCAGGGTGTCGGACACGGAGACGAAAATTCGGAGAATAAACTTTCTCCGAAATCAAGACATCGATACTTTCTTCTCGAGATGAAAAGAAGGAGAGAAAGTTTTTTGTGTGTAAAATATTTTCCAAAAAAAGTTTATTCTCAAACTAACTTTTATGAAAAGTCGGGTCTCTCCCGTCTCCATTAAGATATCATCCAATTAATCCGTAATTTTATTACGTACGTATTTACGTACATAGGTGGTCGATGGGTGCGGGTATCATACATAATATTGCATACATACATACATATACCTTTTTACTTCCTCTAATAACTGGCTGGCTGGCTGGCCACCCTGTCCACCCCGATTGGAATTGAATGAGCGATGGATAAAGCTGAGGATATTTTTACCCGGGTTGTCGGAGAAGGACGCAGGTCAAATAAAATAGTGCCAGCCAAACCCCACATTTTTACTCGTCCAGCTGTCTCATCTTTGAGCCTTGAGGTTCGTTCTCTCCCAACAAGCAGAAACTACTTGCTATACGTATTTATACACACGAGGAACCTTGGTGGATTGCATTGCGTTACATATACATACACATTACTTCCTCGTGCACCACGCGCTTGCTTCATGTACGACGAGACAGAACAGAACAGAGCCACCAGGAACCGGGTCACTTACTTATTTGCTATAAACGGGAGGAGGAGGAGGAGGAGAAGAACATGGAGTAGTATTTTCGGTGGTGGTAGTAGCAGCCAGCAGCATCCTCTGCACTATTAGTCGATCCGTCCCTGCTTTCACTGCACCATTTTCACTTTCTCCGGGTAAAATGTGGAGCTGCTAATGGCTTTCCCACTCCTGCCTGCCTCGCTGTCTCCCTGTCACCAATTGTGTAAGAGCAAGAAAAACTTGGCCCGTTTCCCATGCATGCATACATGAAACCAAGGCGAAATGATGCTAAAACTTTCCTTTTACTTATTCACCCATCATCATCGTGTCCTGATATGTGGTGGATGGAAAACTAGGAGGTGGTAGTGGTGGTGAAAGTATGCATGCATTTCTCCCTGGGCAGAACATTATGAAACTGTTGCCCTCTTTGTTTCCAAACTTTTACCTGGAATCTTATTATTATGATGTTGATGGGATCGGGGTTTTGGATGAAATCTTTTGAAAAAGTTGGGGTCCAATCGGAAAATGGTTTTGTTTCAAAAGAGTCAGAAATTGAGGTTTATGTATTAGAGATAAGGTTATTTTTGGGCAGATGGGATATTGTACGACAAAATTATGTATATATTTATGTAGTTTGGGGAAGTTCGCATTTAAATTAAATCATTAAATGTTTCCCAGCTTTCTAAAATCATGGTCACTCTTTTTCCTCACATATGACAAACCCCTTGAACTCGGAACAATCTGTGGAATTAAGGTCCCACTCGTGAGTGACTGCTTTGACTTTATTGTTGAGATATTCGGCCTGGATCAAGTGGCATTTGCCTTTGTGAGAAGCATCCAGCCAGTAAGGACTGTAGTGGTCGTCTAAATAATGTGAACAATTACATCTGTTTGAATCGTAAGAACAAATGGGTGACGTAAATATCTAATTACACGGATGAGATGCCGATTGAAACTCTTTGGCCCCCAAATGGTACTGATCAGACTCGTCAGTTAGTTTTTGATAACCTTCAGGACATATTCCGGACTTTCCTGTTTGCTAAAAAAATTCAAAATCAGTTGATAAGCTATTTCTTATGGAGTGGATTTGTCATCATTTCAATCTCTCCGTTCTCACTTTGTATGCACTTCGCATAAACTTTTTGCCGTGCAAACCTTCAAATTCGTGAAACTCTGCAAATTTCGGTGGTACTTTATCGTCCCTTTTGTATTTACCTGGATCCGCTGGTGCGGCAATGTATTTCTCGTCACATTCCTCTTAACAATTAATTAATTAGGATGTATAAATCGTCAAAAATGTATCAATTTTTGATGCAAGGTCTTACGATCTATCAAATCTTGCTGTTGGCAAATTACTCCGATTGGATCATTACAGTTTTCTGGAGATAACGCCATCGAGTTGAAAGGACAATCGCAGAAATCCTTGTTCCACGGATCGACTTCGTTATTCCAAGTCATTGACGCGCAAATCTCGTCGAAAGGAAAGGTAGCATTTCTTTTAGGCTCGGGTTTCTTTGTTGACGCCGTTATGGAACTTCGTTTTCGTCGTTTTGATTCTGACGAGAGGAGAAGATTTGAGTAATCGTAGGTGAAATTTTGAGCTATTTCCGGAACCGGTTCTCCATCCGAGTAGAGGAAGCCTTTCTCCAAGTCAAATTTTACATCGGTCCAAAATGAGTAGGAATTTACTTCTGAGGAACAAAATGAAATTAATAATATGCACAAATTAATTATCTATCAGTTAATTCTGTCTCACCTCGCATATGATTCTTAAGATATGCCAATAAACATTGGTCTCCGGCTCGTGGTTCGTACAATTTCATTTTATTTGCTTCACATAATTGTCTGGCACTTTTCCGATTGTGCTGAAATTTTTTTCACAAAATTATACAAAATTATGAAATTTCAAGTGTGTATGAATTACAAAAAAATAAGTTACCGGCTTCCAATAAACAACAAATTTTCGATTTGCCATAGGCCAAAAATCGTTGTAGTAAGTTGTATTAGCTTAATAAAGCATTCTCGATTATCAAAAAATTTCAAAAATAAATTATGTATTTTCCTCACGTTTTGTAAACAGTGACTTGTCCTGTTCTTGTTCACAGTTCGGATTCTCAGATTCACAGAGAACATTTGCCTTAAATTTAAGAACGCAAGACCGCTCCCACCAAGACGTGTGCATCCCACTAATTTAAAACGCAATGAAAAATGTGTTAATTTAACTTCACGTCATAATTATTATTATTACTAGTAATTACTAAGGTCCAATGGCGTCCGGATTGTAGTCTTCCTTCAAAGAAAGTGGGAGGCTTAACATTAAACAGTTTTGGACACGTTGATTCACTGGTGCGAGGTCTTCTTCCCAAAAAATTCCCCCAAAACCTTTGGGTCTTGGTCGTTTGTAGAAAAAATTTGCAAATTTTATAGGCTTCTTTGAATCCTGCCAGACATAAGTTCCCGCATCCAGGTCAAATTTCGCATTCATCCAATCTAAATATAGTTAAAAAATTTTTGGAAATTTTCTCAAGGTAAAATTTCTCAAAATATTAATTCTACAAAAGTTTTCCGGCCATCCCAGCGGTCGAAGAAATGTTTCAAGAACTTTTCCAACATGAACCTTTTATAAAGTTTTAAATTTCTTGATTTTACATGTTTTACAAAAGTGTGTAAGTATTTTTATATATAATTTTTCTTACTGAAGTTGGAAGATCGTCAATTTTTCCGAGGACAAGACCATGCTTTTTACAAAGGGCATCTCCCTCTTCCCACGTTACTTGCATCCCTTTAGGCTTCTGAAAAATGTAGAACCTCGACCTTCCCAAACGGAATAAATGGTCGTCTTCCGAATCTGTGGGACATTCTTCTTTCTTGCCTGGAACAATTATTATAATTAAAGATGAATTTCGAACCAAATTTTTAAATAAAATGTGGGCAGAAAACTATTGATTCTTTTGTTCTAACCAGCAGACACGATCACGGTGTGCATGCACAGGTACGCAAGTAAAATGCGCCACATGACGCTTATACGTACTTAATCGAGTATATTGAAATATTAATGAAAATTCGAATTGTTTATTGAAGTGTCCTCACAAAACACTTGTCAATGGGCAACCTTGTCATTTCAACTTGCTTAATAAAGTGCAATTATGCGTAATGCATTGTTTATTTTATAAGCATTAATTGTCACTCCCCGCACACAATTAAAGTTATAAGTGTTCAAACATCCACCAGTATAATTATTCACTATTAGAGAAATGAAACTGCATCAGGACAACCATATAGGAAATTGTAGTTCCCAGCATCTATAAATTCCCGAAAATTTTATGAGAGAAAGTGAAATTTTTTTATATGGGAACTATTATGTTTTCTATGTACCGACGTGATTAGAGGAAGATCCACCGTAAAATATCCACACGCTGATAACTCCCAGTCCCAGGAAAGCATTGTCCCAAGTTCTAACTCCATTTGAGGAACTAAGGACATCGATAAGTCCGCGTGATTATCAGAATCTTTAACAATCGAGGGAGAAGACGAAGCTACTATGACGTTGAGAATATCATGATGCCAATTTTCCATCTAAAGTCAAATTAGCACATTTGTAATAATGATAATTAATGACACTCGACTTTATCTGCATACCTGACATTTTAAATCGTGTCCACCAAAAACAATGAAAAAAATAGCCACCGAATTCCCTATCGCTTCTAAAATAGCTTCCCACACGTTATGAAAAACATCTGAAAATCCAGTGAATCCTTTGTACAAGAGATTTATTGCAGAAATGATGTAAATTGGAACCAACACGGCACAAATTTGTCCTTGAATGGAGCCCATTTCTTTCAAAATCAAATTATCAATTTTTCTTGAGTTCACGTAATGCTTGGAAATTATTGTTTTTCTTTCCCCCATAATAAAAATCAATTCAGTATTAATCCCAGTTTCCTGTTGATGCAAATCTCGCATCATTTCTCTGCAGAATTTGTTCACAGAGTTGGAATGCATTTGGTACGTAATGATCAGGACGGTCAGTGTAAATGCGATAACGGAAGCACGAACCAAATCTGCGATAAAGTGCGCAATCAGTAGAACATTAAAATTATTTCGTGGAAGAAAGATGAAACAAATTTGGCGAAATTCTGGACCGTGAAAGTATTGCGGAATCCCAATCGTGTACAAAGTCCAGTACCCTTTGACCACGAGGATAACAGTGAACACCCAAATTACAAGTATCGTCCAGTAGTAGTACACCCACTTTTTTGGAGAATGGTCGCCATCCGTGAAAATATGTCGTCGTCCGTAATAAGATTTCAAAATTGTGTATAATTTATTCCCACTTAAAAGGTACAAAAGTCTGAGGAGGACTTGCTGTAAAAGGAAAATCAAATCTACACCAACATTCGCCAATTTATTTGCAATCTCTTCGTTCACTTGTATTTTAAGGAGGAGCAGATCCAAGTGGAGAATGATCGAGTAGAACGTTAAGACAGAGAAATAAAGGGAAAATAGAAATTTTAATAAAAATTTCGAAATTTTATTATCGGAAATTGTTTTGAAATTATTAAGATTAAAAGGAAGGCCAAGAACTGCGCTGGTAATAGTGAGAAGGGTTATAATTCTCATTTCATTTTATAGTTTTTTTATTATTAAACTGAAAAATTGGAAGGTTCAGTAGTGCTGTTTGAATTCGTAGTGACATTATTTGTTGGGTTGATGAGAATAATATCCTTAATTTCGAAGAGGACAATCATGTTGGTTAACGTGGTTGAAATAATCTAGATAAAACCCGTGAGGGTAAATTATCGAATTATGAGAGGCAGTAATTAAAGGTCACGTCATTCAAAGAAGTGGATTCATTAATTATTACATAATTGTGTGAAAACTTACGGGGGCCAGTAAGTGCCTGTCAATTACAAAAAACTTTGCAGCTGTCAATCTCCACTTCCAGTTGATGATGGTGTCAAGTATTCTGCATTTCTTAATGGATAAAGAAAGCGTTACATAAAAGTCTGAACGTAATTAATGTTGACGAACGATAATAAGTACTTATCAAAAATTAACAAACCCGAGCTGCAATTGGATCCCCAAACATTGACAATTTAGATTTGGCCATTCTTTCATTGAAAACTATGCTTCTTCGCATTTCTTTATAACTTTCTTCCATCTAAAAATGCCCATAATTTGAATTACAGTCTTATCAAAATTATTTTGTGAATAAACTGCTGTTACAATAACCTGAGAATGGATGAGATATCCGAACGTGGCCAACGTCCAGATTCTGACCAAATAAACCATCGTATCACTACCAGCCTCCCACTGCGAATAGTACAAATCCGTGTCAAATCCGACTAGGACCTTGTACAGCTGAATCATCGGGATGAGAATGGAGCTCGGAATTGCGATGAGGACAAACCATCCCAGAGAAGTGTCCACATACGCTTGCATTTTTGTCAACTGCCGACACAAAGATTCGAAATTTGGTGAGAAAATGGAACTCAAAGAGTTCAAGGAATCGAAAGAAAAGCCTTCGTCCGTGATGAGAACTTGAGTGATAACTCCGATCTGGAGGTAGATTCGGTGACAAGAATAGAGGCAAAATATGTAACCTAAGTTTAGAAGGATAACTTGCGAAATGTCGTGACCGTATGAGGCGATATGCTGAATAATCTTCAAATTTGAGAAGGATTTTAGTGGATGGGTTTCAAATATTTCTTGCGGAGGGTGCACCTGTAAATTTACAAAGTACTTATCAACATTTAATGAATGAATGTGGTTATCATTACATCAAAATATTCCCAGTCTGCTTTAAACTCCATCCGAATATTGAAAAATGTTATAATCCCAGCGATAATGTAGCTCAATTTGAAGAATTTGTGGTCACACTGTTCCAGGTGCAATCCGAGATGGTCATGTGAGTCCAATTTGTGGTACAAATACACGCCGAATTCTTGGATGGGTCTAAATTTCAGTAAACACATGAAACGAACCACAACCCTGACTCCATATTCTCCAAAGGTGACCCCACTCACGGCCAAATTCGCCACCAGTCTCTGGGTGGAGTCCCAATCTGCATAAATCGTGTCGATGGACATTGTCGTGAACCAAAATGCAGCACTGATAGAGCAAATCCACCAAATTATGCAGCATAATTTGTAACATCGTCCCTTTCCTTGGCGTTTCTGGATAAAATAAAGTTTCAGAAATAATGGAGATGCGCCGACAATAAATGCAGTGAAAGCTATAAAGTTGAAGCAAAATTTTCTCATGGAAGGCGACATGATGAGTCTGAGAGAAACGTGGAAAGAGTAAGTAAACTAATAAATTAAGAGGCAGAAAAGGACCTTGGAGAAAAACATGTCGATTAATTGACAGCTTGTTATTACGTACATAATTAAGTATAAAGAAATGACAAATGAGTTACTTAACACATATATACGTTGTAGATATTTGCATAACACCATTAACAAGAGGAGGGTCCTGTCCACTCGTAATTTTGGTGATCTAGGTATTAAAATTTCTTTTTATCACACCGGAAAACATTGAGACCGTTGCTTCAACATAGACGTGTTGCTGACATCCAATCGTACAACCTGTCTCAACTTTAGGAACAAATGCTGTAAAAAATATTCTCTTCGGCGTTGAGATGGCTCGTTTAACAATTAAATTTTCTATATTCTCAATATTATACCCAACCCCATCCTCTCAAGTTATGGTAAATTTTGCAGTGACACTCAGGCCTGTCCATCCATCCACTGCCCTGTTGACCTGTCAGGACTTCACTTATCAGTGTATCCTTTCAGACTCTATGGTTTACATAAATCCGAGTGAAGCGTCGTCGTCCTCATTACTTATTGTCATTCAACCGTTGTCTCAATGGTGGACGAAACTTGTGGCGAAATGTCAAATTGACACTCTTGAAGTTTCACTTGCCTGTTGCAATCAAGGAGAATTTCAGTGTCACTCGAGTTACTTCAAATCTGACGGAGGTAGATATGTGGGTACTTTGTCTTGTCGAACGTAGTTTCGGCCAAGAGTGTACACACGCTTCTCTCGAGTGCTCTCAATTATTTGGATTGTCCTGCGTGAACAAGGTCAGTGCAACTCGAACGTGTCGCTGGACAGTCTCAAGTTGTTTGACGACGACGACGACCAAGATAATATACTTAGGCAGACCAGGACTGTGTGAATTACCAATGTATCCCGAAAGCTGTATGTAGTAAAGGATGGGAGGATGATACTTGTATGCGTCAACCAGGGTACGAAGAGTCCAAAAGGAAGGTCTGCGTTTGGACGTATAATGAGACGTACTACACAAAATAATCGTTTCTGTAGGAAAGACTCGTCCTATATGTATGTATGAAGGGATTATGTGGATGCAAATATCCAGTAAATTACGTACGCCACAATTACCGATATTTAAATTACTGCACATTATGTATTCGCAAAGTAATTTTTATTCATCCATTTTTATGACAAGGAAGCCAAAATCTGCATTAGTAATTGTTGGACCATGCCTTCGGATGGAGATTGTGTGACATACACTTATGTAAAAGATTGCCTTCCTCTGCCATGAATATTTTCACGATCATCATCATCATCACTGATGAAGACGGATCACCACCAAGTCGTGCCCCCTTCGAGTACTATACATTCATCCTCAGTGAAGGCTTCAAGCTCTCAAATACTGGTATTTATTTCATGTATACTAACAAACAAGAAAATGTCACAAATGTTTCAATTTGTTATTCTTATTGTGTTTGACACCATCGTCAGGACGAGTGGAAATGCGACACCTTGACAAGGATTTTCGTGCCGTGATGGATTTTGTGCTTGTCGAGACCCTGGTCAACTACTTTGGCCCAGATTCCATGAACTGTATTTATGTACACGTTTAGCGAGTCCATTTTGCCATAGTCGCGTTAGCGTTCGAAACGCGCATGCAAAAGCGGAATTTTTCTTTGTCGTTTGGCCATTGTGAATACTTATGATGAAGCTTATCAAGTCGCCTCGGGAGGAGAGAAAACTTTTCTGTCTGGACTGCAATGTTAAGTATCTATTTACAGTTTGCAGTGGAGAAAAATATTGTTGTGAAAAAAGAGTCATAATGTTTTAAATAAAATTACTAACTTCCTCTCGACCAGACAACTTTGTGTGTGTGTACATGGAAAATGTCGTAATTAAATTATGTTTTGGAGAGGGAAAGCGAGTTAAATAAAATGTTTTTAAAAGAGCAGGACAAGAAAAACGAAAGATTTTTCCAAGGACGGAAATAGTTGACTAATTAAATAAGTAAGAATGTCTCCTGCTGCCATGCATTTGAGCATTTGAGCTGGAGACAGCTGCATTAAGCTGATTGAAATAAAGAAGGGCCGTGTTTCTAAAGGGCCAATTGGAGTCACGGGAGATGAGACGGGGAAGAAGGGAGCACTGTACAAAGTCCTCGTATTATTAGTGCTCCCTTAAAGTCACTTAAATTGATTGATGACAACTGCACACCCCCACAACCACCAGAACAAAAGTGAACTTGACTTTTTTCTCTGGAAAAGCTGCAGGGAATCTGTGCTCTAATTGTTTTAGCGTGCGTAATTCCTAATCCGATGCGACTTTATGAGACGAAAGATTATCTAGAGGAGTGCAAGAAGAAACAATAAGAGGCTTTGCGACTATAAGAATAATGGGATCATTGTTTGGTATATGGGTTCACATATTTCGTTTTAAGGGACAATTGTAAATAGTGTTGGGTTGTGGTATACGATGAATATTCACTAGACCATTATTTATGTAATGCATTGTTAAAACAACGATTGGGGAATTTGAGACTGATTTTTCAATATTCCTCTAAAATTAGTAAATTATCTACTACCATTTGTCCACTTTGAAATATTTAGATTTCATCTTCCTGAGCGAAAGAAAAGGCAAAAAAAACTTTGTCCATTTTTGTTTGTTTAAAAGTGGACCACTCGCTGCCATTCATCACCTCCGTCCAAGTTGTATAAACAATTCTCAGATACATAATATTTAAGGGACAATTTTGTCATCGGTCTGATTTTTAGGCAACTGTTGCTTCTCTCTCTGCTTTGCTGGACTAGAAATCCAACTTGATGTCAAAACTTGGGAGGATTTATAACCTGCAGTTGGCCCAACTTTACGTTTTCCTTATTAGTTGTGACACTGACTGAATGAACACCCGGACCGGACTCGGGAGTTTTATTCTCTCACTATGAGACACTTAACTTACATGACTGTTAACTAGTACCTCCTTTCGTCGTCGTTACTGCGTCCCAAACAATCTTTTGCCTTTCTGGTGTCTCAAGAAGCGCGACTCTGTTCATCCATCCCTCATGAATCCTATCCATTTCACGGAAAGAAAGTCAAACCATTTTAAAATGTACAGAACTTTTAGTTCACTCGGAAGCTTGCATCCGTCCACGTCGTGCCTGATTTTCTTCCAAGATTGGAAGCATGAAATCTTATCTTAGTCGTCTCGTTGGCGGATAATAAAACGGATTAAGTTGGATTTGTATACATAACTTGATAAATGCAGACAATTAATATTTTATTTTGATTGTGTAAAAAAAGTGTGGTAAAAACAAGTCGTTAAATATTTAAGTTGTCCCTAAATTTCTTCTCCTTGGCTTTGAACCAGTCTTATTCGTGGAGTTGAGTGGCATCGTCACAGGCCAGAATCAAAGTCAATTTATCAGTTGGGACATCAGCACTCATGTTCTCGGTACTCATAAGAGCTTGTAACCTTCCAAAAAATCCGAAATCCTGCAAAGTCAGGCAGTACACTGGCATCATTTACTTAAGCGACAAGACCAGGTGGGGGATTTAGTGGAGGAAGAATCATTGCATTCACATGCGCCAAGCAGACGACATAATAAATCAGACAATTTGAGAGAAACTGTACGAAGCGACTAATCTCGATTTGAGTGCAAAAAAGTTAGCAAATCTGAGAAACTTGAAAATATCTAAATTGTAATGGGGGATTACATGAATTCTGTCGTGCTCAGTGTTAGTGGGGGTGACGTGTCATCAACCTATGCAAATCTGGTGAGTATGGGGAATACCCGTGGGGGTGGGGGTGGATATACGACAACGGGAGGAGGCGTCACCACGCCCCCGATGTATAGTGACATTCTCATAAAATCCGAATTGGACTCTTATTCCCCCGCCTCACATTCTCCAGAATCTGAACACACCGGGTATTACCACCACAACAACAATAATAACCACCCCTCCTTCCACCACCACCACCACAACAATCCACAGTTCTCTTTCTCCACAACGACAAATGGTCACTTTGGCGATGGGGGAGGAGGAGGAGGGGAAATAAATGGTCATCTGCAGAATACCCCTCATCACCATCAGACCTCCTCCCTCTCATTGTCGGAAGAAGAAGAAGACACTCTGTCTCAACAATCGCTTATCAGTTCTTCAGCCTTATCACCGGCGGAGGAGGAAGATGTCATCATGGGGCAGCAGCAGCAGCACTACTCACCCCCCAACAATAATAACACGATGGACACGTCCACCAATATTCCTACGACGGCTATTACAACCAATATTCTACCAGTGTCAACAACAACCGCCCCTCCTCGAAAGGGGAAAGGAGGCAACAAAGGTGGGGGAAGAAAAGGGAGGAAAAGGAAGAATCAAAATCTGTTAGAATTATCGGACGATGGAGGAATTGAGAACAACAGGAAGAAGCACAAAGTCAGGAGAAAGGCGGCCACTGTGTCGTTTGAGGACTTGCAAAACCAGGTGAGCACTTTGATTAGGTAGTTTTATTAAAGGAATCCTGTTAACGTGAGTGAAAGTAGTTTTGAGACATTCTCATATTGCCCCATTTGTCCTGTACCCTTATCAATTCATTACGGTTGATTAATTTTGAAAATAATTTAATAATTTCAATTTGTTCTCTTTCTCCTCAACCGGTGGGGCAGCGAGTCATGGCAAATGTACGAGAACGACAAAGGACACAATCCCTGAACGAGGCGTTTTCCTCCCTGCGGAAAATAATTCCGACCCTTCCTTCCGATAAGTTATCGAAAATCCAGACTTTGAAGCTGGCCAGCAATTATATTGCCTTCCTTTGTTGGGTTTGTTATTCCGACTTTTCTTAATGTCAACTTGTGTAGTGGACTAATAGCTTTTTATTGCTGTGTAACCCACGCTTTGTTGTTCATCGGGCGGCTTAATGACCATTCGCACGCATACAAGGAGAGGAAAAATTACTAAATTATGAGGTACAGGCGTCCTTAGCATTTTCATCTTGTTTATTTCACCACTTTATTTAACAGTTTATACATTTAACACACATATCACGGTGTTATTTTTCGACTGAAAATGGTCAAAATCTGGGATAAGGATGAGCGGCTGTCATATAGGATTATGTATAAATGCGTAATCCGTAGTGTATTAAAAGCTGTCAAAACGATTAACCCAACGATAATTTTCTTTTTAACAAATTAGTTTTAAAAAAGTAAATGTACTTTTTTCAAAATCTATGCTTATTTTTATCGATTTAGACTTCTTTATTTATTCGAAATCAAAATTGGAGACAATCACAACTTTTACATCGAAAAAATCACCCCAGCTTTTCGATTAAATGGTCGATTCTAAATACATTCATATCATGCACTCCGGCAAGTTTTCAAAATTTTGACCTTTTCCCGTCGAAAGTGAACATCCTATGCACATTCCCGTCTATCTTGTTAACCAGACATCAAATCTGTACTGTATGCAAAATTAGTCTCACGTTGGAGTTTAGAACACTTTTTTTTACTCAAGTAGACTTGAAAGATTGGATAAGTCTCACTAAGCAATTTCCTCGGAACAAATGATACTTTAATTTAGCAAAGATGTGTCTTAATGGAAGTAGAAGTGGGGCCATAAATCGGACGACAGAATTCATGTTCCATGACTATAATAACAGTGCTGGTGGCATGTACATATGTACATATGCACACATATGTAACAGACATTCATGTCCGGGTGGTTTGGTTTTGTATGGAAGTCGTTGAAATATTTATTATCCAATTAAAATTCTAATCGTAAATTGCTCTCCGGCCTAATCTGTATCTTTCTTTATCTTACTTGCTAATCACAATTTCAATTTCCGACTTAATCTCTCCTCTCCTCTTTGTCCCAACCAACCAAACAACAGAGGACTAACTAACTGACTAACTAATTCATTTACAACTTTAAACTTTGGCACACTCACATATGTCTAAAAATTCTTGAATATTACCTGCCGGACTAAAAAAATATAACGTCTAAAATTTCTCATATCTTTTTTTTCCATGACAGGCTTTACAATGCGACGAAGAAGTTTTGGAGACCAAACTAGCAAATAATTCCTTCGTGACGAATGAAAGGTTCAGCTATGCCTTCAGCGTTTGGCGGATGGAGGGGGCCTGGAAAGTATAATAATTACCCCCCCTCTCCCCCCTCTAATGAAAAACTAAGTGAAAGTGACACAATTCTCTTCAATTCTTTCCATCCATGAAAACAACACCATAAATTTTGATTGACCAAAGTTATATTTCTACAAATATTATCCATGTTTTATCATTCATTAGTTTTTAAATTAGTTGATTACATTCAAATAATTTACATATGTAGCTAGTCGTATACATTATTTATAAAGTATAGCAATTTTTACAACATTCATACACACACACAAAATACCCATCACTTTTATCGTGTCAGTATTTCTCTCATGTCAATAATAGTATAAATTATGTAAACAAAATGCATGTGAATTAACTCAACTGTCTGTGAAGAACAAAAAGAATCTTTCTAACGTGCCTTAAGAATTTATTTGTTCAGAATTTTCGAAAATTTCCTGTAATACTTAAATATTAACTAAATATTGTGGTCTTTTTGTAATAAGTGTGATAAGTCCTCAAGAATAAGAACCAGATAATCCACCACATACATATTTATGCATAACGTACACAAGTAAATACAAAACTTCGGTTAAAAAGTACATAGATATTATGCCTATTTTTTGTATGTAACGAATAAACCCGGTATAAAATAAACCCAGGACTGGAAATAAATGTCAGACGTTGACTTTTATTCTGCAGTTTGAAAACCTTTAAAATTTTGGAGTACTTCATTTTTCACGACTTTTGTCTCTCAGCATCACTCACGTCACAAACTTTGCCTTTTCGCGTAGGAGGAGGAAGAAGAAACGAGACGAAACAAAGGACTTCATTGAAACTAAAGTTTTAGAGAGACGACCAAATTCCATTCTCTTCTTATTACGTGCATATCAGTGCTTTTACTGTCTCACTCGGACGTACTTACTTTACGGTTTGTGTGCAATGAGATGAGACGACAAGGACGACAAACTTAGAGAAAAAGTCAAACTGACTTATTCTGAAATGAATGTTGGCCCAGGGAAGGGTTCACATTCTGCTAATTATTTACCCCACTGACAGCCATGTACAGTCTCTTTTTTCAATTATACCACAATTTCTTGGAAATAAATCTTGTAAAGTAAAAGGGATCTTTTTTTCTCTTTTTCTCCCTCCGCACGACTCTCTCTGCTGTGTGGAATTGGTATAATTCCTTCCCACGCATTTTAATAAGTATAAGCACAAGTTGGAATAATTATAATGATGATGTTCCCTCGAGAGCTACTTATATTTTGCACCGTTTTTAGAGATTTTACTCGTACCCAGCTATACACAACTTTGCCTAATAAATACAGCCTGCACCAGTTAAAGACAAGAGTTCCCCCACTGGGCAATAAAGGGATCAAACAATCCGCGGTTAGATATAGAGGAGGAGGAGGTTGACTTGTGACCTCATTAGTGCAGCGGAGAAGCTCATTAAATCTTGGTTTGTGAAGCGGAACTCGGATATCGGATTTCCAAAGGGCGAAAGAAAGAGCGAGGAATTGCCCCGAGACCGTTGCCAGAGATGAATCCATGCACCATCATCGTCTCAATAAGATGACAACTTTTTAGAACTACTTATATATCCCCTCGACTACTTTATCTTCTTGTCAATCCCACCGCAAAATCCGGAAGAAAGATCCACCCCCTCGCAGCACACATGACTTGCTCCTTTCCAAAAGGATCCCTTTTGTCCACCTCGCATAATACGGACGCTTTGGCTGAATCTGCGTCAGCAGTCATTATTTATTATGCAAGTTGCGCAAATCTGGGCGTCATTTCATCAATCAATTAGCCAAATTGGAATGGTGGAGGAGGATGGATGGATGGACGAAAAACAGGGTAGTTTTGTTGGCAAAGTGCACATATTTCTTATTAAAAGATTGTGTTTGCAAAGATTGATTCAGGTGGTTCGGAGGAACATAACAACGAACGGGACAAGTAATCGACAAGCTATATGCGCAAATGAATGAATGTAAAAGCAGTAACTACCCGAGTCGTTGGTGTTTTTTTGGGCTGCTAAATTGAGATTTTTCCAATTCGCATCGCAATTCTCAGTATGCTTGCTTAGGTGTTAAGTGACAATGAAAGGTGACAGAGGTTGTGGTCTCCACGTGTGTATGCTTAAGTACACCGTGAAACGGATGAGACTCAGATTTAATTTGATAATGGATTACATATGCCAAGTATTTGATCAGTAAAAGCTTTTGTACAAAAATTTCTGCAAATTCAAAAATGAAAAGGCTGGAATTTGGTTTGTGGTCACTTTTGTTCGTTATCTATTTAAGATGAGATTTGGGTTAATAGAAATGTCAGTGTTTTGCGCAGTTAATATCTGCACAGAATTTGCAACATGAAGGTCACCGCTTTAATTGTGGTCGTTTGCGCGGCCAGCGTTTTGGCGAAAGTTCCCACAAAGGAAGAGCGGATTAACTTTGGGGATTTTTTGGGTAAGTGCAAGACTATCGTTTGGGTATAAGTTTTGTATAAGAAATTAACAAAGTCTTCTGATTTGATTACAATTTGCAGCGAGCTTGAAACCCTATTTGAACAGTTTGAAACCTCTGCTTCAAACAACGACACAAAAGCCTAAAGATCAGAATTACAACTACAACAGCAAGAGCACTACTAAAAATCCATTCGATTCAAATTACAATTATAACATCCAAAGTACTACTAGTGCCCCATACGATAACTACTACAATTATGATGCTTCTTATAATTACAAGGGGCAATATGATTCATCCTACAACTATAATTATGACTCCAACTACAACTACGGAGTGAACTACGATCCATCTTACAACTACGGGGGTCAATATGATCCATCCTACAACTACGGGGGTCAATACGATCCATCCTACAATTATGACTCCAACTACAACTACGGAGTAAACTACGATCCCAACTACAACTACAATTACGATCCCAACTACAACTACAATTACGACCCCAATTATAGCTACAACTACGATCCATCCTATAACTACGGAGGAAACTACGATCCAAACTACAACTATGATTCATCCTACAACTACAATTATGACCCCAACTACAACTACGATCCATCCTACAACTACAATTATGACCCCAACTACAATTACAACTACGATCCATCCTACAACTACGGAGGAAGCTACGATCCCAACTACAACTACAACTATGATCCATACTATTACTACAATTATGACCCCAACTACAACTACAACTACGATCCATCCTACAACTACGGAGGAAGCTACGATCCCAACTACAACTACAACTACGATTCATCCTACAACTACAATTATGACCCCAACTACAACTACAACTACGATCCATCCTACAACTACAATTATGACCCCAACTACAACTACAACTACGATTCATCCTATAACTACAATTATGACTCCAATTACAACTACAACTACGATCCATCATACAACTACGGAGGAAGCTACGATCCATCCTATAACTACAATTATGACCCCAACTACAACTACAATTCCGGAGCGTATTACGACCCAAGCTACGATTACAGTAAGTATTAACAATCTACACCGCAAAACCAAGCCCATAATTTCATTTAACTTAAATTATTTTACAGACTTCTCCGGGGCACCAGCCGCTGCAGCCTAATTCTATCCGAGATTCATCACAAACCTCTAAAAATTAATAACCAAGCAAAACTATAAATAAAGCGGCTTTAAAAGCATGGCATGTAAAACATCTCCAATATTTTCTTACCGAACGCTTTCACATAAATATTGCGATTTGCATGGACGGTTTCTCAAGTTTAATTTCGTTTCAGGCCACAATAAACAAGTCCAAGTAACCATTTCACGGTTGAATCTATTTTGCAGTAAAGAACATTTTCTTGCTGAGTCGGTCGGTGGCTATTTTTTTCTCATCGCGACTTTCATCTCATCAATCTAGTCACAATTTTTTACATCTTGTTTACCCAGTTTTTCAATTCCTACTCTTCTTCTTCGGTTACAAACAACTTTATCACTTTGTCCTCTTATATATTTATTAAGTACGACTCATCCAGCCTTGTCTTTCTTCGTTCCATGTAGTCTCAGTTTTTCGCATGGTGTAAGAAACAAGCTCTCTCACGGACTATTGAATTTCACTGAGACATCCAGATGTGTTTATTACGATAATAAATAAACCCTCAGAGTGCATCAGGCAGCAGGAAGAGGGTAAGTTTGCGTAAGAGGGAAGTTTGTGGTTGGGTGGGTGGACTGTGTTTGAAATTGGGAGTGTCATTTCGTATTTGTGGTACATACAACACAATAGGCTTCATAAGAAAAATAGTGATAATAATCATTGTCATACGTATGAGATTGAGATTTTGTGACTGATTTTGTGGTACAAGTAGCCTCATAAGGCGTCTGCGTGTACCCATCGTGCCAAGACAATACCCGAATCCTGGTAACAGGGAATTTTGGTGACGATGAGAATCAACCGGAAACTGATTTCCTGGAATGACTTTGTCAGCACAGGATGCTGTAGTTGGCAAAAAGTTGGAAATAATATTCTGAAAATGCTTATTATGAAAAAAAACTAGCAATTAAAAGGGAACATGAGACTGAAAAAGAGAAATGTCACCGACTTCGTCATCAGTACATATAACGGTATTTATTTACATGCTCCCTTGCCATATGATATGATCAGATGACATTGCTTGATGATAAGATAAGTGAAGAAGATGAGATTCTTTTTTTATCCGATGAAAGATGAAGTCGATGAAGAGGAATTTACAAACCAAATACTGACGACAGGATGAGAAATTCTTTTAATTTATCCACTTTGACACGTACATACACATGGAAGAATTGTTTTATTCGCAGGGTTTCTTTCTCTGGTAATGGAGTCCTGGAGGGGAAATTCCTTTAAGAAAAAAGTTTTAGTGTGCATTTTTTCGTAATTTTTGCAAAACCAAATCAGTTTTGGAAAGCCTAATACGTATAAATAGCTTGCTCTACGAAGTGATTCTGCTCACTTTGGTTTTATGGAGCAAGAAACGAGTTATTTCCCAGTTTGACATGTACCTCTCTGGTAATGAATGACACGAAGAGTCAATACGTGACGTGATGAGTCGATTGAAACGTCTCAACGGTTCATAAAAGCGTCCCATTATCCCCATTTTCCATTATTATTACGGGACGACTTTATCCTAAAACAGCAGCATCAATATCATCCTTGAAACTCATTTTGCCTCGTCGACATCATCATCCTCGGAGTCGTCGTCGTCGTCGTCGACGTCGGTGAACTGAACTGACTGAAGGCTGCTGATTTTACTGATTTTAAAACAAACCCAGTCAGACGTACACTGTTTTTGTGTGTCGGTCGGTCTTCGGTTTTAGTTAGGAGATTGAGTCGAGTTGTTTAACACACGTCACTCACCGAGTAAATAAAATCGGTTAAAGAAACTTAAAATGTTGGCTTCCTCAGATTTATTCCCCTTTTTAACTACGTCCAACAACTCTCAACGAGAATGCTATGCAAATGCGAATTCCTCACAGTAGAGCGTCTTGCAAAGTATGAGTTTTGCAGAAAAAGTGAAACACCAGAAGAAGAATTGGTAGCAACATTCCTGTACCTTAACTAAATAGGAACGTCTTAATTATAACGGATATTAGTATTGTATTTAGGTGGACTTTTTTTAGGGTGACAATAAGGAATAAAAAAAATGGGACAAGAAAATCCTCCTTAATTAATTGACTGTGGAATCCAATTCGTTAGTGAAATTATTAAATTAACAAGGGATTGTTATCCGAGATTTCATGGATCTTTTTTTACACAGGAGGAAAGAAATCTGAAAAATGTGGTTTAATTTGTATTCAATTCCTCTCCAACTTTGAAATGAAGAGTGTGTGGGATTAAGTTTCATTTTTTCACTGAATCCACACAGGCTTATTATTTAACAAGTGCGGAAAATCAGGGTTTTGCATCATGCCCAGTTTAATTCTCAGACGGCATAAAACGGTTATAAAAGTTAAGCAAAAATAGAACTGAGGAGATTCATGAAACTGTAAAAAAACAAAGATAAATGGGGATTCCCCTTCAAGCTTCATGAACTGGGATCGTCAATCGCAAATAAATCAGAATGCCAACAATCCGAATCTGTAAAAAAACTGAGGGTAGAGAGTTTTAGTCTTGTAAACAATTAACCAGACAGCTCACAGGCTGAAGAAAAAAAAATCTTCTTGGGAGTATGTTGATTTAGGACCAAAATATAGGTGCCGTTTTGGCTGTTTGACTATTTATTTCCTTTGTTTGACCGAGTTTACAAATTAAATTAGTCTTCTGCTTCCAGTCTTCTACTCCCAGAAATGTTCCCCCGGTTTTAAGCAGGGATTCACTTGCAACCAATTGTATGGATTTTTCGGCCAGTGATCTTGCAGTGGGGGTGGTGGGTGAAAGTCGGCATAGTGAAGAAAAGCGCAAACCCGGCAGAAGAGGTCGTGATGTCCCCTTAAAAAATGTTAATAGCGAAATTATAAGAAGCTTTTAAATTTGGTTAGAACATAAGGATTAAATTTTTTGGTTCGAAAAATTAGTGATTTCAATTTTGGATAGAAAAATTACTTTACGATATGCCCAGTCCCTTTCCATTTGAAGTAAGAGTTGTAAAGATCGTCATTTTGGTCGAGGAGGGTGAGATAGTCGGCAAGCTCTTTCACCGAGGGAAAGTCTTCTACATGGATGTAGGAATTTGGTGGTGCTGTAAAATATTGGTTATCAGGTCACTCTCACTGCTTTTCGAAATTTAATGTATGGAATGAACCTGCATATTTATAATCGTCACGATGAGCCCCCAACACAATTGGAATAATATCGTTCCTAAAAATTGTTGAATTAGTATTTTTAAAAATAATATTTTTAATCCAATTTCTGCGTACCCGAGAGCATTAAGAAATAACTTTTCTGTAATGTAGTCTCTACAGTTGGCGTTTTCAAATGCGAGATAAAACTTGTAATCTCTGCTAATATTTTCGAAGCATGTTTGTCCGCACTTTAATGGTCCACATCTTCCGTAAATATCGACTGGGATATAGTTCTGCAATTGGTAAACGTAGCGAAGTCGGTCGTTATACGTGGGACAGTGAGAGACCACGATTGCTGCGAATTTGTACTTATCTTGAGCATAATTCTTCTCTGGGGCTGAATATCATAAAATAAGTAATAATTAACTAAAGCACAATATTGATTTTGGAGGCAATACTTTTTGTAAACTTTATATTACTGGAGGGATTATTAGTGGAAGGAATCCACTTGTAGTATGGCGCTTCTATATCAGATCCTCTCCAGTAGGATGCCAATATTGGATTGTTAGGGCGAAAATCACCCTGATGAAGGGTGTATGGAGATTCCTATTTATTACAAGATTTATTACATGTCAAGAATATCTGCGTAGTAATATTCAGCAATATTTTGATAAGTAAAGAGGGTCACTTGAATGTGAAAGAAGGAAAGTAGACGTGGAGGAATTTTTCCTTCGTAAAACTGGTAAGTCCAATCCCTTCTGCTTAGAACAGCATCAAACTCGTCAAAGTTTACATAGGACGACAGAGGGTTATCTTCGACAAGTTGGCAAAATTGGGAAAAATTAACGCCATCCTCATCGCAAGGAAGCAACCGTTCTTCATCATCCAAGTTAAAAAGTCCGTCGACCAAAATTCGCTTCTGCAGGTACAAAGATGACGTGAAATTATGATTATTATTGATTATAATTAAATGATGATTTTTTTATTGACCACCTTTTTCTTGATTGATTTCATATATTCAGACCGAGAAACGTTAATTGCCCATTGTCGTTGGAATATCCATCTGTCAGGATCATCCCCCCTGTAGCTGTTATTTGATAATCTCCAGAGGTCATCTCTCTTGAAAATCTCGGGTGGCTCTGCTGTTCTATCCAGGTCAACCAGATCCGATTTTGTAATAATTGGAGAAACATTGTTAAAATAGGAGAAACTAGTAATTCGAACAACTGGACCTAGTTTCAATTCTATCAGAACTATATAAAGTATAGAAATTATTGCAAAAAGTAAAACGAATTTCTTTACGAGATGTGTTTTCATTATTTGATGGAATTGTAATCGCAATCGGTCTGACGGTCGAATATTTCTCAAAATCAGGTCCACGGTACGAGCGAGCACGATTGCATTTATTTAATTTGCGGTGATGGAACTCCTACCCGCCAAAATATTAGCAAAGTAAAATCTCTAAATTTCTTGTGCGGAAAAGTGTAAGAAAATAATATTTCCTGGATAATTGTATATTATGCAGTTCCTATTTACACCTGCTCTCGGTATGACAGACGTCAGTGATGATTCAGAATTATCTTATCATATTGGTCCGTTATATGTACATACTGATAACACAAAGATATCTGTGTTTATGCACGCGTGACGAGAACAATTTCGCCTATATTTACATATGATCATTAGTAGTGGTAGTATGTAAATAGTACCCAATGTTGAACTTCCGACAAACTCAGAAAGAAAAGGGTTATTAAACTGAATCAGCAAAACACCGGAAATATCCGAAATTGGATTGACACCCAAGTGACACTTGCCACCCGTCATGTCAAAATAGAGTGATTTGATGGGGATCAGCAAGTTAAATCTCGAGAGTACAACGTCACAGTAAATTGTCAACTTTTTAGCCCGAACCAGGGCTTATGTAATTGTCATGTCCGTCTGTCCGTCTGTCCGTCTGTCTTTCGACAACTCTCGAACGAGTTGACCGATTGACTTGAAATTTTTACCACATGTATATTGGACAAAGTTAGGAAACGAGTTCGAAGATGGGCCAAATCGGTCAAGTGGTTGACCAGTGGGGGTCATCGGAGTGGGTGGGGTCTTGTGCACCAAATTTCAAAATTGTCGTAGAAAGCTGAAATTTGGTACAGAGGTTGCTAATGGCTCCTAATAGATAAAAATGGGTTCAAGTTGGAAAAATTTTCATCTTGAGTGACCCTAGGGGGTGACCCATACTGATTTTTCAAAATCGTCATATCAAGCTGAAATTTGGTGGAGAGGTTGCTTAATTATGGGTCGTAATGGAAGAATATGACATGAAATTGGTAAAATTTTGATCTAGAGCGACCCTATGGGGTGACCCATACCGATTTTTAGAAATTAACATAGAAAGCTGAAATTTGGACCAGAGATCCTGACTGCTCTCTCGTCAGTCTGGTTCAAGTGCCGGGGGATTGGAACTTAGTACCTGGGAAACGTCACCCAAAAGTTCCGATCCCCTGGACATTTTAGTTATGCAAGTTACAGGGAAACGGAACCCACTTGTCGCAGGATTTAGCGGGCTTCGATTCCCCGGTACCCTCTTACGCAAAAGTTACGATTCCCCGGAACCCAACATTTTTCTTTAATTTTTCATAAATTGGATATATTTCCAAGAAAAAAATTTATTGTCTCAAATTTACCTCCCACCAATGAAGAACATTGGATAAAAAAATTAGAATTTTTTAAAGTGGCGTTTTTCCTAAAATCACAAATATCTGACAAATTTGAGGAGCGGCAAGTCCAAAAAGGTACGGGGAATCGTCACCCAACAATTATTTTCAGGGAAAAATACAATTATTTTACAGTTATTGTTACAATTATTACGTTATAATTGTGTTACAATTATTTTTCTCTCAAAATAATTGTATTTTTCCCTGAAAATAATTGTTGGGTGACGATTCCCCGTACCTTTTTGGACTTGCCGCTCCTCAAATTTGTCAGATATTTGTGATTTTAGGAAAAACGCCACTTTAAAAAATTCTAATTTTTTTATCCAATGTTCTTCATTGGTGGGAGGTTAATTTGAGACAATAAAATTTTTTCTTGGAAATATATCCAATTTATGAAAAATTAAAGAAAAATGTTGGGTTCCGGGGAATCGTAACTTTTGCGTAAGAGGGTACCGAGGAATCGAAGCCCGCTAAATCCTGCGACAAGTGGGTTCCGTTTCCCTGTAACTTGCATAACTATAATGTCCAGGGGATCGGAACTTTTGAGTGACGTTTCCCAGGTACTAAGTTCCAATCCCCCGGCACTTGAACCAGACTGCTCGTGAAATAATATGAAGATAGATATGAACAAAAATTAACCAAAGGGGCTATAGAGGCGACCCCCACTGGGAAGTAGTCAAGGACAATGGATAGTAAATATTTTTAGAATTTTGAGCCTAGTAATACGAAGGATTGATGTTACTTAATGCAAGAATTAGTGTATTATGTAAAATAGTAGCACATAATTTTATAGAAAACTACAGACGAACATGGGTTTACTAATCCTGGTTCGGGCTAAGCAAAGCTGTACTGATAGGTTTTTTCATTTCATTCGTGACACACACTGATGACATCCGAGGACTTGACATCTGTATAAAACATCTCATCATCGATGGCAATTTCAATGCAAAAATAAAGATGTTTCTCTTAGAATGAGGGGAATTTGAGAAAAGCTTATTTTCCGAAATGCATAAATTATTCATTCTTCTAATCGATTTGGAATAAATATATTGCTTCGTTTAAGCCATTCGTTCAGGAATCAACATTAAACTCACAAAACAGAAGGAAAATAGAGGCGAGATGATGAGTGCCGCATTTTTGTAGTTAAAAGTCGGAAATCTTCACATAATGTTATTGTTAGCTTAGCTGATGGACATTTAAAACAAATAAACACACAAGATTCATTTAAATCAGTCTCATTTTTCATTTACCATTTATCACACACAATACCCTCCTTCATGTAAAACACGGATGGTATTGTACGGAATAAAATCGTGTCGTAAATCTATAATCTAACCCAGTTTGTTTAAAACTGACAACTGACTGACATGACATTGGTTTACACTTTACGAAGGAAATGCAATGCAATTCAGTTCACCTTCCCATTCTTCGTCTTTATGATTTACACTGATTTTCTGTCAAGATTTGAAAACTGCAGTTCTAAATGTTCACATAATTTTGATTTACAATAGGCGATGAACTACTTTCGTTTCTTCCCACATATCTAATGAGGCATCTCCACAATGTCACTGTCAGTTCATATAAATTCAAAATTCAGTCATCCCCAACAATTCGAACTGAATGCATTACAATAAAACTTTAAAATCAAATAATGCAAAAAAATTTGCACATATTTTTAGCAGTGGTAGCAACATTTTTATACACCGTACCGGCATCCTTGGGATGGATTACGTATCCATCTATTCTGCACCTCGATGGGTTATCTGAGCTACAAAATAACTCCGGGTCGAATAGTAAAAGTAAAAGTGGGGACAAATTATTTTTTACCGAGTTGATTGAAGAATTTGCTCCAGAACTGAACGCCAATGGGACTGCGGTGAGTAAGGGTAAGCGAAATGAAGAGGTTCAATAGCAGGCAAGGGTTAGCAGCAATCTCTCCGTGATTAAAAGTTACAGTGGATTCTTCACCGTGAACAAGGAGTATAATTCGAACCTATTTTTTTGGTTTTTTCCGGCTGCCGTGAGTTCGAAATGATGCAAATGAGAAAATGTAAATAGCTTCTACATGCTTACGTCCTGTTATTTAGTTTGAGCCAGACAAAGCCCCAGTGATCCTCTGGCTGAATGGAGGACCTGGAACATCCTCACTTTTCGGACTCTTTGTGGAAAATGGACCATTTAAAATTAACCTACAAGGTTTCTTGGAACAACGGCAGTATGCTTGGACCATGACGCATAGCTTGTGTAATATTTTTTTTCGTATATAATAAATAGTGGACATTATGTACCCCAATTACCTCAACTTATCTTTTAATTTCAGTATACATTGATAATCCAGTCGGGACAGGATTCAGTTTTACAGACGATGCTCGAGGATACTCAAAAAACCAGGTTGACATCGGTACTAACTTATTTCAAGGAATACAACAGTTTTTTCGTGCATTTCCTGAATATGCAGAGAGAGATTTTTACATAGCTGGAGAATCGTATGCTGGTAACTGCACTCCAATTGTTTCAAGCATACGTAGTAAGAAAATACTAATAATAACGCTTAATTCCAGGAAAATATGTGCCCTCAGTCTGTCTAAAAATTCACCTCGAAAACCGGAAAAAGGGTAGAAACCACATAAAAATTAATTTAAAGGGGATGATGATCGGGTCAGGATTTTTCGATCCACTCACTCAAAACGAGTACGGCGAGTATCTTTATCACATGGGGCTTATCGACGACAACCAAAAGGTCACATTTCTCGAAAAAGAGGCACAGATTAGGGATTTAATTGAGGGCGAAGAATGGGCCGATGCCACTCGAGTAAGTTCCATATTACGCATTTTGGAAATTTTTTAAGTTCTCAGACTTAAAACTTTACGAACTTAAAAAATAGGCTGTTGAGCGACTAATTGTTGGAGACCCTGAAACGTCCACCTCGCTTTTCCAAAACATGACTGGCTATTCGGAATATTTGAATATGCTGCATTCATCTACACCACGTGAGTTTCGAACCTACGTCCCCTACCTGAATAAGCCGAGTATTCGACAATACATCCATGTCGGAAATCAACCTTATACTCGCAGGTTTACAATTTTACATGAAAATTTCATTCATATAAACAAATTCATAAAATAATTATTTCAAGCTTTAGTCCAGAAGTTCTAGAAAATATGGTGGAAGACATCAGCAAATCTGTAAAGCCTTGGGTTGAACGTTTATTAAAGGAAAATTACCGAGTCCTTATCTACGCGTCTCAATTAGACCTCGTTGTTCCACACACCGGGGTCCAGAAATTTATTTCCAATCTGGACTGGCCTGGATCCAACCAGTTTTCCAGAACTCCTCGACGACCTTGGAAGGTCAATGGGGAAATTGCAGGGTATACTAAATTCGCCAGGAACTTGGCGTATGTTCTGGTTCGAAATGCGGGTCATGTTGCTCCCTATGATCAACCTTTGTGGATGTATGAAATGATAAACCGGTTCACGAGAGGTTCACCATTCTGAACAAGAATCCTATTAAAATCGATATTTATACAATAAAAAATTCGAAATTCGTCAATTTATTTCACACTTTCTTCTTCTGCGGATGCAAGCAAGGCTGCATTTTCTTTGTGAAGGAGTGAAAGTTGGTACCAAAAATGATTCCGGAGTAAAATCTTGTCGACTTTCTCCTGTTGAATTTTCTGTCCTTTGACATGTTCCGTAAAGTCGTAGACTAATGCTACGCTGACGATGCGGAGAATGCAGTAAAGATAATTAACGATATCGTTATCGTCCCAGGATTCTTTATCTGGAGAAATCGTATACCTGTGGATGAAGAATTATTAAAAATTTTGAAATATTTGGAATTTCATGTAGAACAAATTTTATTAAAGAAATCATACATCATGCTACCATACGTCAGGACAATTCCCAATTCTGCCAAACACCAAATTACGCACCCAGCATAGTGATCCTGACAATGGAGGCGCAAACTATGTTCAGCGCAGATAATTTTTTGACCATGTTAGTTTGGAAGACCAAGTCTTTTGAAACAACATTTGGTTTGGCACTTGAGCAGATGCGCAAAATTCGCCACTTTATAGGCGCCGCAAGTTCGCAAAAACGCTTGATTTTTCAATGTACGGTCGAGCGCGAGCTCAGCTTTTTTCCGTCTCTGTCGCTCACTCTCTCACTTCCACGCGAGGGCATTGACCCCGCAACCCTTCATCCGCATTTTTCAATCAATAATTCCGAATTGTTATATTTTTAACTATAAATTTCCCCCAATTTCGTAATGTTATAAACAAAATTTATCTTAATAGAAAGTATCAACACTCTGTTGTCAAATAATTTTTATACCTTGTTCAGAAAAGTTTTGACTGTGACGATAAAGACCCTATGCAGACCAGAGGATTGCAGAAATTCTTGTCCAAAAATCTTATCAAATTACGAAATTCCGGGTGAATTAATTTCAAAATTTATAGTTAAAAATATAACAATTCGGAATTATTGGTGAAAAATGCGGATGATGAAGGATTACGACGTCAATTGTCGTCAATATCTTCGCGTCGGAGCGAGAGAGACGGAAAAAATGAGCTCGCGCTCGACCGTGCATTGAAAAATCAAGCATTTTTGCGAACTTGCGGCGCCTATAAAGTGGCGAATTTTGCGCATCTGCTCAAGTGCCAAACCAAATGTTGTTTCTAAAGACTTGGTCTTCCAAACTAACATGGTCAAAAAGTTATCTGCGCTGAACATGGTTTGCGCCTCCATTGTGAGTATTAAATGCTTGTTTTTGAGGATTGATAAGCGTGAAATGAAAATAATTTGTGAAAACCTTTAGGACGACAATTAACAAAATGACTCCAAATATAATTGGCAAAACTCGAATAACTAAAGTAAAGATGAAAATAAAATTAAAAATGATAAAAAATTAAAGATTTAATTACGACGTGACACAATTGCGTATGTTAAAATTAAATTTTTACCAAAAAATGACCAATAAAAATGCCATCCCGTAAGAACACTATCCTCATCTTCTCCAAATGAAATAATTTGATATGTCAGTTCCATCACTCGAATCCCCTACAAACCGACAAACGTGCAAAATTATGACACCAAACTGCATCTACAATTTCGATTTTATTCGCACCAAATTGAACACAGCAACCAACAAAGTACGGAATTTTGAACTTGTTATCCATCCCCCGGAAAAATGGTCTTCCCTTTCAGCAAAATAAAATTGATTTAATTCCACCTCCATCACGTCTAACATGAGCACTAAATAAAATATGTATGAATGCCGACTGATGTATGTACGTGTGAGAGAAGGAAATACTAAACGGAATATTTTGGCAAGTAATTAAAAAAAATATGACACCTCAAACAATAACACATTCATTCCTTCCTAGAATCATGCCTGGAACTGGAGTATCAAAGGTCAAAATGAAATATGATGCTAGTTTAAATTAGTATTTTAGTAATAGAAGAAGTTACCAAACTTTTTGTTTTATTGCATAACGTTCGTTACTACATATTAAATACGTAAAAAAAGAAACCAAGCTCAACCTGGACATATTTTTATGTATCATTTTCCAGCAGCATCCATTTACCGGAAATAGCTACTCGAAGTGCACGTATTTTAGTCAAACTTGCGCCACCGAGGGAAACGATGGCATGGTCATGTAACGATGTGCAACCCGGCGTATTCTAACTACGCAAACATCCGAGTCGGGCATGGTCAGATAGGAAACCACCCCCTGCATCACCAAGGAGGAAAGGAACAAGGTCATCGCGATGATCATCACTTGGCGGTCGTAAACGATAAACGCTGATCCTGTAGCGATTTCGACCTGTTCACAACAAAAAATCCTCAACCAACTTGTGAACCGATGCAATTTGAGGGTTACCTACTTTTCTAGTGAATAGAAACCACAGGATGAGAAATGTGAGATTCTCCACGTAAAACCACATCACAGTAGGCAAATATTTTGATTGGAATTGTAATGGCGAAAAAGTCGCTAAAAGTCCGTGTTTCACTGCGCCATGAATTCCCTCAAAGTGTTCGGACTCTTCGTCGCCCGGCGAAGTGCCGTCAATGGCTCGAGTGTCGATGCGAGCATAACCTCGCCTCCCACTTCCGGGTCCTCTCCGCCTGTATTGTGGCTCAAAAAATGGATTCAGCAAACATTTATAGAGATCGATGGACAATTCGCGTAAGATTTGTGCAGCCAAATGTAGAATGGAGCGTATTCCCATTTCCGCAAAGAATACGATAAGAAGCACTTCGGCGAAGGTGTGATGAGTTTTTGACCCCAACATTGAACTCTGTTTGTTCAGGTTGAAATAGACTGTGGCCCGGATGAGTCCTTCGCAAAATATGCGCAAGCCTGAAGAGAGTGTTTCAAATTAGGGCATAAATGTGAAAAAGCAATAACTTATTGACATATTTACCAATGGCTAAAACTGCGTGGAAGAAGAGTAAGAATTTTTGCCACATTTGCAATTTATGTGGCCGTTGTCGGTCTTCATGATTAAAAAGAGTTGGTTTCCCTTTGTCATGAATCCTATAAAAGTCTGACACAATTCCATACCAGTGGGCTTCAGCAAGGCAGAGAATTGCAAATATGACACAAAGAATTTCCATCATCCCTGGAAAATTTACGATAATAACGTGTACTGATTTATTAAGAGTCGGATCTTACAACATTTGAAGCTTACAATTTTGCAGAAAATTTGCACTTTGTTCCGTACGATTGATGAATAGGACGGACAACATGACCTACATACATACGTGAGAATTATGCATTTCTTGAATTTACTGTTATATTTATGTAAATTTTAAGAACTTGGGTGTTACCATTCCTTCCGGGAATGCACGAAACATGCTTTCATACTGTTTCAGTTTTATGCTCTCTGCTTCAATCCTATGTGTCTCGTCAGACGCCGGCTTCAATTTTGCGTATAAAAGTTCACCTGTACTGCAAATTTCCAATTCGTTGGTTACATATATACATATTTTTATATATGTATGTAGGATGTATTCACAATAATTGTTCCATCATCTCACCACAATATGGGTCCCACTAAAGGAATGTTGAGTATCTCATTATACCAACTTTTACTCGGAGGATATTTCTCGAAAAACAACTGAACTCCAAAAGTCGACAGAAAAATAGGCAACAACATTGCCCACGCTTGGAGTGGGTCTTCATCCGCCATGTAATGTCTGTACACTAATATTCCCACGAAAGACATATCACACATGGTAAAACCTAAGGACAAAATCTCTAAGAAAATGTCGAACGTTTTATGCGAGCAGAATTTGTTATTAGAGTTTTCAGAGGATGAAGAGGAAGATGAGACGAAATCGTCAACTTGATTGTGGTGGTTGTATCCACCATCGTCAACCCCACCCACCCAGGAGTCGATCGCGTCTGCGAGCTCTTCAGGGTCGAGGAAAATGTTGATATTTCTAACCACGCTAACTTCTTCACTGATGGATTCATGTTGAGAAGAAGAGTCAGATTCTCTTCGAATTCGGATTGTTTCATCTACTTGAAAGTTTACGTTTCGGTTTCGATGGTGGGTTTGTTGTTCTGTTTCTTTTTCTGTGGTGTGGTCCATTATTGCGACTAATTAATTTTGTACGGACACCAATTCTGGTGTAACTGGAAGTGTCGCTGGAGAAGAAGTAATATTTGAACGCATGTCTTCTCGTCTTGATGACGTAGACAGCAAATAAATAAATCGGATTGTGGTATTACATAAATATTTAAAGAAGATTAAGTTTCTGCTGGACTTTCTTCAGCAAACAGACACATATTTAATTAGATCAGCTCAAGACAAGAATCAGATGTGTACTGGGCTGGGGGAGAATGTTAAGCATATCGAGTTAAGAAGCACGTAATGATATTCATTCAAGTGCTGTAAATAAATGAAACTTGGACAGACACGTCTTTTCTCATACTTGATTAAACTAAACTTATTAAACAGCACTTGGACTAGGACAACTTGCTGAAGAAACAACATTTCAGAGACGCATACGTGCATGATGACATGAAAGTTGAAACTGGTAAGATTTACTTAGGTTATAAATAATTATGCATACGATATCTATGCATAATTACGTATCTCTCTGCGAGAAATATGACACAAAATAGACGTATTTGTATATATGTAAACTCAGATGTTTTAATATTCTTTGCAACACGAAATAAGAAATAATTATGAAATGTGTTAAATGCTGCTACACTGTTGGTGTAATCGTTCTTTTGGTTCATTGTACTTTTTAAGACAATACCCAAGACCCTCCAAAATTCGGCGTTGTTTCTTCCACCCTTCTTCATTTAAGACTTCTCGTTTCCTTCGCCGCTTCGTTTCTGTGGTGGAGTCAGGGTCGAGGGTCGTGGTACTTTAGACACATTCAAAAATAAGTGGTGAGGATGCGATTTATGGCAATTGTCTCAAAATATGTGTTGCTTGAAAAATGAATGTATCTTACTTTTCAATTATCTCATTAGCTTCCTCCGCATCGCCGGAACCAATCGGTCTCGTGAGATGAAAGGGGAATTTGGATAAAGTCCTGGCAGCATACGTACATCGGTCAAAGTGAGCCATTACTTGTCCCACGTTGCCTAAAAGTCCAGCATACGGTTGATGAGCTTCATCCACCTCTACGGCATTTTTTGGCTTTAGCCTGTCGGATTTTTTAGGTTATCTTATCAAGTTTCTGTGCAGCAGTTTAAATATTTTACATAGTACCAGAATGGACGAAGCTGCTTTCCAAACAATGGTATGATAATCGTCGTGTACTTGTGATGATCGCTGTAAAACTTGTCAAACGTTTTGTAACAGTAGGAATGCACGGATACAAAAATCTTCCAAACGGATTCGATAACAGGATCAAAACCATCGGACCGAAGGGCTCGTGGAATATGGACGTTGTCATTCTGCTGGCATTTATTGTGCTCCACGATGGCTGGGATTGGTGTGGCTGCAGAATCAATAATTAAGTCTTTAACTGAAATATTTATTACTTTTAAATATGAAGAGATGTGTTACCATGTTCCAAACATCGCGTCAAGGATGCCTCGATTCTTTTGAAATCCAAGTGCGTAAAGGTAGAGTCATTCCAGTCAAATATTTTGGATTGCAGGCTTAAAAACACGCTAACAGTGAGATCTAACAAACCAGAATTTTCCATGGGGCAAATCTGACGCATAATTGATTTCGAGAGGAGAATCAGTTTCGAAATCATGGCTTCCGTCGGATGCGTCTTCTTCGCATAGGAATCCTGAGGGGACACGATTTTTAAATTGTTCTTAATCACGGTGCGTTCATACTGCCAAATTTCTTCGGTAATGATTTGATTCGAATCTGTCATCTGGGGATGGCTGAACTGATCCACGTTGTTCCATTCGTTATCAAATCGGCGTACTAAAAAAATGGTTATCAAAATACTTGCAAATTTTGCGTCAACATGCAAATTATTTTGTCATAATCATACACATTTCTTCCTGCGTCATGTTTGCACTGCTGGATTTGTCCTCGCTTTCCGGTTCTTTACTTGTGGGTTCGGAATCAATTTCCCTCCTGAGCCAGGCTGGCATGTTGGGATATTTCTTTTTGAGTTTGTCCTTATCTGAGGTTACGGCTGGGGTGGATTTTCCCTCCTTTTTCTTTCCACCGCCGCCTCCTTTTTTCGCCTCCCCTTTCGGCGCATGTTTACTTTTTCGAGCACTCCTCCCAACAATACTGCTACTACTTCCATTCACCCAGTCTAATAATTGATTATCGTGCGGAAAATCTGACACCGTTCCCCAATCATGCTCCAGAAAACTGCACACATTTTCCGACGTTTGTCTCAAAATAGGTTGGCATTCTGTCGGAAGTATTTCAATTATTGGGAGAGAATCGTTACATCCACGAAGAATTTCACCCACGTCGGTCGTGAAGTTTGCGAGATTTTTAAACGTACAGAATACTCCTTCAAAGGTCTGGTCTTTTGTACGAGAACCGCCCCCATTGTCCATCATCGAGGCAATTATTTTGGTAGAATTTAGACAAAAACGTTGATCTCCATTTAAACTGGTAATCGTCCAACTGGAATTTACGGTGATGATGTCGAGTGGAACTGTACTTGTGAGGTGGACATTTCGATACACTTTTTGCTGAATATTTTCCATGTTTTCTTTGAAAAGGACGAGAGAATTTCCAAACGGTCTCATCGGATTGCTTATCGTGTTTATTCTTGTAATTTGTGCATTAGGCAGGGGAAAACAGTGATTCTGGCCTCCTACGATGCTCAAAGGGGAACAATTCTCTCCGTAAAAGGCCCATCTAAAAAATTCCTCCAATTGGAATAATATTATCCAAACGAGTGTATAAACAATTCTCAACTTACACTCCATTAATGCAAATGCAAGATAACACCGTCGGTTGTGCGAATGCTATCCCGACTGAACAGGTCTGTCCATCAACTTCATGGCGATCTTTTCCAGCATAAATGACAAGTCTTGATCGCCCGTATGATTTCTTGGGGGTTTGAAAAGCTGCATCTCCAAAACTTAGCAGAATGAGAAACAAGACTGATTTAATCGTCATTTTCAAAACGAACACAAAGAGCGTGGCTGAACGATGTCGTAAATATGTAAGTGCAATAATAAGTATCTAAATGTTTGTCAATATTGGGATCGAAAATAATACAAATTATTTTCAAAACATTTGTTGTTTATGTAAATGTCACCTCCGGATTTAATTGTGTACTTAACAATTTGGATTTTATTTCTGTATGCATTTACAAAAACGCTATATTTCTGCTATTGTATTAGATTTGCATTAAATGTCGTTCGTATTGGAGTCGGTTGTTTTTCCAGGTTCTTGTTCTTGAGGTTCATTGTTCTCCATCATAAATCCGACCCCCGGTTCCCACCCGTATTGTAGACCTAAATTAAGTTTTATTTAATTTATTGAAATCAATTAAATAATTTAAATAAATTAATGATTATTCAATTACGATGATGTTCTTCAACTGAAAATGTCCATTCGTTCATTTCCTTAATTGAGACCAGGGCCAGCGGTGTTTTAAAATACGTGGGGGCAGCAGCTCCAGCAGTAAATTCAAAAATGTCATTGTAGATAACGGAAAATGGATACGTTTCCAGAATTTTGTCCAATTCGCCCAATTTTCCGCGACAGTCGAGTGCTCCAAATGCTAAAAATTAGCCAAATCGGCATGAGAAATACAATATGCTGTTGTATCAATTATGAAGAGACGTTTTCTACGCACGATGAAGAAATTCTGCACAATCGTTCAAACTAATATCACCCCTTTTCTCCTCCTCCTTGTAATTGACTTCAATCAATTTCATCGCATCCTCGGTCAAAACGCCGAGAATATTTTCCACATCTCTCTGATGATCAGGTTTTGTCCAGACGAGAATTCTGGGATGCAGCTTTAGCACGGAGGCGGCTTGTTTCACTGAAGCGTTCGCCACGATGGAGGGGAACGTGTTGAACGTGAGGTTGCCCACGCCCAGAAAGTACCACCAGTAGAGCGAGGTAAATTCTGCTTCAGGCATGTAGCCCTTTTCTCTCATCAAGTCGACGTTCAGAAACTTTCCGTGCGAATGGTACAGGGAATCGGGCAGTGTGCAAATGATGACGAAATCCTTGTCATGCTTTTTTTCTGGGAGCAAGTCATCCATAATTTTAAGCACGCCGGCCATTACGGCCCCACCCCTTTCTCCGCAATACAAGTCCTCCTTCTTGTTCAGGTCTCGGGCAAGCCGGAAAGCTCCCCGTTCCAGGATGGTGACCACGTTTGTGCCAGGATGCTGACTGGGGCGATGGAAACCTTTCCATTTGTTGGCGATGGAATACACTTCAGACTCGACCCCGAAAATTTTGCAGGTTGGGAAACTCTGGGACAATTTCTGTGATACTCTGAACACACGAGATTTGGCTTATGTAGAATCAACTACATAGGTTAAAAACTAGTCTAATTTATGTAACCTGTCAAGGATTCCGAGATTATCTAATTCACCCACAAATACGTGTGGTACGACTTCAGACTTTTCAATTTCTTGTGTTAATTGATCAATTTCAGAATTAAAAACGCCATCATTCGCCATAACAAAAGCTATGAGATTGATTCCTCCTTCTGAATCTGCTAAAGCTTGAGCTTTTTCATTGAGACATAATTCCTTCGAAGTTACGAAACTTTCCGGAATTGGGTGAATTGTTGCTCCGAAATTTTTCAAATCATGCACCAACCGTGGAGTGGGTGTGGTTGTGACGATAGATTCGGGAACCAAGGCGAGAAATTTGTACTGCTTGGAATTGCATATGTTGAGTAAGGCAAAGCAAAATTCTGGATCTGGGCCAAAGATGAGAGTCGACCCTGCATAAAATATAATGGTAACGATGCAGACGATCAAAACTGTGCTTATAAGCGTTCGAGAAATGCACAACAGCGGTTCTAATATTAATAGACTAATCAAGTTAGTTGGTATAAATATGCACATAAAAATGCAGAAATGTTCCCACGCATCCAATCATCCTGCCATCAAGGTTGGATGAAACTGTACGATTTTACCAATCATAATAATAATAAGGAAATGTATAAGTGTGTATAACCAACCGGGTTCCATAATCCCAGCCAATTCCGCTTTATTGATTAAAGCTAATGCAAGTCTGTCATAAATTGACTTGCTTGGCTTGTTGCGAAACTCCAATTTTGCGAAAATCTGTATGTAATTGTCAGCAATCAAATAATCGGTAGACATGCGAAATGAAATAATTATAACCGTGCACCAACTATGTATACGAACCTGACATTTCATTCCGCTGTGCTTTGGAACTTTAATCAAGGGGACAAGTTGTGTGTTACCGATCGTGTCGGGAGACGTACTTGGTTCGGAGTTGGGCTCATCCATATTTGAGGACAATTCTAATAAATAAAATAGTTGATGTCACACGCGACCAATTAAATATAAGGTATTATATAACTGTTTGCTCGTTAGACTTACCAATACAAGTGACAAGTGCAGTATTTTACTAACGAGGGGAACTAATTTCCATGAACTTTAACCAAGTTCCACCCACTTTAATTATCACCGTACGGAATTTAAGTTTCTATAGGATTCCCCATGCTGAAACGGAAGATGCGGCGAAAACGTGGTCACTTCAGCCTAGTTACGGATCAATTAGAAGAACAGATTCATTTAGAAGAACTATATAAAACCATGAAGAAAAATGACCCCAAAAAAGACCCAGACCCACCACCCTCACAAGAACCACAAGCCCCCGTAAAAAATGGCCTTCGACGTGGATCTACTAGCGGTTCACAAGTCATCCCCGATTTACAAAGTACCGTGTCCGGCATGTCGGGAAGCAGCAGTATGAACAGCAGCATCATGACGAGTGGGGGTGACAATCCCCTCGAAGCTAGCGCCGGTGCGGGTCGACGCGTCCATCGTCATCATGCCCATCTTCCTCTCATCCATCCGAACTTTGAGGGGCTGGACGTTTTTAAGAATAGGCACAAAAAACCAATCCGCCAATTGGCCGGGGCTAGAGTTCATGCACCAAAAGTTTTAGTCGTCACAATGGAAAGGTGACATACTTAATTGGGGTATGAATTAGGGTCAAAATTAAAAATTAATGTGTATCGTAGTGCTTTGGAGGATAAAGTTGAAGCGCATGGGTACGACCTCCGGAGACGATTGGCAGATTCACAAACAGAGGACATGGGATTGAACGTTCTTACCACTCAAATCCACGATATGGAAGACATGGAGTGGATGCTGGATGAAGAGTCTCAATTGCTTCTTCGAAAGCATATCATCTGTAATACGTACATGCATGCATACATAATTTCATCTTTCCACAATAATTTAACAGCTTGTCACGATCTTATAATCATTATTTACTGCAGACTGGAAATCTGCTCTGTCCATGCCACGTCGTAAAATGCGGGTTAAAGACACCACAATTCCATCCACAGCGACTGTCGACTACTGCAAACCTTTGACCCGATGTCAGCGTTACAACCGGACGTGTGCACGCGCCTGTTGCGCCAGGTATCGCATGACCATAACGGAAGATTTAGTGCGGGGTGAAAGCATTTGGAGGTTGAACAAGGACCTCTTCAATTCCACGTCATCCGGAGAAGCGGAAGTGAACGATGACGACGACAATGCCGAGAAGGAGGAGGAGGACAGAGGTCCAAATCAATTGACACGTCGCGACAATAATGCGTCTGATCCGCGTGCTCGTACACCCATATCGCCAAACGCCCAGGGTCAACCTGACCGGAAATGACATATACATATTTCCGGAAAAATACTTGCAAAATCGCATTGTCTCATGTAGCGCTAAATATTTTACATAATATACAAATCGTACGAGGATAATTCCACACATTTCAACAAAATTAGCATTCCATTCCATACATTATGACTTTTACACCGGGTCGGATCATTTTTATTTTCGGCATGAACACCGGAACACGAGCAGACATTTATGCAATTAAATCTTTACCCGTGTTGTTATTTATGCATTTATTATTCAACAAGAATTCCAATCAATCAAGGAACTGTAATATCCTGCAATTCTATTCGTGTCGGTGATCTGTTCGATTTTTAATTTTCAACACTTCCCCAAAAAGTTAATGGTCTACATTTATTACTCAAGTTGAATGGGCACTACTTAAGCTTAATAGGTAATTACAAAATTTGAATTGCAGCCTTGGCCTTGGGTTGTGATTTGCGGTTCTTGCCACAATTATGTAAGTATTTAGTAAACCTACCACAAGCTACCACGCACGTACTTTAGGTGTGGTGAATTATTAGAACTCCAAATCTATATTATTCTAATTACATGGCTTAAGTATATTTTGGTTGTTACAAGTTCCATTGTTTAATAACTCTGTTTTTTTACTCCGGAAAATTTTATTGTAATAAAGTGATATCATAATATACATAAAAAAATATCCTGTCAACGCGAAAACAACATCTAAACCATAAACTAAATAATACTCCCAAGCTCTTAATCTACTAGAACTTTAGTTAAAAATGTTTAAGAATAAAATATTCCTTAACATTCAGATTACTTTATTAGTAAATATTTTGCTACTAATTTTTTCCCAACTTGGAGCAGACTCGAGTAAGTACTGAAACTAATGCGTAGTTCTAAAACAGAGAAATACATAAAGCATTTTTCTTCATGAATTTTCTAGGTGGCGAACAACGTCGAAGAAGCAAAGTTTGCATGAAGGGTCAAGATTTATGCGGTAATCAATGCTACGATTACAACTCGTACTCCTGCCTAGAAGGGTTCAACGGTCAGAGAAAGTTCCTCTGCGATAAGGACGAGGTTCTCTGCGGCGAAAAATGTTACGATCCCTACGAATTCAACTGCTACGGCGCAGGCGACGATGCCCTTCTGTGTCCTTGGAATGAGAGAAAGTGTGGGCGCAAATGTTACAATCCGGATCACGAGACTTGTACTTCACGAGGACAAATTCTTAACGGGAAGAATCAGAACGGCATCGTGGGTGCGATCAGACCAATCTCGACGTCTTTTTCCTCCTTCCCCAGCAGCAGTGATGGGATTCGTACCATAAACAGAAATACCGGATCTGACGACTCTTTTACGAGTTTTGACAGCTTCAACAACAACAATCGTGACAACTCTTACGCCAAACTTGATAATAACAACGACGACGCTTCTTTCACCTGTTTGCGACACAATCTCCTCTGCGGAGTCAAATGTTACGATCCAACGAAGCAAACTTGTTTCCGAGAGTCGGCCGGGGGTTCGTCAAGTTTGACCGTGTTGTGTTCCATCGGACAGAAACGGTGCAGCAATAAGTGCTACGACCCGTATCGAGAGACATGTTCGGAAAATCATGACCACCAAATCGACTCCAACAATCAGTACAAATTCAACTCGCCAAGCACAAATACAAATAACAATAAGTACAATTCCTTCGCACCCTCGTCATCTTCATCGTCATTAAATAATGCAAATGAATGTCCGAGAGGCTACTCGTTATGCGATGGGTTATGCTACAACCCATTTGAAGAGGATTGTCTCACCAATTCGAATTCAAATAAGAGGAGGAACAAGCCTGCGGTCACTTCGAACAGTGATGGCTTCGTCCGAGTGAGTAACCCACGCCAAGAATTTACGCCCTCGTCGTCTCTGGGTTCAGGAGGTTCGAGTTCCGGTGGTTCCACTTTTGGCTGGCCGGTGGTCGGATGTCGATCCGGCCAGTTGAAACGTGGGACAAGTTGTTACGATCCGAGGAGGGAGGAATGCCTGAATTGGAACAAGGGTCAAATTCAAAGGTGTGAATCGGGTCTTGAAGTCTGTGGGAAGAAGTGCTATGATCCCTTCAATCAGAAATGCTTGGACGATGGGTACAACAGAAAAGTCGTGTGTCAATGGAACGAGCGAGCGTGTCGAGGCAGTTGTTATGATCCATTTAGAGATAATTGTGACTAAATGGTCTAGTATTTCCGTGAATTAAGTAGAAAATATTTAATGTTTATGTAACAAATAAGTTCTTTATTTCCACAAGTAAGCAAAATATGTAAAACTTTTTCTTCACGGGTTGATGAATGTTAACTAAAATTAAAGCATTATTTTATACGAAAAACAAACAAAAAAGTACTCTGATGTAATTGTTAATTGACACTCATTACATTAAAGCATAGCTTAATTTAGCCTTCCCTTCCTGGTACTTGACTGTCATGTACATACATAATATATTATTTTCTCATATTTAACATAACAAATTCTACCCACTTTACAACTTGAGGTGCGAAACAACCCTGAAATTAAGTACTAATTAAATACCCACAATATTCATCTCATCAATTCATGAGGCAGTCTATAGTGCAAAGGGTAGAAGTTTGGTGGTGGTGGTGGTGTGGCATGCGTGTAAAATATCTAATTACACACAACTTAAATTATAAGAGTCAACTAAAAATTAAGTATTAATTTGTATTCTGCTGCAAATATGGCCATTAACTAAAACTCATAGCATAAGACCACTACTACTTCTGCCGGTACATGACATGGTTAGTAGGTTGGCTTGAAAGTGATTCTTCTCATAATTCAGTTTGTCTTTAAAGTACTTGAAAAGTAAAAAAAAATGTAAAAATTATGTAAATTCGTGGGGACATTCCACATGACGATGACAAATTTGTAGCATCAGGTTTTGCTCTAGATTGTCGTCTCCCTCGACACAACCAACACCAATCGCATACCGATTCTGTACTGAATTTGTACTCGGATGGAAATTCATTGTCATTTATTGATAGCTTTAATTGTAAGTATTTGTGGCTGGCTAAATAACCCCTCGGAGAAAGTCTATTGATAATTAATACATACATAATCATAATATTGGCAGTATATTTGCGGCAACAAATCCGCACAAGAAATGAGAACGAGATTAATGTCAGCAATGCTAAAACGGAATCAAATTGATGAAAGCATGAATTACTTAACTTTTTGTTTTGAGATATTCCTCGTATCAAATATGTAATTGTAATGTGGAAAAGGGTATAAAAAGATCTCCATTTATGAGTGATTTGTTTTACATAATGTCTAAATTTCTGTGACTGATGGGTGAATTCTGACCCGAGGTGGGTCATTTTCAGAGAGAAGGGTATCCGTGGGAGTGGCTGTCGTGATTTCATCTAGAGCTTCCCTTAGTTGTCACGCCTTGGAATAAAATTTGATAATTAATATAAATGCAAATATTATATCATATAACCTTTAGAATTAAAATCGACCTTAGTTTCCATCGTGTAGGCCGAATGAGATTCGCGCATCTTCCTCTGCTTGCCTTGAATTCTGGCCTCAACCAGAAACAAAATTCCTGCCACGTACTCCCCAAAAACGCCAATCACCGCAAAGGCGAAGGACCAAGAGAGGTAATTATTTTGCCAGTCGGGCATCCAAGCCTAAAGAGGGAGCATAAGTTATGCATATTCAAGGAAATAAACGGGACAAGGAAATATTTACTTACTCGGCTGTCCCCCATGGCTCCGAAAACGATGACGGCGATCGAACCCAGAAATGCTGCATTGGAAAATTGGAAGTTTATAAATCAGTAGAATTATAAAGTATGCTGCATTTTCTTACCCGAAGCCAACAGGACAATTCCGATGAGTCGAACCAGCATGATAAAATAGTCATGATCAGGACCAAAGCATAAAATGTACATGGGCACCAGTACAATCGATATCAGAAGGAAGATGAAACACATGGTGAAGAAAAACTGCACTGCCACAAAGAACGCTGAAATATACAAGGACAAAAACAAATCAGAATTACAGGAAATTACTACCAGAAAATTACTCGTCCATAACTAAAATCTTTGTCGAAAGTCAAAAGTGTGAAAACCATAAAAATAGTAGCTTACGGGGCACCAAAAAACTTCTAATTTCTTGATATCCCGTCGTAAATGGGTCAAATATCCAGCGACACCCGGTAAAAAAGCGGTTCAAATACTGGTCATTTGGATCACTCAGTGATCTAAAACAATGTGACCACAACCCCAACTTTTCAAACTTGGCCCCCACGATGCGCCTATCACTCTCCAGCCAATATGGAGTCACAAACGCCACCAAGATTAAAATGGCTGTCAACGTGAATACGGCCACACCCACGGTTCCAGCCATGTGACGCTTTTTATAATACGCTGACCCCATGTAGTCGTCCATGGCGTAAGTTCCTTTGTTAAATGCTCCCCCCATACTACTCCCACCACCCCCACGACCATAATCTACCCGGAATTGTTCCATCAGTCTCTATGTATGTTTGAGCTTCTTTTTTAAGAAAACTTTCCACTCGAGTTAATTATCTCCGTCTGTGACCACCAAGTTATTCAAAGTGACAACCTTATTTTAAAACTTGTCCACAAAAAAAACTGCCACCTTCTCACTTTGCATATCTTTATGCAGTTTGACCGCATGTGTCAACCTCAATTGGTCCCAATTTGCAAGCAAATTACCAAATGCGTGTCTTAATAACCGTATTCCTGGTTTAGCCAAATTTGTATTCTTTACTTGCACTGAGGTAACGATAATGTTCTTAAGTATTACTCACTCACTCTCAAACTTTGCAAATTATGAATACTAAAAACAATAGTGACAAATCATCAACAAGAATAAATAAATAAGTCAGTTTATGTCATGGATGTGTGCACATATACAAAAATGATTCTGGAATTCAGACATGTACCAAATAGACGAAAGTATTAACGTAAGGATTGAAAGTAAGGCCGGGTGGGGTAGCTGGCTAGCTATGTAATATTGCTATTGTTAAGTATTTCTTGTGTATATGACAGTTGGTTTGTGTATGCATGTTAAAAGTAAAGGGGTGCATTTTGTTTGTGGAGTTTCCAATTTGAGACAGGTGTATAAAATAGCATATACGATAGTGAGGGGTCCGTTTTTTGTTGTGACCATTTTTACCAGGCAACTACTTTTTAACGTGGAGTGGAATCACTTTTCCATAACGAGAAAGCTTCAACCTTACACTGACGCAATGTCAGAAACAACGTAATAGTATTGTTTGGTTAGATGTAGGTGTTATTGGATGGAAAAATCTAAAGTTTTGCGTTTACTTAACAGACAGAGCAAAGTGGATTGTTGAGCTTTCTGTTAGGTTTGTTGGAGTGGATATTATACGAGGTTGCCACATGTCACTGGACGATTGTTGTTATGATGGTGTCAAAAAAGGGTGCGAATTTGACGGTAGTTATAATGGAATAGGATTTTGCAGAAAATTTAAAAAAAATTGAAATGGATGATGATTTGAAGAGTGATGGAAATTTATGTATGGAAATTTACCGATGCAATTTCTTAAAATAATGATTGGTGAGTACTCACGTTTGAAAATGAGATCGTTGAGATGATACAGCTCTTCCGAGAGAAGGTACCAACACCCAGTTATCCTAATGTCATAGTTATGATTAGCGTCGGGCAGGTCGTCAAAGCATCCTTCCCAAAGTCCTAAAGAACGGCATCATAATTTTTAAATATTTCAAAGTCTAACTTTTTTCAAAACAAAACATTGCAGCATTTTTATTTACCAATTTTAAGAAATTTAGATTTTGGGTCAATCATCTCCCCATCCGTTTCGAGCCATGCCGGCGTCGAGAAAGCAATGATGATGAAGAGGAAAGCTCCAATCATGAAACCAAAGGCGACTTTTATGTGCGTCGGAACATGTGACCCTTGACCCGACTCTGACGGACTCCAAACAAAAACACTCATTGACTTTGTTCCGGTCGTTGTGATACTTGGGGCCGTCGTTGTGCTGCCGGGGCCTTCCATATTTCTTGATGATATAGACGAGTTAATGCACAGCAAACTTTACGAAGATTTTAACGAGTATTTATTTACTTAATTTCGAATAATTATGTCGTTTTATTTCGTTCACTGGGTTCTAAAAGAGAGCACTTTTTCACATTGTGTGAAGAATAAGTCGAGTATCGTAATCAGTTTGGTTAAACTCATAGTCTATTAAATATGTAACTGTTTTGTTTATTTATTTGTCAACAAATTTAGTAAATGTAACAAAATTAATGATTGTCAACAATTAACATTAACACAAATATTAAATTTTAACTCTGGACCTGTTGTGAATAATCGGTTTGAGACAACTTGGCAATTGTGGATGGATTCTCACCTGCCCAATCTCACCCACATTTTGATTGCCTCAAGCCTTCTCTCTAGCTGTGAGAATTCTCCAATGTCAGAAAATATACGTGACTCATGGAATAAAAATGCAATGCTACATGAAAATGGACAGATTAAAATTCAATTTCTTTATTACAATTATTTGTTCACGGGACAATTCTATTATTTATTTGGTTTGTATGATTCCTGATATTTTCTCAAATGCAAACTTTTTTTGACTAAATACGTCACAAAAATATATATTGATGGGGTTTAAAACTACATATCGTAGGGAGGTATCGTATTGTCTCGATCTCGGCCGTCTGATAAGTATTTAGTGAACCCTAATGATCCAAAATGCGAAGGTTTCCAGATACAATTTTATTTTCTAGCTGTGCAAAGTCGGGAATATTGATGGTATTCCCTTCATTCGCAATAATGATGACGGTTCCCTTCAAGACAACGTTTCGACCAAACGTAACATCTCCAGAGACAGTCAAATGATCTAGCTCCAAAAGATCTGGGATAGTTTGAAACCGTTTGAGAAATTCTTTCACCTGAAATAAATACCAACAGATTAATGAGATGTAAGATATGTAACTGATAAGATAACTATAAGTACCTTTGCAAAGTGATTGTCCCCGAGTTTGACGAGCGGTGTGGATGGAAACATTCTAAAAGGTGACATTTCTAGAGTTCCGTTTCTGAGATGGTACAAATTACTCATAACTAGCATAAGATCCGAGGTTTTCTTTACAGGCAAGAAACGACTTCGTGGCACATTAATCCCTGAAACATATACATAAAATCCATGTTTTTTAGGTAAATAATGGCGACATTTTAAAACATAGTGGACTAAATTATCACCTAAGCATCCATCAAAACATTTCATGGCGGCGCCTACAGCAGTTTCTAGTTGAATAACGTTCTGCCCATTATCCAACGTTTTGTGGTTTACGATTACTTCCATGTCCAGAGTTCCATTATCAACGACTTTCTTGACGGCTACGTACATATACACAAAAAATTGTAAAATTACTATTTTATTGTTAGTATAAAATCATTTGATATTTTACCGGGTAGATTGATCCACAAATTGTTCGTATTGAAAAACTTGAAGGTCTTGACCTGTATTGAATATGAATATCGAAGTTTCAAACACAATTAAGTATGTATAATACAGCAGCAAAATAGGACTTACACTTTTAAAATCTTCAATGTGGTCTTTGGGAACTGAACAAAAATAGAATAAGCTTAGTAAGAGTCATTCCTTATCGCTTTGTTAATTAACTCTACTACAATTACCGAATTCGAATTTTGTTGTACCCAATTCATTAACAATAAGCTTTAGTCCTCTTACCTTGCGCAATTTCCAAGAGGCGTAAATGGTTTTCGTACTGCATGAGAGTACCACCCTTTACGTCAGCTTTCGTCTTGTCGGTGACTTCCATGACGAATTCTGCCTTACTTCCCGAAGTTGGATGGAGCAGCATGTTGAGAATGCTAAGGTCAACGGTAGCTCCTAGATTGTCCACGTTGGAAATGAAGCAGTACTCTCGTCCTTCCACGATGAATTGTTCCATAAGCCCAGAGTTGCAGAATGAGAGGTAAAAGTCCCCATGCCCAGGTGGATACCATCTGTATCATTAAAATTGTTCATTTTAGAAACTCCTATTGTATATACAAATTATAAATCATGTATTCATATTACGCTTCCAAATCTGTATTAGCGCTACAGCTTTTGGCCACCGGAGTTAGAGAGTCGCGATCAATTCTGGGATATCTGCTCTGATTAAACGTGACTGCAACACAGAATAAACATAAGTTTATTGTTTACTACAAAGATCCAAATAAACAAATCTGATAAAGTGGTATTCGTATTAAGCTTTGTTATCAAAGAATATTAAACGCATTAAACGCCAAAACTTACAGATTTTCACCTTGAAGCCAGCATATTTACGAATAACCTGAACGAAATCATAATTAATATATTATTATGTGACTTAATGACATATTCATTAATGGTCCTTGAGATTAATGACCTTTTCCGTGTCCTCATCAGTATTAAACGAATTCATTAGCACAAGTGGCACATCAGCGTCGTAAGTTCGATTCAAATGTTCAATTTGTTGTACGGTCAAGTCCAAAAATGAGAGGTCGTTTCGTACCTAAAATTTATTTATATACAAAAAAATCAAATTATGCATTAATTATGCATAGCTATAACTATATACTAAACCCAATTAATGGACTCACGGGGATGACAGATTTGGGACCTCGACACCCCATCGATGTCCCGAGACCACCATTTAGTTTAATCACCACGAGTTTTGATAGCATTTCCTTAATTTCGTTCGAACTTGGGGAGGGCAGCGTTTTATAATCGCGAACCGCTCCTTCCGGAAGTTTTTCAATTTTCGGCCAGTCTACAGATGTTTTTGAACTTTGAAGAAATTTATTAAAGATTCCTTTGAACCCTTCAAACTCTTTCTCCACCCCCTGCAAAAAATAAAATAAATATTATTGCTATGAAATACTATGCATGTCCAGAAAATTTCGTAAAAAAATCTGTGTGCTACCTCGAAGCAACACCTAAATTTTTCAGAGTTATACATTTTTAGACACAACAACCTAAGTTGACCAACTTTACAGAACTATTTATATCAACTGAAAAGTCTTTATACAAAACGGTCCTAAAATATCATGGGACTCGACCAGTTGTCACATGGCAGTTTAAAGTATCACTCACGAGACGTATGGTTTGGTCATATTTATCATCAGTTATAAACAAAGCTTAATATCATTACCTTAACCTGACTGATATGTAACATAATTCACACGGCCATGACGATAACCGATTACACGGATAACCTATTTAGATATTCACATAATATCAGTTTACATGGCACGTACCGCTTTGTCTTCCTCGGGACACGTAGCGACCAACTCTTTCAACTCGGCTTCCACCCGCATCTGGGAGTCGCGTTTGGTCAACGCTGTAAATTCTGCAGCTTCCGAGGGGGACCCGGCTCTTCGATTTGACGGCATTTTTGGCAACGCCTTAAATTGACAATGACAATAATTTAGCAATTTCAACGGTGCAAAGTACTTTAGTTAACTTTGGTTATTGACATGGTCACATTCCGTAAAACTATATGTACCTTATTAGTTCCAGCAAGTCCAAGCCACTCCATTATTACTTATCAACTCAATCACCCCCACAAATATGTTAGCAATTAGGTAAAATAGTCACGGTCACACCAGTGCAACGGGGAAAGAGAGGTGTATGCACAAGGTAAATTTTTGTGTGTATATTACGGGGAAGAATTTGTTAAATGGATACACGCCACTACGTGGAAGCAACTAACTGCAAGAAAAAGTTTCAAACTTTTATGAGTCAAAAATTCTCCGAATATGCAGGCATTTTTTGAACTTTAAAAAATATCAAATTAAAACAATTAAGTGAGTGAGGAAAGCTTACAACTTTAAACAAATAAACAAAAACTGGTCAGAAAATTCTCAGAGAACAATGGCATATTATGAAATACAATATTTACAATGACTGACTGACTGAGCGAAAAACTTGAACCGATTTTTATCATAAGTCCTCAAATTACCAAAAACAAATTTACTATGTGTACCCGTCCTGTTCTCACGTCTTGTCCCCTAATTGACCAAGCTGAGCGTGAGTGATGAGTGGTCTCCAGACGTGTTTGCATGACACTGACATTTATTTATAAGACGAGGCTTTTGATTTAAGACAACCTTGAGATCCGAATGACACAACAGCTTTACTCTCCATTGCAGATCAATTTAGTCACAACGCAATTACTTCATTTACTTGAATGAGTGCATGCATGTAGAAAATTAATGATCTGCGGCCATTAATCTCGCATATGTATTTACTACGACAAAGTGTTTAATGGGTGCATGTATCCATGCAAGATATGAAAATGCTGCGTGTTAAATGGATGACTAAATTGTGGTGCAGATTATTTTTGGTGAGGAGGAAAGATAAGAGAAAATCTTGAAATATTTAAGTTGAACTTGAACTGATTTCCTTAACCTTAACCGATTACAGTACTTACAACTGTAAAGACTGTAATATTATAATTTATAAATAAGTAGTAAATAAGTGTGTAAAATAGAAAAATTTACCGAATACGTAAAAAAAACTTATGATACACAAAAGTTTTATTTTTTTTAAAGATAACTGTTAAATTTGAAGAAAGTAAAACCAAAGGACGTTTACTGCACAACTTCGTTCTTTACATATTCATGCCTCGGCAAGATATGAAATGGAATTATGGAAACATTCCACTGTTGAGGCAAATAAACTGGTAGCTCAATAAATGGAACCTTGTTAATAACATGTTACAACGGATACAAGCTAAACAAACTTATTATCTTGGTTTCCACGATTGGAAATTGCGTACTTAATTTGTTATTAAAGAAGACGAGAAGAGAGGAAATAGGGCCGGACCGGTTCGCAATGATAATCGAGTCCTTTCTTTCTTATACACATTCTTGTACACATTTCATACACAATTTTCTATCAGTAAGAATAAGAATGCCTTCAAGTTATGATAATTAGGCGTAGTATGTATTTTTCATAAGCTGTGCATTATATTGAAGCTGGATCATATACTCTGGAGATCTAATCTATCAACTATTTTACTAATATTATCTCCAGAAACAGAAGGCCTTCACAAGGTCAAGTTTAAAGAAGCAGTAGCATTGATCCAATGACGTAACAGTGTGAATATCACGCAAATTTTACATGCGAATGAGATGAAGATGGAATAAATTTATATTTAGATTTACTATTTAACACATCACTGCAGTTATTTAAGATTGGATAATATTTACAAATTGATAACTACAAAAATAAGTAAAGCCGAAAAAAGCAACGATAATTTCCCATTCAAATCCCATGCTTATTACACAAAACTAGAATTAACTTCTACTGAAAAAAAAATAAAGTAATCGACTTACAAGTTATTCCAATCGTAACAAAGAACTGGATGTGGCTTTCACTGAATTCTTTTATGAACAATATTTCTAAAATTCACTCTACATTTATTTCATTTTATTGGGTTTTGGCCAAAACTAGTAAAGTTAAAGCTTTCCTTTTATTACAAACCACAGTAGCAGATGATTGCATTGAATGCACGTCGGTTCGGGTTTTTGTTCCTTGTTTTTATGAAGAGCACGAGGTTTCGCGTTTTTGTATCTGCTATAAACGAGTCCTCTGCTACTAAATAATCGTACATATTTTACTAGGGTAAATGCAATGCAATGCAGTTCTAGCATTTTACTGGTAATGCTATTCTCCGAAATAATAAGATGACTTTTCAATAACGTTATTAATTTTATTGGTATTATGTAAATGCCTACGTTTTAAACATCATTGTTTATTAAGTATTAAACTAATTTCATATGCAGCACAAGTCTAACAAAATTATATTCTCTACAAACTTTCATCACAAGAATGGATATGGATTATGTCAAACAAATTTACTCCTGTCCTTGTTTAAGCACGATAAACTGGGCAACAATAATATATTTGCTATCCATAAAAGCATAATAGACAACGGAAATAAAATAGCAGTAAAATATAAAGCTTCTAGATTTTGTAGAACGGAATATCTATTAAAATAATTCTTGTTATATTGGTATGTCATGACTAAACTCATTAATATAATATACTAAATAAGTACATGGAATTAATCTAAATAGTCTCAATAATTTTACTACAATGCAATTTAGTAAGTATTAAATGCTGGATTGACTACCGGAAGCAGTGTTCTACAAAATGTTTTTTTTTTGCAACAAATGACGCTGACGCTGAACACAGGCTTTAATCTTCGGAGATGACGATGGCAATATTAATTACTTCAACTGGAATTTTTTTACCACTTCAATCGTATAATAACGTGATAGTTTTGCCACGAGGATCACTTTTACTTTTGATTTGGCGTATTTATGACTGCTTAGCAAGCGCTGCTTTCATTCTTTTCACTAAATTTGGAAGTAGTTTTAGATGGTCGTTAACACATCGTATAGCGCATTGCTCAAATTCTAGTTTTAGGCTATCCACCTATAATAATAAAATACGACCATTAGTCAACAATGAACCTGTGAATTAAATATTAAACAAGTAATACCTCTGGCTCGGTAGGAGTTGCACCCATTTTGTCCTTTGTTTTATCCTGACAGTCTAAAACGCAGCGTTGGAGACGTTCCTGTGTAAAAATTAATTGTAACTGACAATATTCTTGTAATAGTGTTATTGTTCAAAAGTTAATTACCTGAAATCCCCCAACTTCCTTTTGCACATAATTTTGAGCCGTGTGCACCCCCCTCGAACAAACTTCGATACAACTGTGAGTATCTTCCAGACTCGCCTTTTCATCTGAGCAACATTTCGCAGCACATTGGTGCATTCGTAACTGTAATTAATTATAATTATACAGAATAAAGCGACACAAATAAAATTATTTTCACCTAAACCGAATATTTGTAAATACCTGAATTTTTCGAAGGTGACTTTTATCGATTTCGTTAATCATATCCCCCATCGCGGCTTGAATCTGTTCCTGCGCCTCCATCGCGTCCGCGGATACTGCCATGATTATATTCTTAAATTATTGATAAGATAGACAATATTAGAGGATTTATCTTTGAAAATGTGATCAAGAATCTACTGTGAGAAATACAATGTAATAGCCGGCATCCACGAGAATATTGCAACATGTGATGATGATGAAACTTGCGGGTGAAATCATAGATCTCCGCTTATAAAATATCTGCTTTCTTTCATACATGCAAATGAGTCGGCCATGCAAAATCGACATCCAAAATAGAAATTTAGCATTTGAAATTAATAAATTTTTATATAAAACTACATTAATTTTGGCCTTGGCACAATGTATCTTTATAAATGAATTTCAGTTTAATCCTTTTGTGTAATAAAAGCTCTATCGTCTTGAAAGTCTCACAAAAATGAGCTACAACTATTCCATTTATCATGCGACATTTCCTCCATATTGCTCTGCTCTATATACAGAAAATGGATGTAATAAAACTTTGTATAATTACGATACAGAGAGAAAGCCGGAGAAAGTCGACACTGGCATTTAACATTTTGCTACCGATATTAATTACGGCTTAATTTCATTCATACCAACATTTGTTATTAAATACTAACTGTGTCACCCACCCACCAAGGAAGCAACTCCTTAATTACCTAAGGAGGACATCGTCGGGTCAACCCTTCTCGACACAATGCCCACAAACATAACATGATACTGAGACATAATGCATAATGCTAATGAACAATGCACTTAATACACAAACAACGCACCATTTTATTTTGCATGTCAACTTAGACCCTGGTTTCATTCCCTTTCCATCTCTCGCCCCTGAATCACCCCGAATTGTCCTACCTCTTGTGACCCCAACGTCCAGAATGGCAAGACTTTTCCCATGTCTCGCCCTCCTCCTCGCCGTCACCTCACTCGTCATTTCCGCCGAGGAGGAAAAGGAGAAGGCCAAGCGACAGGATGATGGACCTCCCCCAGATCAGGGTGGTGGTGGTGGGGGTGGTGGTGGTGAACAATACGCTGCGGAGGGTTCGTACGGAAACAGGAAGTATGGAACCGTAGTGGTAAGATCATCGGCATTCTGAATGCATCTTCACTTTTGAAATCGGTTTAAACTACGATTTGTTTACTTTTACGTTAGGCCAACGCCAAGGGAGAGTTGGGTAACGTGGCTGCCAATGCTGCCTCCATGACGGGTAAGATCGTTTAAAATTAAACATCTTCTGAACTTATTTGACTTTTCCTTTGGTTGTTTTAGGTGGTAATGTCATCGCCAATGCTGTCAACGGTTAGTACATTAAGCGATATAAAGTGATCGACTTACTATATAGGTACTCAAGTCCTATACGAAACAATGTTTACAGGTACCCGAACATCTTCCATCGCTCTCACCAAATTTGGCGGAGATGCTCAGGTAAGAAAATGAACAAATGCTTATTAAATGCTTATTAAAGATGAAGGAGTATGATGTTAACACGTATGCATTATCGACATACAGGCCAACGCTAAGGGCTGGGGAGCTGGTGGTACGTAATAATTGTTATATACTAGTTATTATATAAGCAACAACTATATACACGTAATTATATTGTGTATATAGGTTCTCGCTCTAACGCCGTGGCGCAAGGGACGGGTACTTCAAAATCACAAGCCATGAATTTGGGAACCGGTGTGGCGCAGTCCAACGCCATTTCAAAGGGAAATGCCGCCTCTGCATCGACCTTTTCCGCTGGAGGGGGTGGGTCTCAATCTAACGCTGTTGCCGGAGGATTGGGTCAAGCCTTATCCGACTCAGTGGCTCTTAAGGGAGGAAACTCAAACTCCTTTGCGACCGCTAAGGGCCAGGGAGCAGCTAAATCCAACGCTGTAATTAATAAATCAATTTTAATTAACCGATGGAGACAATAGATGAACACACATTTTGCACATGTCGACAGGTTGGTGCTGGTGGTGGCAAAGTTCAATCTTTCGCCAACGCTCTGCAAGGAGGTTCCGCCATGGCTATGGGTGAAGGCGATCTCGGCGGTGATGTCCACTCCATGGCCAACTCTGCTGCTGGAGGTCACGCAATTGGTACCTCAGTCATGAAGGGATGGGGTCAATCTCGAGCTGACTCGATGGCCACGAAATACGGAAACAGTAACGCAAACGCCTTCCAATTGGGCGAGGGACAGAGTAAGTCTTTCTAGACGATAGGTTTGTACTACTTGTGTATTTATGCTAATTTTTTATTTGCATATAGGCGCCAATCCTGAAGATTTCGAAAAGATGATTGATGAAGCTGTTGCTTCGGAAGGACCCCCGGGTGGTCAGGGCGGTCGTTCCTTTGGAGCTCGACCAGGTCATCACGGAGGTGGTGGTGGTGGTGGCCGTCGTGGAGGAAAGCGATATCACGCACGAGGACACAGTAAATAATGAAACGATAATAATAAAGAGAAAGTACAAAGCAGAGCAATTTGTGACCTTTCGACTTTTTTTTTACTTCAGAACGTGGACACCGCAGACATTACAGTGATGAGGATGAAGAGGATAGTGATGAATATTAAAAGAACTAAATTTCCCTTGCTATATATGTCCGTTTATATTTATCTATTTATTTTTTCGCTTCCTATTTATTCGCTGCCTCAATATGAAAAAAATTATGTATACTTTTAATAAAGAAAAAACAAAATGGTTCACTCTTAAATGGAATTGTTCTTTTCATCCATAAAAATTGTGTACTTATCCTTAGTTGTACTATGTATAATCCAGTCATAGGTACATATATGCATAACTGATATGCAAATAGGTACGTGACCTACTTTCACGATACATATATGCTCCAAAATGTCACTAAATATTGTGATTTTCGTGTATCAAGATTGTTAAAATTCTATTGAATTAAAAGACCATGACCTTGATCGGATAATTTGGATGCAAAATCGATAATCGTAAATATTATGGCGACATAATGAAATGGAAAAAAGTGCAGCTAATAATTCCCAAGTGCACTTAATAGCTGAGAACGGAGCTATTTATATATACATGGAGAAAGTTTGTGGTCGTGTGGGTGTGGTTTTTCTCAGGTTTATCCCCACTACTTCGACCAGACGAGAGGTCACATATATTCTTTAAAAACCTCCACCTACGTACTGTCCTAGTTGAACACGGAAGTAACTGACGGACAATGGGCAACAAGGAAAAGAATTAAAATGTATAAGTTTTTGAATCGGGGGCACATAAAAAAACAATGCAGATCGCTGAACCAAGCCCACTCCCTGGGCGCCTCAGTCCTCCACGAACTAGTCGTCCATCCGTATATTCATCCACGACTTCTTGTGACCTCCATTTATTCCTCCTTCATTTGCAGAGAGCAGAATGGGGTTCGTCAGCAGACCCACGCGTGCCTGTGCCCTAGTCCTTGTGACCCTGGTGACCCTTCAAGCCACCGTACTCGCCTTCCCACAGCATCGTTACGGTCGACAGGACCCACCCCCAGACGCTGCCCCCAAGAAGAAGGGTGACGCTATAGCCAATGCAAAGTATTGAAGCGATTTATCCAAAAATTAAGGTCGTTCATCTCTGATTTAAATGGCTTTAACACTTTCTCCCTAAATTTCAGGTCCGAAACTGGAATTGCTGCGGCAAATGCTATCACAAAGGTGTGGGCTGATGAATTGATTTATTAGAATTATTAATTTTGTATTTATTTATGTGTTTTCTTATATTTAAAAGGCTGGTGGTAATGCAGTTGCAAATGGTAATGTTCCTTGTTAATTAAATATTTACCTAAAAAAGAGCTGCAATTTGAACTATGCTTGATTTATAGCCGTAAACGGTACCACGGCTGCGGCGACGGCCATGGCTGGCAAAGAGGGTAATGCCCAGGTACGTTTTTCATATTTCAGGTATCTGTATATAGTTCATGTATATTTAATAGTGGTTCTATGCATGTGTCGACATCGTTCTACGTGACGTTACAACTCACAGGCCAATGCAAAAGTATGTAATTATTTTATCAATGCAAATATTTAATCTGTTGTTGTAAGTGAAATATTAAATGATACCCTCTTTTCGTAACAGACTTATGGAGAAGGAGGTAAATAAATGCGAACAAATCACAACTATCATGACCGTTCAGCAAAGAAATTTTGCACTAATGAATATGGAAATATACCACTTTTGGAGGATAATATTTTATAAAATGTCTTGTCTTGATGCAATTTTATAGGTGCAAAATCGAACGCAATGGCGACCGGGTAAGAATAGTTATTTGGGGTGTCCAATAAGTAAAACCGTGCTGTTCGCAACTCCATGCAAAATCGTCGCCTTTTGTGATGAGAGAAAGTTCGAAAGTACAATTTTCTTAACATTAGTGTGTAAGCTTTACTTTCTCTCAAAAGTTATTGATTTCCGTTTGGGAAGGGACCAAGAAATTTAAAATGGATAACACCACCCGATCTATGAGGGTAAAGACACTAGGGGTTCGAACTAAAACTCTAAAGCCAAAATGGATGAATTTCTGCTAAAAAGTTTCTCCGTGCAGCATATGGTGTGATAATAAATCGACTGAAATGACCAAATTTCGACTATATTAAGACATAATATGAGTAACTTTCACCCATCGCTATGAAAAAAACATGCACTGTTTTGGCTTGATGTGGCTGCTTGTTCTCCAGGCAAATTGCTTCCGGATAATTTTTATTGGAGAAATGAAATTAACGATGACTTATTATTATCAAATATGTCTCACTAAAGTCGAGAAAAGCTGTGATTAATCATGCTTGGAAAAAATCTTACTTATTGGACACTCACTACCTCATTTATTTAACAATTTTTAAACATGGTACTAAATAAGGAATAATAAATCCACAGAACTGGGTCGGCCATTGGTAATGCCGAGTCCCTTGGCGTCGGAAATGGTATTTGTTTAAAACTATTTATGATTTTTCCGAGACTGGGCTGGGAGATGGGGTCACAATTTATTAATGTAGCTTTTGTTTCTAGCCCAATCCATGGCTATGGCCGCTTCAGGCACAGCTGTTGGAAATGCATTGGCAGCTGGAGGAGGTGGGTGTGGTTATTTTGGGGTGTAAATGATATGGAATTTTAACTTTATTTATTCCGCAACCCCGTTTAGGAAATGCCACTTCCCAGGCAGCCACATCTGCCGGTGGAAACGCCGAGTCTCAAGCTAAGGCCCTTAAGGGTAACAAATATAGTTTACCGAACTCATAAAAAATCATTTTTGTTGCCAATAAACTAACTGCTTTTTGCCCTTTAAGGTGGTAATGCCTTCGCGGCAGCTCAAACGAAGAATGGAGGTGCGGCCGTGGCTGGTGCCTTGACTTCCGGAGGAGGAAAAGCTCAGGTAAGATTTAATTAAAGACTTTCTTGCTCTAATAAATTAATTCGTCTTTTGTTCCGTAGTCCAATGCCATTGCAAACGGCGGCGACGCTCGTGGTGCAGCGATAGGTACGTACTTCCACCTACTTTCACCCTACAAATACCCATATAGATTTTGTTTCTGTGGCTCAACCGGTTTATTCCGTGAACCACGTGGAATAGATAATCCATGCAATTCTAATTAATGATTTTCGATGATATGTAGCAACTGGCGGAGGTGACTCTCACACAATTGCGCAATCTAAGGGAGGTGAATCCAAGGGTACAGCTTTCTCTGACGGAGGCACGGCTCAATCAGATGCGTCTGGTGAGAAATAATAATTATTTTGGTATCATTAACAGTTTGAATTACAAATTATTATTTTTTTTCATAAAAAATCAGCCACTGGAAATGCTATGTCAAACGCAATGGTAAATTAATTACTTAAATTGATATCCATGAATTATCAATCAATTGGAAGTATTTATTTAATGATAATTTTATTTGCTTAATTAGGTTGACGATCCATCAGAAGGTTCACCAGCAAAGGCAGAAGATGTCGAAAAGCTGATGTCCGATAGTTTTAATATGAGACCGGGAAGTGGCTTCGAGAATGGTGTAGTTGGATAGATCATGTTACATTTATAGAGGGACAAAAAAGAAAGAAATTTTTTACTATCCGGAAAATTGTCGATATTTATTTATCCAAATAAAGGAAATTCGTTCGTTCATGACCTGTGACAGACAAAATTATACAACGAAACAATCTTACAAAATCAAGCAATAAACTGATTTAGTCACCTTTGATACATAACACTGATCTACAAAAAAAACGGTCTCATGATTTCATCGGAAATATTGTCGACATTTTTTGCACCGGAAACACAAACTTTTTCATTCTATGAGGTATTCTTCATACATGAATCGCATGCATTTGCATACAAAAATGCGTACATATTTCCGGAGGAGAAAGTCGCCCAACTTTCTCCTGCCGATTATTCATCCTTTTCAGCACCTACTTAAAATTAGAGCATCTCGAACACGTGCATACATATTTAGGCACATGCCTTACGAAACCGTAACTTTCTCTATGACGTCGACCGACATGACCTCATTGAAATGTTCAATAGGCGCTCTTATTTATTTATTTACATAGGCATTCCAACAATTAACAATGGATGTAGGCCCTTCCGCATTGAGCTCCATTCATTCCTTGAACCCCACCTTAGCCTCATCTCGTATGTTATATGATGGGGGGGCTACGCATACTCATCACACAGACATTCTTACCTCTTCTTCTACTCGTAGTGGGAGGAGCAGAGGTTCTCGCTCGTAGTGCACCATCACAAACAAAGGTTCAATTCAGACCAGTGCGGGACCTTAGTAGTCATCCCATTTCTGGTAAAAGCTTCAAACAATGTAACAAAATATTTGGCTTGTTTTGGAAAAATTGCGAATGAATAAATACACAAGTTTGTACGTGCAAATATTTAGTGGCAAAATACACAACTAATCCAGCTCTCGTTGCAGATAATGAACTTTACAAACGCCAAGCAGACGGTGCCTCTACGACAGAGGGTACCACCACCACCACCCCTCCTCCTCCACCCTCTACGACCCTGGAAACTGGGACCACTGCTGTCCCTGCTTCGGAATCTAGTACTCCTGCCCCCTCTTCTGAACCACCCCCGGGAACTAAAATTGGAACCGTAGTTGCAAATGCGAAAGCAGAAGAGGGCACAGCGGCTGCAAATGGTTCGATATTTGGAAATACATTATTTACATAAATTAAACTTGCAATTAAAAATATGATGTCATGATGCCATGATTCATATAGCGGCTTCAACCAGAGGAGGAAATGTTATCAGTAACGCTGTAAATGGGACCGTGCAATTTCTAATGCACTCACGAATGGGGGTGGGGATTCTCAGGTACGTACTAAATTAAGATGAAATAATTTAAGCAAAATAATTTACAGAGATTGATTCGAGCTCGAATACGTGCATATTTAAGTAATAACTCTGGAACACTTTATGGTTTTCGCTTCAAATATTTAGAATAGTAGCTAGAGGTCTTGGTGATCATGATCATTTGTGTAAAACTTCAGGTCTCTAGTACACAAGCTTTCGCATTAAAATGTCTCGAGTCTGCACTCTAAAGCGTTCTAGAGTTAGTAAATAAAGGATACAAACGTTTATTCAGCCTCAATCCCTCTCAATAAATTAATTATGATTATCAGGCGAACGCGAAAACGTACGGAAGTGGGGGTGCGACCAGTAATTCCATTTCTACTGGTTCGGGATCTGCATCTGGAAATGCAGAGTCGTACGGAACGGGCGCATCCAAAGCTACGGCGGTCACGAAAGGTTTTGTAATTACAAAATTGCAGAGATGGGCAAGATTAAAGTTACTAAATACTTTAAAAAGATCAAAAAATTTAGCCGAAAATCCAACAAAATTATATTTTGCCCATCTCCCAAATTGTAAATATGTTGGATCTCACAGTAAATTTTTTCATTTTATAAAACAGGCGAAGGGACCGCGGCCACAAATGCGCTAAGCACAGGTAATTGATTTTTGACTTTGATCATGCAAATATGTAGATGCATAAATTGATCCTATGTGTATGAAATTAGGTGGCGGCAATGCGACCGCTGCAAGTATCGCGAGTGGGACCGGTGAGTAGACATATATTTACATAAATATTGTCGTTGAAGATGCAAAAGTCCAACCGGATTTGTTAGCCTATATCTTGAAATTCCTTCAATATGGACTTGGGTGAGCTGTAACGGAAAAAAACTACGGTTGGCCTTTTTTTCAGCTTCAACGGCGATATTCATTTAAGTTATAATGCGATTTGAATGTGACACGTGCACACTGCAGTTGATTTAGACCCATTAATTCTACATGTAATGCATTTCGTTGTTATTTTTAACAGGTAGTGCAATTAGTAAAGGAGAAGCATTGTTGGGCGGAAGCGCAGCAGCCTCATCGATCGCGAAACATGGAGGTCTGTGAATATGCACATGTACAATTTAAATTTATCCAGGGTGGTCACTTGTTCAATTACCTTTGTCACCCTGGCATGAACCGATGGAAGAATAGCTACAAATTAACCAAACAAAAAATCTAATTGCGGATTTGATGAGGATACTCTTAAATTGATACAAAAACTGAAAGACAATAAGTTTCAGAATTGTACGAAATCAATAATTTTTACTCCATCAAGACGCATTTGGAATGACCTTAGACAAACAAATATGCGTAATTCTTTATCACTTCCAACTTAAGTGTCAGTAATTTCCTTCAATAACGCAGCCCTTTCAATTTAAAGAAATTGGTTTCAAGTGCATGACACAAATATAACTCTCACAAGCAATAAGCATATGACCACCTTACCAACACGTACATATGTATATGAATTTTCTTTATTTTTATAGGGAACGCAATATCAGACTCAAAGGCCATCGGCGGTGGAGGTTACATATGCAAAAATGATCAAAATTTTGAAACAAATTTACAGCTCCTATACTTATGCATTTAATTCATTTATTTTAGACGCCACCAGTAACTCGATTGCAACCGGGGGTGGTTAGTAAATATACTCAAAACTGATTAGAATTTACTTTCATAATCCTATTTTTCATTTCATTTTATCTTTTTCATAGGAAACGCCTTGAGCAACAGTGTCACCGACTCTGGGAACGCGTACGCCAATAGTGTTGCAGGTTGGGAGCAAATCCAAACTTGTACTTGAATTTTGATAACTAACAAGATATTCTCAGGTGGCGATGGAAATGGAACAGCAACTCCGATCGAGCCTGGCTCTTCGATCATTAGTCACAATGGGAAGAGCGACTTTTCGAACGCACTCCTGATGGGAGGCATGAACATGTTCGGAGGAATGGGCATGTTTGGGAAGAAGAGAAGGAAACGAAGTCCGCCGGGTGACAAAAGCTACGGTGTTAGAAGAAGGTCCAGACGGAGGTCTTCTACGACTAGCATTAACTTTAGCAGGAAGAAGCGAAGTGTGTACGACAAATTTATATTTTGAATTACGAATAAAGAATCTTATTCGAGCGTTTTTCTTAAACCTTGTGTGCAGAGGGTATCGACGCCATTTTGCAGGACAGTGACGAAGCCCCCGTTAGAGCTAGACCTGCTCCTTCCCCTCCTCCTCCTCCTCCATCTAATCGAATGTCGTCACCCCTTTCCTTTGGGTTTGGTGGTGGTATGGGGATGGGGATGGGTATGGGTATGTCCGGGGGTGGTAGTGGATCATCATCTATGAAACAATCCTCATCCTCTAAAATGGCAGAAAGCAGCTCTGCCTCTAGCTCAATGCAAAAGAGTTCCATGATGAGTGGTGGCAGTAGTACGAGCGGATCTGGATCGATGTCATCTTTCGGAGGAATGTCGAGTGGTTTTGGGGGATCATCGTCATCATCGGGAAGTAGTAGTAAATTATCGACAAGTAGTGGATTTGGGGCTGGATTATCGGGATCAGGATTCGGCGCAAGCAGTGGTGCAGTGAAGTCGAAAAGCAGTAAGTAAATTTTGTATTCATGAGGAAAGTCTTCATTTTGATGACTTCTGACGATTTTTTGTAGAGGGTCTGGACATTATTCTGCAGGACAGTGATGAAGCCCCTGTTAGAGCTAGACCTCCTCCCCCTCCGCCTCCCCCATCCTTCGCTGGACCTGCACCCCCTCCGCCTCCCCCGTCCTTCGCTGGACCTGCACCCCCTCCGCCTCCCCCGTCCTTCGCTGAACCTGCACCCCCTCCGCCTCCCCCGTCCTTCGCTGGACCTGCACCCCCTCCGCCTCCCCCGTCCTTCGCTGGACCTGCACCCCCTCCGCCTCCCCCGTCCTTCGCTGAACCTGCACCCCCTCCGCCTCCCCCGTCCTTCGCTGGACCTGCACCCCCTCCGCCTCCCCCATCCTTCGCTGGACCTGCTCCCCCTCCAGCTCCACCGTCCTTCGCTGGACCTGCTCCCCCTCCAGCTCCACCGTCCTTCGCTGGATCTGGACAATCCTCCAGTGGTGAGTCTAGTCAACAAGGGGGATGGTCATCTCAGCAATCATCATCCACGACTACAATGACAGAACAGACAGAACAGACTTCCAGCACAATGCAGGAAAGTTCTATTACGACCGGATACATGGGTGGCAGTGCTTCGTCGGGACAATCATTGTCTGGATCTTCTGGGGAAAATAGCGGTCCTCCGCTGCCAAATCAGGCCGATCCTGGATCACCCCCTCCTGCCGTACAGCAGGTGTATGAACCACCACCCCCTCCACCTGGATGGGGTGCATCGCCAATGGTGGCTGCAGATCATGGTCCTCCGCCGCCAACTTATGAAGCTGCTGAAGGACCACCCCCACCAACCTATCAAGCTGCGGAAGGACCACCCCCACCAACCTATCAAGCTGCCGAAGGACCACCCCCACCAACGATGCAACAGGATTTCCAAGCACCACCCTCTCCCATCCAACAGGCCCCACCTCCGGCATATCTTGATCAATCTAGCGTTATGGCAGCCCATGCAACTAGGCCTAAAAGCAGTTAGTTTGTTCACAAAAAAAACGATTTCTATGAGTTTGGTGAACTATGTATGTATATACATAAATATTTGTCATATTTTCTCAATATAGAAGGTTTAGATGCCATACTTAATGACAGCGACGAAGCTCCCGTGAGACCTAGACCAGTAGCTTCACAACCACCACCTGGATGGGGCGCATCGCCAATGGTGGCTGCAGATCATGGTCCACCCCCACCAACTTATCAAGCTGCTGAAGGACCACCCCCACCAACTTATCAAGCTGCTGAAGGACCACCACCACCACCACAGAATTTCCAAGCACCACCTTCTCCCGTCCAACAGGCCCCACCTCCAGCATATCTTGATCAATCTAGCGTTATGGCTGCCCATGCAACTAGACCAAAAAGCAGTGAGTATTTATGGCTATACCAGCCAGGAATAATTCATTATCTTTTATATGCGTGCATACCTATTTAGAAGTGCATTACAACTTTGCGCCATATTTATAGAGGGATTGGATATTATTCTCAACGACAGCGATGAAGCTCCTGTAAGACCTCGTCCAGCCCCGCCACCACCTCCAGGCTGGAGTCCAACTCCTGTTGAACAACCTCCACCCTCTGTTGAACAACCTCCACAATGGAGTCCTGCCCCCGAACCCCCAGCTCCAGCGCCACAGTGGAGTCCCGCTCCCGAACCCCCAGCGCCACAGTGGAGTCCCGCTCCCGAACCTGAACCTCCAGCTCCCGCGCCACAGTGGAGTCCCGCTCCCGAACCCCCAGCGCCACAGTGGAGTCCCGCTCCCGAACCTGAACCTCCAGCTCCCGCGCCACAGTGGAGTCCCGCTCCCGAACCTGAACCTCCAGCTCCCGCGCCACAGTGGAGTCCCGCTCCCGAACCTGAACCTCCAGCTCCCGCGCCACAGTGGAGTCCCGCTCCCGAACCTGAACCTCCAGCTCCCGCGCCACAGTGGAGTCCCGCTCCCGAACCCCCAGCGCCACAGTGGAGTCCCGCTCCCGAACCTGAACCTCCAGCTCCCGCGCCACAGTGGAGTCCCGCTCCCGAACCCCCAGCTCCCGCGCCACAATGGAGTCCCGCTCCCGAACCTGAACCTCCAGCTCCCGCGCCACAGTGGAGTCCCGCTCCCGAACCCCCAGCTCCAGCGCCGCAATGGGGTTCCGGTGGTGGAGGTGGTCCTGGTTCAGAGGAACAGCCATCACAGCCTCCCCCCGCAGAACAACCCCAACCTGCTGCCCCTCCTAGTCCACGTAAGCTGGCTATTAAGATATCCATACAAATGTGATTGGTCTTTCATGTCTAGGGTTTTTTATTCCTTTAAAAAGCTGGATGTCCGGGGAAAAAAGGTGGGGACGCCAAGGCTAATGCACAGTAAGTATGATAGCGAATCACTAATTATTATAACGTTCATCACATTCTTTCATGTGATGAGCATATTTCAATGGCTTTAATCCTTGAAACTTTCTCCTTGAATTACAGGTCAGAGACTGGAGTTGCCGCGGTATAACTGTACAATGATCCTAGATTTTTCCAACCTTAGTCACTATACTAATTTAATTACAGGCCAACGCTATCACAAAATCTGGAGGCAATGCTATCGCGAACGGTTCGTTATTTCATTATCGTAGAGTGAAGAAATATCTTTGGTGACTTCTCATAATTTTGGCTGCATTATGGGATTAATTTCAAAGTTACATTATGTAAAGCCACTTAAGACCCGAACAAATTAGCCATTTGTTACAATTTATATTGTGAATTTATAGCGGTAAACGGGACTAAAGCGGCTGCCTCAGCCATGGCTGCTTGCGGGGGGAATGCTACGGCCCTCAGCAAAGTTTGTCATCAATAGTATTTTATACAATTTCAAAAATAGATGGGCGACACTAATTATGGAATCTTTTTTTATTAGACTTATGGCGAGGGAGGGGCCTCATCTAACGCCATGGTTAAAGGTTAAATCAGCATAATTTTTAAATGTTCCGGATTTCTTAAAATACCAAACGTTTTTTTTAAAAAATCTAGGTAGTGGGAGTGCTGCTAGCAATGCTCAAAGTCTTGGCTCTGGGGTAATAAGTAATAAATAAAATGAAATATCATGAAAAAGGAATCATATTATTTTATCGTGTCTATTATATTTTGTGTTAAACTAATTTTGTTTTATTAATTTATTAAGGATGCCAAGTCGGCTGCAATATCTGAATCCGGCGACGCAGCAGCAAAATCTGCAGCCCTAGGTTTTTATCTCGTCTATTGATATTTAGCGGAGCTTATATTTGTATGAACATTTTACATTTGTATGAAATTCAGGGGGAGGCAGTGCAGTGAGCAAAGCTCTCGCATCCAAAGGCGGAAACAGTGCAAGTGCGGCGATGGCGAAAGGTATTTGTACATAATTGACAATGAACAGAGTTTATTAAGTAATTGATTTTTCTATATCGTTTCGTTGTATTTATAATTCCAAAGGCGGAGGTAACGCAACGGCGGCATCAACAACAATGGTACAATACAATACGATTTATTTAAATTCGAAAAAATTGTAATATCAACGACACCGAAATATTGATTCAACTTTTATTCACCAGGGCGGCGGAAATGCGCTCTCGCAGTCACAGGTGACCTCATAACATCATCATTATTGATATTATCATTTAAAAAATCAGGGGCAAGATCAAACATCAGATAATATCTTAATCTTCAGCTAACTTTGATCTCTGTTAATCATCAACTTATAATCACAGGCAACTGATGGGGGCCACGCTATCTCAATGAGTGATGCCCAGGGGGGCGGAAATGCTACCAGTTCAGCTGTTGCAGTGGGAGGAGGTGAGTAAGAGTAGTGGGTGGATATTTTGCTGATTTGTTTACTTAATTCCTGGCAGCCTAATTCAAATGCCATAAACTTGTTTCTCGATAGGTAATGCCCACGCGGTATCTAAGGCCCAAAAAGGTAGGAATATTTGTTCCCAAAATCATATATAACTCGGTACGCAACCTCATTTAAAAGTTAGGATTTTGAAATTCCAAAAAAGATGGCGTAGCAGTTGCACAGAGCAAAGCTGACGCTGGAGCTGACGCCCAGAGTGATGCCCAAAGCGAAAAAGGTGGAAATTCATTTGCAACGGCTGTGGTTGGCGGCGAAGACGGTTCGTCAGACAATCCTGAAGATTTTGAAAAGATGTGGGCCGCACAAATGGGGGCACCACCAATGATGGCGATGAAGAGAGGTGCGGTGACTCTTAAGGATCGGACGAATTTAGTGTAATATTGTTCAAAATTACTTTGAAACTAATGTATTTATTTATCTATTTATGAATGAATGAATGAATTATCCTTATTAAATTAGTTTGTTAACAAATGCTACCAACAATAAATTAAAGTTCGATTTCGTACAGATTGTGTTGGTGTGATGATTATGTTGGGGTTCTTTAGGTACCGGGACCGTGCGTACGCAATACGTAAATGTTTGCAAACTGGCTTAACTTAATTTTTCTACACATATCTTGATAATGAACGGAAGATAACATTCGAAATATTGACAAATAAAGTTAACCTTTTCCTCGTTTTTTCCACTAAAACTCCGTGTAATCAAATTATCAATTTTTATACCAGTTTATTTAGTTGTCGTAATCAGAAGTTGATGCCATAAACAAAGTAAGAACGGATTAATTTCCACAACAAACATTATTATCGTATCCAATACGGACAACAATCACGTTTGTGAATTGAATCAGGAGTGTGAACCGTTGTATGCCAAAGGGGGTTTATCATTTCAATCAATGAATCACCGCGTGTTTGAGCGACGCCATGCTTAATCCCGTCCCGTCCAATTATTGAAGAGGATATTTTCCATAATGAATGGTGAGTGAGTAGTAAATATGATTGATTACGGATTCATGTACTATCGTCGTAAATAGAACTTTATTAATGAATTTAAGCAAGGGACATTGAATTAATGTGTCAGGTACGATAAGGTTGGTGTGCGTACCATTTGTGATAATTTACACGTCTATGCTTCATGTTAGTGGGTGAATTGAGCTCAGATTAGCACCGGTATCATGTTTATAAATGATAAATATGAGAGATTGGTTAATGAACTAATTAAATCAATCAATATATAATTTATTGGCAAAGTTTTTAATAATAATGTGTCAAAAATAACGGACCATTATGACAACCTGGCATCTAATCATCTTGCTTCTAAAACAGTTTGACCTTTCCAGGGGAGAGTTTATGCACTCGCTCAAAGTGCACAATAGTTCCGGTCTCTCGGATTGCGGTCATTGTGCAGTTGAAAGTTTCATCGGAATAATCGGGACAATCAATGACTGGAATATTAAAATATTAAAGTTTGTATAAATAAATGAACACAATTATTCAATTAATTAGAGCTAAATGGATAATTATAGCGTCCTTACTTCCATCACACCAGTAATCTGGGTTGATACATGTTCCATCGGCACATTTAATCTGAACCCGACGAAATTAGAAATTAGATATTTGGAAATTTTTGAAATTTAAAAATAATAATAATTCGATATTTGCTTACTTGTCCGGGAATTTGACAAGGACAATTTCTCTCGTCACTGAAATCCCCACAGTCATTGTCCCCTAAAGTTGTTTGCACCGAATGTTACAATCTTCGTCATTTATGTATAATACAGTTGTGTTTTAAAACCATACATACATACCGTCGCACACATAATTTGCAGGGATGCAAATCCCATTGGCACATTCGAACTGTCAAATGTAGAATAGTTTTATAATGTTAGTAGGACATAAAATAATTATCAGTAAAATGGTTTACAAGTACTTGATCAGGGCGACATATAGGAGGAACCCCACACGTATCCGTATCTTCGTCACTGTTATCTCCGCAATCTTAATTCAGAATAATATTTAGCGTATGAATATATACCCTTGGAACAAATAGCTTAAAAATGTGATGGACTTTTGAACTAATACCATTGTAGCCATCGCATATGAAGTTCAACGGTATGCAATTCCCGTTACGACAAGCGAACTGAAATTATAGTGTCATATGCAAATTATTTTGTAATTGTAGCAATGGGGGCAGAGTAAGAATTGCTGATTTATTAGCTTACCTGGGTACTATTGTTGCATGGGGGTCTGATTGTGGTCATGTTTGTCGGTGGGGCTTGGGTAGTTCCGTTGGTGGGTGGGGCTTGGGTAGTACCATTTGTTGGTGGGGCTTGGGTAGTTCCGTTTGTTGGTGGGGCTTGGGTAGTTCCGTTTGTTGGTGGGGCTTGGGTAGTTCCGTTTGTAGGTGGGGCTTGGGTAGTTCCATTTGTAGGTGGGGCTTGGGTAGTTCCATTGGTGGGTGGGGCTGTCGTTGGAGCTACAGGATAGTCCAATTCCATGAAAACTTTGTCGAAAACGACGAATCCACTCGTTGTCTCAGCAAAGATTAGGATATTCTGAGCCCAAGAAAAAAATGGAACAATTTAAACATATAATTATGATTGTGGTACTCTTAAAAGATAGAAAATTAATTTACATCCAAAGACTCAATATCAGGGTAGACTGAGGCATCAATTACGTGGCGACCCCACGAGTCACTTCCATTAAACAAGACATCATTGTGATTGCTCGTTCTGACACGAATGAGAGAATTGTTCCCATTATGGTAAGCATCCAACACAATTGATTTGACGACAAAGCTGTCTAGATTTCTATAGTAGGCAAGGGTGCAAGGGGTTGCATGAACTGTTTGCTCATCAGCTTGGTCACAGGTGGACCAAAATCCGGTCGTGTTTCTCCTTTGGCCGACAGGAATTCCTGGAAGGACTCCAGAACATGTGAAATTTTCGAGTTGTTGGTAATTTTGACAAAGAACGCGTAAAATGTTGGTGTCAATGTCGGAGTTTACGTCCAATGTGTAATTGACAGCGGCTACATAAAATACAATAAGTGGAAATTTCGAAAAAAATTCTTACAATATTATGACTCCATCAAAGCATATGTAATAACGTACCCGAATGGACGTACGCAATCAGGGAAAAAAGAACGAAAAGTCTGGAACTCATTTTAATGTTCCAAAGTGGAGAAAGTTGGTTCTTTTGCTCAAGGTGGAGGAAGGTGAGAAAGTGGAGTAGCCCATGGAAAAAATTTGAGTAATATATGCAAATTTTATCGATATTTATCTAATCATGAAGAGGAATAATTCAATAGTATGTAAATAATACGTAGCATAATGATCACTGTAGCCATTGTCATCACCAATCAATCACCGGTTGATCTCATCTCATTATTCATGCTCTTATGTCCGGATTAAAACTCAATTGACCTGTCCAGTTCATGGAATAAGACATATTACAAATATACGCATAGTCCAGCCCACGCGAGTGATTTACAATTTTTTAATAAGTATAAGCATAAATGAATGACGTATGTGCTAGAGGATTATAATGTTTTGCAAATATTCTGAGGCCTCAGAACATCTGCACACCGTCCTCATGAGGACGGGGTGCATGACGTTTTGCAGGTAGTGTGAAAAACGACTCATCAATTTTTCATGCATGCTGTAAAGTGCAAGTTCATCAAGCACGTTGAAGCCACGCTGAAATATGGATGACGTCGCATAGAACAGTAAACACGAAATAAAATTGGAGTTTTAAACACGAAAGTCTTTGAGTGTCCATTTAGGACGCATGGTGGTCTTGGCGTTAGAGTAGGAGAATTTGGGCGAGGTAATGGGAACAATAAAGTAGTTTCTACCTAAGAAACCTAGCGTTTTCGCAAACTTAAGGCGCCCATATGTAAGTCGCTGACCCAAGTACCGACTGTTTATGAAGAGTTGGTCAAACATCGTGGGTCACAATTAAAAATATCTGTAGAAATGATGTTCGCTGATATGATTTTAATTGGTTGGATTTTACGTATTAGGATAACTGGGGTAAAGGATCTGATAAGTATGAAATAACAATAACGTACATATATTGATGTATGAATCAGTTTGATCAATTAAATAAAATATGCATATCCGGCATTCCATGTACATTTAGTTTATTTTTATGTATGGTGAAATAGTCCCGTTAACAGTTTATACATACGTAAAGACAAGACATAACCGCTACTTAAGTTTTTTAGCAACAAAGGACTCCTATTTTAAAACCCTACTGTGCGACTAATAGATTGCAACAATGTCGTCTATATTTGTCCAACTAATTAAAACATGCCTCGTGTCGCTCTTAACTGAACCCGAATGCATACATTTAAAACGCATTTCCAAGTCACGTCAAAAAACTTATGCAAGCAATCCAACAAGAAATGTCGTCGTCATTTTGTGAATGGAAATTGTCCTACTCACTCATGCACTCATTGGAATGTGTAGATTTTTGAGTAATACACATTTAGGTAACAACTTCCATTCTGGATAAGAATGAAATAACGATCATTATTACATATTTATTATGTCACACGAACGAATGAATAATAATTTGAATACGTCAACCTTAACCAGCTTCCATTGCTTCCTCCCACACAATATGTAACACGGCGTATGCATTATGTGTTATTTATTTCTCGGCGGAACAGGATGGACGATGACGACGACGACGGCCCGAATATTACGTAACGACAAGGTTGTGTATATACTCGCCACATATTCAGCAAGTAGAATTATTTGGCACGTATTGTACGGGACAATGGATCACATTACTTACAACACCAAACCCGGAATGCGAAAAGATTTTGTGTGAATAGCTCGTAAACTTTATTGTGGACAAAGGAAAATCATTAAAAGGTCGACATTGGACTCAAGACTCAAGGCCGAACCTTGCTCATTCTGGTGTGAAGAAACGTCTCCTCACTCGAAACATAACCACCCATCAGCGATCATCATCATGAAGTCGTTATCTTTGTCAGCCATCGTGGTGCTTCTCCTCGTAGCGTCCTCCCTGGGGTTCCCTGCACCAGCGAAGAAGAATAATAATAATGATGACAACGGTAGTAAGTCAGGCTATTTTATCTTTATTTACTAATCTTTATGGTCAATGGTGATCTTCTTCATTGCAGATGATCGTCCAGCCCCAAAGAAAAAAAGTGCAGGCTCTGGGGACGCAGTGGTAAGTACTTTGACGTATTATGACTTTCAGAAGTTAAACGCAGCTTAAATGGATGGGATTATTATTAGGCCAATGCAAAAGGAGGGACAGGCGCAGTTGCTGCAAATGCAGTTTCGAAATTAGGAGGAAATGCAGTGGCAAACGCGTATGTTGGATTATTTAGTGTTAAAAGTTTATAATTGATGTGCTAAATTTTCAAAATGCTCTATCTAGAATAAATGGTTCGTCCGCAGCCGCTGTAGCAATGGCGAAGGACAACGGAGCTGCGACAGCAAATTCAGAAACTTTTGGGTAATTATTTATTATTATATTACATATGCATATTTATATTAATTAGATATTATATATTAAATATATTACTAATTCAGAGCTGGGGGAGCCAAGAGTAACGCTTTAGCACAAGGATCGGGAATGGCGACGGGTTCTGCGATCTCCAAGGGCGTGGGTAATTTATCAAGCAATTTCTACTACTTAGATTGATACCCGTATGATAACGCTTGAATAAAAATGTATGCACTTGATCTGATTTGATTAGGTGCGGCTCAAGCGAACGCGGTTTCAGCCGGCGGCTCAGCGATGTCAAATTCCATGAGTGCTGGAGGAGGAGGGTCAACTTCTAACGCAGGTAATCCACTGTCGCTAAATAGATTCCTGATAAGTGAAAGATAAGTCAATAAACTTAAAAATTATTCGATAGTTGCCAACAAGGGCGGAGAATCACAGGCTTCCGCCGTGGCTCTAAAAGGAGGAGACTCAAGGTCCGCAGCTACCGCCAATGGGGGCGGAAATTCAAAAAGTAATGCTCTCAGCGAGGGAGGTGGTAATTCGCAGAGTTTGGCGAATTCAAAGGGTGGTGGTTCTGCAATGTCTAGCGCACAAGCGAAGGATGGCGGTGCTGCGCATAGTATCGCGTCCAGTGATGGAGCCGGTAGTTCTTTGAGTAACAGTGTTACCAAAGGTGGTGGTGCAAGTAGGTCAGACGCCATGGCTGAACATGGAGAAAGTGTGGCAAATGGTAAAATTTTCACTGAATATTAAAAGAATTTCAAGAAACTTGAGTAAAACTTAAATTACATATTAAATTTGCATTGTAGCTGTTGCCGACGAAGATGATGGTGGTAAGTTGAGATGATAAGAACAAATTACGCAAGATTTTACTGATATCTTGTTACCAGTCATTTTGTGCCAAAATTTATAATCTTTGGTTTAATTATTGCTAATCTAGATGGAAGATTTGATCCTAATGCTTTCGAATCAGCAATGAATGACTCCATCAACCCCGGAGAGAAGGGAAATCGGTAATTCCACACACACTGATAAGTAAATATTATACCGTAATTTTTATTCAGTAGCCCTTGAGCTACACCTCGTTCACAAATTGAAATCATTCATTCAAGAATAACGGCTTAAATTTGTGGTTTCATCATTAATTGCCAATTCTGGAATCAGTGTTCAAAATGTTATGAGACAAAAGCATAAAAGAGATTGTTTAATATTAACTGTGCATTTTGTAAAACTTTTTGTAGCAAGAATCCAGACTGGAAATGATAAAGATCAACCCATAATTTCTTCGTCGACTGATAGGAATAATTATAATTCGGCTCCTTCAATTAGTCAAATTGGTCATGATGTCATAACTTCTGCTCCACCGAGGAAAAAAAGTTACCCTGGACGAAGTATCAAAATTTAGTAAATCCCTATTTTAACCAATATTGCTTTAACTTAATATTTGTGTGTAAAGTTTGCTAATAAAAATACAAACGATTTTATATGAGAATTTATGACGATTTGAAAGGAAGTGCATACATAATGGAAATATTTTAAGTGTGAAGGTTTGTTTGTTCTTTGGAGCGTGTGTGCGTTCGTACATTTATTATTCAATTGTGACGTGGTTAAAAACAATTGGAATGCTTGACAAATGGCATGGCACACAAATGAAAGAGGATCAAGCAAAATTGTTTTAATGACAATAATGCATGCTAAAAATTCATTGATTGATTAAACTGGATGATCTGCGTAATTAATTGGCTGCAGATGGCGATAAACGTCTAGACTGAAATTAAAATGAATGAAATTAAATGCATTTGCATATCTCAAATGACACAAAGCTTTGTAAGGACAGCACCAGCTAGAGAGACGTTTATTAATTTTCTGGTTTTAACCATAGGTGTAATAAAAAACAAAACAATTAAAGTGCGTATTACAGTGGAACGTAGCACCTATTTTAGGATCTCTTCCAAAAGGACACACGCTGGAGATGTTTATATTATAAAGCGTTACACAAAATATGATTCGCAAATATAAGTACATGAAAAATAATTTAGTCAATTAAATTCAAGTAAATAAAATAGAAAATTATGTAAGTTGTTCATGCTCAAAAGTTCACTTTTTGTTGTTCTTTTTTAAAAATGCTTCCACCCACTCGGTGTCAACTGATTCTTCCGGTTGCAAAGGGGTCATATTGTCAAGTAAGAAATCCAATGAAACCGGAATAAATTCAGGAGGAATGTATTCATTCTTGTCAGAATCGATATCTTTGTTTTTAGAGGGAATTTTCTTGGCCACTGCAACTAAATGAGTTTCGTCATCCAAGCATCGTTCTTCAAATGACCATTCTGTTTCTAAACACCCATTAACTTTGACCACAGTGTCGGTCGCCAACTTGGGGCCATCAGATTCAAATGATAAATCAGTCTTTGTATTGAAATCCACGGTTCTTAAATCAATCACAATTCCTACGCCAATTGCCTTAACGTACGATTCTTTAAGGCACCAAAATCGTGTAAAATTCATCATTTTTTTCTTATCAGAAAGACTCCCCGGAAGATCTAAACCTTTTATTTGACGCCACTCGTTTTCTGTGAATTGGCGATTCATTAATCTGTTGAAGTAGAACGTACACAATAAAATTAACAATCCTAATTAGTTGCCATACTCTGTAACTCTTATTAATTACCTAAAATACTCGTCAACAGTGTCTGATATCCGCCCGGGTTTTTCTACATTCATAACGTCAATACCGACATGGGTAGCTGAAGGATCGGACGCCAGCACGACATATGAGCCCTGATGGCTCACGTTGAAATTAAGGTTCCTTATGTTAACGTTTGAGCACTCGTCAAATATCACATTATCATCATTATTAGTAACATCACAGTCGTCGTTATCATCATCGTCCAATTTATCAGCAAGATTGGTTGGACTGATTAAAATTGGTTTATTGTGATCATCTCTTCCTAGCTGAAGATACAAAAAATTAGCAAATGTTAAGGGTTATCCTATCGGATTGGACCAATCCCCACATGTGGATTGCGAACCTTAATAAAATTATTGGGCACTCCAGTCTTCAACTGTACAAGTTTCCTGATAAGTATTCGCCCAATGAGTGAGGTTTTGGCGTCCCTCATGAAATTAAAATAATCAAAAATAATCTCACTCTAAATCAAGTTGAAACACGTTTTTTTTGTAAACAAGCAAGCAATCAAAAAGTATCGAGCAATGAGGGAGGCCAATAGTCACATCTTTTCTTCCATCACGTTCTCGTCTCGTACAAAATAATCATTTTTTCCCAACATCAGTTGCTCTTTAAATTGTATTGAAAGTTTTAAAAAATGGAACCTTTGAAAACACTTATCGCGACTAGTTACAGCTGTGGAATATGTGGTGCAATACTTCTTAATAAGGCTAGTTTAAAAAGACATACAGAAACCACACATGAAGGGAAATCAAGGTATCATTGTGACAGTTGTGGTACTGGGTTTGAAACGAAGTCACGTCTGGATCTACACTGTAAGGGAGTCTGTGCAAGTCACGTAGATAAGGAAGGAAAAATAATAAAAACCAAGTGCGACTTTTGTTCTGAAACTTTCGAAACAAAGAAACAACGTTTAGTGCACTTAAAGGAAGAACATAAAGACAAACTATACAATTGTACAGAATGCGACAAAATTTTTTTGTATAAAATTGATAGAGATCGGCATGTTGAGACAGTGCACAAAGGTCGCCAGGATCACGTTTGTGACATTTGTGAGAAGAAGTTTGGGACAGTGAGCAACCTGAATGTTCATAAGAAAATACACACCGCAACAATTTCAGCTGCAGAACTATCTGAACCACAAAAAAGTTTGCAGCGGTACCGTGACATGAGAGCTGCTGGAGGACGTACTACAAGTTCAGGCTATCCGAAAATGAATGCAAGCGGCTTGCGCCTTCACAAACTTCAACAGTGCAGAGTTACACTTTCAGAATATATAATACCGGATGTGCGAATTATCAATACAGGTCAAATTCACAAAAGTAATTACTCTTACACGTCAGGGGAAGATGATAATGAAGACATTGCATATGTGAATTCGGGGAGTAGAGGACCAGGTAAACATAGTCCAAATTTTCCAGTAAAATTCCTAGTTTCAGTTGAATTTTTTAATTTCGTAGGTCAGTTCCGGCTGTATGGTTATGTTTGGAGAGACGGAGAAACATTCCAAATCGTTGATGTCTACATTGGGATGACTGCTCTTCTTGCCGTTGAAACTTCCCGTAGAAAATGGGCGCTGATGGTCTCTGGTTCTGAGGAAGGATGCACAGACAGGTGGTTGTACGAAAAAGGATATTTTTTCTGTCCGGAAGAGTCATTTGAACTGCCAGATTTCATAACGGATCAAGAATGGATAGCTCGACATATGAAAATGTTTGTAAGGACAGAAATAGGGACAATCTGTTCATTCAGTTGTAAGACAGCGTATAAGAAGCTACGAGATTTTATCCCTCAATTGAGACACGGTTTACAACAATCGAACCAGAAGTGGTTAGACCCGCCCAGTGATTTGCCGGAAGTACTTACTCTCACGAAAGATGAAGAACTGGAGCAGTTACGGAACGAAAATAAATTACTTCGACTAAAGTTAGAGTTCCAATCATTCAAGTTTGATCAACTAAAACGCAAAGCAGTCAAGATGGAGAAGGAGGACAAGTTTGGGAAGAATCCAGACTTAAGCCAAAAGGTATTACAACAATTTGATTATTTAGGATAGCGTACTCCACCTGAATCGTAAAGTTTTAATTACTATTTGTTTTAATTAATTAGGCTAAAAAGATTGCGAAAATTGAAAACGAAGAAGGGACAACAGTTGCAGAGGCGCTCATAAAATTGGAAAAAGGCTGTGATTACTGAAGAAGATTTTTTATAATCTCATAAATCTAATTTGTAACCTAACTATTACTTACTTCATAAACTCCCTGACAAACAAGAACCTATTACCTCATAAACTTTCCTCATAACATTTCCCTTATAAAATACCTCATAAATAAGAAGCGTCCAATCCGGGCCTTCTCCTCGGCCTGAATCAATCTTGAAATCTGGGATAGTTGTGAAGATGTTGGTTCCCATTGGGATGTGTTGAAGGACCATCGAAATGCCATTTCTTCAAAATAATAACAAACATATATCGAAAGTTCAATGCTTCAGCAATTAAGAGACATATATTTATATGTATGTATTACTATTTTGAAAATGGGACGGTCCAGGGGGAACACGCAGGATTCGCCGACCAAATTTTATTACTGAACGAGTCGTCGTTGTCGCCAGCCTTGCACGAGAATGTCAAAAGTCAAAACCGATGCTCAGCTTTTCGAGTTTAATTTTCATAGCGAGGAATACAATAAACTGTAATTAAAATGTATGTATTAGATTAAATGGGTTAATTTATGTGTCTTATTTAATCTCATACCACCAATTTATTGTAATATCACCTCGCTTTCAATAAATGACGACTCTTTTCGATCCTGAAAGGAATTTTCGTTACGAAAATCAAAAAATATGGAATTTGTCCTAAATCAGCCGGTGTTGTGTTACATTTCTCACTGTTTGATCTACTTTCGTAGGATTTCATTTCGTCCGAATATTGGGGAACGGAAGACATTGCGTAACTTTATGCAAAAATAATCAATTTACACATATTTGTAGGAATAGGATCCTATCATCATTTGAATGATGGATAAATGTCCAATTACGTTGGGGGGACCAGGTGATTGTAAGATATCACTGGATAATCTGTATGGAACTCACGACAAGGAACATTCAGTCTCAGGATTAGCAGAACAAAAGAAGAAATTGGCATTCATTCGATGTATGCATTTATGTTATTGCTCTAAAGTTTAGAGTCTAAACAAACTTCTTATTAATTCAATGCAACAATTATAAAGTAAGGTTATCTTGAGAATCCATTGATCTCATCTCATTTCACACGATGCGGAAAATTGAGACTTGAAAATTGAGACGACGGACGGAAGTCACTCTGCCCCAGAGACGTGGATTTAAGTCGTGGTAACTTAAATCCCAAGCTAATCCCGCAGACACGTCACCTTTCCCATGTCAATTTGCAATTTAAATTCACAATTTTTCAATATAACTCAATCAGTGCAAAATTTCGAAATTATTTTCAAATTATTTCATATCTGTCCTTTACTTCGTGTCAGGGTGAAGGAAGACGAATGTGACGACGTGGGGGCACCGGCACGGTTATATCTCGCACAAAAGCATCACTACAGTCAATATTTAACTTGAATTTTTGTGACCGGCTGTTTATTAGTTAGTAGTTGTTTAGAGTGTTTTGGTGGGTGTGGTGCTTATCATCGTTGGAGAGTAGAAGGGATGTCATCTACATCGATTTGGGCCAGAGTTGGAGGGATGATAAGCGGAAGTATGATGCAGTGGTCGTTCTTGGTTTTGTTGCTTCTCTCGTGGTCCAGTTTTCTGGAGGTTGCCTCAGTGGAACTGACCTTTGAACTTCCAGACAATGCCAAAGAATGTTTTCATGAGAATATTAAGAAAGACGTTTCTAGTACTTTTGAGTTTCAAGTGAGCAATTGATATTCATTTAGGATTTGTATTTGATTGGGTTAAAAAAATTGTTAAAACATGTTTGCACTTTGCACAGGTGGTAACAGGGGGACAATATGACGTCGACGTATCGATAGAGGCACCAAATAAAGAGATAATTTATAAAGAAGTCAAGAAACAATACGACACTTTTACCTGGGTCCCTTCAGTTTCTGGCGTGTTCACATTCTGCTTCTCTAACGAATTTTCTACTTTCTCTCACAAACTAATCTATTTGGATCTACAAGTTGGTAAGCTGAAGAGAATAATGTATCTCATCCCACATTCGTGCTAAATAATTTTAATTTTGCTCATAGGAGATGAGGCTCCACTTCCGGGACTGGGGGAGCATGCCACTGCTTTGACGCAGGTAACCCAGGTATACCACGGAATTATTTGATTGTGTGGTTTGCCCTGCATGCGTACTTATTATTAACATTATAACCAGTTTGTATTTAAAAAGTTCATTCCTCATCGTTTGTGTGTTTCTTTTGATGTAATTTATCAGTTGGAATCTTCTGCTCAACAAATTCACGAGAATTTAAATGGCGTCTTGGACTATCAGACGCATCACAGACTAAGAGAAGCACAAGGAAGAAAGCGAGCCGAGGATCTTAACGAAAGGTTAACTATTATAATTTCTTCAGTCATAATAACTCTGTACTCAATACGTAATATTTAAAATAGGGTCCTGCTCTGGTCCGTATGCGAGACGGTAGCTGTACTTGTGATAGCTGTTGGCCAAGTCGTCGTTTTGAGAAATTTCTTTGCCGAAAGGAGGCCTTCTGAAATGAGAAATCCACTATTCGCCAGATAAACCAAACAAATTATTAATCTCTGTGCTGCCTAATATCGACGAATAATACAGAAACAGTCAAAAGTTATCATCATTGATGATTCATCAATCACAAGCAAGATTATTACAACAAATTGGATTGTAGTTTAGATTTTGTCCATCATCAGAGAGTTTTGTCTCAACGTCAATTTTACTTCAATATCTACTTTAGTCTCATTCAGGCTTTATTATTCGCATCGTGTGTCACTCTCAATACATTATTTAGTGCATTGTGTGTGTGTGTAAAATTATCAATATAAACAGAGGTCGAAAATCCTAATGATTTAACTAGACTTGTAGTAGTAAACGTGCATATTACATATATGATTTTTTGTCAAATTTAGTACGTAAATTGTACAATATAGTTCCGGATGATACGACGATATACATAGTTAAATCTACAAGAAAGACCTTTGTATTGTACATATATTATCAAATTAATCATATATTATTATACATGGATGAATGAAAGATTTAATTACCTAAATATATAATCCACAACTTATTTTGATTGTACTGACTGAAATGAGAGTAAATTCATTAGAAAATCGATACATATTTAGTTGATCAAAATCAGTTGATTGATTTGGAATTGATAAAGGAAATAAGGTCCCAATTCTTCCTTTGTTCAATTTACTTTCCACGTCCCTACATTAAATACCTATACATTGGACAACCTAATCAAATCAATGTTAAGGGGGGTAGTACCCTTCGTTTTGTAAATTGTAATGTTCCTCATGCTATATAAAATTCAAAATTGAATAAATAAGACAACCCAGCCAACACATTTTCATAAATCATCCATCAACTATACCCAAAAATATTCTCAAATTGAAAAACCATTCCACAAAAAAAAAAACGGTTTGTCTCACCAAAACACCGTCTTACTTTCCCCACCAGACTCACACCATCCATCCTGCTCAGCAGACCTCCAGTCCAGCAGCAGCAGTGTCATATCATATTATTCCTTGAACAAAATCGGTCCGATTTCTTGGTTTTGGTGCAAGTTTTCTCACCGACAAGTTAGATATACACTCTCCAGTCCAGAAACCAATACGTACATTTCCGAACTTGGTTTGTATTTACATCAGGGAAAAGTGGTGGTTTCAATTCCTTCCTTTCGTCGAGAGACAAATAATGTGAGAAGAAGAAGCGGATTTCCAGGCTTGCCTCCTTCTTGCCTCACGAGTGGTAGGAGTTGAGTCAGTTCGGGCGGAGGAGACGAGCTCAGGCACTAGTGGATGATGGAGTTCAGTTAGAATAGAAGCGAGAGTTGCTTTCAGTGTCTCGCGGACCACGCAGCCAGCCAGCCACTACTTTCAGCCACCTCAGAACTTCAAAATTCTCATCTTTTTTAACAAATAAAATTTCGAAATACCACTCCACTCCCGTATTTTGTCCCCTCCTCGGTCCAGGTGAGTCGACACGGTACTTTCTTTCGATTAGAGGAGTTTCCTCATTTGGTGTAATGTGATAAAATGTTGCTGTTTGTTTCTCACGAAAGTGGAGGTGCTTGCTTGCTTGGTTTGCCCTGCTTGCTTTTTGTTATTACTTTTTTACATTTACTTTACCCACTAGTACGGTCGGCTCTGTGAGCAACTGACTGCTGCTCAGCTCAGCCCAAAAAGTGTGTACAATATAGTCTAGCAGGACAAGAGAATGGAATGGAAAAGAGTTTATTCATATGTATGATGATGTCTGCTTGTTTGCGAATAAGTTTAGTGGTAGTTGTTGCTTTGTGTAATAATAAAATACAGATCAATTCGTGGTGTAGGTTTCATTTAAGAACAAGAAGTTAAGCAAACTGAAAGGTGTTACTGCTGCTGGTCAAAGATTGATACTTATCTATCAGTGAACAGTGTGTCGCTTGAAGGTGGTTTTGTTTCGTGGTGGTGTGTGTCTGCATATTGAAGTTCTGCAAATTTTTGATGCATTTTGTAATGGTTTGAATTGTGTTGTTACGATTGTGCATACTTGGTGAGGAGATGGATAGATGAAGGTGAAAAAGTTACTTTTACGTGACCCTGACCGGAAGAAGGGCTTGGTTGATATCAGCAGTTTGTGTAAATCTAAGTATATGATACATGGGAATTGGTGTGATTTTAAAATACATGATAATGCAAAAGCATATTTAGTTCGAGGATGTGGTTCCGGGATAAGTGATATTTTTGGTACTGCTAGTTATTAGCATGCTTAGATTGTGGATAGTCTTACGTTTTCAACCTTGAATATGATATGACAGTTATTGTTTTTAAAATAATAAAATGTTGAAATCCTTTGAATTTGCAAGTTTTCGGCAAGAATTTGAATTGAACGAGGAAGACTTGTATGCCAAATTGTATTTAGGTTGTTTCTTGCTGTAATAATAAGAGTTAGGGTAGCGTGTTATTAGAGCCTGTTTAAATGCAAGTGTGTAGAAAGTTGAAAACATGAGTCAGTAAACGTACGTACTCTTTGCATTGAAGGGTGGATAATATTGAAGGCATAGAACACGGGATTTTGCGAATTTGGCATTTTGCGACTTTTCGTATCGTATCTATAGTCCATCATTCGTACCACACAGTAGAAGAACAGAACAGCAGACACTCGCTGATTTCATTATGCAACTCAAGTTCGGGGCCACAGCACAGCAGCAAAGTGCGAATTTGATATGTAGTAGTGCAATAATTTTAGTGATTACAAAGAATATGTTTTAGTGAAGTTGGGTGAAGTTTTATAAATATGTACAAAACGTGCTTTGAAAACAATTATTAGAGATTCCTTTTATGGAAAATATATAGAGACTTAAAGATATTAGGCTTTACAAATTCTCACGTGGCCTTGGTTGACATCCGGACTCCTTGAAGCTCGGATGTGCCTGAAAATGGTTAAATAGGTATAACTGAGCGAATAATAACCATGCTTTAGTTGTATGAACTAATAATTTTCATAATTAACGTTAATTTGGTTATAATTGCTAATTTTGTCGAGTGTTGAGTTGATGTTTTATTGAACGCAAGTGCACGACACAAATATGTATGTTGCACATATTAAACTCACGGAATTCACCATGCTAAAATGTGAACCATGATATTTAACGTTTATGTAATTACTAAATGTTTCTTACAACAGGGCCAATTTCAACTCGAGAAATGAAGTAGATCCAAAAAGGTGTCCAAAGCGAGAATTTGAACAAAAGAACGAAAAGTAAAATGTCAAAGAAGGCATCGAAGGAGGCCCCGGCTTCAGATTCAGCTAACCACGATGGGATTCCGGTCGACTTTATTTTGCAAACGATGCGTAAGCTATGCAAAATCTCATAAAATTATTTTTATCGATTGTATTAACCCCGTTTCACATTTAACTCATTGTATGTATTTAATTTATTAGTTGCAAGAGCAAGTGCTCCAGGAAAACGACAAATTCGTCCCAAGAATGTCGACGCTTTACTCAATGCAGACATTCAAGAACTTGGATCCGACGAAGATCCTGATTTCGATGTATCCGAAGACAAACATCACAACGAAAGTGATCTCTCCATTGAATCGGAGCTTGATGATGATGATGACGATGAAACCGGAAAAGGTTCCATGGATGGTAACGTTGAAGATACTGATGATGAAGATGACGTCTCTTACGATGCAAACAATGATCCTCGTAAGTATAACATAACGTATAATTTATTTACATATGGGTAGTCCTAGTTTTACTTATGCGCACTTTATATACAGGTCAAAGTCTGGATACTTCAGACGAGGGAAGTGACGAAGACGACGAAGAAGATGACAGCGCCGGCGATGAGCAAAGCTCGGAAGATGACACTGATTCGCAGTCCCCTGTCCAAAAGCGTTCCGCACTTAGAGATACTCTCAAAAAGTTGAACGAATCAGAATTTTCTCCTCAAACAAGTCGGAAAAGGAAACGTCCACGGAAAGCTGGAGTTGCTAATAGTCAAAAACGGGGAGGTGGAGGAGGGAAAAAGGACGATGCTGAAGGAAAATCAAGCAAAAAACCAACAAAGACCAATAAGAAAGATTCTTCTGCTGGGGACAAGAGCAGTCAGCCAAGGAAAAAGGGGGGAGCAGGTGGTGCTAGCAAGAAACGAAAGAGTGTAGATGAAGGTGACCGATCAAAGTCAAAGGATAAGATCAAAGCTGCTGCTAAAAGAAAGAAAAAGTCTGGTGTGGTCGACAGGCAAAGAACTATTACAGAGATGGTGTTAAGTGTTGAAAAGTCACAAAAGGAAAACAGGAAAGAGGTAACGCACACACACACACACACTTTTCATTCCAAATATTGCAATATTTGTATTCAAATTTTTATTCAAGCTTATGGTGGGAAGTCCAATATGCTCAGCGTGTTTGGGCAAAGCTAGCGATGAAATGAACGAAATAGTAGAATGCGATTCTTGTGGAATAACTGTTCACGAAGGTAATTGTTATTTTTTTCTAGAAATTTTTATATTTAAAATTTAACAAACAATATTTTCTGTACAATTTAGCTTGTTATGGTGTGAGTGACATTTCAAGCCTATCTAGTGGAACAGGGTCATCTTGTTCAACTGAACCTTGGTTTTGTGACGCTTGTCGTTGTCGTACAAGAGCCAACATTTCTTGTGAACTTTGTCCTATGCAGGGTAAGAAGCACGAGTTTTCCTGTGTACTTCATAATCCTCAAGAAATGAATTTTCGTATTTTTATTGTGAAAACTATCATCAGGTGGTCTGTACAAAGAAACGACCGCTGGACGTTGGGTTCACTTGGTATGCGCCCTGTACACTCCTGGAGGTTCGTACTTCAACCTTTCTGATTTTTCTTGTAATAATAAACAGTGATTTAACTATTTTATTATTATTCAGTTATAATCACTGATACCGGTCTTCCTAGGTAAGTAGTAAAGATTTAATATTATATGGGGACATGGGATTGGCAACGAAATATATGCAATTAGCTAATCATTTATTTTGTACCCAGCTTGTTTGAAATTCCATACGCCAAGTGGGGTGCTCATCCATGTTCGCTTTGTGATGACTCGCGCTTTGCCAGATGTGGGATTTGCATACCATGTGATGCTGGGATGTGTAAAACATATCTTCATGCAACTTGGTAAGAAACAATGGACAAAGAAAGCTTATAATTTTTTAAATTCATTTAATTTTTAAATGATCGATTGCAGTGCTCAAAAGCATGGACTATTGTCGGATCCAATACAACACGCTTTGCCTGGATGCGAATTGGAGGCTGATCCTTACTATGCTGCTTGCAAGTTACACACAAACCGTGAAACTTCAAAGTATGAATACTAGTACTTAATATTGATACATATGCATATTAAATATAAATATTCAATAGTTTCATGCTAATTGTTTCGGGTTTAACTTTAACAGACGAAGATCAAAATGTTTCTCCATTTTGCAAGAACAGTTGAGAATCAAGCAAGAGCAGAAATTAGCCACTGACATAACTCCGCAAGAACGAGAAAACCAGAGCAGGATACGTCGAAAACTTGAGAGGATTCGTTTTAAAGTGGCAATAAAACAGGCGCATATTTATACAACTCAAATGTCTAAAAATTCTTCCCCTTCTTCATCAGTACCTCTTACTGCCAACAATCTAAACGCATTGTCATCAAACCTTCTCCCCCCTCTTCCCACTTTGGCAGATACTCTGCCTCCCAGTTGGAAAGAGGGCAATAAGAAACCAAGAATTCTTCCTACATCTGCTGGAACAGCAATGGCGATGCTGAGGAAGGCAACACTCATGGGATTAGACGTGAAATCATTGGAATTGGAGGACAAGCATTCTCGAATTGCGACAAGTGTCAAGAAAAAGTGGAATATTCCACCAGGACTTAGCGTCGAATATGCTGCCTACTATGCTGATAGGGAATGCAGAATTGCAGGGTTGACTCAGCAGTGTGAAAAATTGGAGAAGGAAAATCAGCAGCTTAACAATAAACAGATTGATTTACAGAATTCGTACGATATGCAATCTATCAATAATGAGTTAATGGATGAGGATACCGGCTCCATGAGGGAGAATTTAGTTGGTATCACGTCACTTCTCAAGACACTTTGTTCGCCAAGCAATAAAAAACTCGTCACCTCTCTTCAAGGAATTGAAGCCAAGACGGCAATTGAGGAACCACCACAACGGCGACGAAGTCCTAGCCACTCTAATAGAAGACTTAGCCCTGCAAAGACATCAATCGGAAGCAATAAAAACGCTAGTAATAAGAAAAGTAGTAGTAACAGTACTTCCTTCTCTCCACCTGTTCAAACCATTTCAGGTGAGAAAATATTTACAACACAAGATTATTTAAATTGTTAATAATTTTTTAATTTCCAAATTTTTAGAGCGTCTTGCCATCAAGACATGTTCGATTTGCGACCAATCCGATGAGCAACCGTGGATTATCCGTTGTGATAATTGTAAAAAGTTATACCATATGAAATGTCTGGATCCACCACTTACAAGAATGCCTAAACGATCCAAGCTATGTGGATGGTAAGTGTTAGAAATAAGTATTGCTTAAACATGACTATCATTTGTAATAAATTAAAATATTTCCATGTTCTCATTATCCTCAGGATGTGTTCAGATTGTGGGGAAGAAGAATTGGAGGCAGAGGAGGCCGAAGTTGACACCGAGGCTCCAAGAACTTTGCGAGGTCGTACTAAAATCCGAAAACCTGGAAAGTATCGACATTCTACAGATTCCAAGGAAGGAGATCTTAAAATTGTATGCGAAGTGCCAGAACCAGACTCTAGTATCATCATGCTGACAAATAACCTGGTAAGAATATCATAATTGATTATTTAATTCTTGTATTCATTATTAATTTTTTGCAACATTGGTTAAAAAATAAAAGTGAGTACAAATAAAGAAAATAATAATTCTTATTTTTCACAGATTAAAGTAGAAACGCCAGCAGCAAGCGCAATTCCTCCCCTTACCAATGGAAGTGTAAACAAACCAAGAAAACGGAAAAGTGAAAGTTCTACTTCCACCAATCTGTTTTCTCCAGTGTCCAATGCGTCTGGGTCACATTTAAATAGCAGTAGCGCTGAAACTACTCCAAAGAAACCCAGAAAGACAAAGAAACAACTGCAGAGCGAACAAAATGAGCACCTCTCCACGACCTCCCAGATTGAAGGACATACACCACCACTTCATGTTCCAGTTGACGGCAATAGCATCCCCATTGCGAGTACACCCAAACCGAAAAAACCTCGAGCCCCCAGGAAACCTAAATCAATAAAAACCGAAGACCTAGTCGCTTCTCCAGTAATAAAGGATGAACAGTTGAGCATTATTTCTGGGGAACTCAACCCTGTTGTTCTTGAAACTCCTATCGTCATCACCACTCCTAAGAAACGACCCAAGACAATAAAATTAGAAAAAACGCCAAAAGTGGCCAAGGTACCAAAGACGCCACGAACTCCAAAGAATGGACCATCACCTAAGATGAAAAAGAAGGCAACGTTGGACTCAACTACTACAGTTGCTCAGGTTGATACTTCCGGACTTTTACATTTTCCTTCGGTTGACTCATCTAACGCTGCTGCTGTTGTGATTGCCAAAAAGAAACGAATCAAAAAGGTCAAGATTAAAGATGAGCATCAAATTTCGTCACCACAACTGAGCATAGAAGGAAGTAGTGGGGTAGATATTGGTAGTGGTGGAAGCGATCTTGTAAGTTTGTTCAAAAGAAAGCCAAAAAAATCGAGAAAGGCTTTATTAGCAGACAAATCTCAAATTTCGTCATTTTCGTCACCACAACTGAACATAGAAGGAGGTGGTGGGGCAGGTGGTGGTGGAAATGATCTGGCAAATTTCTTTCAAAGAAAAACGAAAAAACCGAAAAAGTCTTTAGCAGAGTTACAAAAAAATATGATGGCTGCTGCTACAGTGGCAGTAAAAAAAGGAGACGAACCAGGCCCAGTTGTCCTTACGAATGGGAAACCAAAAGTGACAAAGAGGCGAAAGTCTTCTGCGGCTGGAATTGGTGGCTTAGGAGATGCTGATAAGGATGCATCAATTCCCCCCAAGAAACGGAAGAGGATCACTGCTTCATTGTCTATACAGGCAAATGCAAATCAAGACGCCACAATCAATGCCGTGGCTAGTGGAGCATTCGATGGCTACTCCATTGACGAGGCGCAAATGAACGGAATTTCGAGACCAGCCTTACCAGATGGCGTTTTGATGCAGGGCGTAAGTTACTTATACAATTTAGCAATTTAATAATTGTCCCTGTTTAAGTGGTCCTCATGAATTTTTTGTTTTGTTGCACCTCTAAAGAGTGGATGGAATAATAACACGGATGCTGATGAACTCATGAAAGGTCATGCAATGGGTTCTAACTGCAGTAGTTCTGACGTTGTAACTGTCAACGCCAGCGATTTAATTGACTGTGTATTAAATACGCCATTGGTCACCACTACAGCTACAGTGAGTGGATATTCGCCAGGATTTTACTCAAATTCACCTGTCACAAGCAGCAATCCTGCATCGACAACGGTCTCCAGCACGGTTTCTCCATCGAACAACTTTATGATCAACCCAACATCAACTCCTATTATGGATGGAGAATTGATGGGCACAAATTCTTCTTCTCAAGTGTCGTCCTGGGTTCAAAATCCGCCCACAACGCAAGAGAGCCAAAATGTCATTAAATTGATTTACGAAGCTAATGATACTACAATCACAACCACGTGCTTAGATTCGCCTCGAATGGCAGCAGCTAACTATGCACCAGCACAACATGTCATTGTGCCTCCTCTCAACAATACTGCTGCACCACCCATTGTTCCCAAAGTTCCGTCTTCCGAGTATCACCGCATCTGTTTTGCCTGCAATAATGAAGACTTAAAGAAGAACATGGTCACGTAAGCAAAAGCAACATGCATTGAATTTATTGGATTTTGGTACTGGTATATACATTTGAATTTGAAAATAACTCGTTTTATAATTTTTGTAGGTGTGACAAATGCGCTCAAGATTATCACTTCATGTGTTTAACTCCTCCACTCATGTACTCGCCCAGGCGGCGTAACTATTCGTGGTATTGTTCCGCGTGTGACGAAGCGGGTGCTGAATCACAAGCTGCGACTCAACAAAATCAAAATCAGAAGGTGGTCATTTTGTCGTCATCTTCTACATTATTTAGCAATTATCAACAATAGCGTCATATATTTTAATCTGCTGCATGCCATTATAGCATGTCAAAATTTAAGAGTTGGATTATGTTTTGTCTTGTATTTACTTTTAGTTTCTTTATTACACAAAATTATTTAGTAATGTCTTATTATTTGCTTTCCAGTTCAATTGCTTTACCAATAAAGACGGTAACGCCATAAACTTTAGCTTTTGATTTTAGTTTTTGTTACTTAATAACCAACACAATTTTCTTAGGTGAAGCAAAGCATGCACACAGCCAATCTTTATAATTGGTGATTACTACCAGTTTAATTTTTCATGTGTCGTATATATGTACTTTTAGTATTCCCATCACTTTTCTATTAAATTTTAAAATTAAAAAAATGTATTAACTTGTTTAACAGCCTGTGGAACCACCCCCTGTCCAATCTGAAAATACACAATCTCCTGCACCGCTTCCGCAACAAGCACAGCCCTACACTGTTCGTATATTTGATGACGACCGTTTGAAAAATTTTCCTATTAATCATTAATTAGCCTCAGTGATGTCAACTATTTTAGGTGAACCAAGTTAACAGGTCACCTTCATTCCTCGTTGTTATCTCTGATTAATAACGCATAAGTAATAATTACAATATTTTCTATGCACTGCATTATCGTTGTTAAATTTGAAAATATGTAACAGGGTGTTCAAAAATTAGGTATTGGTAGTATGCAGGTTTTGAAATTCACAAGTTTGAAAAAGTAATTGTTGTCTTGTCCGTCTTTTCATAAATTGTTTGTGATACACGTGTAGGTATGTAGATTATCATAATTAATGTAGAATGACTGTGTGCACATTATGTTATTTAGTAGATATAATTCGTGTTTAATCACTTTCTCTCTTTTCTCTTAGTAGCGGATTCAGACGGATTTTTGACAACCATCTGCTTTAATTAATTTACAGCATCACCTTGTAATAACTACAACTTCCTTCCATAATATGCCGTGTGTATAGTAAAAAAACATCAACATAATAATTGACCATTTCTAAGAGATAACTATATATATATATGTTAATCTCCTTCTGATTAAACTTCCTGTAATGTGATTTGTAAGCTTGTCAAGAACCACTGGCCACAATCTTACACATATAAATATCTATATATATAAAACACAATATAACAGTATAAAAGAACATTTTCTACTTTATCTAATTAAAAGCAATATATATATGTAGTTACAAAATATTGACTGGGATTCTGTTTTCATGTCCTTGTTCTCAAAATAAATAATCTTTACATTTTATTACCAGGCATTATTTATGTACCACAGTTTATGTTATCTCTGATTTTATGGTTGAGACCTTGGCTGATTATGGATTTCCATTATTATCAAACTTGGATGATTTACCAGGAAGACGCTTACACACTGTTAACCAGTTGAGTTGATCTCTGGTATGAAATTCCCTTTATAGTTTTTCTGATTTGAGCTTTATTTGCTCTCTCTCTCTCTCTCTCTCTCGAGATGGAGAATTTTAACAAATTGTAAATAGATTGATTCTTGCTCGTGACAGCCTATCTGCTCCCCCATTTTGTTCCTACTCTACTTCCCCTTTATAAAAGTTTAAAATGTAACAAAGAGCTTCACTCCACACTTACGGAGGTCTACGTGCGACTACTGCTCAATCTCCCCAGAAGAAAAGAATACAGTCATCTTCTTTCTTTTGTCTTTCCACACTTCCGTCTTTCTTGGGTAAAAAAGGGTGGCCACATTTTGCATTTTCACATTAAAATATTTCATAATCGTGTCCACGATTCAAAAATTAGTATCATTTTGAAATCTATCCCTCCACATTGTGTATGAATGCTCTATTTTGAAAGATTCACCACCGACCACCCTCCATCCTGTCTTGTCTCCACTTTTAATACCACTATAAAACAAAATGAAATACAAAAGTCTATACGGGAACCAGCACCCTCTTTCTCCCTGTTCAAAGATCAGCTTAATTTTCCCTTTCCTTTTGCCTCCTCCTCCTCCTCCATATATTTAAACAAGAGGAAAACTTGTCGATTCCCAATTTAAAATCTTGACAAACTTCCAGACAACCAACAACATCTTTCATGAATACGTAAACATGATGATGAGACAAAGGAGTAGAGAGTCGTCTTGGGAGAAAGTTGGAGAAAATTTGATGTTCAATCTCAATTCTCAATCAACCATCTTAAGAAGAAAATGCACCCACTCTCAAATTCCTTTCTCCTCTAAAACTATTTCCTGTATTAATTTTCTTCCTATTTATAACTCAATTTGCTTCCCATTCACACTTTCATCAGTGACAGAAGGAGAGGAATAATTAGCAATTTCGATTCTACATGAGTCATACTTAACTGAAGTAAGAGTCTTCTGATTGAGTAGTAATTTTCAAAATACAAGTTTTTTTGTTCTTTTATCTACATTTAATGAAAACTTATTTGACTTATCTTCCCTCAGGAGAGTGCAACAAAAGTTTGAATTTGACATTGAATTTAAATCTGTTCCTAATACGTCAGGGGATCAGGTCTGACTGACTGCGAGAGAAAATACGGATTGAAAAAGAATGATATTAAAGAAATGAAGTTACAGTTTAGTCAAGTGGGATGCAATGCAGTGAGAGAAAGAAAATATATAAAAGAAAGTAAGTAGTGAAGAAGAAAAGACGTGAAAAAGTGAGATGGGGAAAGATTGAGTCTTCGGATCGAGAGCGAGGGCGGGTGGGGTGGAGAAAGTACATAACAAATAGTGGTGAGGATGATCTCAAGCATGATTTAAGGCGATGGGGATGAATCTCAAATAAATCCCGTCCCCTTAATTTCTTTCGCTCGACAAAGAAATACAAAAAATGAGTAGAAAAGCTTTATTTCTTTGGTGAGAGAAAACCAGTCAGATTTATTAAACACAATACAGCAGTATGTATGTACTTATTATTATGTATGTAGTACATACATGGAAAGTACATACTATGTACTTTCCATCTCTAAATGCACCTCATTTTATTGTTACTCAGGAAAGAAGAATCTGAGATTTCGCTAAATATTAAACGAACTCAAATTTCAGCCACTGGCGTTAAACATGTACAAAAATTCTTCATATTTCATTTTGTAAGAAATTGGAGAAAACCAGTCAAGTTTATTAAATACAATTTAGCAGTATACTTATTATTATGTATGTACTACTATGCACTTATGTACCTTGCCTTCTCTAAATACACCTCATTTGAACTGGCGGAAGGAGGATCTAACATTTCGATGAATATTAAATAAACTAAAATTTCAGCTACTGGCGTTAAACATGTCAAAAAAATCTTCATACTGTAAGAAATTTGTGACTGGAATCTTACCGGAAGGAAATGAAAGAGGGGAGAAAACACAGAAAGAAGCGCGGATATTACTTATATATTATTAGCCCAAGAAAAGCTGCAAGATAAGCACTATTGGCAGGACCAAGGAGTGATTGACAATTTTCAAAATTTACAAAGGAATTGTGAATTTAAATATTCCATGAATTCCACAATAGAGGAGGGGGAATGATATCCTCTGTTCAACGATTTATCATCTCGTCGTCGTCGTCATCCCTTATTCTCTGTCATTCTAAGAAGTCTTGTCAACTGCAAGTTTGCAGTTTACAGAAACTCATTCGTGGGGAAAAGATTTTCTTCAAACTTCAATTTCTTTCTGATTAAGCTTTCCCTTCATGTGCATGTTTTGCATTCAGACGAAAAATAAAGAAGAGCCGGCAGCAACATGTAGTTGTGCGTAAACGCACTCACTCACACAAAATACTGTTTTTTCTACAATTTTTCTCCAATTTCTTTCGTCATGGGATGGCAATAGCTAAAAATCCACTCCTTGTCATCGTCTCATATGTCATGTCATGAGGATATTTCGGGTGCGGAAGTTGCATAAAATGTGCATTGCCTGGTCACTGCGATATGTATGCTATGCACCAACTTACGATGACTTTCACAATCTGTATCTCTGCTGCAGCTTGCTTGCAGCAAGAAAGACACGACCAAATTGTTGGTTGGATGGATTTCCGAGTGGGCAGAGAGCAAGCAAGTGCAAGGGTCGTAAAACAGAGAAAGTAATCAAGAGAGAGAGAGAAAGGAGATAAGCCTCCACGATAACGTAACGTATAACGGGCCGCACAACCAGGATGCAAGACGGAGAGGGATGATGCACTCCCAAAATTCCGGAAAGGCTAAAAGATCAGACTGCTGATGGAAATTGTAGCTGGAGGCTCGTGTTTTCGAAATGTGCACCAACCAACCTCACCCACTCACCCTTCCGCTAATTCTAAAGGCCAGACATCTCATCTCGACATTTTCCATCTGCAGGAGGAGAGAGAGACATCCTACTTTCCCATGGTGTACGCGATTATCACCCCCATTCTCGCCGTGTATCAACTTTCTCCATTAGTAAAACACATCCCAGACCCAGGGACGAGGAAATCATATTTATTGTATACGTATGTACACTAGTAGATAATGGTTGCCCTCGTAATGATAATTGGCCATTACTTACACCCGATGACTCCGCCAGGGCATCCTCCTATGCGCGTATTTATATTTAGTAATTAAGGAAATGACTCGGTACACAGAGGATGATTCGCAAATATTTGGAGAACTGTAAAACGCTGTGTATTCTATTTCCGTCGTCGTCGTCGTCTCATAGAACCGTTTGATTTCTTGGTCGGATCTAAAACCGACAGTGCTGGCAAGCATGAAATATTATTGGCATTGGAGGGGGAGAAATTGATATGTGTGAATGTACGTTGGCTGTGACAATGAAAATGACAAAAATCCAATCGAGAAGAAAATGGACATGGAATTTCTTTTGTGGGATCGTCTTTTTGGGCGTGTTTCTTGACTTTTTGTGGAGGGAGTGGAGATCGACATCTTGAGATGTCATTCGTAATAAGAATGCAGTTCTGATCCTGCTGTCCGAGCTCATTTCATTAACAACCGTGAAGAATGTCTCCAAATTTCATGTATTGTTCGTGTCATTTAAGACGGAGATCTTGTTAGCTTTAACATGGGCAATACACGTAATGGAACTGCAATTCTTCCAATATTTCGGAAATTTCAATTGCAGAACAAGCAAGATAAGTATTAAGATTTGAATAAATGCAGTCCTAAATTTTATGAAGATAAGTCTCTGAACATCACCAGCAATAAGATCTTCCTGTATACATTTCCCCATCATACATAATGACAATATTGCTTTCCCTTCTTCCCAATACTGCAATTCGTGTCCATGCATTTGTTTTCCCCTTCTGCAAATAACAATAAACAAAGAGGGGGTGAGTTTGAGACAAGATCTTTTCCGTTCACATTTTTATGGCTGTGTGTGTGTGGCTAAAAACCCTCTTCTTTCGCGACATTTACACAAAACTTGGAATGACAATTTACTTAATGCATGTATGTATGCATGTAAACGAGTGGTAATGTTATTGCTCCTTCAGAATACGTTTCACGTATGTATTTCTCATCGTTTTCTATTACAGAAAATTGTGGAAACAAGTTAAAACACTGAAATATTTCATCCGCATCAAACCTGCACCAATTTGAAACAAGTGCAAAACAGAGAGTAAAGCATATCCGGTGCGTTACGTAAGTATCCAAGTATTTTTTTGGTTTTGTTCATCCACAAAAAAACGAAAATGAGTCAACCAAAGCAAGACAATAGTCGCCGATTGTTTCTGGAGAAGCGTGACACAGCCTTCAGATTGTTGCATATTTACTCTGTGACACACTTCTTAAGTAGGCAAACCAACTTATCAAGTAAATGAGTCACCCCATAAATAAGTATAAAATCCAAGAAATGAAAAATCGACCCAAACGGATTAAATCAATCCATAGTCAACAATCATCGCTTGAGATTATGCAGTTTACACAGCCACCAAAGTCCAAAGTTGTTTGACTCTTCAAAAATAAATGTGCACATCATCATAAACTCACAAAACATCACTCAGAGTTCGAAAATAGTATGTAATCCTCCCATTGTTGGTGAGTTATGCCTTACTTCCGCTCTTGTAGACAATAATTGTCCATCAACCTGAATGCACATACACATATGCACTTCACATACATATGCGGTTACCACAAAAGCGCACAATCCAGTCATTATGATGATAAAGTAATAAGGTAAATTCATTACATACAAAAGTTGGCATCATCCTCGTCATCATTATGACATGACTATATCCACGTTACAATGCAACGGTTTGCCATTTCCACCCAAGCATTGCTGCAATGAGTGAATTGCAATCGCATCTTTGTTAACGCTACGTTGCTACTGTCGTGTTATTACAAGTTCTGTGCATGCAGTTTTGTACGGTACGCTGTTTGTGAAGGGATACAAAAGTGGTTGGATTTGGAGGGGCGACGAACTGAAGAAGTTGAAGCGTTGCGTAGCGTTAGCGTTGCAAAGTGGCAAGCAAAGCAGTCTCCAGAGGAGCCGATCATTCAGTTTGCATCCGACAGCCAACCATCCAACAGCATTCGTGTAAAAGGTGTATAGCGTATCAAGATTTTGCTAAATCGCCTCAAGAGGTATTTGCAAACTGTGCTTAGTGAATTCAAAAACAGGTGAGAGGATATGCACACTTGCATTGTTATTGTCATTATATAAACATTTTTGCATTTCAAAACAAATATTTCAATTTGTTCGATTGTGAGACATTTCGAAATTAACGGGTTGTAATTTTAATTTTTGCATGTTTCTAATTTGTAATACTAGTTGAAGAAGAAAATTTCTAAAATATTCTCAGACTTCTTTTTTCCCCTAATTTTTTTAATCCGCTCAGTAGTCACTAGGACTTCCTAACTGTTAAATATTTCGTGAGTCTCATCTTTCACTTGGGTCGGATCGTGCCGTGTACAATTTTCTAACAGTAATAATACGTAAATATGTATAATAAACCACACATTAAGCTAATTGTATATCGTACTGTTTTTGATAGGTACAAAAAATTCTTGCCTAGATTTGTCAACCCAGTGACACTTGGGAAGAAGAAGAATATAATCTAAATATTTCACCACCATCAATTCCTAACCAAAATTGGAGTACGAGAAGAAACTGCGATTCTCCCCACCTTACAAGAGCAATCAAGCATTTCCTTAAAAGTAAAAAAAGTCTCATCATCAACCAGCAGTAGCACCCAACCAACCTTTACGAGAAAAAAAGTCTAGTCATCTCAAGAAAAAGTATTTCCACCACAAGTCTCATCTCGTGTCTTCTCTAATCAAGCAAACCGAAACTAAACGACCCGTTTTTATACCACGAGTCTCATTTTTCCCCCTTAAAAAAATCTAAGATTTTACTTACGCTTATTTGCTCTACATTTTAACCATCAAGTTAGTTGGTGGGTTATCTATTTTATTTATCACTGTGCGTGGCCGCCTCGCTTGTATCAGGGTAGTCAGTACGTAAATTGATAAATTTTTATTCCACGAGGACCTTTGTGGTTTGGTTAGTTGTTGGTTGACTGACTCATTTTTGGCACAAATTTCTCTCCCCTGTTCAATTTTACCACCGGATTCGCCACAGAGTCAGAAGTAAGTAGTGTGCCTACTATTTCGCGAAAAAGGGCCACCCGGGTCGGACAGCCGAAGTAGGATCGATTTTCTACCGGAGTTCGGGCTGGGCACTTTCTCCACCACTTTTCACCACACCACGAGACTAAACCAAACCAAACCACCGACAGATCTGCATTCCATTACACACTGCCAGCCCATCAACGTCGTCTTATCGTCGGTCCTGTCTTATCTTCTCCCCGCCGTTCTTTTCCAGTCGGTTATTGAAATCCCGGCCAACAAACGACTATTTTACGAGACAAGTTTGTTCCTCATTCGAAAAGAAAAATATATATTGGTGTCTTGTTCATGAAATAATCTTCTTTGCGAGAGAGAACTGGCCTTGACATTTACCGTGTCCCAGTACACACTACTGACTTTGAGCATTCTGCAGCAAAACAGACGGACGGATTTACTCGCATTCTTTGCACAAAAGTGTGTCAACAACGTTTGACATTCTACTCCGGGAGTAGTTTTTTTAACGAAACTTTAATTCAGAAACTTTATCCCGTTGGAGATATTATATAAACAATTTTTAGTGGAAACCTGAAAAGCGGAAGAAGAAGCATAATAATGTGGGTTACGAGTTGGGTTGGGGTCGTTCTCATTGCATTGTGTCCGATTTGGAACATTTGCAATGCCGAACAGTCCCTTACAGACATCCTGTTAAGATTCGATGACTTGTCTGAGGTAAGAAAAAAAAAGTTTTCTTTTTTTATGAGTCTAATTTATTTAAAAAGTTTTTTGAGTGTACATATTTATGAGTTGGCTACACGATACGTTCGCATATTAGGTTCTGATGCCAAAAATGTCACAAAATGAATGTTAGTCCGAGAAAGGTAGTAGCACTGCAGTAATTCTACTATCGGAAAATGAAGTTAGATTGGTGGTTGATTAGCATTGGTAGGTATTATGACGGGTTCTTCTTTTGACGCAGGATGGTAATTCAATTACTCAGATTAAGCGACTCGGCAAACCGACAAATTTCATGATAACGATTGTCGTGGTGGACATATATGAGAATTCAGTAGCTGTCCAGTTTCAATATTATTTGATGTGGTGAAATTGGAGAAAGTTTTCGACATGTATACGCGAGTTGGTTATGTGTTATATGTAGCATTGACCAAGTTTTCTTCAAATCTCCACTCAACTCCACGACCAAATAATAATAATGCGTTGAATAATATGGCACTATTCACGATCATAAATCGCAAGCCAATTTTTACCTCATTTGAGTCAGATGTACCCTATATAATTAAAGAATGGACAAATTACGTTGTCAATACAGTCATAAATTTGCCTTCACCACGAACCAAATCTGGATACACCCTGTAATTTGAAACTGCTAATTCCATTTCCAATTTTAGCATCATCTCATCTCTCTCTCCTCGCTGTAAAAATCTGTATCCACCTCCGAGGAAAATTCACACTTGTAGTCAAGCGTACAGTACTAAAACGCGAGGAAGTGTTCCATTAGTTTTTTTCCTTCTTTCTGTAATGCATCCGCTCTGTTCTTCTGTTACACATTCGAACTTGGCAATTTACAAACGGTTAAAAAGCGAATGCCCTAAAATAGAGTCAATTTGACTCGAGTGTGTAGAAAGATTTCTTTACGAGATTCGTCTTCTTCGGATAAGCAAAAAAAAGTAGAATGGAATAATAAGAATAGGGGACGAACAGCATAACATTCTCGGCTCTCCAGGATTTATCGGACTTCATTTCCATTCACTCATTCTGTGAATATTTACTCTTTCAGATGAATTATAGTTGCACTCTGAAATAAATTCATAAACTCCATTAAAAGTGAAAAATTGAATTATTCTAGAAAAAAATTCCAAGGCGGGGATAAAATTCCTGCGGACCATTTCATACACAAATTCAGTTCAATGTCCCATCGGTTGAGTGGGTTATCTCGAATTGAAAACTTATTCATGTGGAATCCTAATTTTGAAAAATGCGTCTTCTTCTTCTTCTTCTGACACTGTGCGTGCGTGTGGTAGGGAAGGCTTTTAAAAAAGTTTTTTAAACGCAAAGTGCCCCTAATGCCGAGTGACAAGCCACGTGTAAAGTGTTTGTTTGTAAGGTAGTGACACCAAGATTGAAGATGTTGTTAAAATGTTTGACAAGAAGCCTGAACAAGACTAATCGCCTCTTTTCTTCGTATGGAATGGAATGGAGGAGACAGTTTCCTGTAAAAAGATACATTTTAAAAAGAAATTTGTTCCTGATTTGCTGTGAATCATGATGATAAATGGTGACACTTTGTATTCAAAAGACGTAAATATTTTAAATGTGAAAAGTTGTAAAAAATACAAAGTTATAATCAGGTACAAGTAAGTACTTATAAATTTATGCAATTACTGGAACTTGTTAATAAACAAAATAAATAAAGTCGTAATGCTAAAGTCTCGCACAATTTAGAAGAGCCCACAAAAGAAGTAAATCGAGATTTTAAGATTTGTTGAAATCCGTAAATCTTTTCTTTCCCTTCTCATTTCCCCACTAATTCCTCTCATCTTTCTCCCTTTTCTCCATTCCGAGAGCTTTACCCGTCTATTAAAAGGATTTGAAGAACGTAGTACAACTAATAGCAAAGCAATTTACATTCTCTCACTCTCGCCAAACTTGTGTCTTTTCTCATTTGTTTTGCTTTTTGGAAAACCGTTCCGTACAAGTCATCAAAATCCGGAAAGGAAAGACGTGAAATGACAATGGATTCTTTCCGAGTTGTTTCCATTTGCTGTGTGGGATTAAAATATGCATGTTCGGAGGTTCCTTCTCTGAACGGAAGTCTCAAGAAGAATGGCTTAAAATAGAGGCACGGTTCTTTAGGAGTGAGGAATTTTCACTAATGAGACATGATGTAGGAATTTTATGGGTGACATTTTCCAAGCTTCTTCTTCTTCACGTTTAGTAATTTAGTAGAAGGTTTAAGAATAAAGGTGTATTTTGAATTCAATTCAAAATGCGGATGTGCACGAACGAACAGCACATTAAAACCACGAAATCGTAAAAATGTCTCTCTTTTCTACCACCATGTTTCCATTTGGATTTGACATTTGACAAACAAACATCAATCCAATCCTCATTTTAATAAGGGAGCAGATGTTGTAAGAGTAAATTTATTAACTGGCACATCGACTTATGTGTAGTAAGAACTATTCACTGTTCCAGTAAATATTTACTTATTTACCTACATGGTGTTCGAAAATGCTCTTGTTTTCCTTATACGTGGATATATTCTGCATATTGTTGTATGTACATAAATACATCGAATTTAATAGTTTTTGAACCCAAAGTAGTTGTTGGAGGATGGATCGGGACACAACAAAAAGTGTTTATTCACTGGTGGGACAACCGAACAATGCAATAGTGCGTGGAGAGGGACAACTATTGACAGGAGTGAAAAGCAATGAAATCAGAAATTCATGGAAGACGAGGAAATCCCATTCATTACGATTATTATTATATTCCACACTAGTTATGATTGATTTCCTCTCCGATGGGTTCTCATTGTTCTCGTAAATGGGACCTGGAAAGTTGACTGACGGACCCTCTCGGTCACACTTGGAGTCAAAAACTGTGCCCCGATGGTACGAAATAAAAGGTCGTTTCGTTTCGTTCGATTCATGTAAATATTTAAAACATTGTTCGCTACAGCCATCAAAAGTAGTTTGCTGGATGGGGGATAAGCGACCAAGTGTTGTTTTTCTCCTCGTTTTTTAAACCATTTAAATTAAAAGGATGTCAAGAAAGAAGTGTGTCGAGTGCATCTGGGTGTCCAATTTTTAGACTTCTTTGTAAAGGAGTTTACTTGACAAAGTCTAGATTTTATGGAATTCGGGTACTTCCTAAATCTCTCTTTTCTCCGACATACTCCTTTTAACGGGTCTTGTAGTGGCACTTAGGCGATGATCGATGTGCGGAAGGGAGCCTTATAATACATTTCTCGTACCCTATGAGTCCTGTCGAACTAACGAAGTAGATGCATTTTTGATGACCCTCTCTCGTCCATATCGTTGGTTCGTTCAGGTTGTCAATCTCCCCGAAGAAATCACTGGCTTCACCCTGCCGACTTTTTTTACCGGAATAGAGGAAAGCGAGTAGGCATGGCCAATTCATCATAATGTAAACGAGGAGCACTTTCCCCAAAAAATAGTTGAGATGAGATACAGTATTGCCAAACTACAATTTTCCTCCCGACCCTTCGAAGGAGGAAGTTGACTCAGCAGTTGGTTCAATACTCGAATGTTTCAAAAGGTGAATTATTCACGCTCTTCGATTCAATAACCCTCCTGGCTATAGATTCAGGGAAAAGTAACAAGAAATTTGGTATTGACAAGCGTCAATTTTCACTATCTTGTCACACCACGCTTAAAGATTTTACAGATTTTCACGTATATATTTTCATTGTTACCAAATATCTATTTTAAAATGGAACGGAATAAGTTTTCGTGACAGATTTCTGATTTTTTTGTGTCATGCAGAAAAGGGAACAATTAAATAACGACTCAAACTCTGTTATGACTTCGTATTTTTCTTACCCGTAAATAGGAATCTGCTAAAAAATAAACTCATCAAAAAATCGTGCAGATGGTTAAATTGTGAATTTTTGTTAAAATTAAACTCCAACATCTGCTCTTTCCTCTCCTCCTTTGTATTCTATATCGTCACCATTTTGCTACTTCTTTTTCTCTCTGTTGAACTTAATTGTTGTTGATGGGATAAAGGTTTGAGCTTAATGTGACGATCACGACACAAACTATTAAACGCAGCTACAGTGTAAATAATTTGAATTGTAAACATCTTACTCATTTTTTGAATGAAATATCCTAAATTTAGGATGTGTTGTTCCAAAATTTACCAATTTGATGACATCCTTCTCTCTCTCCATGTTGTTCAGCAATGTTCAGCTAAAAACTACACACACGTGTTTGTCCTTGAACTTGTCGGTCGACATTAAAGTAATTTAGCGAAATAATAATGAGTTTTACACGGATAGAATACATCAAAGATGACGAGGATGATAACACCGTTGACATGCTGATGCCGAGATTGTGGTAATGTTGATTAAAATCGCGATTACGCTCGAATTGTTTCAGAACGATGATGGAATCATTACACAAGTGTATCGCCTACGAGATCTAGCAGTCTCTTTTATGTGTTCACTTCACGGGGATATGGGATGGGGTAACAATGGGTGGTTTGGTTTGGGCTTAATATTGGAAATTTCGATTATCTACAAACTAAAGTGAATGCTTCGCTTATTACAAATACAAAGTGAATCTCTTGCTACAATATGTGCTTTGATTGCTTTAACAGCATCGAATATAGGAGAAGAGCAGGGTATATCTTCTAATTGGTATACATATGAACTTACATAAACTAATATGATAATACCCGGTCATGGGAGGATTTCATGCAAAGTTGGTGGTCCAATTTGCATGAGTTGCGAGATGCGGCGATGCTAAAAATATCTATGTAGTAACGGAATTTAGTAATCGTAAGATGTTTTAAATTAAGTGCGTTTAAAAATTAAGGTTAATTTAGAAAAGTGGAATGTAAATAAGATAATAATTGTGAAGTTGCATATGAATGCAGACTTGAATCAGGAGTCATTTTTTATGAGATGTTAAAACTTTGCAAAATAAAGTTTATTTTCTTTTATGGAACACAAAATTGTTTCAAAT